TCCCGGGAAGCTGGGGCGAGCCGTGTGGAATCATGGGAGAAGATGACTGAATCGCCATGGTCTCCAGCGTCTGTAGGCAAGCAGTTTGCTTATCTTGTGTGTTATTGGCTAACCCCATATCGCTGGTTCAGGGCCTTGATCACGCTCTCGACGAATCTAATCAAAAGTTAAGTCTTTTTTTGATTCTAAAGAGTGATCGTCCTACGTACCTGAAGCCAGCATAGGCCATAGAAAAGGTAGCTGAGGCAGCACCGTCCTTAGCTTTGACAACCTCACCACCACTAAATTGGACACCTGCAGAAAGTTAGAATATCCGTCTTGACGGCGGTACAATCAGGTGACGCACTGTTCACGAGAGCATCGTATTTGTCAGCAGGGATCTCGAAAGCAGGCCTGGCTTAGCTTGGCTGAAGAGTGGCACAACGGTGTCACCGGAGCGCCCACCAACAACAGGGATTGTGCTCTGGGAGGGTCCTTCTAGCCACTATACTCCTGGACGAAGGTCTCGGCACGTACAACATCCAAAGTGGTAACACCGAAAAGACGCTTGGGGTCGAATACACCAGCAACCTTGAAGACCTCAGCAGCGATGAGACAGTAGAGTTGACAAGGTTAGAGACGATGAGCACGAAAGCCTTGGGACTGAACTCTGCAATGCCCTTGACCAAACTCCGGACGATACCGGCGTTAGCCTCAAAACGGTCGTCACGGGTCATTCGCGGCTTTCCTGGTCGGAATTAGAGAACGTTTCGGAGTAGCCTTGGCTGAGGTTACTCACAAGTCCATACCTGCCTTTAACCATGATCTGTACAGCCAAGAGCTAAGTTAGCCTCTGAACTAATGTAACCAGTCCAAATGCGGGGTCAGGATAAGAGCTACTAACGGTCTGTATGCTGTGAACTCGCGATGAGACGGAAGAAACAGATCAAGGAGTGAGATAGTCAATGAAGAAGAGAGAGACTTGGTGGTGTTGAAGACGAAGCAGAGAACAGAGCATTGGAGGGCAAGTTAACAAGGAGAAAGTCGCGAAATGCTAGAGGAAGTAGAGGGCCTTATAAGAGGGGCTGAATCCTATGGGCAGGCACGGTGCAGGCGAGAAATCTGATTACCCGTCGCTTCACCGGAAGGATTACAGGCGAGGGGGCTCGGATCCACTAATATCTAAAGTGCGCTTAATAGTCTTTATAAATTTGGCGATCACATGACTTCATTTGTACTCAGCCAATCAATGCTAACATCGCAAATCACTTTAGATACATAGTAGCCGGATGTCAGTATCTTCCCCAAGTCTGTGCCATGCTCCGCCAATTACGATGATGCTTGGCTTCCTCCAGTAAAGTACAATTCAGCTTGTTCGAAGCTATGAATCTTTCAACAAACTTCTCGTTTCCCTTTGCTACTTGATCTTCAAAGAGTGCCATTATCTCCTGCATTATCTGTCTGAACTCTGTCACCTGGATTTCCATCGGGATAGCTTCCTGTTCATCTTCCTCGCTGTCTTGCCCTAGCTCACTCTCCGAGGAATCAGTTACACCCTCTTGGATATCGTCTTGTAGTAGATTGCCTCTAGTCGATCCCTTAGTGTCTAATTCCCCTCGAGATGCATATTCGGGACGCAGAATCAGTAATTCATCTCTCCAGAAGGGATATGTTGGTTGGCGACTGACGGTTTCGAAAAACCTCGGACTTGGAGATTCGAAACAATGAATGAGGTGCTTGCAAATCAAAAAGCGACTATGTAGGAAGGGTTTGCAAGTATAGACCCAGTTAACTAGATTTGTATGGTACTTCTTCAACTTTTCAGGTTCAACTGTTTTGTAGGCTTCCTTTTTCCACTGTTTCTTGAAGGCCTCTCGCCATCGAGCTTTGAATACGCGGAATTACCCACTTGAAATAGCTATCATTCGATGAACTGCACCAGGGATAACCCGGGAAGTCAAAATCCACACAACTAGGTCAACTAGTGGCCGGTTAAATCTGTGAAGATAATCATGTTTCAATGTTCGCCAATGTGATTCAATAATCATAGTTGTCTTTACAGTAGGAATTTCATTAGGGTCAGCAGCTCGTGCCCACAGTTTCCACTGCTCTAAGCAATACCAGTTAATATATAGGTAAGCCCAGAGACGGTAATGCCCGCGAGCCTTGCACCATGTGTACATTTCCGCTGCGCACTCACGATGCAAGGTCTCGGAGGACTTATATGTGCCATTAGAATCAGGTATTAATGGGTGGAGATTAAAATGGCGGCAGAAAATCTCAAATACTGTGTCACGTTCGTCCTTTGTTGCTGGTTCCAATCTTCCCATCTCTTCGACTCTTTCAGACTTCGATAGGCATTGACATTCCCCAAATCTATGGGTTAGAGATCGGCGGGTTAGTAATGAGCCCCAGCAGATTTCCAAATCAGGAATCAGCTTTTGCGCTTCCTCAGGTTTGTAGTGGTCTTATATTTTAGTGCCTTTTGATGAATTAAGCTTCATACTTACGGCTCGTTTCACATGCCAGTAGCAAAGCTGAATTTTGACACCAGGCCAGATAGCATTGACTGCTGCAATTTCTGCTGGGTCCTTGTCAATTGCGAAGCACCTTGGATTGAACTCAAAGCACTTCAACTGCCTAAGGAACTGCTCAATGATGTATGTCATTGCTCCAGGGGCTGCACGGATGGGCTTTTTCTCTGCTGATTTGTCCTGAGAAGGTTTCATCAGCTCCACAAGACAGTATGCAATAGGAACGCCAGTACCTTCAACCTCAGCTAGTACTGCGAATAGATCCATACCACCACTGTTTGTCCCAAATGTCGAATCCATCACTAATTGAGTGGCTGACGCTGACTTAGCAAGCTTTTTAATAGGCTCAGGAGCAAAAATGCTCAATGCTCTCACATTTCCTGCTGTGAAGATGGCATGATGATCTTGATAGTTACTGTCCTCAGAAAGAAGTATTGTAGCTGATACCAAGGGATCAGAGTTTCGTTGCCATATCTCAGCATTTGCTTCTGCTAGAGGTAATAGATCTGATGCCTTGTCACAGATTTTCCCTCAGGAATATCGCGGACTTCACGGTATATCTCTGATGGAGTCTTGCTTGAGACACGCAAGTTGACCAATTCTTGCATAATCGGTGACAGTTGGATATCTTCATAGGGTGTATGCCACTTGTGGTGAATGGAAAGAAAAAGGGTCCGGTCTTGTAAATATGGCCGCATATTGAGCTTGCTCTCACATGGAAATCGTGCCATACGCCGGCCATCTCGCTGCCTCTGAGCCTCCACTGAGGATTGATAGCTTCGGACATGCATCAGATCTTGGCAACAGTGGTATTGGTATGTGAAATTTGGGCCAGCAGTTCCCATGTGCCTAAAGCGAAACCCTCCCTGCTTCCAAATAATCTCACAAAGATCCCACATTGCTGTATTCATCTCGGATCTAGGGAAAGTGTTAGGGTTTATATTATTGCCCGCATTTTCCAACCCATGTGGAGGACCAAACTTGACAGGTAGATCATCCAAGTTGAACGCGTAACTCCTATCTAATACTTCGCATTGGTTCTATTAGACAAGTTAAAATAGTGCGCTCAAAATAATCTAATTTGCGACTCAGATCACTCACTGGCTTATTCCACCTTTGAAGAAGCGTGATAAAATCATCCTAGTCATCGAATTCTAACGAGCGTTTTCGGGTATGGCGCTTACAAGTCTTCTTTCGCTTCCCTTGTTTGTTGATTTCAAATTCATCTATGGCGCGGCATTTTGCACATTTGCTGCAAAATATTTTATCTGTCACAGCAGAGCGTGGATCCATTTCAAGATACAGCGCCTTGCAAGTGTGGCTTTACATGTTTTGCAACACTTCGACTCTTTCTCGGCGCCACTGCCACTGTCTAATCCATAATAGGCTTAGACTATTAATTTGGTAATTTACAAGTAGTATTGCACATGTATATACCCATATTGGGGGTCAGGATAGCTCCCGGTATCACTGTACTGTTATGTCCTATACGTATTGCGAATTACACCAAATCTCAGTCTAAACCTAGTATAGATTAGGGTGCGGAAGTGGCGTTAAGAAAGAGTCGAAGAGTTGCAAAAATGTAAAGCCGCACCTGCAAGGCGCTGTATAGAACAAAGGTATATGGCTTCTTGGAGGTGTGGTGAGCGACGCGACTGGAACGCGAGTAATGGAAGTCAACGATAAACACAAGACCGAAAACGGAAAGGACGCTTGCTGATTAAGCCGGTCACATGATCGCCAAATTTATAAAGTCTATTACGCCCCCATCTAATATCTAAAAGAAATCACATAACAGGCCGCGGCTGGCCAATAGAATTTCAACATTGTGTATGACTATGGAGGTGGGAGTCAAAAGTGACGGCACAACACTAATGCACACTAGAGATAGCTAGAAATGTATCATAATTGGTTACAGCTAACTACCATTTGAAGCTCTCCTATTTGCCTATCTACCTGAATGCTAGATCCTCTCTGGTTTAGCTCCGTATTAAAACAACTGAAATACATATGGTTAATGCGCTAATCCTTAGCGTCGTGCCATCACTTTTGACTCCCACCTCCGTATGCCTGCGAATTACCCTAAGTTATCGGACCCTGCGATCTACCGGATCCGTCATAGTCAAAATTGTACAAAACTTCGTCAAGAATCTTCCAACTGATTTCGACGTGCCCTGGAGCACATACAGTATCGGGTAACACCGAGTAGCTGAAATCAAGCCCAGGGGCTGCCAGTGAATTCCAAACTATAGCATCAGAGCTTCCTCCAGCACAACGGACACATCCGTCTCCAATAAATAGAGGTAGATCCAAATCCAGGCCATTGACTGAAACTACCACTTTTTTCCCGCAATATCTTCCCATGTCGGAAGCAAGTTCTGTATGATTCATGGCTACTAAGTAGTTTGAATTAACTTCCTCAAGTGTCCATGCCGATTTACTGCATTCTACAGTACCTTTATTAGCGCCAGACAAATCCGTAAAACATGCCTGCGGGTTAATAATATCATAATAATAAGTACCGAAGCCGGTGCCACTAGATAGGACAGTCATGTCTAGAGATGTTGCCATCCCTGTGCGTCAATGAGCGGCCTAGCCATTCACTAATATATTCATGCTCCGTTACGTTGAGAAGCAGTGCTATTTATACAGATTACGTACATCCCTTAGAAACGCATTCATTCATATGACAGATTGCATGGAAAAATAGCTTGATCAGACAATGTACGCCGGAACATGTTCTAGGTTTTGCTTGCTTGATTGCTGATAGTCTCGACTCTGTAGTAAAAAAAGCAGACACCTATTATTGGCGCGATCTACTAAATATACGGAGATACTCTTGCCTGTCTTTCAGGACTGTACGTAGTTGTAGTATGTTCTTTGACTGATTTGGGTTGGTACAGCCCTTCAGCTAATTAGGAATGAGCTAGGTGGCGTAATTAGAAACTGCCGGAATGCCACCTGGGCTACTAAACTAAAAAGGCGCGCTATATATCTTACCCAGTAAGATTCGTTAGATTCCAATGGTCACAATAATTATCTCATTGCCATACATAATTTTACATCAAGAATTTACATTACACATAGTAAAACGATGATGTGCAGGATTCTATTGACTATACGATATATTTTCAAAGATGATAACTTAATACGTATCTCGGAAGACCCACTAATTCTACTACATACTATATAATGTAAGGGGACATGATGTTATATGTAGCTGGTGGCCTGGCTGTGAGCGTCTAGAACAATCAATCCATGTGAGTTTTGCTTTGTCGCTGTACGCGTTCCACATGAATAGGGCTTTTGAAGGTGACTGAGAACCCTAGTTGCTCTTTGACACTCTTCAGCGCAATTCGGAATCTCAATACCGCACTACCGATATTGCCGCATAAAGATTTGACCTTGGATTTCGCTACCATGCCACCCATATTGCCACGTGAAGATTTAACCTTACTCTCCTGAGTATATTTCGTCACCCAGCAATCTTGCCGGCGAATGAATGGGATTGCTGCAAGTGGCAGAGTATGACACAAGAGCTGCGGGGTGAAGTCAACTGGCACCTTCTGAACGTAGTAAACATGCTGGTCAGAAAGAGGAAATCCGTCATCGGCTATGTTAAGAGCTTTCCACAATTGTTCCGACCATGGGGGTATGTTGAAAGAATACTCAAATGCATCAAGCATACACATTGGGTGCTTGATTAAGTATTTACATTTCGTGCGTAGAGAGTAGTGTATCGGAATTGAAATATCAAACGTGTAGATACTGTAGTGTCCCCATATGACAATTTTCTCTCGCAGACGTACTTTTGGGACTGGTCGTAGAGGGCTATGATCGAAAGACTCCTTTTCGAGTGAGAAATTCATTTTTTGAAGAACTCCGTCTGGATAATATGATGTAAGATTGCATTGTATATGTAACTGTGGAACTGACGGGAGCGTCCGTGATATCCCAACTGAAACGGCACCGTTCCAATGATGGTCGCCTTTCTCTAATTCTGATATTTCATACAGCTCTACCCAAGGGCCAATGGTGTCAAAATAATCTATAATTTCTAGTTCTAATGCATCGGGCTGCGGAAACATGGGTTAGCATGATATATGATAAGATCAATTGATAATTTCTTCGATACCAGGATGTCCTAGGCCGTAGATAACTATTGCATTTGTCAGCCGAAACAGGAAGCTCCCAAAATAACTCTGCTAGTTCGTGATTAGTGATACGTATTCCCCTAACAACGAATGTGACCGCTGTACAGACTAGTATTGGAATGACTAACTAATTTGCATATCTACATAAAAGGTTGTTTTGGGTGCTATTTGAAGCCATATTTAATTCAGGGAATAAACTGCCGCTCTAATCCCATTGTCGAAGCCGCTTCCATCAATAAAGAGCTGCATTGTCGTATCTGCAATTGAGGATGTCCCAATAGCAAGCCTTGATAGCCTCCTCATGCCGACTGTTGTATTCTATGATGTTGTTCTAGATGGCCACGAAAATGATGCTAAAATAGAGATGGACACTGCGATCCAGATTCCTGTTGATCTACAAATGTTTCTTCAACCATTCGCATGGGAGCATGGGAGTGCAGATCCTGTAGTTAAGGGAAAGTTTGCGAAGGACATAGTGGATGCTAAATATTGAGAGCACAGTTGAATTGCCTTGTGAAGAATCAGATTATGAATCGGGCCAAAGTAGTGGCACTGTTACTTGTATTCTTGATTAAGTCTATGCTAAAACTTCAAATATTAGAACAATGGCCCTGTGACCCAGGAACGCATAGTTCTCAGCCCCTATCTCCGTATGCTGGTCTATCTTGGCTGAGAAAGATGACTTTCCAAGTCCGAATATGGCGTAGATAGCAAGGAGCACTTTTGTTCAGGATTTTGAGTGGTGGCGTGGAGGGATGCCTTAATCTTTTCACAGCCGTGCAATAGGCCGGTATTATTCATAATTTGTTCACTGCATTTGTTGAACCTCTTTATAAGATCCTGAACGTTTACATTCTCTAGCTTGTGTCCATCAAGCACTAGGCCCAAGTGTAAACCAGCAAGTTGTAGATTAAACGAACGTCTCAGCAGTTTGCCAATAAACGCGAGTGGATGTGGGTGACGCTCAACTGTGGACTTTATGTCCTCGACAATGGAAATATCCGGATTGACCCACGAGGCGACATAACGCGCCTCAAGTGTACTTTGCAAGCAAATGAGTACTCGGCGAAATCTAGCAAAGACATGCGGCTCCATTGAGCCTTTCAATTCTTCACCGCCGTATTGCACAGCCACAAGATCTTTTGATGGCCATGCGTAACCTTTTTCCCATCTTTCATCTTCAAACGGGTTGTGACGAAATCCAATCTCAGGATAATTGTCTGGATGCAGGTGTAAGATCAAAAGTGTCTCAGTGTATAGTATTTCTGTAGCTTCGCCATAAATTAATCTATTCGACTGGAGGATATTCGGATACCGAGACATTTTCGACTTTGGAGTGCCTACATGAATTACCTCCTTCACAGAAAAAAGCTCTCTGTAAATGAGTAGACGTAGTTCTGTGATGTGTGTCAACACAATCAAACAGGTAAGACGACAGGGTCTTACCAGGGGGAATTTTTTCAAATTGTGACATCTTTGCTATGCATCACCGATCATAGATGATCTGAAGATCAGTATTTACCGCATATACATATATCGAAAAGGGGCAGAATTGTTAACATACTAGCACACGTAATGATTTGCGATAATGACCTGCTTTGTTCCATAGTATGTAATAAAAATAGCAGTAATTACTGATAAAAGTGTGACGTGGTTACAGTCATTCTGGAAATCGACTTAATCACTATCCACAACTTGATTGTTTTGAAGGCCCACTACTTACCCCGTTCTTGATGCGGTAAAGGGTTAGGGTTAAGGATATGATCAATCGCCCTGCCTTAATTCAGCCAATCCATGAGGAATCAATCATTGGTTTTAGGGATCTATTTAAGTAGGGCAAGTAAAGTCATGTCAGATGTTTGTGCATCAAACCGATTTCGGGAACAACTGTATACAAAATGGACATCTCGGGCACAGATGATCTAGATTATGCTATATATCAACATCATCTTGCAACACCCCCAGCAAAATGTCTCCATACGTTCAAGTGAGCGCTTATTATCTTGGAAAGCTTTAATACTGTTAGCATCTTCATAGCCGCTGGTTGAAGAGCATAGAGCATATCGGCATAATCCTAGGAGATCGCGACCACAAGAAAAGAGACGTTCTATACCAACCTCTGCTGCAGGGAGAGAGATGTCGACGAGCAATCTTAGCCTGTAACAACGTTACGTGGGATACGTATACATATAGATTCAAGAGGGACAGCAATAGTTAAGCATAAAAGGTAGGAGGGCATGGAGTGTCAATGTACTGAAATCTATCTTCTCTGGTGCGCGCTTCTACTTGTCAGATAATCCGGCTTTCAAACGAGGCAGAAAGATCGACTGTTCAATCTTACAGGTCTAAAAGGCACCTTTAGGCATATATCTGGGCACCTAGATTTCAGCCCAATATTTACCCCTCCTGATAGCTCACAAATCACCCCGCCAAAGGTGTCTACTATAAAGGACCCGGCTTTAAAAACTTGAAAGACAGACACAGAACTCAATACATACAATCTTGCTAGTCACTTCTTTTCTTTGATCCTAGTAAAACACTCTTCAGGATTGGCCTGGAATAAACCGACCAATCCGACACTACTCACTTCAATTATTTCCCGACCCCTGCAGCGAAGCCGCGCTAAACTACAATCGTATATTATCCGAGGCCACTATTTCAAGTTTCCGTAATAAGGTGGTAACGTACTACACGGGTCATTCGGTCACCCGCAAGTCCCATACAAAATGACCTTCTTTAACAGCTTGATTTCTCAACAGATTCATATATAAACCATATCTGAAAGTTGAATATGTTTTATAATATAGGTATCATAATATATATCTGGATTTAAAAACTCTAAAAATATTAGGAACCCTCTGTCATTGAATTTACATTAATAACTTGGCTAGTTTCTAATATCTCAAGACTTATAGAAGAGGCGCACTTCCAAATTGATATTTCTGATAAGGATTCATATAGCGAATCATGCGTAAAGTCTAAGATATGGTTTATATGAATCCGTTGAGAAATCAAGATGTTAAAGAAGGTCATTTTGTATGGGACTTGCGGGTGACCGAATGACCCGTGTGGCCGAATGACCCGTTAGTACGTTATGGAAGGATGGATGACTAACAATACTCTATTTTCTGTATTCGTAATACAAGTCAAGTTCCTATAGCGATCTTTACATTGTATTGGAGTTTTAAGGTTAGGATGAAACACGCAAAACAATCGAAGTGAGTTGAAGCGCACACCAGTTTCGCAACCAGCTGTGTGAGAGACGTTCATGTTTTTGTGGCGATACATTGACCATAGCCAGCTAAAGTATCTACACTTTTGCCACTCTGTTCTCGCATAAAACTTATTGTAATACACTCGGAGGCGAAACCGGTGTCGGGGTCTTACTCTCGTTGATTGTTTCGCAAACACTATGCTAAGAGGCGCTAAACTACAATCAAATAAACTCCGACTCCTTTCTAGTCCACTGTATCAGGTATGGTATTGTAACAAACAAATATACACCTGTCAGGTTTACATCAAGGGTATCTTGAATTCAATTGACACAGATAGTTAGTAGTACCATCGTACATTTTCCACACTGCTCCACAGCTGATTGTGGACCGTGGTTCGGCCTGGTCCTATCGCTCACTGTTCGATTATCGGAATATCTTTATTCCAACCGAGTACAGAGCTCCTCGCAGACGGTCAGCCAATGCAATCTAGATTAGAGCAGTCCAGATTGCTGTATCTGGTATATCGCAGCGCTAGGAGCAAAACTATAATTAGGAACGCGAGTGCACGTTCGAAATAAAAATGGATGGACATCCATGCCCACTGGAAGAGCAGACTCCAAATCTGATACATCTTGCAAATCATCATCGACATCGTCATGCCTCCCGCGGAATATCATACCACCTTCTCGAACTCAACTAACTATAGATTACAAGTTGGTAATAACACTGGGAATATTGAGACCCACCACCACTACGCCGCCAGTAAGCCGCCGTTTTTATTCACTATGGACCCGTGCTAACCATAGCTCCATTGCAGAGCGTCCCGAGTCTCCACCACGTCCGTCCCTATCGATCCCGTTTCTCGCAATCCAGATTTTGTCGCTCGTGGGACAATCCTGAATCAGCTCCACCACCAACGCGCTGCTCCAGGGTCCTGGACGGCACTGGTAGGGTTAGGTGGTGCTGGGTGTGTAAAAAGCGTCTGCGCTTCACTGGTCACTGCTAACGTGGCACAGAAAATCACAGCTTGCAATTGAATATGCATACGAGACCCACGAGCAAGAACCAGAAACATGAATTTTTTGGGTCTACGCCAGTAACGCCTCCCAGTTTGAGCAGAGCTACCAGGACATTGCCAATGCCGTCAAAATCCTTGGGCGACGGGATCCCAAGGTTAATATCTTCAAGCTTGTACACGACTGGCTGCGAGATAGCAAGAATGGGAAGTGGATTCTCATACTGGACAACATTGATGATGTTTATTTCCTCCTTCAACTTCCTGACATTATTCAAGGCCATGCTGGTCGTGAAAATGGTAAAGCAGATCGGCCACTACGAGAGTATCTCCCACAAAGCTGGAATGGGTCCATCCTGATAACATCACGAAATAGGGAGGCAACATTGAAGCTGGTAGACCAGCGCAATATTATTGCACTCGAGCCGATGGACAAGGAGGACGCACGAGCACTTTTTGAGAAGAAGTTAGGAAAAGGACAATGACAAGCAGAACAACGGCCAGGATATTGCAGATCTTGCAGCAGCGTTAGAGTTTATCCCACTAGCGATTGTCCAAGCCGCGGCATATATTTCTGATCCAAATTGGGTTTACTCGGTACGACAGTACCTTGATGAATTCTAGAAAAGCGATCACAAGAAGTTTTGTTTATTGGACCACGAAGAGGGCCAGTTTCGTCGAGACTAGGGGGCTAAGAACTCAGTCCTCATTACATGGCAGATCTTGTTTAACAGCATCCGCCAAGGCCGACGATCAGCAGCTAATTTACTGTCGCTCATGAGTTTCTTTGACCGCCAAGGGATTCCTGAGACCCTTCTCCGAGATCGAGGTAGACAGACGAATGGTGAGCTTAATGATAACGATAACGCAGATGATAGTGAATCACAATCCAGCATCACGGATCAGTTCCAAGATAACATCCTCACACTGCAAAGGTACTCCTTGATCTCTACCAATATTGACTGATCGACCTTCAACATGCACAGTCTGGTGCAGCTTGCAACACGAAGATGGTTAGAAATGAACGGTAAACTAGAGACATGGAAGCGGCAGTATATCAAGAATTTGAAAGCAGAATTTCCCACGGGAGAGTATGAGAACTGGGAACACTGTCAAGTACTTTTCCCGTCAGCGGCCAGCCATCCGCCCAACAGCGCGAGTCAGTGTTGGAGTGGGCGGCAGTGTTGTACAGGGCCGCATGGTACGACTTACGAAAGGGAAGTGGAGCCAACAGGGAAAAGCTGTCTTCAGGGCGATGCAAATTCGGAAGAAGTATCTAGGTCCCAAACAAAAAAACACTGAAAAGTATAGAAATGGTGGGATCACTATACTTACTTAAGGGTCGATGAAAGGAAGCAGAAGAGCTGTTTGTGCAGGTGATGGAGACGAGAAAGAGAGTGCTGGGTGTAGAATATCCTTCTACACTGACCAGCATGACCAATCTGGCGTCGACGTACTAGAATTAGGGTCGATGGAAAGAAGCAGAAGAGCTAGAAGTCCAGGTGATGGAGAAGAGGAAGAGTGTTCTATGTGTAGAATATCCTGACACGCTCACCAGCATGGACAATTTAGCATCAACGTTCTGGGATCAGGGGCGATGGAAAGAAGCAGAAGAGCTAGAAGTCCAGGTGATGGAGATGAGTAAGAGGGTTCTGGGTGTAGAACATCCTGACATGCTGACCAGCATGGACAATCTGGCATCGACATACTGGGAACAGGGTCGATGGAAAGAAGCAGAAGAGCTGGATGTGCAGATGATAGAGATAAGTAAGAGGGTTCTGGGTGTAGAACATCCTGACATGCTGACCAGCATGGACAATCTGGCATCGACATACTGGGAACAGGGTCGATGGAAAGAAGCAGAAGAGCTAGAAGTCCAGGTGATGGAGACGAGGAAGAGGGTTATGGGTGTAGAACATCCTGACACGCTCACTAGCATGGCCAATCTGGCATTCACCTGGAAAGGGCAATATCGCAGCGCGGAAGCCTTGGATTTGATGAAAAGCTGTGTACAGCTATAATCAAAAGTTCTAGACGCTGACCATCCCCATACCGTGTCCTCCTCTGCGGCATTGATTGGTTGGCAGACTGAAAACTTGGATATTGATGTGTAAGCAGCAAATGGTGCTATAGTTAGATATAATAAGCAAATCAATGGATAGTGAACACTGTGGGCGGTTGAGATTCGGCCTATATTTATCCAGAAATGGTTTCAGCACAAAGTACGACGCTAATTTTAACTATGTGTCACTCATATTCAGGAAACCGGGGGTTGGTAAGGATGTCCTGTCTTTTTGGGTCTAGCGTCCTGACTTAGTCACATACACAAAAATGGGCGCCGTAGCTTCTAAGTGGACGCGTTGTGCTTTCCAGTTTCAACACGAGTGTACTCCGTATATTTGATCATTTGTATACATGTTTGATACAATACAGTACATGATACAAGGAACCAGAGATGCCTCGGTGTTTATCCATACGTAGTTTAGCCGCTCTTGGCGTAAAGAGAGCAATACCCCGACACCGGTTTTGCCTCCGAGTGTAATACGATTGGGCAGGCATGTTAGTTGTTACATAGCCATTCGTGGATAGTTAAATTGATTTGTCCCTCGTCATGCCCATGAACCATTTTTATGTCTTGTTCTGCAGTCATATTATCAGGTACAAATCTCGTGAAATGGGGGGACTCAAGGCAGTCATTTACCTCATTGATTTCTGGAGGACTCAAGGCAGTCACCAATCCCAGAGTTCGCGGAGGTCATCCACACCTTTTGTGGTAGGGGGGTGGCGTGCTCGACCATTTTATGTTCATTGAGATCCTGGTCAGACGAGAAGCGGGAACAGCATGTTAAACACGTATATTGATCGCCCTTTTCGTGTTCCTCGAGATCCTGGTTAGATGAGAAGCGGGAACAGCATTTTAAACACATATATGGCAAGCCTTCATGCCCTTCGACTTTCGGTCCCATGGTGTCATGTATATGTTATGAGCTGTTGATGTACGTGAAACGGAGTGATGAGGTTTATAGGCAGAGGTCGGTATTGTAAATGTATATTGAGTAAACATCTTATATACTTTCAGGCACTAGGAACACCCTACTTATCACACTACTGCGGTCCCGAATCACAGAGGAACACTGCTACCTTGTTATCGAATCTTCCGGATATTTTCATCCTTAAGTTACTAATACTGTACCCTAACAGATTTGATACAGCCCGTTTTGTTCCGAAAATACGTACTAAGAAGTATCCATATTTGGTTTAGCATGTGGAGTTGATTAGAGCTCAATGTTTTATGAGGGAAGGAGATTTTCTGCTACGGATTTATGTACTGTGTACACAGTACACAGTACATACTACGTAGAGAGAGGTAGGTGCGACAATCAAATCTTGACTGGGTGAGATGACAAGCAACTTACGGAGGCGAGTAGTTAGCTGAGGGATTGTACTACGTAGGAAGGAGGAACCCCCCACTGTCAATACAAAAATCCTAGAAGATCCGATGCTTAGTGCTAACATGATAAGCAAGGTGGCACGTGCGGTTATTGCAATCTGTCTTTCTGCATCTTGTAGTGTACTATAGCACTGAGAGTTACAGCACTAGACAGTCAAGCAGGATCACCAAAGGCTCTGCGGAGAACACTTGTACCAGTAAGAAACGCTATTTCTGCTTGTCACTATAGCGGCTACCTATAGTATAGTGCACACCCTCATTTAGTACCCTTTCTCAGACCACTAGATTATGTGATCTTACAGGACGCTAGACCTAATCGGTAGCTTCACATAAATACCAAAAAGCTGGAGTCAGCATGACGCATTTTCTTTTTGGGTTAGCTATCTGAGATAATTTCATTTCCTACTTAGTGTGAACTCGCTATGGCACAGTCATGAGGATCTTAGTAATCTGTTGAAAATTGGCTGTCGCGTCGACGGACCCCTTTGACATGGCAAATCCTGTTAGATAACTAGGTGTCGACAGGACGATACCTCTGACCCTAATTAAGAAAGTGCACATCGCCAAAATGCCCCCTGATACCAATCAACTACAGTGGTCAAACCTGTATAGTTTCATGTTTGTGACTCGGATTCTTCGCTTTGCCTTAGCTGAAATTCCTGTTGTTATTTCCCTTACTTCTCTGAGGCCGCATTGGAATATATAAAGACATAGAATCACCCTCAATTCTTAAAAAGAGGGAGGGGGGAAGACATACAATTTTGCTTGTTAATTCTACTTCCAATACGAACACTTTCCACGTAGCAAAGCTAGGAATCATTGCCGAATCTGCCCCCACGGATTAGTAATAATCCAACAAATCCCTAAAATGGAATATGTAATTAACGCACTAGTGCCCTGTACGTAGGGTTAGACCCTCCAGGCGTAATAAATATCTAACACACACAACAGATCCCATAAAAAATAGTATCACCTCCTCCCCAACCATAAGACCGAATAATTGATATACTACGGTTGGGGCCGGTAATTTTGTTAGTACGATTTTTAGGCGGTCAGGCTCCGGGGCTCACCGCCTTTTAAATAGAATATTGACCATCCGTCTGCTTTCAGCCTTTCAAGCCTAGATATATGACATTTGACGATCAATATGGCCACCCCCGAGCCTACCAGCCCCCCTAGGGCAACAAGCGCAGGAGTTCTCGAGCCATCTGATCCCAGGCAGAATTCAGCACGGCTGAATAGGGATGAACGGATCCGAGTATTAACCCTTCGAGATGCTGGATTTACATATCTTCAAATCTCTCAGCAGCTTCAAATTAGCTATCGCCAAGTCCAATATACGTGCCAAAGCCAGCAAGCAACCCCTAAAAAGGCCCGTGGCAACCCTCCGAAGCTCTCCGAGGCTGAAGTTGATCATATTATCGAATGGATTACTTCTTCGAAGCGTACGCAACGTATGCCTTATTATAAGGTTATACAAGAGCTTAACCTATCTATTGGAAAGCACGCCCTGGCTCGAGCTCTTAAAAAACGAGGTTATACACGATGCAAGGCTCTTAATAAACCTCCTCTATCAGATAAACATAAACAAGTACGTCTTGCCTGGGCCCTAGAGCATTTGAATTGGACGACTGAACAATGGAATCGTATCCTTTGGTCTGATGAAACATAGGTTACTTCAGGATTTCATACGAGAATCTGGGTAACTAGAAAGGCTGGTGAAGAGTTAGAAGAGACTTGCATACGATCCTCTCCTACACGGAAACGTGGATGGATGTTCTGGGCTACTTTTCATGGGAATAACAAGGGTCCGTGTTTATTCTGGGAGAAGGAATGGGGAACTATTAACTCGGAGAGATATTGTCAACGGGTTATACCAATTATTGATGGCTATATTCGCTTATTACGAGACGATATCTGGCTTCAATTTATGCAGGATGGGGCACCTGGCCATGCGAGTAAGGAGACTCTCGAAGAGCTTCATTCTCGTGGGATATATCCAATTTTTTGGCCAGCATTCTCATCTGATCTCAATCCAATTGAAGCAGTATGGAATTGGATGAAGGATTGGATTCAAGAACAATATCCAGATGATGAGCAACTTTCTTATGATCGACTCCGTGAGGTTGTACGAGCTGCTTGGGATGCACTGCCTGAGCAGTTTTTGAAGGAGCTCATTGACTCTATGCACGCTAGATGCCAAGCTGTAATAGATGCTCGAGGTGGTCATACAAAATATTAGATTAGTAATCAGATATGACTGGCAGAATTCATTGGATTTCAACCCCTGTAAAAAAATCGTGCTAACAAAATTACCGGCCCCAACCATAGTAAGCAGGCTTGCTCTAGTCAGGCGTGATTTATGTTTTTCCTGTAGCATTTGCTGTATCTAGACTAGGACCTCATTGTCAGGGAGACTTACTCTCTGTTTCAGCTCGGCCAAAAGCTCTTCAAACCCGGTAGACAAAAACCTACTGACCCATGGGCTCTAAAAAAGCTATCGATCGGTTCTATTGTCCCGCCATTTAGGACTACTATCATCTCAAGGAAGACAACGTCTAGACACTAGATATCACAGGACATATTTCGAGGTTCCTGCATCGCCACTTCAGAAGCGCAATACTATTGGGTCACACTATTCATCATTCTAACAGTAGTACTACTGCTGGCATCTGCAAAATCTAGCGCTAAGTCAAAGTTGAAGAGAATATTCCCTCTGTCAACTAGGATATTGCCTACTGGATGTCTTTATGTTGGATCTGACGGTCATGAAGGAACTGAAGCCCAGTGGCGAAGCAATCAAAAAAGGTTCATATCTCTGTGCTGTGGACTGCCAGTTTTCTTTAGATAGACAGAAAGATCCAGTTCGGCAACTAGAGACATTATCATACTGAGATATTTAAGGTGTGTATCACTTTCCACAAATTCCACAATATAATAATGCTTTAGTTTTTCCATTACCTCAATCTCAGTAATAATGCCTTTTAAGGCTTTAATGCCTCGTCGACCAACCGCCCCTTTCTGCAGAACTCGTTTTCTCACGTACTCCCTAAAGCTTAAGAGCAAATGTCTTCTGCAGGAAATATGGTCTGCTGCAGGTTCACTAGCCATAATGCATGACACTACAGCAACCTTGGCTGATTGGTTAGGTACCTCTTTCCCAGAGCCCAGGGAAAGTTGACCGCCTTACAATGACTCCGAAATATATCAGATATCTGCATTACTACGACAGACAAATTCCGCTTGGCGCCGAGAGTCCCTCGCACCTATATCATACTACGGACCGGTCTTAATGGCACAAACGGTACAACACAATCCTGGTCATCCCAAACTCTTTCAAGAGAGGAGGTAGAAAACAGGAATAGGTGTACTAGTAGTGCTGACATTCGTAAATATTGATGACTAAACCATGCGAGGTTCCGCACAGGCCCCTATAGAGGATTTTTTAGATGCTGTTTTGGTGTGCAAGATTGACTGGCCTTTACTTGAAAAGCAACGATATAATAAATACTGTAATCATGTATAGTACACACTGAGGACTGATCGAGTACGCACACATAGGTGGGAATTTCTGCCTCAGTACTTTAGTATAGTGGCTGTAAGTTAGGATAACTCCCTCCTAAAGCCTGTGCGATTAGATTTATGCTGGAATCTGTTAGTCCTCGATTTAAGATAGTATCATGTTACTTACAAAGTATCAATGGCGACTTTTATGTTTGGCCCGTCTTCGGGGATACATAAAGCGACCAATTCCCGTACTGATTTCTCCACATCGGCCACTTCTTTTTCGATTATTCTGATTTTTTCAAAGTTTTCCTTATTTTTCTCTTGTTCATGCTTCAACTGCAAAGCCAGTTCCTGATTTTTCTCTTGTTCATGCTTCAACTGCAAAGCCAGTTCCTGATTTTTCTCTTGTTCATGCTTCAACTGCAAAGCCAGTTCCTGATTTTTCTCTTGTTCATGCTTCAAATGCCTAGTCAGTTCCCGATTTTTCTTTAGTTCGTTCTTGCAGTATAAAACTAAATTTCCGATCCTAGGGTCAGCTATTTTTGGGCCTTGCATTGAACACAGATTTACCTCTTTTTGAACCTACATCCAAAGGACTAGATAACAAGCGCTTTAAATAATCCAGGATTAGGGTTGATGATTTCCATGTACATAATACAATTGCTATAAATAAACTTTGAGCAGGTCTAGATTCTTACGTGATTATCCTGACTCTTTGCTGTGAGCAAAAAAAATAACCACAGAAGCCGTACAGAAGCTGTAACTCCGACGTAAGCTAGTGTTGGTTTAACTACGGTCCGTATCACGAAGCATAGACGGTAGTAAGGCGCGAACACGAAGCGGCCTAATGAGCCTGACAATATGAAGATATCTTGATTCCTAATATTGTGACTTGTCCCCAAGAACGAGGGGGACGGGGATAGCTAGCTAGATATACGCGGCACGCACGTGCCGCGTCAGACTAACTATATCCGGTGCCAAAACGTGTAGGGTTTGATATTCACGTTCCGACACTGGCAACTCTCTAAAAATAGGAAAAATAACGAGCGGCACCGGGTTGATAAAACAAACGGATTGGTGTAGGGAATGGTGCAGTAAACAATACATAAATGCTTTCTGTACATGCGGGAAGAATGAAGCAAAAGAAAATGTGGTTAGACACGAGGATTCGGGACATTATTGGGGATTTGCGAATGCCACCGAATTTGCTTTGATCGCGCGATTTTGCGGTGTCGTGGTAGACCTTTCTACCCAGCCGTCGACAGTGATATGTAGCTTATTCGTATCAACAAGGATCTGCAAAGCGTTGCATGCTTTGTTCTTTGTCATGGCGTCGGCAGGGTTGCTATTGCCATCTATCCATTTGACTTCTGTAATCTCTTGACGCTCGTATGACTGGCGGAGGCACATGAGGTCGATCATGAGCCGCTTTTCTTGCGTCGTACCGAGCTTCACGAGGCAGTCATATAAGCTTTTCGAATCCGTGCAAATCACTAGCGGAAGCGGGTTCTCGAGGTGCAGAATCTGCGTAATCGTTGCCTTGATAGAGGCAGCGAAATCGAAGATATATTAGGGAGCCAACGTGCGGCGTTAAAACGTGTTGCTTCGTCGATAATATGAAGTACAGGTTTACCATCAATATACATAATATCAACAATAATTGAATGGTTAAAATGTATATCGTCTTGCAATGTGAAGCGGAAACGGCCGGGAGATTTACCGTGGATTTGACAATGATGGCAGAATTTGCGAATATGCTCAATTGCTTCACGGTCAGCGTCGTGGCCTGCGCGCTCGATAACGCGGTAGAATCTGTCAGTTGAGGGATGACCGAATCGACGGTGTAGGCGCCGTAATTCTGTTTCTGTGAGGAAGCAGGGATTCTCATCAAGTGATTCCAGGAGACATGATTCGTAGGTCTCCTGCTATATAAGGAATGGATGGCCAAATCTTCGTATAACCTGGGTAGTCATATTCTCTTTTGGGCCAATGAGAAGATCTTTGGTGTTGTTGTAATACACGTTCAGTCTGTCCAGGTCTTTGATAGAGAGCAGGAACGGTGTCATTGTTTCGAGGATATGGAATCGGACTCGGCCAATTGGTGTGTCAACATCGACTGAGCCTTTTGAGCGTACAGGATCGCCTGAGCCAAATTTGATCCCTACTGAATTTGCGGTTGACGTGTCTATTACAGCTCCCTTGACAGCTTTCTGATATGCGAGGAATTGACTGTATCCGGCTGTAGAGAAGTCTGCAGCGCCGGTGTCAATGAGAATACCTTGCCATGTTTCTTCGGAGTATCGGCTTGCCGAAACGTAGGTGCTTGTATCAATCGTTTCTTCAACGTCATTCTCTATATTGTCGCCATCTTGTGCTTCCTTTGTTGCCAGGGCTTTGACGCAGTGCATAGTCGCTCGATTTGCTAACTCTGTAGTGATTAACTTTCCTAATTCTCCCTTTGGCTTCTCATCAGTAGTGAAGAAAGCGCTGGCAAAATGGGTTGAGGTAGTCTGGAGTGGTGCATTCTTATTGGCTGAATCTTTGGAAGTAATTGAATCCTTGGTCCTTGGAGGTTCGTCATCACTGCTGTCATCCTCGAAATAAGCGCCACTTGATGCTAGTTCTTCAATTGATTCAGGGTCATATTCCCAGCCCTCAATTTCAGCCATAAATTGTTGATAACTCCCAGATCTGTTTTTATTCCATTCACGCTTGTGTGCCTCGCGCTCCTCGTCCGAGTGGTTATATGATAAGTGTCCTGGTTTCTTGCAGATATAACATGTCTTTTTGTCGTTTCTGGGACCTCTGAAGTGACGAGATGGTTTCCGAGTAAAGCGGCTGCGGTTTTGAGGCTGGTATCGTAGATTATTGTTGAAGAAGCGACGTTCTGTCATGTTCGTTCGTGGAACGTCATACGGATCAGTATTGTATGTGCCTGCGAAGTGCTGTTGCGCTGCTCGCTTAGTGTCTTCAAATTGGCTGACACTTCCTCGAAGGCTCTGCATGAGACCAGGGATCGTAGATGCGGGATTTCCAGTTGCTGCATGACATGCTGGGTGTGTTCGAGTAGCAGAAATGAGCTTTGCGTGCCAAATAACCTCGTTTCGTAGTTCTGGTCGCAATTTGTGGTAGAGCTTTTGGATATCTCGAAACATCATCTCTAAGCATTCGGTAGTTGATTTTTCAGGGTACTTTACAATTACCGTATAAAGATTTATCGCATCCCAGTCAGTCTGCACTTTTCGTAGGTGCTCGTCGTTTTCGAAGTGGTTTTTGACTGCCACAGCGGGGTCGATTCCCATGCGCTCCCATTGATCTTTCCACGTGTAGTAATAGTCGAGTGCGAGTCCTTTGAGCATAACTGAAAATGCCTGGTTCCGTGCTTCTGCGGTATGTAGACCCATCTGGCGGCAGAGGTCTAAGAAGATATTATGAGCTAGGTCGAATGAGTCTTCATTATCGCCGTACTTGGTGCTATCTGTAGTGTACACCTTCCGAAGTTGTGCGATGCTGTTGACATATAACGGTGCAAATTGTCCTACCTGCGAATACATTCTTTCTTGGTCGCGGATTGCTGGCACATATCCCGTTCCTTGCCATGTTGCCGTTTGGGTAGGTGTCGCTACTTGTACTAGTGGTGCCTGCGGCGCCGGTGGTGTCGGTGTCGGTGGTGCCGTCTCAGCGTGTGGTATCATATCTTGTAGGCCACCTGCGGATGCTCTCATTCTTGTTACCATGCCGTGTAGGTTCGTTGACGGTGGAGAGGGGGTATCTTCTTGCACGAATTGAGCATTATTTTGTATTGTCACATTTGCGGCGTCGTTGATTCTTTTGATTGTGGCAGCGAACTTCAACTGGATAAATGGGGAATTGAAGGTCCCTTTAAGCTGTATGTGTTCAACAACTTCACTTTCAGTCCATTCGTGTGGTTCTGGAAGAGTCAGTGTGTTCGCTAATACTCTTCCTGCGTGTCCACCCTTTGGTACATATATACCATTGGTTCGCAGTACGTCACGTAGTTTTCCAAGGACTGGTACGGTCGCTTTGCAAAGGTTATCTGTAGTCCAGTCTCCAAAATCATCTTTGAAGGTAAACCATAGGTCGTCGTCGTACAGATCGGTGTAGATCTTTGTTCGTGTTATTACGCATGGTTCGATTGTCTTGCGGTCCTTGCCATTCGGATCAAAATCTGTATAATCCGTGGGTGCCATATTGTCGGTTATTCGGTGCGTATATCGGCGCACTGAGAGGGGTATTCGACTCGGGGTCGAAGGTGGTTTCGTACGTAGGTTCGTACGGGTGGATTCGTAAGGTTTATGAGACTCAGCTAAGAGCTCACGAGCAAGAGATTTGGTGCGTATATCGGCGCAGCAGGGTGGTAATCGACGCGAGGTCGACGGGGGATTCGAATAAGTGAGAATAGGGGTAAGGTCTGATCTGTGGGCCTCACTGATCAGTGTTGGTTTAACTACGGTCCGTATCACGAAGCATAGACGGTAGTAAGGCGCGAACACGAAGCGGCCTAATGAGCCTGACAATATGAAGATATCTTGATTCCTAATATTGTGACTTGTCCCCAAGAACGAGGGGGACGGGGATAGCTAGCTAGATATACGCGGCACGCACGTGCCGCGTCAGACTAACTATATCCGGTGCCAAAACGTGTAGGGTTTGATATTCACGTTCCGACAGCTAGTTTACATGAGGCAACGTATTCCTAAAAAATACTTGTGTTCGTGTCAGTTGATATTTGACGGACCTGAGGCCCCCGAGTAAGCCCCTAAGCAGGCTCTTAGAACTTCCACTTACCCCGGAGTATTACCGTCCCTCACCGCCTGATACCTAACCCCATCTGATACCTGATTTCAACGGCTTACTATACAAAATATTTTGAAGCTTTACAACACCACATAATAATTTAATGTAATAAATTTCTGATGTAGCACTAAATGAGATATAAGGGATCGAACGAGCAAAAAGCTAATCGCGAAAACGGGCAGGGGGTCGTATCGTGCGGCCCCTACGATTCGTAGTAACAACCACCCCATTATCCTCCGAATGAGCCTCAGGATGCGCTTTTGGCTGCGCTTGCATGGAAACTTGCTTTTGTTGGCCGTTTTGAGGCCTTGGGAGTTGATATAACGTCTTTTTGAACCTGTAAATAAGCGAGCTTAGCTAGTTCTTGCTCGTTCTTAAGGCGTTGCTTTTCCGCAGCCTCTTGCTCGCGCTGTTCACGTTTTTCTTGCTGGATTCGAGCTCTTTCAATCTTTTCAGCCTCTTTAGCTTGCTTTGCTAGTTGTTGTCGAAGCTTTTTATCATCTTTACGAGCCTGCTCCTGCACGGCTTCGTCATTTTTTTGAGAAATAATACCACGAGCTTGCTGAACTTTTGTAGGGATCATAAAAAGTGCTCCACCATCTTGTTCTGAAGGTAAACCTAGTAATAAAAGCTTTTTCTTGTTTTTATGCTTCTTCGCATTTATGAGAGCCCTTTGCAGGCTTTTATTCTCATTTTTAAGTAAGATATTCTCAGTAGAAAGATGAAGCACTGTATCCTTAAGCTGTACAGCTTTTTGCTCATAAACATTTGTAATAACTGTTTCAACAAGCTTCTCAAGTCGCTTCCAATCCTCAGCAGGAATAATTGAAGCCGTAGATTCACTTGACAATGGCCGACTCGCGATTTTCTTGCTAAATTTTTGTATAACAATCTCCGGATTGAAAGAATATAGACCGGTGTGCTTGAACGCTGAGTTGATATTCTTGCTTGTAAAAACCTCATTCCAACTAGCCCGAAAAAGCCGAAAAAAGTCACGTTTGGTGAGCCGAGTAAATACTTGACTATCGTTTATAAAATCGTCCAATTGCTTTGTATAAGCGTTAGAAAGAGGCGAGAAAATAGCGACATCAAGAGGCTGTAAAGTATGCGATGCATGTGTCGGAAATATTGCCAATAATATCCTATTCGAATCACAATGTTCAATAAACTTCATTGTAACGTGGGATCCATGCCTATCGAGGATAAGAAGGCGCCATCCCCGGCTTGCTTGGGATGTTGTCTCTTTATCAAAAACATTCACCAACCAGCGATATCCGAGCTCATTATTGGTCCATCCTGACTCCGAGGCTGTAAAAAAGCATCTGCCTTTTTCATATCCGAATCGAGGCTTGAAGAATAGCGAGAGATCATTTTATCCGAATGAGCCTTTATCCAGCGTGAAGCCCAGTTTTTCCCAGGCTCTTTACCAGATATTTGTCTTGCAAAGTTGACGAGCATTGAATCCTTAGATGGTAGGCCTCACTCGATGAGTTGATTTATCCATTTTATAAGCGCTCTTGATTGCGCGTTGTTCAGTAATCGTTGCTTGTTGTATTGGTCTTCTTTTGAGCCTGTGACACCGCGAAAACGTTTAGAAAGATTTGATTAATCAACGCCATATGTTCTTGCAACCAAACTAACGTTAGGCTTTTCTCCTGGCTCCAAGGAGCGTAATGCTACAAGTGCGAGCTCATATGAAGCTATATTGGTTGATTTATCGCGGTTTGAAAGATTCGCGATTTTTCGCGTTTTGAAGAAAAATCAGGTATCAGGTGGGGTTAGGTATCAGGCGGTGAGGGACGGTACCTCGCTCCATGTGATCGCGCCAGCTAGCTATTTACCACTTTCCTAGATCATATAATGAGATATTGATGGGATTTTTCTAGAAACAAATGTGAGTATTGTCACGACCTCGCTCACGGGAGTATTCGCTCACTAAGCCGTTTCGCCAAAAAGACCAGAATATTGAGGATGGTGGATCCTCTCTACTACTCTCTCATATAGTAAGGTTGCCAGAGCCGTCACAAGTATCTGTCAGATAATCCGGCTTTCAAACGAGGCAGAAAGATCGACTGTTCAATCTTACAGGTCTAAAAGGCACCTTTAGGCATATATCTGGGCATCTAGATTTGAGCCCAATATTTACCCCTCCTGATAGCTCACAAATCACCCCGCCAAAGGTGTCTATAAAGGACCCGGCTTTAAAGACTTGAAAGACAGACACAGAACTCAATACATACAATCTTGCTAGTCACTTCTTTTCTTTGATCCTAGTAAAACACTCTTCGGGGTTGACCTGGAATAAACCGACCAATCCGACAACTCTATCTTTTTTTTTTTTTTTTTTTTTTTTTTTTAGCTCAGTGGTATTGCGACACTAGCCACATGTGACGAATAGGGCTAGGAGCCGTGCAACCCTATCCGCGCCGTATTGGGAAGTGATATCAAAATCAGACGTCGGAGCTGGATAGGGAAAGGCGCCTTGCACAGAGATTTACATGAGAAGCGAGAACCAGAGCTTTTACTTCATTTCTTCCTTTTTCCCTTTATGCTTAATATTACCTGTCGACAGGCACCTCTTGTACGAGATAGTTAGCTAGAATAGCGTACTCAAACCAAGCAGATTGGCATCGTCACACACATATACACCATGCGCGCTTATAGGAGGCTCTATTGGTGACCTTATTCAGTCAATGTATGTATTGTTTGGGTGCAACCGGTCACTATGTACATGCAGAGGCGAGGAGCTGACTCTCATGAGACAGCTTTAAGGAAGAATCCCGCAGTATGCTGTGTGTGTGTGTGTTTATATTGAACAACTGTAGTTTTTGATTTGCACACGCTTCCTACCTTTTCCTACTGGGACAAAGCTCGGGCTTCAAGATCTATGTTAGATTTATATATGGATAAGAGTCTCTTTGGCACGTTTCTATAACTGTTGTGGTTCACATGAAGGTCTAGCTCTCAGTGGGCTTTGAGTATTTGTCAGCTACAATGGTCTACCTACACTCCATGACCCATTATTTCACCGCCACCCACAGTACTCAGTATTTCTCTTTTCCTTCTTTTAATCTCTCCCCTATTTCTTTCCCTTGTTGTAAAACTTACTGCTCAATTGCTATGGTGGTACTGTAGAATAATGGACCATGGAGTGTAGGTGGACCGTTGGAGCTGGCAAATACCTGTTGGATTAGTGGGTTAGTAGGCACTAATCCGTGAGGGCAGGATCGGCAATGATTCCTAGCTTTGTTACGTGGGAAGTGTAGATATTGGAAATCGAGTTAACAAGCAAAATTGTATGTGTTTTTCTTCTGTCTTTTTCGTACATCAGGTTCAAAAGTTGGGTTTTATAGACATTCTAGTGAGGTGGCTTGCTGGCCTCCGGCATGTAGGTTTGACATCATTTGTGACCTGTCATGAGGGGTAAATTTGGGGGCTGTAAAGTAGGGCTTCTGATTGACTGCCTCATTTGACTGCTTCTGGATATCCGGATTATCTTCACGTAATCTAACAATACCCAAAACCCACTCAGAAGTGGATCTCCCTATAAGACCACGGCAGCTATGGAAATGTGCCAAAGGGTCTCTTATTTGCATATAAACCTGATAGAGGACTTGAAGCCCGAGGTTTACCCCTTGGCGGCCTATGTCCCAGTAAGGATCGGTGGGAAGCGTGTGAGTCACGAACCACAGCTACAGTATTAAATAGATACTGTACACACACACACACTCTCTCTCACTCTCTCTCACACTCATGTTGACAGCTTCTTCTTTCTCCATCCATGCTTAGTTTTCTTGTTCATAGCTTCCAATATAATATTGCTTGGGCCTTCAACGCACTTCTAGGAAGCATGCATACCTAAAGCTTATATGATAGGCTAAATCGGAAGTCAATAGCTCTAGTTCACTCAATAATATGTAGATATAGGTTTATCGAATTGATATAGTGTTTGCATATCATGAAAAGGTCATAATTGTGGCGATGAGCAAGCAACATGAATGGTATTGGCACGATGATATTAAGTATGAGGAGGGAGACAAATGGTAGGCTATTTGCTCGCTCAATTAGACAACGTTCATAACCCTACACTCACCTATCAGCTACGCTGTCACAACAATATAGATCTTAATCTATAATCAAAATCATGTTAGAGTTAGTTTCTTGTCCTAAGAATGGTCCTGAAACGTACCCTTTTTTCAATGTCTTCCCTGCACACGGGGCAGGTGTTGTTTATTTCACTCCACTTATCAGCACACTGTTCACACATCATAGCGTGACAACAAGGCAGGTATAGTTGAGAGATTTCTTGACCACAATCTGTCACACAGCTGGCCCTGTTGCGCAAGATTTCTGTATTCTGTGGAGGAGCAATGGCTCTGGCACGCTGACTTTGGCCAGTGGTGTGACACTCTGATGGCTCTCTATACATATGGCGATGCCGTAATGAGGTGATATCATTATTGTACGTCCTAGCCAAATTTATTTCATCGGAGTGTTCAATGCTATACCGACGTCTAGCGTATCGACGTGGTTCCCTATTGCTATCGTACGATCTTGCCAATCGCCTTTGAGAGAATGTTGCATTTCCTGGTGAAACCCATGCATCTTGATCCAGTCTTGATGATTGTTGGTATACTTCATCGTAGAGCCACAGCTCCCCTGGCCGCCTAGTTGGGCTCATATTCCTACCAAGAGCCCTGCCTGAGATCCTATCTGGGAGAAATGGCTGAACGATGGAGGAAATAATCCTCGACATAGCCTCTGAGTTTGAGGAGTCTGAATGTTTTGGTTTAGGATTCGTGTCGTGGTGCCCAAGCTGATATTCTCATGATTTTCCATCAAAAATAATTGTAAATGTAAGGCGAGCGGAGAGAAACAGACCGTCTATTATATATATTATGTTATATTTTTTGAACGAGTTGGAAGCTGATACAGTAACAAAACAGCGACCTATGCAGTTGCCTTTACGCTTGGTGCAGCAAGAAGCAAATTACGAAGCGAAGAATACCATCAATTTCCGGGTCTTTGGTGACTATCTTTAAAAGGAAGTGCTTTTGCAACCTGGTACGTAATTGGACTTCCTGTCATACAGTCTTACTATTGAAGTCACAGTATTAGTCAACGTAGATTCAGACAACGACGGGAATAACATGTCCGTCTACTCCATAACACTAGGAAGAAGGACTGACTAAATTCTTACAGCGGGATTAGAAGCGATAGCAGCAGCGCTGGAACATATCACAAGTGGGACATGCAGCAGATGGATATCTATCCTGAGCAGTAATAAATCCGCACTGGCAGCAAGTAGTCAACCCCGACATCAGTCCAATCAAAGTATTCCAGCGAATATACAAACAAGTCCAGGCACTACAACAACAAGGAAATGCAGTCAATACAATCTGGATCCCAGCGCACGCAGACATGAGCGCCACACTACGCGCAAAGACTGAAGCACCCAAATCAACGAGAATAGGGCGCCTTCTAGAAAAGCGACCGTTTCAAGCTAAATCAACTGCCATTAGACTCGCCACTGTTGAACAGCACCAGGATTGGACTGTACCAGAGAATGTCGAAAAGTACTTAAGAGCCATTGACACAGCACTTCCGGGAAACACACAAGAAGCTTATATGATGGACTAAACCCGAAAAAGGCATGGAATCTAGCTCAACTTCAGACAGGAATATTGAGACCGAATACTTATTTGAATAAAACAGACACAGCAGAATCAGACCTCGTTCCTGCGGCCAAGAATGCGAAACAGTGGAACAGTTTTATTACGCTGTACACAGTGGACAAGGATGAGAGAAAGCATGAATCAGTTCATGGAATGAAGGCCAGGAAATCTATCCTTCTTCCTTGATGGAAGATGACGTTCAGATTTGGACCGATGGCAACTTGATATGAAGGTAGTTCACGCAACAATCAACTATGCGATTGCAACAGGACGACTAGAACTGGAACTGGAACCTGAACCTGAAGCAATACAATGAAGAAATTTTGAATGTCTCTGCATAGTCATCAAGCATTTATTTGATGCTTTTGGTACTGTTGGTCTCACCAGCTAGGTACCGTGTACACACTGAAGTGAACAGTGTCTATGCTTCTAAGGCGAAAAGTTAACTTTGATTCATGTAGATAAATGTAGATAGTTAGTCTACTTGGAAAACATCTCTGGATCCCACACGCCGGCGCTCGGCGGTCACAAGACCGAAGCCCGCAGCCCAGCGCAAGAATGCACACACCAAGCAAGTGATGTTATCCATCAGTCACTAGCAGTAAGTCACCATTTGTTTGTTCTGACAGGAGGATATGTCGCGGCAGGTACCGCGGACACGAACATGAACCTTGAAACACTAACAAACCATTTACCAGAAACCCCTATCAAGGGTTTCTCCTTTTGTGCAGTATGGTAACTTGAAAAAGAGTATCCTGGATTTTAGCCCCTGTCGCGACTCTAGGAAAAGGCTCAGTCCTCCAAACTATTGGCTTTGAGCGTGTCCAGGTCCCAAATGTCTCAAATAAATTAGCAACAGCCGTGTGGCCATGTGCATTAGCCCACCATAATGCTGTATAACCGTCAATATCTATACATTCCGAGTCGACCCCTGGAGTTTCAAGTAGTAACTTGACGATTGACGCATGTCCTTGTGTTGCTGCCCACCACAGTGATGTTTGGTCTAAGCGATCTTTAGAGTTCAATTCCGTTTCATCCTTTTCTATCAAGAGTCTAGTGATTGTCTCATATCCATTTCCAGCAGCTAGAGATAAAGGTGTTCGTCCTTGGTAATCCGCGCAGTTGATGTCGACACTATCAGTATCAAGTAACAGTCTGACGGTCGCTCCACATCGATGAGCTGCAGCCAAGCGCAATGGTGTTTGGCCCCAGTGATCCTTAGAATTCAAATCAAAATTTTTCGTCTCGATAAGAATATTTGCGACCGCTTCATGCCTTTGTATTATGGCTAAGTGCAACAATGTACGGCCGAAACGATCTCTTCCATGTAAATCGACCACTCCAGTTTTAAGTAATAATCTGACTACTTCCTCATGCCCGTAAATCACCGCCTGCTGTAACGGCGTTTCGTTGTAGGAGTCTCTGCAGTCCGGATCTACTTTTCCAGTCTCAAGCAATAGCTTTGCTACCTGTACGCTCCCAACTGATGCGGCACGCCACAGTGGTGTACGGTCATTATCATCCCTGCTATCGATCTCGACTTCGGCGATATTCAGCAGCACAGCGACTACTGCATAATGTCCTCCTGCCGCTGCCAAGGACAATGGAGTCTGATTTAAATGATCCCTACAATTCAAATTGAACTCTGGAACCCTTCGGGTCGCGGTCGAAAGCTTGCAGGCTAATTTTTTCCAAAGTTGCTTTGTATCATGATAGTATTCCATGTTCAATGAAGTGAACGAATCTCCGATAGGTGGTGGTTTCTCTATTATCGAATTGCCATTAGCGGCTTCGTCATCGGCACAGATGACACCAGCACTTTTCAATAATAATTCTACGATGGCTATATGCCCCCCAGCCGCAGCCCAGGACAATGGGGTCATATTGTACTTATCGATTGATGTGATACTTGCTCTTTCCCTCATACTCATCACAGCAGTTGATTTTTCTCCATATTTAGCCGCCCATCGCAGCGCTGAGCTATTACCGTGGAGGTAATTATGCTTGTAAAGATACCAGTTCAAGTCGTAATACAGTTTTTTATTAACTTGTGTTAAATTATTGATGTCTCTTTCTTTCTGAAGGAATGTTGCTATTAGAATTGACAACTCAGTCGGTAAATCAGTCATGCGCATTCTAATCAGTCATAGATATGATTGAGCTCTTGCGAGGTGAATGTGACCCTTCACGGGTGACCCCAGAACGGTTTTATCCTTCAAGTTAGGCATACAAGTTATGTAATAATATTACGGCAGTCTATTTAAGCCATATCGCCGAATTTCTTCTTTTTGTTTAGAAACCCGTTAGAAGCTCCCAATTCCCCTTGCCTATATAAGATTGTATGCGCGTGAAAAACTTGTTGTTTTCTTTCTCTTTCCTTTCCTCATGTTACTTTTTCTATTCGAATATGCCCTTATAGTGAGCATTTGACGGGACTAGCCCATAATAAACTAGGGGATATGGTTATGGCCAGTCATGTAGTAGTAGTAGTAGTAACTAGTAGTAGTATTGATATAACGTAATCGGTAAGCGGTCCGGCCACGTAAGCGATCCGGCCACCTCTCCGGAAAGTAACTCTCTATATTGATTTCAAATCACAATTTCTCAACCATATACAAATTATATACAAAAAATTAATTACTAGTACGATTAGGACATTGGTTAATCCTGTGCCCTTCAACGTTACAGCCACTGCAGCGAAATTGGCGGCGTACGACTGCTTGAGAAGTTGGGAGCTCCGGCTCAGCTGGAGTAGTAGTAACAGCTTGAGATGCTTCAACCTGACCTTGTACGAGCACTTGAGCTTCTTCTCTAGTAATTCCTTGCTCAATAGATATCTGTTTATTAGATCTTTTGCGCTTTTGCTTCTCTTTTTCATGCGCAGCTCGTAAATCACGGTTTTCTTTCCGTACGAGTAAAGCATCATTCGCTAATATTTCGTAGGCTTTTGACAACCGTATAACCGCTTGATTGATTTCTTGATTCTGATTCAGGCTTCCTGTACGCTCATTTATACGTTTATTGATTGTAGTTGACTGGCGTACAAATTGGCGTATATTTTGAGGTGTTTGTAAGCAGGATGATTGTGTATTGCTTGATCGACTTGGAGGGGGGGTTGGAGTCTTCAATTGAATATTAAGATGTTGCCAGAGGGTTATCAAAGAATTAAGTAAAAACCACAGGAAATTGATAGAACAGGAGCCAAGCATTACAGTGAGATTGAGCGCCGGTTTATCGACTTAAAACTCGTGATGCAAGAGCTTTATATTACACCCAAAAATCTATGGAACTTTGACGAGACCGGATTCATTGTCGGGCAAGGAAAAAACGAATCAGTGGTCACAAAGTACCCAAAAACAGCAAAAAGAGTTTCCTTCTTGTCTTCTCAAGAGTCTCATACCGTTGTTGAGAGTATAAATGCCGAAGGGAGAGTCATTCCACCGTTAATTATCCCAAAAGGCGAAAAACATATGGAGGAATGGTATCAACATATATAGGATCCTGTAAAGAATCTGACCGTAAGGTCACGTGACACTAGTCGTTCGGAGACTAGCTATAGCTTCAACCCCTGAGTTGTATGTCAGGCGACTTCCTTTTTAATTATTCATATCAAACAGTCAGAGGCTCAAATTCCTCACCCCTCTCTACTACTTAGCTCCCAAGAGCGCGACCGTTGACGCGTCTCAACGCGCCTGGCAACACCATGGCGCGTAAAGGCTCTGGTACAGATGGCCCTCTACAGACAGCCCTCCTGGAATCCACGTTTGCAGCCACGACAAGAGCTTCTGAAGGACAGAAGATCTTCAGCCCTATAGCTGCATTCCTCGACAAACACCGCAGCCAAACCGCCGGCCTTGCCCCTCACCTACTGAGAGCCCTCACCGCTCTAAGCGATGACCTCGCCTCAATAGCCCAACAACATTTCAACGCCTACATTAGCGGTATCTCGACGACCTCCATTCCCCCTGCCCTATCCTCTTCCCCTTCCCTCACCCCAAATTCCTTCCTCCCCTCACCCCCTCTCTCACGCCCCCCCTCAGGTCTTGAACAGTCAACTTATGCGACTATTACCCAACATGCCCCAGCCAAATCAACTCCCACCACTCACTCTAAAGCCCCTGCTAAAAAGCCTATGCCTCTGATTAAACAACCCCTTCCTGACAATCGGCTCTTCGTACGTCTCCCAGCTGATCATGCAGCTAGAAAAATGGAAGCCTACGCTATCTACTCTAGCCTAAGGTCTCAACTAAACTCAAACAGTGCAGCACTAAAAGAAGTTCAAACCACAAAGACTGGCTTTGCACTATGTCCCTCATCTCCGGAAGCCCTCCTAGCCCTTGAGGCCCAGAAAGAGATTATCTCTGCATTCTTTGTTAACTGCCAGATAGAACGCAGCTCCCGATGGGTCTCATATCGAGTTACCAATGTGCCAAGGAAAATTGGCCAAATCTTGAATGGCCAATACTCTCTAATCCCCGTCAATCCTACACTTCTGTCCTCAGAAATAAGCGAAACTACAGGGCTTAAGCCCACATCTATTAGCGAGACCACTTCAAGCGCTGTCAACCCTGATACTCCCTCCTCAAGCTGGTTTGTGAACTTCCCAGAAGGCATGAAAACACCACTACCCATCCAACTACGTCTTTTTGGTACTATCACCAATGCTCGTCACCTCCCTAAGAAAACAACAGTTATTCAATGCACACGATGCTGGAAATGGCATAATGCAAGATCCTGTGCCCGCCCCTCTCGATGCCGGCTATGTGGCTCCTCAGAGCATACTGAAAAGGGCCATGCCAATCGCTGCACAGCCCTGGAACCTCATCAATGCCCTCCTAGATGCATACACTGTCATGGACCACATCCAGCTGATTTCTCAGAATGCCTCCTGCGCCCTAGAGGCAATACTAAACATACTAAAGCTCAACAAGCAGAGATCCGCAAATCCTGCGCCACAAACCTCGCAAAAGCTCGAACTGAAGGAGGATGTAGCCCTCAGCTCTTCATAGGCACACAAGAAACACCTATGGCAATAGACGAGGTGCCAACTCAGCCTCCAACCCATGAGATTATCTCTCCTTTCCGCTCAGTAACCCCCCCACCTCGCGCCCCAACTGAAGATCCTCCAATTACGGCTCGTGCAGTCCGCTTTACAACCCCTCAACCACAAAACCGGTTCGCCTCTCTTCTCGAACAGGAGCTATGATCTATCACTATCCAACTCAAAAGGCGCCTCTCAAAATCCTACAGTTAAATGTAGGACACGCGCCAGATGCACACGAAATAGCTCTCACATTGGCATACACTAGCGACATCGATATTATCCTAATCCAAGAACCATATACATTCAAAGATCTTAGCCGACAGATTACCAAAAAACACCCATCATATGAATGCTTCTCCCCAACTGACAGTTGGGCAATAAGTGGTCGGCCACGAGTCCTCACCTATGTCCGAAAGAAGAAAGGCATTCGGACTTCCCAGCTTCGCCCCTTCACATCTGACACTGAAGAGGCCTCGGATCTCCTTTTCCTTCAGATTTTCTCGCCCACAGGAAAGTCCGCTCTAATAGTTAATATCTATAATGCTCCAGCAGGCTGCATCAGAGCAGGTGAAGCCGCAAAAGCTCTTACAACCCTGCCAGAGGCGTATTTCCCTCAAACAACAATACTTGCAGGCGATCTCAACCTACTACACAACAGATGGCAACCCTCGCTACAACGCAGCCCTACAACTTTTGCAGAGCCGTTTATCAACTGGCTGGATCTCCAGGGTCTAGTACTCATTTCCGACATAGACTGTCCCACACATGAAAGGGGTAACGTGTTAGACCTCAGTTTCGCCTCAAGCCCTCTGGCACTCGCAGGAGCCAAAGCTAGCATAGCGAGCCACTTAGATGCAACCTCTGATCATCAACCACTAATTACCACTGTTCCATGGGATCAGAGATACAAGGAAACAGCTCAGAAACTAAGATTTGACACACTAGATCACACTTCCTTCCTTTCGCTCCTCGCCTCTAATCTCGCTGGCACCGAGAGCTCAGCCGCGACAGAAGAAGATCTTGATGCTTTCGCCGAAAAACTGACATCTGCAATTCAAGGAGCATATAGAGGCTCTGCTAAGAGGACCCTAACACAAGGCATAGGACAACCTTGGTGGAATAAAGACTGCAAGAATGCATTACACAATTACCGCTCAGGCCTCTGCTCAAAGACAGACTTCCGCAGGATAACCAGATGGTCTCAACGACAATTTTGGCGAGATAAGCTCTCTACAGTAACACAAATGAAGGACGTCTTCGATATGAGTAAATGGCATAAGTCCACAGGCACCTTCCGAAGCCCTCCACTGAAGGATCCACTGAGACCTAGCAGCCTCCCAGCAGTTACTATACACGAGAAACGAGACGTACTAGTCCGAAATCTTCTTCAAAACTCGGCTGAGGCAGGAGACATACCTCTGGACTCCCCAGCAGTCCCTATCACTAGCCTCTACTTTCCAGACATATCAATGTCACAGGTGGAGGAGTCAATACTTCAGGCAGGAAACACAGCTCCTGGCGCAGACGAAATCCCAACCTGCATACTCAAAGTAGCATGGCCTTTAATTAAGGATAAGGTACAAATGCTATACCAAGGGTGTCTAAAGATTGGATATCACCCGAAATGCTTCCGACATGCAATTTTAGCAATTATCCAGAAACCAAAAAAGACTGATTGGTCCTCGCCCAGATCATACAGACCGATCGCTCTCCTATCAGTTCTTGGCAAAGGACTCGAGCGCCTAGTGGCACGGAATATGGCATGGATCTCTATACACTACAAAGTATTAGCGAGACAACAGTTTGGAGCTCTCCCACTAAGATCTGCAAACGATCTGACCACATGCCTAACACATGACGTTGAACAAGCGCTAAATCAAGGCATGACTGCCTCACTCCTTACCCTAGATGTCAAAGGCGCATTTGACGCCGTGCTTCCTGGCAGACTGATCCGCAGATTGCGTGAGCAGGGCTGGCCTACTAATCTCGTCCTCTGGATCGCCTCCTTTGCTACTGGGCGATCAGTTCAGATCCGACTTGATGGAGAGATTGGCCCCTCAACAGACATTGCCTGCGGCCTTCCACAAGGATCCCCAGTATCTGGCATTTTATTCATGCTCTACATAGCGCCTCTATTCCGTCTAGGAAACCCAAGGAACAAATTTGGCTACGCCGACGACGCAGCTAACCTGGCGATCTCGACATCCCTTGCTACTAACTGCGAAGCCTTATCAGACTCACTTCAAGAAGCTCTTAACTGGGGTGCTGCAGAGGGCATTACTTTCGCACCAGATAAATACGAGCTTCTTCACTTCTCTCGACGAAAAGCAGACCAGGACCCAACCTGCACACCTTCAGTAAAAGCTGGATCTATTACAGTCTCAGAAAATACTAAACGCCTATATCTACGTTGGCTAGGAATCCTCTATGACAAAAAGCTCACATTTAAATGGCATATCGGTGAAACAGCATCTAAAGCCCTCACTGTGGCTAATGCCCTTCGCTCTCTAGGGAATACTGCCCGAGGAGTTAAACCTTATTTACTACAGCAAGCTGTATTAGCCTGTGTACTCCACAAAGCATACTATGGTGCTGAAACCTGGTGGCCAGGACGTACTCGCCCTGGGCCTACCCAGACTTCAAACCGAGTTGGCGAACATCTTAAGAAACTAACTAAAGTAGTACTAACAGGCGCAAGAGCAGTCCTTCCAGTTTTCCGCACAACCCCAATATCTGTCCTTTACCGGGAGTCTGGATTCTCTCCACCAGAAATTGAACTAGATCGAATAGCCCTCCTCGCAACTGTCCGCCTACGGCGTCTGGATCCTTACCACCCACTTCGAAGACGCGCGGAACAGGTTGCCAGTAATAGCCGACAAACCAGCCGATTTGCCCGCCGCATACTGGCCCTCCCCAACTCTGAGCAGATAAACCCTCTCCAACACGCTCCCTGGCACCCTCGCGAGACGCGCGAGAATGCTCAAGCTCGAATAGGAGCTCCCATGGGACGCAGTAAGGAACAGGCAGCGGCTGATTTTATAGCTTTTCAACGCACCATCCCTAGCTCTGATATTATAATCTTTTCAGATGGATCTAGACTAGTAGACGGACGTGCAGGAGGAGGTTACATTGGATTTCAAGCACACAATCAGTTCCTCCGCTCCTCACTCTCATATGGACATGGGAAAGAGGTCTTCGACGCAGAAGCAGAAGCTGCCCTAGCTGGTGCCCAAGCAGCAATAGCATACCCAACAGCTGTACACAGCTTTTCATCAGATCCAAGACTTCCGCGCTGCGACATTGCCCTTTCCAGATTGGCCATGCTGGTGAGCGTGTCAGGATGTTCTACACCCAGAACCCTCTTCCTCCTCTCCATCACCTGGACTTCTAGCTCTTCTGCTTCTTTCCATCGACCTTGATTCCGGTACGTCGATGCCAGATTGTCCATGCTGGTCAGCGTGTCAGGATGTTCTACACCCAGAACCCTCTTCCTCGTCTCCATCACCTGGACTTCTAGCTCTTCTGCTTCTTTCCATCGACCTTGATTCCGGTACATCGATGCCAGATTATCCATGCTGGTCAGTGTGTCAGGATATTCTACACCCAGAACCCTCTTCCTCCTCTCCATCACCTGGACTTCTAGCTCTTCTGCTTCTTTCCATCAACCTTTAAGCGAGGATAGTAATCCCACCATTTTCCATACTTTTCAGCGTTTTTCTATGTTCGGAACCTAGATACTTCTTCCGAATTTGCATCGCTCTGACCGACAGCTTTTCCCGGTCGGCTCCACTTCCCTTTCGCAAGTCGTACCATGCGGCCCTGTACAACACTGCCGCCCACTCCAACACTGATTCGCGTTCTTGGGGCGGATGGCTGACCGCTGACTTTGCATGCGGGAAAAGTACTTGACACCGTGCCCAGTTCTCATACTCTCCCGCGGGAAATTCTGCTGATGGAGACGAGGAAGATGGTGCTGGGTGTAGAACATCCTGACACGCTGATCAGCATGGACAATCTGGCATTGACGTACCGGAATCAAGGTCGATGGAAAGAAGCAGAAGAGCTGGATATGCAGGTGATGGAGACGAGGAAGAGGGTCCTGGGTGTAGAATATCCTGACACACTGACCAGCATGGATAATCTGGCATCGACGTACCGGAATCAAGGTCGATGGAAAGAAGCAGAAGAGCTAGAAGTCCAGGTAACAGAGATGAGTAAGAGGGTTCTGGGTATAGAATATCCTTCCACGCTGACCAGCATGGCCAATTTGGCGTCGACGTACCGGAATCAAGGTCGATGGAAAGAAGCAGAAGAGCTAGAAGTCCAGGTGATGGAGACGAGGAAGAGGGTTCTGGGTGTAGAACATCCTGACACACTGACCAGCATGGATAATCTGGCATCGATGTACCGGAATCAAGGTCGATGGAAAGAAGCAGAAGAGCTAGAAGTCCAGGTGATGGAGAGGAGGAAGAGGGTTCTGGGTGTAGAACATCCTGACACGCTGACCGGCATGGACAATCTGGCATCGACGCTCCGGAATCAAGGTCGATGGAAAGAAGCAGAAGAGCTGGATGTGCAGGTTTCAAATTCTTGATATACTGCCGCTTCCACGTCTCTAGTTCACCATTCATTTCTAACCATCTTCGTGTTGCAAGCTGCACCAGACTGTGCATGCTGAAGGTCGATCGGTCGATATTGGTAGAGATCAAGGAGTACCTTTGCAGTGTGAGGATGTCATCTTGGAACTGATCTGTGTGCTGGATTGTGATTCACTGTCATCTGCGTCATCGTCATCATTTAGCTCACCGTTCGTCTGTCTACCTCGATCTCGAAGACGGGTCTCGGGAATCCCTTGGCGGTCAAAGAAACTCATGAGCGACAGTAAATTAGCTGCTGATCGTCGGCTTTGGCGGATGCTGTAAAACGAGATCTGCCATGTAATGAGGACTGAGTTCTTGGCCTCCCAGTCTCGACGAAACTGGCCCTCTTCGTGGTCCAACAAACAAAACTTCTTGCGATCGCTTTTCTGGAATTCATCAAGGTACTGTCGTACCGAGCGACCCCGATTTGGATCGGAAATATATGCCGCGGCTTGGACAATCGCCAGTGGGATAAACCCTAAGAACCCTAAGCAAAGGAAACAATGAGATGTATGAAGAAGTGAGTGTCAAAGAGTGCTAATGATAGAGACATGATATCCCCCGGAGAACTAAGAAACGAACAGCGCGCTTTAATCGGTGAGGATTTCACCAACTACAGGAGGTTAAATTCGCCGACCAATGAGAAGTACGAGAATCCAACGCCAGAGTCAGAGCGAGAGCAAGCCCTGACAATAGCCAGCTACAGCTTTCAATATAAATATCTCAATATATATCAGGTGGGATTTCATAGATGGCCAGTTGCCCGGCTGATCCCACCTAGTTATATTATTGATTATGCTACACTTTTCATCCAGGCACACAACTTATAGCACTAGTTACGAGGTCGAGAGCAACCTGCAAGTTCTGAGCTTATAATTATGGCCTTGCAGCTCTTGACGGAGCACTGGTGTAATCACGTATGGTTTCATCTTTCTCCGTGTTATTGAATATACGGTGGATAGCTCGAATATCGGCGCAATTTGGCGAATCATATCCGCCAGCATGACCAGCTGTGGAAAAGAACAGCGAATATCGTATCAGCCGCCGGTATCCGATCAAATAATATCCGCCGAGGCGGATATTGACAATAGCTTTCAGCTTTACTGTAAATGCAGCGATGAATATGTCCGAGGCAAGCTAGTCCAAGGAAAAGCTTTGTTACTAACTGCCAACTAGTGCAAGATATTTCCACCAGATACCACCTTCAGCTTTGGGGCGGCAAACAAGCAATCACCGCGGCAGACACTTGGAGGAAAGGAAACTTGGTACTTGGGCTGAGAGGCCGACTGGACAGCACGTCCGTGATCGCTACTTACCATTCCAACACGTACAGATCGGAGAGTATCGACATGACATACAGTTTTATATCACAAAGAATAGCTCACAAAGGACAGCTCACAGAAGACACCTCTCATAGCCTGTGCGGCGAGAGCCGTTATAGGAACCATTGCAACTGGAAGAATCCTGAGGGTCGGAATGCGACGTGATCAACGACTCCGTTTGCGCGGCTAATATCTATCTGGTTGAGTCTCTCAGTTGCGGTGTCTCTTACGAGCTTTGTCTCGACTCAAGGCTATAAAGAGACTGGGCCTCCTCCTTATTTCTACGTTCAGTCTTTCAACCACTGTGGACCTATTAAAACATTACACGAACTGAAGCCTTTAAGATGCCTTCATCGGAGGATGAGATTGTACTTGACTGGGAGGGTGTTGTGGATGGACTTAATTTGCAGACTTCCAGAACATCTGAGAGACTGAACCAGATAGATCGTGTTCGTGCGAACGGTATTGGTGACCACATCGCGTTGCCCCAGCTAGCGGTCTGTGGAGACTAATCAGCCGGAAAAAGCTCTGTGTTGGAGGGCATCAGTGGTATCCCGTTTCCTCAGCAAGACGGTCTCTGCACCCGGTTCGCAACAGAGATCATTCTGCGCCATGACCCTAGAGAACAGCGTGCTACAGCCACGATAATACCTCATGTTTCTCGTACGGAGGAAGCAAAAACCCTCTTAAGCGGGCTCCGTCGACATATACACGACTTCACAGAGCTTCCAGCTATTATTGAGGCCGCTACAAACCTAATGGGCGTTCGAGGAAATGGCGCAGATATAGATGCACCTGCCTTCTCTGCTGATGTTCTCCGCTTGGAACTGGTCGGCCACACTGGACTGCATTTAACGATAGTTGATCTACCGGGTTTGATTTCGGTGTCTGAAGTGGAAGAAGACGTTGAGCTTGTTGAGCAGCTTGTGGATTCATATCTTGAAAATCCACGAACAATTATCCTAGCTGTGGTACCGGCGAGCAGTGATGTTGATACACAGAAAAATCATCCAGCGCGCTCGTCACTACGACCCGGCCGGCTATCGAACCGTGGGAATTATTACTAAGCCCGACCTTATTAATGCTGGTACAGAAACCCGTATTGCACGCTTGGCAAGCAATTTAGATCGTACAAAACTGAACCTGGGCTTTTTCCTTGTAAAAAACCCTTCGCCAGCTGAGCTGCAGAAGGGCATCACCATATCGGATCGCCGAAGGGCGGAGGTAGACTTCTTCTCAGCTGAGACTTGGAAATCACAGCACATGGATCCATCCCGTATAGGAACAGACAATCTGCGAATGTTCTTACAGGATCTTTTAGACAGTCATATAGAGCGGGAGTTGCCTAGAGTACGCGAAGATGTGCAACGGCTGCTTAATGCAACCAACGATGAATTGGTAGACCTGGGTATGGAACGTTCAACACCAAACCAGATTCGGGTGTACTTGACGAGGATCAGCAGCGATTTTCACAACGTGGTAAAAGCTGGCATTGAAGGGGCATATGCTGGTCGTGACGCGATATTCTTCCACGTGAATCGCAATGATATATCCATTCGGCTTCGCGCAGCTATTCACAGTGAGAATGAAGAGTTCGCTGCGTACATGAGACAGCAGAGCGTGAAGCGAAAAGTGGTCGCAGACGAGGACTTGGATACAGCCGAAGCCGAGGAGGATCAATTGCTTGTCACAGATGATCAAATGATGTCGTGGATTCGCAAGGTATGTGATATGTTGTGCACTTGATTTTGGTATACCGCTGACCTGTTCAGATATACAAGCAGACGAGGGGTCGAGAGCTGCCAGGTAACTATAACTTTGCCTTGCTCACAGAATTGTTCCATGTTCAATCAGAGCGATGGCAGAACATTAGTCGTCGCCATGTTGAGGATGTTGTGTCATTGGTGGCTCGTTTCATTCAGTCTGCGTTGGCATTTATAGTCAAGGACTCAAAAGTTCGCCAAAGCCTAATGAAGACGATCAAAGTCACGCTAGACACCAACGCGAGAGATGCCTATGAGGAACTGGATAAACTTCTCCAAGATGAGGCGTGCCATCCCATCACTTATAACCATTATTATACAGATAATATCCAGAAAGCACGACTTGATCGGTCCAAAAGAGCCCTTGAAGTGACTATGGGTGATGCAATCCGCGAAGACCGGCACGACAAACCCCGCGTCAGCAATTCGCAAGTTGAGATCGACAGATTATTGTCATCTCTTCAAGAGCGTGTAATAGTTGATATGACGGAGCTGGCATGCGTGGAGGCAAAATCTGACTTGGCCGCCTATTACAAGGTACGAATACAGTCTACTATGAGTCCTATTCACGTTCGCTCAGCTAAACTAGGCTAGGTCGCCATGAAATCATTTGTGGACAACGTTTGTCGCCAAGTAATCGAGAAGCATATACTTGCCAAGCTTCAAAATGTTTTCAACCCACTTACCGTTAGCACATACAACGACCAAGATCTGCTCCACTTGGCCACCGAATCGCCTGAGATATGCAACCGTAGGGCTGAGGCGCTACGGCTGCAAGAAGCCCTAGAGCAGAGCCTACATGATCTCGGCGTTTAATTGTGTTATGCTTGCCGGTCTGTTCCTGGTTTTTCTCCCTTCGGGGGTTTTTCCCATGGACTTGACGCAAATGCGGGACCAGATATTGTTTGTTCTATTTTAGTATTGTGTTAGTTTTTTCTTACCTGCGGTGATTCTGTATATTAACATATTGAGAGAGGCAATTCATAAAGCTACTTTAGTTAAATGATCGTGTAAATATGAGTCAATGTAATGTTATGTTGGATTGTTGGATTTTGTGGGTGCACTAAGGTGCATATACGTACGTACGAAGCACTTGAGTCAATCTCAATAGGTGATTCTTTCAGTTCTGTGTTGTCCCCTTCTAAGTACATCATGTTCCAAAGCCGCGTCTATATAGACCTTCTCCTGAGCTGATTTGTAAGCTATCCCATGGGGTAAACCTGAGACCATTCTCTTACACATAACATTTCGGATTGATCGCTTCATTTGATGGCTTCATTGGAAAGCCAGCTTATCTGACACATCTCGATTGCATGAAGCAACCAACAGATTTACTTTGGGCTAATCCTGAATAGTATCTTTACAAGGATGGGAAAGGGAGAGGTAACTAGCAAGAATGTATGTACTGAGTTGTCTGTTCCGTTCTCTATCATTTTCTTTTTTATACCACTATGGATATAATGGCTTTCTTATATTTGTGCTTCGGCATAAGAAATGAGTTCAATTCCCCAGTGTATTCTCCGTGATTTACAATATAATGTATTATATTAGGAATCCCGCCTCTCTGTCTGATTTCTGTCCTATACCACTATACCTTACCATACTAGATCATCTAGTATGCGCGGAGCTTTTCGGTCCAGGTGGTTCCAACATATCATATATGACCTCCAGGTTAATTCAAATGGTCCTTGTTTTCTTCGTGGTAGATCTTGTCAGATAATCCAGATATCCAGAAGTAGTCAAATGAGGCAATCAATCAGAAGCTCTGTCTCATGGCCCCCAGATTTACCCCTCAGGACAGGTCAGAATCATGTCGACCCTACGTGTCAGATTCCACAACAATCTTACCGCAAAATTGTCTATATAACCCAGCTTTGCATCCCGAGGCATTAGAGAAGGGACAGAGAACTCAATCAATGCAATCTTGCTAGTCACTTCTTCCTTTTTCATCATAGTGATCTACTGTTCAGGATTGGCCTGGTGTGAACCTACCAATCCGACAGATTTCGCGACATTCTAACATATGTTCCTTTCAGAACATGCGAAGCTTTACTCCGATTAAGTTAGGCCCAGCATGGAGCATGAAACAGACGTCGGTCATGGACAGTCGTAATATTATTGCGTCTATATAGCCAAATGTGCTAGGATACGTATTGTATACCCGACTTAGTTCAACACGCGAATGACGGACCTGCCACTTCGAAAAGACGCATCACAGCTATCGTGACAACCAGATACCCCATGACAACATCATGCAAGCCAGTTTGCAGTATTTCCTCTCGAATCACACCATTATCAGTTCTCCATTCCATGACTGATCCAGCAGCACCTAGATTGACCCCTGAGTCTAGTTTCTTCTCTTTAAGCTCCTCATAACTTATTCCTCCAGGTATCGAAGCGTTAACTGCACACCAGAAGACGACTTCCGTGTGATGCCATGGAATATCATAATCATCTTGGGCATGCACAATTGTGAGGCGGTATTTCTCGCTATTAACTTCGTTGGCACGAATATATTGCGCAATGCGGCCTTTACTTGACCATTTATCTCGTATAAAGCGTTGGAGGTAGATAAACAGCATAGGGAACTTTTTGAGCGGTGAAAGCATTGGAATTATTCCTGCAACTCGATAGGTCGAAACCAACATCGCGCAATCGGCAAATGGCGCAACAAGGACTATGCCTGCGAAAATCATGGACGGTGACCGTAATGCAAGCTGTCCAGACATGGCGACGCTCACTGCAGTGCCCATAGATTGACCAAAGATAAGGATTCGAGAGGCAGGAATACCAGCGACTTTCGTAGCCCAGTCTATAATGGTGAGCGCATCTAATATAAGGCCACTCTCAGATGGCGAACCCGTGCTTTGTCCAAATCCACGATAATCAAATGTTAGGACTTACCTTTGTAGCTCTTTCACGTGTTAGAGCACTTGATGGTGTCCTAAGAGCCTTTCGACTACCAACGCTTTGTGCGTAAGAAGCCAGATAAGTCAATCATTATGAGAGAAGAAGATGCCCGTTCTCGTCACGGGCAGCCTGTTTTTATCCCCCTCTCCTGTACAATTGACGTACGGCTGTGAACTAACCGGTCTCTAGTTTAATGATGTCTCTCCGCAACCTCAATTACTGCCACAACTTGCTCAAAACTATGTTCGAGCTACATTAGTTATTCTATCCTATCCTCAGCGTGGTTACTCGGCCATTCCCCGTGGCTAGCCCCACGCTCCTCCTAATGACGAGATTGCATGATTGTGATCCTCATCACTGCGTCTTCCTCCTAACATTCATCTGATATGTGCATACTTACTACTATATCAATTCGTGACAGATTTTATGGGGGTCGAAAAGGGGGCGGTACAGTAGCGGGGATGGGTTTGGATTCGGGACTGAGATCAAAATGCTTGTTACAGTATTACTGTAACCAGGAATCGAAATCTCTATTCTTCTTTTCTACTTTCTGGTGGGTGAAAATATTACTCACATAATCAGCTAAGCAGCGCAAGCTTACTCTCTACTATAATTTTGGTGGATAAATGCACTATAGAGACCTTGTATTTCGTACAGTGCCTCACAACCATTTTGATCGTGTATGGTTTTGTCTAGACAGTACAATTCAAAATGGAGAATATGTACAATCAGCATTAGCAAAGCTTCGCATTCTTACTCTTTGGATCAACCGCAGTCCTCAAGGAAGACAAAAATGGAAGCAAGTCCGCAAATATATGAGTCTTTCGGGAAAATAGTTGGAACTCAACATACCGGATGCTTGATGACGGCCTCAAGGCTAAAGCTCAAATCAATCAACTCGCATCATTAAAGACCATTGTCCCTTCTATTATAGGCAGTGGTTGGGACATCTATCTCAAATTCGTCGCATACTCAGTAAGTTCAATGAGCTTATATTATTTGTGTTAGAATGGAGACCTCAAATAAGCCTTGCTATCCCGGTCTGCTATGAACTTCATAATCTAGTACAGTATCTGAAGGTTCAGAAGCACAAGGGTCCTTCAAGGAATTAGATCCCGATATTGCTCCTGTAATGAACAAAAGTCTGAAAAATTACATGAAAAATTATACTTTTATGGATGAATCTGAGATATACTACACTATACAATATTGATTTTAGATCCTAGGTTCAAAGGAGATCTCATTCTAAAAGAGTTAGAGGATACGGAAGCTGGCATCTAATTCCTCAAGCTCCTCGTGATAGTTTACATGTAAAAATACCCATCTACAAGAAGTGAATTGCCGATACCAGTACCTAACATATCTGATCAAATTACTCTCGAGCTTACTCATACCAATGTCGAATCTCGAATACACAACGGTTACATAGAACCTGAATCATCATTACCTGTTACAGACCGATTCGAAACCTCCTTCACACACTGTCATATAAATTTTTCTCCACTGCTAAGGCTATTATTAAAGCCAGTGCAATAATACTTAAGCCAGTATTTTATCTTTCACCATGACACTGACCTCTCAATATAGTACAAAAACGGTCAAATATCAATAATCAGTTATTGAGCCAGCGCAAATATTGGTGTACAGAAATGGTATCATAAAGACTAGTCTAATCATGTTGGACCAGCTTCAGGCAACAGCCTTAAATGTGGGGAAGAATAACGGTGTGTAAAAAGGTAAAGGAGGTTTTGAGTCTGTCTGTATGTATGATATTCACCGATATTTTGATACCTCTAGCTACCAGAGTGAAGTCTGAATTGAGCCCTCAGTTGTAAATTAATATGTATGTGTTCCTTCCTGATTGTAGGCTGGTTGTGAACTGAGTACCTTGGGCCTCAGCACTGTACATATCTAGCACCTGCTGTAAAGGTTCGTTCTCACTTCAACCCTAACTCAGGTCTTGTTCTTGTTTGCTATTATTAGTGTCTGAATTCCGTTAATTTCTTTGTTACATCTTTGTATGAGCACTCCCTCACTCTATTCTGAAAATATCTTCTCTTCACTGGGAGCCCTAGTACACGTAATTTCCCAGCGAATGCGATACCATGACACAGGCATGGAGTTAGACGATGTTTAGTAAATCTGTAGTAATTTGTCAAACAGTTAAACTCCTTACGTTATGTGGTTGCATAAGAGTTTAGCAAATTTTCTTCACTGCCGGAGGAGATTTAGTAATTAGGGGAGTTTCTATAAAAGGCTCCAAGTCTCCCCAAAAAGGAGAACTGGGAAAATAATTCTGTGTTGAAGATGCAGGGAGCACCGGCAAGACGAACTTGGATGCCTAGAGATGATGACTACGTGAGGGAGTGGTTCATCACGCTCCAGGAGGATATAGATCACTGGGCAAGATCTTGTGCTCTCCAAGCACAGATTACGGATTCAGGAAAGAATAATGTCCTTTCTGAATTGGATGGCTATGTCCGAAATAGGGACTGGGACACACTCGTCTCCGGCACGAAAAATTATGCGAGAATTCTTGTGGAAGCGTTGTTAGCAAAGGATATTTTTGAGAACATCTTTGGTAACCCATTCTTCTGTTTTGATGAAGAGACTAAGCAGGAGGAACAATCTCGTCCATCATTTGGTACACAACTTCTTGAACTTTATCATGAAATGCAAAAAGGTCTCCCCTCCCATTTCTATTTTAGCCCCTGCTGATAGATAATGCTTACTTCTTTTTTCAACAGTGAATGAAGTAGGAGCGCATATTTGGCGCTCTGACACCCTTCGACTCTTGAACATGCTTACGCACCCGGGACAAGAATCAAATCTTACCTCTAAGGTGCAAGAGGCTAAAAGACTACTAAACAACATACAAGTACCAGACAACGTCCACCTTCCGCAGTCAGGACCGGAGCCATTCTTCTGTTTTAACAAAGAGACTAAGCAGGAGGAACAATCTCGTCCATCATTTGGTACACAACTTCTTGAACTTTATCACGAAATGCAAAAAGGTCTCCCCTCCCATTTCTATTTCAGCCCCTGCTGATGGATAATGCTTACTTCTTTTTTCAACAGTGAATGAAGTAGGAGCGCATATTTGGCGCTCTGACACCCTTCGACTCTTGAACATGCTTACGCACTCGGGACAAGAATCAAATCTTACCTCTAAGGTGCAAGAGGCTAAGAGTCGACTAATAAATGGTCTAACAAACCCTTCCCGCTTTCCGGGCCCGGAGCCAAGTCTTACCTCTAAGATGCGCGACTCGAGAAAACGAGTAAGCATGAAACGAGCAGAAGACTTCTTGCAGGGTCCTGTGCAGTCATTATTATGTGTAGATTTGAATAATAAGCGCGAGGAAAGCCTGAAAGAAATCTATATCTGGGCGGCCGAGCTAGCTGCTTTTCTGTGGACAGAGAGGGCGTACATGACAATCGACAGACTGCCCCGGCTAAACGTGTTTCCTATAAATTCCCCAGAAGTGTTGGCTCATCCTTCTCACAAGCTCCATGAGGAAGAGGAAGACATCGACAGGATGGAACAAAAAAATATTTTGCTCGTGGTGTATCCGCTCGTCTCAGCCTTTGGATACGATGACGGAGATTCTTACGATCAGAGTACCGTATGGGCGAATGGAATCGTGTTGATTGAAGACCGATGAATAATATATATTCTCTTTGGACTCTAGGGAAAATCTAGCTCTGTTTTGTGTGTCTGCTTCTCCAAGGCGTAGTGTGAATGAATGATATATTCTACGCCTAGAGGGATGAACTTATAGCGTAGTTAACTTGTAGGAATTAAAGGACACCACAGATTTTCACTAACCACACCACAACTGATTAGTTACCTAATATTAGTCGTTATGTAGATCTCGCTCAACTGCCTTATATCCTGCCAATCCTTTCTGTACTCGTAGATTACTGTAACTAAAGAGCATCACACTATTCAGTTGATCTTGTCCACAATCAGGTTAATATAGCAAAGAGGGCTACACCCCTTGCGCCTAACAGCTTCACTAGGATAATGGGCCTTCTATGCGTCCACCAAATTGCACGGCTACTAAAGGAAATTCATCCTATTCCATTGACGGATATTCATCCTTTTTGGAGGCAGTATATAGCACCAGACGACCAATCCGAGTACCTACGACTGCTCGAACCTCGACTGCCTACATCGAAGGCAAAAGATCAGATAGAAAGAGTGGAAATCCAAGTATTGAAAAGAGGACTCCAACTGCAACTGCAACGGGCAAGTAAAAAGTGCCTTCTAAGTGCTCGAACTGCGGAGAAATTGGGCATACAATCAGATCGTGCAAAGTATAATAATTTCAATCAATCTGCATGCCAAGTTGAGGCATCCTAATCCAAAAAAAAAAAAAAAAAAACTTCACTAAGCTATCAATTCAATTGCTAATGCGCAGTTGTAGTGAGATTACATAACGACTAATATTAGGTAGTCAATCAGTTGTGGTGTGATCAGTTAACTATAGCATGAACTCGTAGTAGCCTAGTCCCTCGTGGAAAGTCACCTTCTCGGTGAGGGACGTCAGTAAGCTGGATTACATGGTGTAACTGAAGCCGAGAACTTTCCAAATCGAACTGTCGGAACGTGAATATCAACCCTACGCGTTTCGGTACTGGATATTAGTTAGATAGTCGTGCCGCGTATATATTTAGCTAACTATCCCCCGTCCCCGTTACTCTTGGCTTGGTAGATGGCATAGTGAAAAGCACCATCCAGAAAACACCTACCCGGGTAGCTATTTTACTGATTATCATAGAGCCTACAACTTCGGCCGCGTAGACGCTATACTTACCGGATTTTACTAACAGTAGCTCACGTGCCCTACCGGTTCGGCCACATTTCGATTTTGTAGTCCCTCGTGTGCTATCAGGAGTTGTCGCTGGCGAGACATTCAGCTACTTCAAGCGCTATTTTAAGAGTACTCTTGGCAGATCACTACTAAGGGAAGAAATTCGCGGAACTACATCGAGAATGGACGCGCGGGGAATCCGCTTCCAGAGGGATAGGTTATTGCTTTTGTGAGAACATGTCTACAACGTATGGGCTAGAGGGATTTTTGCAGTTGATACAGCTTTTCCTCTCGACTTGAGCACAGTGTATACAATGCAGGACAAATAGCGTATTGGAGCCCTTCAGGCCTGATGTCTCCGGACGTAATGAAGTTACTACTACTACTACTACTACTACTACTACTACTGTACTATCAAGCAACTGCTTAGAGTGGAAAACTGATTAGGTATTCTCATGCAAATGTTTGGTATTGTCATACTTGGACTGATGTGTAATCACCAGAGAGGAGCTCGGGAAATTGAGTTAGCATACTTACTGTTCGTCAGAGCAGCACTTCCACCCGATGATCATAGCTAGTGGAAAGTAAGAGCCTTCGCATTACAGAGCATACCTTTATGCAGGCCATATATTACTACAAGAGATAGGTACAGTATGGATGGATGGATGGATGATTTCATTTACCCTGACCCCTCGCTACTCTAGCGATATGCAGGTTACAACCACTATCTGTATCCTTGTAGCTCTAATTACAGTCATCGTCACATTTCTTACAGGCGAACTTTATGCCTCGCCTAGGGGCCTGTGGTCGGCCTTTGCCTTGGGTTCTGTTGTTGTGGGTCCTTTGGCCCACGGCTACAAAACCTTTGAGATGCTTCCGCAAAGTCCAGAACAGCATCTAGAATGCCGCCCGGCGCAGAGCTGCTAGTAATCCCTTGTCCCTTTGCTCCAAGCATGAGCGATACGTTGCCGAACGCGTCGCCGGCCTCCTTCCGTAGTCTCTGTCGTTCTGTTGTTAATCTCGGGCAGTCAATTAGAATGTGGACGACCGTTTCTTTCGCTCCACATTCACATTTATTATCCTCATGATGCCGGAGAGCTTTCCCATGGGTTGCAAGCCAAGAGTGTCCTGTTCGTAGTTGAGTTAGTAAGTAAGCCCGGTTCCGGGGCAACGATTGGTATAGCCGGCGGGAATGGATGGCCGGGAGCTTGGTATCAATTCTCTGTAGGTGGGTTCCTTTATTGGATGTCTTCCATTCGTCTTCCCATTCCTTTAAGATCTGTCTTTGAATTGCTGCTTTCTCCCGCGAGACCGGTCGACAGAAGGGGTGTGTCTTAGTCGGGCCAACCGCTGCCTTGGCCAGGCGGTCCGCTGCATCGTTCCCCAGATTGTCACAGTGACCGGGGATCCATTGGAGATGGAGAGGAATGCCGCGGCTATCTAGTTCGTAAGCTGACTGGTTGATTGCCTCGATCACTCTTTGTCCAGATGTGTTGCGTGGGTTCTTGATGGCTTGTATTGCTGACTTGCTATCACTCAGGATTGTTATTGCTTCACCCGCTCCGGGTCTGGTGGACTGTCCGTTTTGGTGGAAGATTTTGAGCGCCAGACTGATTGCGTAGTAGACGCCAATTAGCTCAGCTATGTGGATGGACCAATGTGCCATTGGGCCTATAGCCGTTTTGCGAGACACCACTATGTTCTGGTTGCGGTCTAGGACCACTGCCGCTGCCCCCAAGTGGTTGTCATGTCCCGAGGCGTCGGAGTAGACCACTTGGTGAGGGTTTGTAAGGAGGGATGCGGCGTTCTTCCGTGCCTTTTCTTGGTCTAGGTTGATGTTAATTTCCTTAAATGCTGGTAGTTTCCACGGGGCTGTCGGTTTGGGATTGATAGTCTCTAATCTGCTGAATTGCTCAAGGCTCATGGTTTTCATGGCTTCAGCAAGGGGAAATCGCGGGCCGCTGCCATTGCCACTGTTATCCTGTCGTCTTCTGGCCCTTGATAGTACTCCTTATATTGGGTGGTCCCACGGGAGTGTGAGTAAGTTGACAATGGTTATCTGCGCTCTCTGGCGGAGACGAAGGCGGGTTGGTAGTGTGAACAGTTCGACTTCCATAGTGGCGGTCGCCACCTACTTAAATGCTGACAGAATTCGTATAAGCGCTGATCTCTGGACTGTGTTGAGGGCCCTGAGATGCATCTTATCTTTTGTGGGGCTGTGCCAGACCGTGGACGCGTAGTCTACAATCGGGGTGACGCAGGCTTGGTATAATTGTCGCATTTGGCCTGGGCGCAGATATCGCAGGCCACCCAGCGCCGTGTTGACTCTCGTGGCTCTCTTTAACACCTGTTATACATGCGGTTTCCATTGGAGCTCATTATCGAATACCACGCCGAGGAGTTTGGCGGTGGTGCTTGCTTTAATGGTGGTGCTCTGTATAATCAGCTGTCCTTTACTCAGCTTGTTCTTTTTCTGGGTCAGATGGATTAGTTCTGTTTTCTCTGCCGCGAAGCATGAGCCTGTTTGTTTCGCCCACTGTTTGATTCGTGGAATGTCGTCCTCCTGTAGTCTTCGGAGGTTCTTGTCTGCGGATAACCCCACGACCCATCGGAAATAGTCATCAATGAACGCCGATGAGCCGCCTTTGTGGTCGACTGGCTGGTTTACCAAATCAGCGTTGAAAAAGATGAACAGTATTGGCGATAACGGAGATCCTTGGGTCAGACCCGCGTTCTCTAGGGGAACTATGGTGGATTCAAAATCGTTAAAGGTAATGCTAGCGGTCCGCTCTTCCATAAAGCTAGTGATCCAGGCTCGGAGAACTGACGGAATCCCTTTCGCTTTGAGTTGGCTGTCGAGAACACCTCCATTGACCCCATTGAAGGCCCCTTTGAGATCGAACGCGACCAGCGTTATTACCTTGGATCAGAGCCATGCCTTGTCAATTGCATTAGACAGTATCAGAAGTGCCTGTTCTGTGTTGCGTCCTGGTCTACCGCCAAACTGAGTGTTTGGCAGTAGGTTATAGGTCTCTGCGTAGTAAGAGAGACGTTTTGCAATAACCGCTTCTAGGACCTTGCCAAGCGTGTTCAGGAGCGAGATCGGTCGGTACGCTCCTGGGATGGTATAATCTGGTTTGTTTGGTTTCTGGAGGACCACGATTCTCGCTCTTTTCTATTGTCGTGGGTAATATCCGAGGTTAATTGATGCTATGAAGATCTGGAAGATCTCTTCGCTGAGGTACGGCCAAATTTACTTTCATACCAGCGTTGGGATTTCGTCTTCTCCTGGAGCCTTCCTGGTTTTCATGCGCTGTAGGGCTCGGTAGACCTCTTCCTTGGTAATTGAATCCCATCGAATTTTTTCATTGTGTTTCGGGTCTTCCATGGCTCCTGGTGCTACTATCTTAGGGAAGAATGCATCCATGAACAATTTGGCTTTACATGTATTGTCTACCACCTCATTTGTGCCGTCTTTCAGTGGTGGAATATAGCCATACGATTCCCGCGGTTTCATGTATGATGCTGCTTTCCAAAGATGTCCTTCTCCCGCCTTATCAAGGAACTCCTTCCAGTGTTGTGATTTGACTTTCTCGATGGTTTGCGTCCACGCGCGGTGTTTTCTTTGCATGTCTTGGAAAAGGGCATTCGATACTGTGTGTTGGCGGCCTCTTGTGGCGCAGCTCTCTTGTCATTTGCGATGGGCCCTGTTGACCTCTCCTTGTTGTAATTTCAGCTCTGGGGAGAACCATCGTTTGGCGTACGGTGATGGTTTCATTTCTGGCGTGTGTTAGTCTATGGCCTTTGTTGTACAGGAGATGAGCTTTTCTACTACTCTATCGAGCTCTGTGATTGACTGGATTGTAGAGAGAGGCGCCATCTGAGCGTGCACTGATTTCCCAATCTTTTCCCAGTCTGATCGGTCGTATGCCTTCCTAGGTTTTGGTTCTGCATTCCGTACTGGTTGAAGGGACCATTGCGAGTAAGTGGCCCGGTGATCCGACCCATAGTGGTCATGGTACAGGTGGTATTTTACAACGCTCTCTGGGTCAATCATTGTAACAATTTCCAATCCCAACCGGATAACGCATTTGTTAATCAATCAAAAATTGCAGCGGAAATCCGATCATCATAAGTACGATCCTGCCGTTTGCCGGCTGCAAGATGAAATATGTGGCATAGAACGAGACACAACGCTGAAAATACCGGCTTGGATGTTCGCAGATTATTCAAAAATCGAATTCCCAGCCAGCCAGCAAAAAAACGATCATAAGCATCTCAGCAACATCCTTACATGGTGGCAGAAGACTAGCTGGCTTAGAAGCATTTACTTCAACAACTTCGACAGATATATATCGATGCTGTCTTTTATCGATCCAAATACCTTGACAAATGGACTGGAGGAAAAATACGCCTTGGCGTTGTATGTCGAAAGCAGATTACTCGGGATTACAGGTGAACTATGCTCTCCAGGTTCAAGTCGGGTTATGCCAGTTGTTTCAAAGCCGAGATTCTACCGAGCAGTCATGAGTCATTACCTTGACTCGAGAATGCTTCAATTTGGTAAATTTTGCGAAGCTCTGGAAAGTTCTAGTGCCCTATTCGAGAACATTAGGCATTCATGGTCCGACAGTTCGAATTGTACCTTGAAGGAATCGTTTGAAGTTTTGGAAGTATTTGATTTCATACACAATTTTATGCTTCTCTCTACACTTGGCAGTCCAGAGACTCTTGAGGGGTGGGCAGAGGCTATTCGCGATGATCGGAATCTGACCTTCAGTCACCGACATTCCTTGCTCTTAAACTGGATGTTTCTCCTATCGCGCTTGCAGCCATATTTGACGCCATTTGACATCCTTGCCAATTTCCTTGAGGATAAATTGAGTGACGAGACTTTGCGCTTTTTCTCTTCGCTACTTACCGTTTCAGGGCATTATAAAGAACCTCCCAATATGAGCGATATAGAAGATAGCATTTCACGCGGCCTGAAAGAGGATTATTATGTTGCCAGCAAACTCTGGGAGGTTTATCGCCGTCATGATTATGGATGGAGACATAGCGTTCGAGGCAGGGTATTTGACGAAGATTTCAGTCCAAAGAAGGTTGCAGACGAGATAAAAAATTTCGAAAATCACAGTCGCAACTGGTGGGAATTTTTAAGGGAAGCAGAAGATGACCAGTCGCGAGATTTCCAAATCGCTATTCCCCAATACTATTCTAAGGAGGTATTTGACATGACGGACGACGGTGAAGCCGGAAAACTTTTCTTTACACTTCATGGAAAGGATCTTGAAACGATCAGGAAGATGTGTCCATCTACAAAAAGATCTATCATCATATCTAATTTATGATACTGTATCAACTTTTCTAGAAGATGATCATGCAACTCTTTCAGCATTATCACCCTGATCATCCGTTCTAGGGCTGTTTTAGCGGCGCTTTTGCATAGTTTAAGGTTAATCGAATATGATAGACATTCACGTGTGAGTTGTACTGTTGATCGTGTAAGGAGCGGGTCCATGCTATATCATAGTACCTGGCTGTTCTAGTAGGAAGGGACTCGGAAATGGCAAAGTACCGTCCTAGGTCTGGGCAGCGATACATGTAATTTACCGCCGTATCAAATTTGGGAATCTGCAATACCTTATGGAGAAAATTAATAGTACACGAGCCAGGGTTGTTCCGGATCTAACTGTATAAAGATAGTGAATATTTAGCGCTGTTTCAGTTGAAAGAGAAGAGATTAGTTGTTACTCTGAAGGTGCAAACTACTGTACGCACTGGTAAGAAAAAACATTTTTTTTTTCTTCGCACTCTTATTTCTTCGCACTCTTATTTCTTCGCACTCTTATTTCTTCGCACTCTTATTTCTTCGCACTCTTATTTCTTCGCACTCTACTTTATGCGCGCTCTCCCGCTGCGCGGTGCAGATAGGGGGCTCCCGCGTTACTTAACTACGCGTATTCTCGGGTTACTCGACGCGTTGGATTCCGACGCGTCGAATAAACCCAGCTATATGGATCTATTTAGTAGACACCATATTAAACCTCTCCACCTCGGTGGAGCAGTCTATTGAAAGATCGGCTGAGGCAACGCGAGATTCTTTCGATTACTACTGTTTAGAAAGATGCCTAGGGGCTTTCCGAAAGCCAAATTGATCGCAAGAGGGATATTGGATAGGAAAACCACCCGACACGAACCTGTTCTAGGAGAGTGACAGGGCACCCTCGAGTTCAGCCAGCTCTGAGATTGAGATAGAAACCCCAACGTTATGAAATTACCAATGAAGCTATCTCAACGAGGGCTGGAACGAAGCCTAAGTGCTCTTAGAAAGTAATGGAAGTTGTTAAGGCTGACAGAAAAGTGGTTGCCGGATGTGTTAAGGGCAAGGCCTACACTGAGACCGAACTACTTATCATTCTGGACAGACACAGCGCACCGCTTTCTAAGTATAAAGGCATAGGGTGGGAACTGAGCTAGGTTAGTAGGAGTCAACTATACAAGTATTATGCCAGGCGGGTATTACAAGTATTGACTTCTGCAAGACATGGTCGGCTGCTAGAGGGAGACTTCTAATAGTAACGGGAAACTACTTTATTATAGTAATAAAGTAGCGGGCCGTAGCACTATGAGGATGACCAGAGGGTAACTAGGAAGAATGTGTTCCTAGCTCGTACCTAGGCCATGGCTATCTAACTGGTATCTTTGCTTCCAACTCGTACTTGGGCCACAGCAGCGTGGTATCGCCGGCACCTATACTGATATTTTATTGGTATCTGTGTTTTCAACTCGTACTTGGACCGCTACTGTGTGGTATCGCCGGCATTTATATCTATTAGATTGGCAATGTGGTATCGCCGATATATTCTTTCTAGGAGGCCTACGGAGATCTTATAGTGGCTCGAGAGGACGGATGCGCATGTCGGTTGGCTTAGAGAAGGAGTGCATTGTGCCTGACTCGTACTCAGGTCCCTGGGATATATATCCTAGCGCGGTATCGCCCATAATGCAAATTGCCTTTGCGGCTGGCTTAAGGTGCAAACTCCAGAGATGTTGATAGCAGCAGATCTTTTGGCCTGGGGATCTGCCAATAGGAATGGGTAAAATCACCACCGAAGCGAGAAGGTAAGGTGGAAGATGGTATTGGTATCGACCGGACTTGTTAAGGCTTTGCCACAGGCGACCGCGAGCCGCCCAACTCCTATTGTCTCTGGCGCTCAGGGCCCTCAACACAGTCCAGAGATCAGCGCTCATACAAATTCTGTCAGCATTTAAGTCGGTGGCGACCGCCACTATGGAAGTCGAACTGTTCACACTACCGACCCGCCTTCGTCTCCGCCAGAGAGCGCAGATAACCATTGTCAACTTACTCACACTCCCGTGGGACCACCCGATACAAGGAGTACTATTGAGGGCCAGAAGACGACGGGATAACGGTGGCAATGGCAGCGGCCCGCGATTTCCCCTTGCTGAAGCCATGAAAACCATGAGCCTTGAGCAATTCAGCGGATTAGAGACTATCAATCCCAAACCGACAGCCCCATGGAAACTACCAGCATTTAAGGAAATTGACATCAACCCAGACCGAGAAAAGGCACGGAAGAACGCCGCATCCCTCCTCGCAAACCCTCACCAAGTGGTCTACTCCGACGCCTTGGGACATGACAACCACTTGGGGGCAGCGGCAGTGGTCCTAGACCGCAATCAGAACATAGTGGTGTCTCGCAAAATGGCTATAGGCCCAATGGCACATTGGTCCATCCACATAGCTGAGCTAATTGGCGTCTACTACGCAATCAGTCTGGCGCTCAAAATCTTCCACCAAAACGGACAGTCCACCAGACCCGGAGCGGGTGAAGCAATAACAATCCTGAGTGATAGCAAGTCAGCAATACAAGCCATCAAGAACCCACGCAACACATCTGGACAAAGAGTGATCGAGGCAATCAACCAGTCAGCTTACGAACTAGATAGCCGCGGCATTCCTCTCCGTCTCCAATGGATCCCTGGTCACTGTGACGATCCGGGGAACGATGCAGCGGACTGCCTGGCCAAGGCAGCGGTTGGCCCGACTAAGATACACCCCTTCTGTCGACCGGTCTCGCGGGAGAAAGCGGCAATTCGAAGACAGATCTTAAAGGAATGGGAAGACGAATGGAAGACATCCAATAAAGGAACCCACCTACGGAGAATTGATACCAAGCTCCCGGCCATCCGTTCCCGCCGGCTATACCAATCGTTGCCCCGGAACCGGGCTTACTTACTAACTCAACTACGAACAGGACACTCTTGGCTTGCAACCCATGGGAAAGCTCTCCGGCATCGCGAGGATGATAAATGTGAATGTGGAGCGAAAGAAACGGTCGTCCACATTCTAATCGACTGCCCGAGATTAACAACAGAACGACAGAGACTACGGAAGGAGGCCGGCGACGCGTTCGGCAACGTATCGCTCATGCTTGGAGCAAAGGGACAAGGGATTACTAGCAGCTCTGCGCCGGGCGGCATTCTAGATGCTGTTCTGGACTTTGCGGAAGCATCTCAAAGGTTTTGTAGCCGTGGGCCAAAGGACCCACAACAACAGAACCCAAGGCAAAGGCCGACCACAGGCCCCTAGGCGAGGCATAAAGTTCGCCTGTAAGAAATGTGACGATGACTGTAATTAGAGCTACAAGGATACAGATAGTGGTTGTAACCTGCATATCGCTAGAGTAGCGAGGGGTCAGGGTAAATGAAATCATCCATCCATCCATCCATACTGTACGCACTAATACGCAATGTTCGCTCCGTCATCGGTCCGATAGTTCAAAATTTGTTAAATCAAAATGTAGATCAGCTGCAGGGATGCGAAATTGAGATTCTTCAGGACACGTCTTGCGGTATTTTAAGGATCCCAAGATCTGTTGGACTTGTTCAGACTCTATCTTGTGACGAGTCACTTGCCTACTTATGAGGGAGAGATGGGAGAGTTAGCTGGTTTCAGCGTTAGAGGATGCTCACGGACGTGTATAACCAACCATTAGCAATCAATGCAACTGCGTCTAGGCCCAGTTAATCCTTACTGTGGCGGCCCATGCTAAGCTCTAAGCCCTAGATGCCCACCTTAGACATTTTTTCCCGGGTTGGCGCTTTTGACCGGCCTTTGTGATATGGAACTGCACGTCATGTCGATACTCTCCGAGTTATGTTTGTTTGATCTATATATCTAGTATTCAGTATGTTGGGGAGATTTCCGGTATATTCCTGGCAGGACTCATATGCGCTGTCTATCTATATGGCTCCAATCCCCAGCTGGATTCCGGTCTTCTTTCGATCTCTATACTTAGTTTTTCTTCGATAAGCTACTAATACCATTTTCACACCACACACCATTTTTGCCAAAACTGAAGATATTCTCTTGAACCCATCTTTTGTGAGGCATTTGTATGCAAATTTACTTCAGGTGACTTTGCACAATGAATGATATCAATCCTCGGGCGTCAGCCACATTGCACCGCTCAAGTAGTGCACAGGTCTTACCTTCAAATCCACATGAGGATGACGAACTGTTGCAATACCAGCTCAAGTTCTTAAAGGCAACAAACGCTGATGAAACGGAGCACATTGTACTTTCTCCAATTCTGATAGGAAATTTTCTTCGAGGGGGAGTTCTAGCTCTCGATCATCCACAGTATGGGCTTCTGGCAGGGATCAGCCAATTGCTGAAGGTCGTACATCCTGAACAGACAGCCCAAGACTTGTCGAACAACCATGATCCGCGGGTCTTTTTCAATGCGACAACTCCATCCAGCACGTTTATATGTGGATCTCAAGGTTCTGGAAAGAGCCATACCCTTTCTTGCTTGCTAGAGAACTGTTTGATACCCTCGAAACTCGGAAACTTACGCAGTCCTCTCACTGGGGTGGTCTTCCATTATGATACTTTCATCAGTGACAATATGGGCTCCCCTTGTGAGGCGGCATTCTTGTCGTCAAACCCTGCTGTGGAAGTTCGAGTATTATGCTCACCCACGAATATTCGAGGCATCAATGTAAGTTTTCAAGTAAGGGGAATTTTCTACTGCTGACTTTCGTTCACCACGCCAGGGAACGTACTCTCGCTTTGGAATCAACGTTCATCCGCTGGAGATTGACCAGAAAGATCTCAATACAAAGCGCATGTTAGATCTGATGGCTGTCGAGTCAAGTACTGGTACCATCCCTTTGTACATGCATACGGTTCAGCGGATCTTGAGGGAAATGCGAGTCTCTCAACAAGCTAGTGGATTGCCATTTGACTATCTTGAGTTTAAAAGGCGCGTTTTGGGGAGTGATTTAACTCCTGGCTAACTCGCGCCACTCAAGCAGCGGTTAGAAACACTGGAAAGCTTTATGCCGGAGACACAGACAACGCATCAAATAAACAAAAAGACTGGTCGCCAGAAGAAGAGGATTGGTCAAGCGAAAGGTACCATGTGGAAACCTAAGGTAAGACACGTTAACCATTGATTCATGCATAGGGTTGTTAACTAGAGACAGCCCGGCTGCCTTACAATTGTTGACCTATCGTGCCCATGTATATCCCCGGAGACTGCGTGTGCTCTGTTCAACATTTGCCTCGGGATTTTTTTAGAACAAGACCCTGCTGTTGGTCGGGTCGTTGCATTAGATGAGGCACATAAGGTACGTGTGGTACCTTCAATAATTTTACAGAAGAGTTTGCAGGTCTCTAATATCAGCCTTCCTTGCAGTACATGAATTCCTCCCCAGAATCCGCTGCTTTTACGAACAGCTTGTTATCGACTGTACGCCTGCAGCGTCATCTTGGGGCCCGAGTCATAGTCTCCACGCAAGAGCCAACGGTATCTACAGCACTTTTGAATCTTTGCTCAACCACGATTGTTCATCGCTTCACCTCTCCTGAGTGGTTGCGTATATTGCATAGACATCTTGCCGCCGCTGCGTATGATTCACAGCATGACGAACGAGTCTTTGCCGGGGCTATGGACGACGATGCCGATGCAGCTGACTCGGATACTCTATTTCATCGAATTGTTCGATTGCAAGTCGGCGAAGCTTTACTCTTCTCTCCAACTGCCATGGTCATTTCACAAGACTCTGAGGGTCAAGAGCCGACTTTCTGTTACCTAGGCGACAAGTATGTAACAATCAAAATACGAGCAAGAGTGACTGAAGACGGGGGTAAAAGCGTACTGTCCTCATAGCCAGTCCGCTCGACTCGTTGGCATGCTGCTTAACTTCTATGCTTGCTTATCTTTCGTACTGTTCCGTTTGAAGTTATTTAGTGGAATTATTCACAGGCTTGGGATGACATTATATAACTATTCCAAATCTCCCATACATTGTCACATTACCTGATGTTTGTACGAGTAGATCTTAAAAAGAATAAAAAAAAAATTGAAAAAAAAACCTAATAGAATATTCAGGTTCTCTCTGCAATCCTAAATAGCAGTTTGTTGATATTGATTTGCAATATGAGAGCCCTTAATTCCATTGCCGCAGAACAAACCGGGTCTACCAATTAAGACGACGTACATTGACTAATATTAATCTGTATATGATTTGGTTTAGTCTAGTTTTATTTAGGTTTGGATTCAAATTAATATAGCGATAGGTCTAAAGCTTCAACCAGCTTAGCGTAAACATGTTGTTTCATTGCCTGTTTGATAATCCAAGCAGCCAGAAAAGGACCAGCATTCTGCTACAGTATCCCTTCACCATATCAGCAATGTCCGTGTAAATCGTGCGTGACCAGTCTTCGACACATATGTGGGTATGTCCATTGGTAGGAAGGTATCAGACAATACGGTCTGAATCGTGGGCTGAATTGGAGGTGGTGTCAACATCTGCTCGTGGCGTTTTCTTTTGCTCTCTAAGGTCATATTCTTGGCTAACAGAAACCTCCGCCTATTTACAATTTACCCACTGCGGAGGCACCTCTTTGAGGCATGTGAAAGCTCATCTAGGGTAGACACAGTCGACGCCTTTTCCGAATGGCACTGGTTTAAGGTCAGTGGCGAGGTGTCGTCCGGAACGAAGTAGATTTCACGGCTAAGCGGTGTTTCTGAAAGCTCTGCTTAAGCATCGTATATAATGGCTCTCCATGGCTGCTATCTTCTCTTCTCTTTTCGACAATATAGTACTACTGTCAACGATCCTATATCAATATCAGTGAGTTACTGATTTATGATATGAACTAAGCAACTGTTCTCTCTATTTCTTCTCGTTCCGTTTGTTTGGTTTGGTTTGAATGTCAACTTGGGGCTGACAGGCTTCGATCCTCTAGGAGACGCGTCATTTTCTTTTCTCACTGGGTATTCCGGAGAAAACATAACAAACAAGGTGTCGGGCGTTGATTGCAAGGAAAAGACTACCCAGCAAAGTTACCCCTCCTCTTTTCACTCCAATACCTTCGCTCCAATATCCTATCATTGCTTCTCCCTCCACTCCTTCAGCTACCCCCAATTATTCCCACGCTTTTAAGCACTTCTACTACCTTATCAGATCGCCGTCAGCATCACCGGTTTCGAACATGCTCAGGCCCACCTTAGTTGCATTGTCCGTAAGTATCTTTGATCTGTTTCTCGCTGTCGCTTCGATATTGACAATCGGATTCTGTTCTCAGGTTGGCACCATGAAGATCTCCAAGAAAGACTGCGCCGAAAGATTTGCGTCTAAGGAACACAACGTCTACGGGGCTGACATCAGAGACCATTGGGACATCTTGAAGGAAGTTCTCAGAACAATTGTCGAGCAAAGCACAACCAAAACCAAGTGTTATGTGAGCAAGGAATTTGTGGACAAATACATGCGAATGACAGCCGACAACACCACAGTGAAGGAAACCAAGGACAAACTCCATTACTTAACCCCTCAGCAATGGCATCAATTCTTTCAAAGTTGTCTTGGCGGAGCCGTCGATAGTCTTCGACATGGGAAGAACCAGGGATCTCGCAAGCGAAGTCGATCCCAAGACAGCTCGAGTAGCAAAGACGGTGAAAGAACGCCACACCAGAGTAAAAAATCACGAAACCAAAGCCGGTCTAGAGACACCGACGCTATAAACAGCATCAAGACCGCCTTCTTGACAATGGTCGAGAATAGCAAAGACTATATCGGAATTAAGATCCCTCTCGATGCAGAGATCTTCTGCCAGCTACCTGATCATCCGGACAAATTGGCCTCACTTAGTGTGTATTTACTAATAGCATCCCAACAAGATCCAAAATTCCTGAATAGTCGGCAACTGGACTATGGCCGTCTAGAAAAGCAGTTCCTGGCCCGCTACCCAACAAATGATTCTGGGATGGAGATAAGCTATACCAGCCATCAGATCAAGCATCTGGTCTTCGACAGTATCACACTCCAATCCGCAGTGGAGAAGATGATTATGTCAAGCGATGAATTCTCACTCGAAACCATGACGTGGACTCCCACCAAAAGGCCGCTACTGCGCTTTGATGTCCAGTTATTTTCTGAAGATGAGGATGGGGTGGTTACAGGTTATTTTCAATCATCCTTCATTGATTCCATTCCCTCACTGACATGATCTAGTGGAACGATGCTCCCGAACTGTTAGTATCACGCCACGGAATCCTCCTATATCTAAATCGACCACCAAGGATGACGATCGCACGAGAAACAAAATCCATGTTTCTATTGAAGAGTCTCCCGATGGAGCAAATAGAAATGACCTTCGCCAAAGGCTTCAACATAAGGCGCGCATCTCACATGGTTTTACTGGAGAGTTTCTTTAACGAGGCGTCTATTCAGCAGGCGATTGGAGAATCAATCGCATCAGCTAGAAGGATCTGCATCTCGAAGTCTTTCAACTGCAGAAGGAATGATTTCGTGGAAGAGTGACTGGATCGGCGGGTTGGTTGAAATTCGATCCAATCTGGTAGACGTGTCAACTGCGGATGAAGCATGAATGCCCTCCTCTCTAGCCTTGGTTGACACCCTGAATGACCGATTTGGGAATGGACGGAAGGAATTGTTAAGTGACTTTTTGGGATGTTATCTAGAAGTCATTGGAAATTCTACTTTAAAGGATACGTGGAATGTTAGACGCAGTCGAGATGATTAGATTGACCGAAGCAAAGGACTTGGATCGAAGTATGGTACGGAATAGATAGGATTGAGACAAAGCTAGACATACCCTAGTAGGTATTATCAGCATTTGGGACTTCCAGCCTGTATTGTATGAAATAGTCCTAACAGTTCCAACAGCGTTGCGATTTTCATGGTTTCCACATGTTTCAACAGTTTCAACACTCCTACAACATACACTAGCTCTTGGTACGGTACGCGTTCGGTTGATTAGTTTAGTCGCTGCCGTCATTTATATTCATTCTTTTTGCAAAGCTCACGGGAGATTATCGGACTAGTCTACCACACAAGGAAGAACGGATTTATCGCCAAAGATTGATCGATATTAAACAAGCAAGGCACGAGACGGAGTCCTATGCGATGAATATAAGATATAAATCGATATCGATCACCCCAACGCTAAGTGGAAATCAACCGATGGACATCGGGTAGGGTTGAGTCAGGGCACTTTCTTTCAAATTCTTTATTTGAAGTTAGCGAAGCTTCTGTTACAGTTGGATGGATGGATGATTTCATTTACCCTGGCCTCTTGTTAGACTAGCGATATGCAGGTTACTACCACTATCAGTATCCTTGTAGCTCTAATTCCAGTCACCGTCACATTTCTTACGGGCGAACTTTATGCCTCGCCGGGGGCCTGTGGTTGGCCGCTGCCTTTGATTCCGTTCTTGCAGGCCCTTTGAGATGCTTCTGCGAAATCCAGCACCGCGCCTGACGCTGCCCTGTGCAGAGCTGCTAGCAATCCTTTGATCTTTCGCTCTAGGCATGAGCGGTACGTTCCCAAAAGCTTCACCCACCTTGTAGCGAGAGTTTCGCAAAGACGAATATCGAGTTCTATCAAAGAGACAATAAGACGTGTTATGTATACTGTACGAAATACCGTATAACTCCCTATCGGCCTGTGCTGTCAAAGAACTCAGGAGATTCCGTGAGTAGTTTCACAGAGCTTTGTACAATATTGGGCCGCTCGCCTAGACTACTTAGATTGTTACATCTCTACGCGAAGCAATACAGGCGTACTTGAGACAAAAGAACTATAAAGTACTTAATGATACTGTACAGTAATCCATTTTTTCTTTTTAACACTATATAGCACAGTAGTTCCCAATTTGAAATCTCCATGCGGTCAATGCCTGAAATGGGCGCGTTCGATTACCTAACCGTACTAGCTGCAACTGTGCTGCTTGTCCTAATTATGACCGCCAGCTCCGATCCTCACTATCAGATTACTAGCCATGCTCCAACATTTACCCAAATACAACTTTATGGGCATATGACGTGCAGCCAACTTCCCATACATTGGAATCAGCCAAAAAACGTATACCTGCCAAATGGTCCGTTGGCTTCAAATCATAGCTATTGTAATACCGATGAATTGTCATCAGTACATCTCTAACTGTAATCAAAGTGTTAGGCGTGTTGCTTTTAACTAACACATCTGAGTCACCAAAACGCAACGTGATGGGTCCATAAAATAGATACTCGTCTAGCTTTGGTTTCGTTTCTGGGAATCCGCGCCGAGGCCGATAAGGCTGGTAAGTGGCCTTTTTTGGACCTTCATGAATATTCCATACGATATCATCTAATGCCATTGTTCTTGGACGACGGAAGTTATAGGGTGGTTGAAGAAGAGACATGCGAAAAGATGGAATGAAATTCAATGAATTCCAAGAGGCGGTCACGGTATATACTACAGTATCATTGATCTAATCAAACTGTTTACATTAGTTAATAGACATTTCGTTGAATGAATAGTGGGGCATACTAAGGTAATCGTGTTGAGAAATGCTAGTTATCTCATATTCTCAGCCCTTAATCTGGAGTAAAGCTGAGCTTGAATCTTGGAGTTTGCGTCTTTTAGCAGGTTTTACTATCATGCTATGTAGTTGTATTTTTAAAAAGCAATATCCTATTCAATAGGCTACTCTGTAGGCTGTTTTCAATTTCCATTCGGGCCTACTCTGGTTGACTCCGGTGACTTTGTTAATACATTCCTTATTTTTCAGTCATACAGGGATCATATACAGTAACTTGCACTTTCTTTCTTAGTAGTAGAGAGATTCAAAACCTCCTTCATTATTTCACTACATACATGTAACTACGGAGTACAGAGTACAAGGATACTGTACAGTATCGTTGTTCGTGCACTATGTATGAAGCGGAATTGTACAGTAGTTTGCATAAGTAGCTTGACAACTGAATGAATTTCGTGAAGTTGAGAAGCTAGAGCCGGGCGCTCAAGGTCATAATACTACTTTTCTATTGGTTTAATAGAATTACTCTAGCTATTATAGGCCTAGTTGAAGTATATTTAGTAGAAGAGACAAAAAAAGAATTTGTCAAGCTAATTATGCAACGAACTGTAATTGAGGCAAGAACTTACTGTAAGTTGGGATCATTGGACTGTAACTCTACGACAAGGAACTGGAGAACCGTGAGCGAGGAGGCGTGCCGAACGGGAGCTAAAAACGGCCCGATGGCAGTACCCGAAGGCGGTCCGCAGACGCCAGAAAACTTTGCACGGAATGAGGCCATCCCAAGAGCCCCAGGCCGGAGACAGAATCTACAAGCAGAAACCCTACGAACCCCAGTGGTTGAATTCCCCCCATTAGACGATGGCAAAAGAATCTCGTACCAAATGGTTGCGAAACTCGTCAACGGCCTAAATACAGCGATCATCCAACAGACCAACACAATCGAGTTAGCAAGAGCAGAAATCCAACAAATCAAAACAGAACAAATCACCCTGAGAGAACAGAACGCGAGATTGCAGGAGGAGATCAGGCGCTACGCACCCAGATAGAGAACCAAGCAACTACAAACCTACCCCCAAAACCATGGGCTGAAGTTGCCTCCGCAATCAACCCATCAGCGATCAACATAATCCCATGACCCCAGAAAGAACTGAACTGCGTCCGAATCAGCACTGCACGGCCAGAAACAGCGGATAACAATGGAAACAACAAGGACAATTTCACAAGATTCCTGCCTACTGATACCGCGAATAAACATATCAGAATGGCCCTATCAACCACTAAACCCACCAAAGATGTACAGGTAGCGGGTGTTGGCACCACTAAGACAGGCTATGTAATCAGATTCAGAGATGCTCAGTTGGCCGAAATAGCCCAGAACAACACTGCATGGCTGGAAGAACTGGGAAACGAAACCAAGCTGGTGAAACCCCAATTCAGTATTGTAGTTCACTGAGTGCCAACAGAAGACTTTGACTTGGACAAGGAAAAGAAAGAAGGAATTGAGAAGATTATGGAAGAGAATGACCTGGCCGAGAAGGGATTTGAAATCAAGGATATTGCATGGCTAAAGAAGAAGGATAGCCCGCTGGGAAAGTCCGCATCTATGGGCATCTGGCTAAATACACCGGAGGCAGCAGAATCCATCATCAGCAATGGCCTCCTAGTTGGACAAAGATATATCGGAAGTGTGGAACCCTACAAAGTTAAACTAAAAAGATGCTACCACTGCCAGAAGTTTGGCCACCTAGCTTAGTCATGCAAGGAACAGGTAAAATGCGGCCACTGTAGTGGCCAACACAAGCAACGCAACTGCCCTCCAGGAATACGGCTAAGATATGCAGACTGCAATGGGGAACATCCTACTGGGCACAAAAGGTGCCAAGCACCTCTTAACCCGAATTCCTCCCGATAATGTCATCAACACTACGTCTACTACAGTTGAACATCTGGAAATCCAGGGCAGGAATGGAAGCCCTCATTAATGATCACCAGAGCCAGAACCTGGATCTACTATTAATCTAGGAACCATCGATCACCACATATCGCACCTATGTCAACCACAGTGCTTGGCGACTCTATCGACCAACATACCCAAATACCGATGAATCCATCCGATTCCGCAGCCTCCTCTATGTCAATAAGCGAATCTCAACTTCCTCCCATCGCCAAATCCATTGTAACCACCCAGATCTGGTGGCCATCAAAGTATGGACTGCAGAGATACAGTTCCTTATCTTCTCGGTTTACATCCCGCCACTAGATGTACACCAAGCCACTAGCACAACCTCTACTGAATCAGCACTGAAAGAAATTGAAAACACTATTGAACAGCACACCAGGGAATCTAATAAATCCACAAGGCTGATACTAGCGGGAGACTTCAACCGACATCATCCTGCATGGAGCCACCACTCCGTCAGCCACATTTTCACCGCTCAAGCGGAAGAGCTGATTAACTTCTTCCAAGAATATCAGCTTCAATGGTGCTTACCCCCAGGGACCCTAACATACTGGTCACCAAGCCACCTAGGGAAGACATCAGTTCTTGACTTGACACTCACCAACGACCCAACCACACTGATCAAGTGCCAGCTCTACCATGACAACTATGGATCGGACCATCGTGGAACATACTCCGAATGGGACCTGCGACCAGAACACAATGAAAATGCAAAACCCAAGAGAGCATACGACAGAGCTGACTGGGCTAAAATTGGCCAAAGACTGGTTGAGTCGCTCGGTCAAGCACTGGAAATACACTCCACTGCAGATCTTGACAACGAAGTCAACCAACTAGTGGAAACCACAACAGTAGTTCTCGACCAGCACGTCCCATTGCAAAAACCATCACCCTACTCGAAATGCTGGTTTACGCCAGAGCTCAAACCCCAGCAGACTCTCCTGAATCAAACACGCTGAAGATAGCAGACTAGCTGTGCTACCCTAGGCAGTAGCCACCCAATTACCACATCTCTCTTCAACGACATGCGTCAGAAACGACGAGAATAGACTAGAACCATCGAGAAGGCTAAAGCCACTCATTAGAAGGAGTTCCTAGATAAGGCCCAAGAAGGCCACCTCTGGAAAGCAGCAATATACATGCGCCCACGAGACTCGTACACAAATATCCCGCCACTAAAGGTGGGATCCGAGGAGGTCACCGAAAACGACGCAAAGGCCAGAGTGTTTCTAGAAACCTTCTTCCCGAAGATGGCAGACCCAGAGAAAGAAGACCCAGTACTACCCTCAGAGGAAATACCATAGCACCCAATCACAGAACTGGAGGTTTATCAGTCACTCAAAGCCGCCAAGAGAACGACAGCTCCAGGGGAGGATGGGATCATAACCCTTGTTTAGAAGCATCTATGGCCATATCTCCGGAAGGTGATCACCTACATCTTTACAAAATCAGTGGAATTAGGCCACTACCCCCATCGGTGGAAGCGAGCGCGCATCATAGTGCTGAGGAAATCCGGGAAGCCAGACTACGGTTCTCCAGAAGCATACCGACCTATCTCCCTACTGAACACCCTGGGGAAGGTACTAGAGGCTGTCATGGCTCGCAGACTGTCATTCTGGGCTGAGTCCTATAAACTACTCCCAGACACCCAGTTTGGAGGCCGGCCAGGACGTAATATAGAATAAGCGCTCTTAACCCTGGCAAATGCGATCGATCGCGCGTGGCTACGGTCAAAGGTGATCACGCTGGTGGCATTTGATCTCAAAGGGGCGTTCAATGGAGTAAACGACTCAAGCCTTGATGCCCGCTTGCAGGCTAAAGGCATCCCAACCGTAGCTAGACGCTGGATCCGGAGCTTCATGAAGAGCTGGTACGCCAGCATCTCCTTTGACGATTTTCAGATGGAGATCTCCCCGCTTGAGAATGCTGGTCTGGCACAGGGATCCCCGCTGTCCCTAATCTTATTTGGATTCTTTAACTCCGACCTGGTCGACCAGCCCGTCAACCACCACGGCGGCGCGTCAGCTTTTATCGACGACTACTTTCGATGGCGAGCCAGTCAGTCCGCGGAAGACAATATCAGAAAGATTCAGGAAGAGGATATCCCCCACATTGAGGCATGGGCCTGACGGACAGGATCCTCGTTTAACGTGAAGAAAACAGAACTAATCCACCTGACAAGGTCCAAAAGGCAGCATAGGGTAGGACAGATCACAATAAATAGGACGGTAATCAAGCCAAGCGATACAGTAAAACTTCTAGGCGTGATCTTTGACAAGGAGATGCAGTGGAAGGAACATGTACAGCAAACAGTTAAGCGAGCAACCTAGGTGAATATTGCCCTGGGGGGATTGAGACACCTCCATCCAGAGCAGATGAGACAACTCTACCAAGCATGCGTGACACTAATTGTGGATTACGCATCTACTGTCTGGCACAACCCACTAAAGGATAAGATACACCTGAGAATGCTGGGAACGGTACAACGAACCACCCTTATTTGCATTCTCTCTGCCTTCAAGACGGCATCCACGGCAGCCCTAGAGGTGGAAGCCTATGTGCTACCAACCAATTTACGACTCAAACAACGCGCCCAAATAGTGGCTGCCCGCCTCAGCACCCTTCCAGAGGATCACCCAGGCCGTACAGTAGTGACCCGAGCAGCAACGCGGAGCAACCATATAGGAAGCGGACCTCGATTCCCTCTGGCGGAGACCCTGCGGATAATGGACCTCACTCGACTCTAGGCTCTAGAAACAATTAATCCAACCCCCCCACCACCATGGCAGACACCAGCATTTGTAGAAATCGACATTGAACCAGACCGGGATAAAGCCAAAGACAAAGCATCTGCTAGGCAAAAAGCATCTGGCATCACAGTCTTCTTCAATGCATCAGGCCAACAGAACGCACTAGGAGCCGCAGCAGTAGCGCTAGACCAGAACCACAACATCATCCAGCACCAGAAAGTCTGCATCGGCTCTATAGAATACTGGTCGGTATATACAGCAGAGCTTATGGCAATATACTATGCCATCAGCCTTGTCCTTAAGATTGCAATGGAGAATCAGGTCATCCTAGTAGGCCAACAGGAACCGGCAACTATCCTCAGTGATAGCATGTCAGCACTCCAAGCCATCTCAAACACACGGAACAAATCAGGCCAGAGGATTATTCAAGCGGTTCAGCAAGCAGCCCAGGAGTTAAAAGCGCGGGGAATTCCGCTCTGTCTCCAATGGATGCCAGGACACTGTGATAACCCAGGAAATGAAGCGGCCAATCGACTGGCCAAAGAAGCAGTTAGCCTAGACAAAGAACACCCCTTCCAACATCTTCTTTCACGAGAAAAAGGTTTCATCCGCAACCGAATCCAAGAAGACTGGGAGCAGGGATGGAGAACCTCCAAGAACGGAGGCCACCTTCGCCGGATAGATAGAGATCTACCCGCAGTTCGTACCCGGAGGATGTATGGCTCGCTGCCACGCAATCGAGCCTACCTGCTTACCCAACTCTGAACTGGCCACTTATGGCTAGCAACACATGGCAAACTACATGGCCATAGAGAGGATGACAAGTGTGAATGTGGAGCGATAGAAATAGTGGTTCACGTCCTGATTCACTGTCCCAAATTGAAGAGCATACAACAAGAACTACGGAAGAAGATCGGGACTGCATTTAACAATATTTCGGACATGCTGGGAGGAGGAAGTCAAGGTAAGCAAGGTAAGGAGGGTGATATACAAGGCGGTAGCATCTTAGATGCAGTACTAGACTTTGCAGAGGCATCACAGAGGTTTCAAAGCCAGGCGCCATAGGGCTACTGACAGAACACCCGGCATGTTGGCCACCATAGGCCGTGACGAGGCTCTAAATTCGTCTTTATGTAATGGATTACTGTACATAGACATAGATAAGGATTAGATAGTTGTATCCTGCATATCGCTTCGGCGAGGGGTCAGGGTATGAATTACACACACACACACAAACTGTAATTGAGGAAAAATGCGTTCGCAAGATTATTAATGCTGAAGACGACCAGTCAAAGTTTAATACTTCGTACTTGTGATAGTGGCGTTCGTCACTATAGATTCAAAGCCTCCCTAATTCAACACATTAAAGGTTACCAGAGTTTTACGATACTACGACCTACGTAGTGCGCGAACATCCGTAGCCTCATGGAGCCTCATAGAGCTCAAATTATCCTAGTTTTAGTTTGGGCGAAGAAGGCGACGTGTAAATTCTGTCTGTACACTCTCCTACCTATCGTAGCACCTTACCCACACACCGTTCCCAGCGTGGGTCGGCTCCGGCTCAACGAAACCAGCAGCTCAACGGAATCGATTTTTACTGTACATAAAATTTGAGATATTGTGATTTGCCTGTAAGTTTTGTTGTTGCGATTTTTCCCTGCCTTCCCTTTTCCTCGCTTTTTCACGTTCTCAGTCCATCCTCTTCTTATTCTTAGCCATCTCGTCAATCCTACGATTCTCAATATAGCGATCTGCATGCTTTAAAGTAAGAACACCTCCAAACTGCACCTGGCGCTTAGTGTTTTTACGGCCTCGGCGCCGGTTGACCTCTGTAAGCTGATCGATACGGTCTTCATAAATGAGCCTTAGAAAGCTCGGCATCAATAAGTCAATGGACACGGCGCTTTAAAAAGGGGCTTATCTCCTCAATAGATTCTGATATAGCATCAATATCACGTCGTAATCTATTAACAATTTTCTCAAAAGCTAGGGTGTCCTTCGGGGGTGAGCGGGATCTGGTGGTTGGTGAACTTAGAATATTCTACTCCTCTGTCATAAACCTTCACACAAGTCCATTTTGAATCCTGCCTTGATTGTACGCCGTGTAAAGGCCTGTTGCCGCACTTTATGAAGCCCATTCAAGAAGTCGCTTTTATCGTAAGATTGGCCTCCAAGCCGGGTTTGACGATTCACTGCTTTGCCGTGGAAATGCTTATATTGTTGAGAGGCACTCCATCTAATAGCTGTAATATAGGTCTGTCATAGCCTATAGCGCTGGGTATGGACAATTAACATGGTTAATAATAATATTAGCTGCAATATATGAGTCGTATGAGGTGGAAATGAACAACATATAATCCGATACCGTTGACAATAATGAAGGAATTGTCATGTCAAATGAGCGCTGCAATTTATCCATGAGGAGAAGTCGATATTCTTTATCCTTTTCGGTTTAATCGTACAGCAGACAGCGCTTGTGACTCATCATTTCCGGTCGAAATGCGAAGCTGGTCGTGTCACCATTTTGTTCCTATAGTAGAATATACACGCCACCTTCTTCCCGCCATCCAGACTTACGGTAATTCGAGCGGTCCACAATTCAGCCTCGGCGATCTACGAGGCTCTATGAGGCTACGGTTGTTCGCGTACTGCGTAGGTCGTAGTATCGTAAAACTCTGGTAACCGTCAATCTTTTCAAATTGAAAATTGCGATCCAATTAGAATCTGCAGTGACGAACGCCACTGTCACAGGTACAGGGTATTGAACAAGGAAATGAAAAGGCAGAGAGTCATCTCTTAGTGGGCTCAGCCTGGTTTTACACTGACGAGTAGTCCTAGCCGTCCATCAACTTTGCATTGATAACATTGCAAAAGCATCTAGACATTTTAATAAGTCCACCATCAAGCAGTTGGCCTGATGCCTTCAAGTTTATAGGTAGTACGCGAACAGCGATATCCTTATAACCGTGCCGTCCCGCGCACCTACACCGCCTCTATAGCGTTTCTGGAAACTGGTATAGTTGGTTGCAAAACCAGTGGATCGTAAGGATACGTGTTAGGATGAGCCAATAAGGATTCTATACACAAATTCTTTCCCATGTAATTGCATACTACTGGTCACCCCATACAAGGCTGACTTGTCATTTGCGATCCCGATACAGTAACGATTGGTAATAGTTAAGCACCTGCAAAGAACAGAGTCAGCCTTGCCTCTGTACTACATTTGTTGATGTGAGCTTCGCCTCCTCAGTGTCGTTGGCTGAGTGAAGAAGCAGAATATAAGTAATCGGCGTTCGTCATTTACTATACATAATCACCTTCTCCTTCAATCACCCACAGAGCACTTGTCAGAATGGTGAGCCGGGACCGCAGGGCCAAAATCAAACCAAAGGGTACACTTTCAAGTGTTTCCTGTCCAGTTTGTGAACAGACGTTCCCGAGACGTAACGACTGGAAGCGCCATGTGAAACCCCACTATGTTGAGAAAATATGGACATGCCCTCTTTGTCCTAAAACAACTACTAAAATTGGGAAAAGCAAGGAGCGATTCAATCGGCCAGATCTGTTACGAAGTCATCTGAGACGCTCAACGGAGCACTATGAAATGACTAAGGAAGCTATTGAAGAAATCATTAGTTCACAGACACCAACAAAGACGGAATTAAAGCCATCCGAATGTCCACGATGCAACCGGAGATTTGACAGTCTCGAACTTCTCATTGGACACTTTATACGGAACCCATTACAACGAATCCAACCTCGCCGCACAGTTAAGTCGGCAGTCCAATGCAGTTCATGTATTGCTTGATAGGGAAAACAGTATGTTGGAAAAGGGGCGGTCCTCCTAGGTTTTCACATACTGATAAATCAGATGTTGGAATCTGTCAGACACGGAACGGCTTAGTATATACAGTGTTGCTAGCGAAACATTCCGTATTGCTAGGTCTCCAGCCCTATCCAAAATGCCTATTGTAATGAGTCATCATGTCGAGCTGGAAAAGATATATTCTAACTTTAGGATGGGCTAGTATACTCTGCTGAGTTATTCCAATACATGAGAGAGATAGAGAACCCAATACGTACATACAATCTTGCTAGTCACTTCTTTTCTTTTCTCATCCCAGTAAACCACTATTCAGGATTGGCCTGGAGTAAACCGAACAATCCGACATCTACATTAAATGTCGCGCTTTCCCGCTAAGCCAAAGCAATTGGACATGCTAGCCGCCTAGACTAGGTACTGTATCAATCCTTCGACCGGGCTGGATTTTGGTAGGTAGCTCAACAGGCTTGCAGTACTAGACAAAGAAATCCTAAGACGCTTGGTGGTCCTTCAATCACAGGGACCCGGTCCGGAGGACGTATATTGATAGTCATAGAACTGAGGAACTCCGAATAATCTATGAATATGGCCTAGTGCCTCTTAGACGCAAGGGTTTAGAAACAATTGCAGTGAGTAAAGGCGCGTACGGTTTTGCAATCAACTGTAGCTATCGATGAGAATTATAAGATGAGAGATTAGAAAATAAAATGTTTGTGATCTGCTCCTTTAATACAAACGACACAAGCCTCCTAAAAAGAGCTAAGCTCAAGGGCCTCCTCATCATTTAGTTGATCAATCTTCCTTTTCACCTTCTGCCTTTCCACCTTCTTCCAATCCAAGATTCTGCGATTAATATGGATATAGCATATCTTATCAATCGTGTCGACCTTCAATCAGTCCCGGTAGTGGGTGTGTGTAGGATTCATTGTTGAGAATGCTCATTCCGACGGTACTGAGTTTCCTGGTGTCTCGAACAATCGCATCGCGAGTCCAGCGAAGCCAGATGAGACAGTATACCGTACAATAAAGAATTATTCATCGGTTCCCTAGATTACAAAATTTGATTTGAACACCTCTCCAATAAGTGACTCATTTCGTTATAGATCACGAACTATTAATTACATGACGTAATAGATTATTGGAGAAGCCATATCTAGCCTCTTGGAGCCAAAGTTGGCTGCGCAGGCGAAAATTGGAATACCCTAGGCGTTATTAGCTTAGTGGCCCTTATTACTTAAATAATCTAATTAAGGTCGTAAAGTTATCTTTGGGCTAGTGAGATTATATGGCTCTGATGGCTTTAAACGGGATTGAGTTGCCGCGCTTCCTGCCCGGACAGCTGCCCCTGCTTAACCCTAAGGCATATGGCAATTCTCTTCTATTCCGTTACAGAATCTGCTAGCTGGTTGCTTAGAGATGGATGAGACATATATAAACCCCCCTTCCATTCCGCATCCAGATACATGTATTACTCACGGTTGCTGCGGTCCGAACATACAAGAGAACACAGTCAAGATGAGACCTAGCCTGGAAAATGCCTGAGCCTCCTCCTTCCTGTCTCGTGCCTCGTTTTTCCTTACGTTCTTGTCATATCGCGTGACTCCGACTCTCCTTTGTCTCTGATCTGATTTGATCATTGTTGTTACTACGTACGTATTATTATCGCCTTAGTAGACGCTCCTTGACAAGTTGACATTTTGACTTGACTCGACGAGGACAGATGACGGGATTCCAAGTTGTCTAGCTTTTTCTTAAAAACCGATTTGTATATCTCATAATGAGGCCTTTCCTCTGTCGATTCCCGGGCCTGAAACCATTTCTCCTTTCCATCATCGTTGTATTCACATTTGCTTCCAAAATTTTGCATCTTTTCCAGCATCGGCGGACTGTTCAAGGTTCATCCTTTTTACTATATCTACCCACCTTTTTTCTAACCGATTTCCTTGTTTCAATCATTGCATGTCTGGCGTTGTCGAAGCTTTCTGGGTCTTTGGGTATTGCTGGATTCGCTATTGTTACTTTCATAGGGTAAGTTTATCTCTTCTCTTCTCCGATACTATCTAACCAGCGCAATACTAGTGTCGTTGACGTTGGTGCTGTCTCGTCACAATTTGGGTTTTTCTATGTCACTGGTGCCGAGGTGCGGTGGAATGCTGCATCCACCCTCGCGTCAGATAAAGCAGGATTCAAACTGCTGTTGAGCGGATTGATGCCTTTCTTTGCTTTCAGCACGCTGCTTCTTACTCTCAGCTGGATATTGGCACCGCTGATCACTTTCATCCTCGGTTCATGGCTTAATGCTGATGGCAATGCATTCGTCGGGCTCTCGCTTCGCTCTCGCCAATGCCTTCCTCTCACCAACAAGCCCAAGGAACCTAGACGGCGGAAATATTTGGCGCTGTCTATTTCCCTGATTGCGTTATTCATTATCCTAGGCATCAACGTATACCGACCACAAGTGCCATACGATCACATGTCCGGAACAATACCGTTCACACTTGCAGCGGCGTTTCAAAAACAGAACTCGATTTGTCTTTCAGACCAACAACTCTTCCCGTTGTCCGATTTAGTGGCACCGAACTTGTGGGAACCCGAGAACGGTCGATATAAGGGTTGGAAACCCGGTTCTCAACCATCTGCAGTCGACTCGGCCACCCTAAAGGCACCACCATGGGCTCCCGAAAGCTGGCCCGCGGGTTTTGGAAGGTGGATGAAAGTATATAACTCAACACAGGATACCTTACTAGCTATGAGCGGTGTTGTATGCCCCGGGGGTAATCTATATAATACATACGACCCCGTGCTAGATCCCATGCGAATAACCAACTTGGATCTCGATGTGCTGGCTCCGGTCCAGGAAGCGTTGAGAGATCACGCAGTCCCAATCAAACACGTCTTTCTGATCGAGATGGAAAGCGCACGAAAGGATGTATTCCCCCTGAAAGCGAGTTCGCACCTGTACCAACAAATCATAGACGCTCACGAACCAGCGAATGAGGAGGATCTTTATGAACTCAATTCCAGACTGGCTGCCATGACGCCGGTTGCCGAACAAATCACTGGGGAATCTGGAAATTTCAACCTGAGATCAGACCAACTACGAAATAACCTTACCGCTGATTCATGGAAGGATCCGTCAGCGCCAGGAATGGGTGGTATAAACGTCGTTGGTGCACTGACCGGAAGTAGTCTCTCTTTCAAGAGCCTTGTGGGTAGTCACTGTGGCGTGGGTCCTATTCCCGTGAATTTTATGTTTGAGATCGAGGCTGAGGTTTATCAACCATGTATTATGCATATCCTAAAGCTATTCAACCAACTCAAAAAGGAAGGTCAGAATGAGGCGACAGGAATGCGCTCACAAAAGTGGAAATCGGTCTTTCTACAATCAGTCACTGGAGAGTTTGATAATCAGGTTCAGTTGAGCCTGCAAATGGGATTTGAAGAATCTATTTTCAAAGAGAATATTAGCACTGCATCTGCAAAGCACTGGCATAACGGCATGAAAGAGATTAATTATTTTGGGTAAGTGAATTATTCTGTTTTTATCGACAGCGGGTTAATATGGGTATCAGGTATGAGGAACCGGAAATTTACCCCTATCTCAAAGATACCATACAATACGCCAATGCGAATGGAGAAAGACTGTTCCTGACGCACTTCACGAGCACTACACACCATCCCTGGGGACTTCCGGCAGGCGTTGAAGTTGAGGATTACTGGCCTCGCAACGGTTTTGCATCAGCACACGAGGCCATGAATAAATATCTCAATTCCGTGCGTTATGTCGACAAATGGCTTGGTAATGTCCTTGGGCTTATTGAAGAGACTGGAATCGCAAACGAGACGTTGATAGTTTTCGTGGGTGATCAGTAAGTTTAGTTTTCTGGGGTATTTTTTTTTCCTTTGCAGTTGCTAAGATTAAATAGCGGACAAGCCTTTGAGGAAGATCACCATGTTACTGGTACGTTTGAGAATGGCCATATCAGCAATTTTCGAGTCCCTATAGTGCTCCGTCATCCGCTACTTCCCCGTCTTGAGGTGCACGCCAATGCAACGTCGATGTCTGTCGTACCCACAATCCTGGATCTACTGATCAACACGAATTCCCTGAACGATGTGGATAAGGATGTTGCGTCTGATTTAATTCAGGAATACGAAGGTCAATCATTATTAAGACCTTACAAAAACAGTCACAACGGTCGACAAGCGTGGAATATGGGTATCATCAACACCGGAGGCACGATGTTAAGCGTAGCGTCAGCAGCTGCGCCTTACCGACTTGTGCTCCCCTTAACCCGAGATTTCACGTATGCCTTTTCGGATCTGTCAAAAGATCCGCATGAGACTGATCTTTTGGAAGACTGGGATTTTTATTCCCTGGTTCATACCGTCAAAAGAAAGCATGGCCATGATGCAGCACACTGGCTGAAGGATGCTGAGAAAGTAGCGAGATGGTGGGTGAATGAGAGAAAGCGACTTTGGAATTACCATGAGGGATGAGTAGATATATTGTGTATAGTACGAATATCAAATTTATGATACACCAACCACCGGCACCAACCAGGCTGAGTGATCTACAAGCTCAATAATGACCCCTGATAGATAGATAGATAGATATTTATTACGCTCGGAGGGACTAACCTGTAACAACGTTACGTGGGGTATGTATCGTTACGTTCGAGAGGGATCACAGAAGGCTAAGCACATGTTGGAGATGTGGAACGGTGTAATAACACGGTAACACTTCCTTTTACTCGCAAATTCTATATCAGCGTATCTCTTGATTGATTCCTCGCTCTGTCTATTTCTAACATGGTGAATTCTCCTCTATATCGAAGAATCCAAGCCCCTCGCTATAAAACGTGTCTTTCCTTAATTGGCTGACCAACTAGCCAACTAGGGGCCGACTCGAAGTCGATTCGACACCTCATATTATCTAACAAGAGGCATCGCGCGCCTACAATATGAGGCTTGCAACAAGATCCACGATCCTTGCCAATACTTTGTTCCCAATCCGGTAAGGCCTGGATAGATTACCAAGTTTGCAACAGCACACAAGGTAGGGTATGGAATGTGTTGGAACTAATTCTTGGCAAAGCCATATATGGATTAGCTCCTAAGAACGCGCAATTGCTTCAATTGCAAAATATCGAGAATTTTCTACAGAAATCGACGCTGGTTGAGCGTTACAAATCAACCTTTCTTTGCGCATATCGGGAATATTCGATTTACATCATTTGTCGCTCTCTATGATATCATGTATATAAGATTTTGCATATAAGAAGGATCAAAATCCTCAAGCAGCAATGCTGAAGGATGTGCAATAATATATCGAACAAATTTGACCCCCCCATTTCTTCCTTAGACGCTTTTGTCCCATTCTGACCGCTTCCCCTAAACGTCTTAGTGCGATTTGGTTCCAATAGGAGAAGTCCAATAGGAGGCCTATGTCACGTGGATTATACATCACATACCCCACCTAGTTATCCCACCATCGATAAAGCCCACTACCCTCTCCACAATTCACGATAAACTGTTTAGTGACGAACTATACAGTCCAAGCTTTCCCAAATCCGCCAAGGTAAGACGTTTAAACCATGACCAGTTTTCGTGATAACCACTAGTCCACCGTGGGTAGCTATCCACCCCCTTCCCTGTCGATCCTCCAGCTCGCCCAACTCTACCCGGAAGAAGAAATGAAGCGCAATCGATGGAGGCAGTATTGGTCGTATAACCTGAACGGCGTAATTCAAAAGAGCCAAGATGACCTATGTATTTAGAGGAAGCAATGCAGGTTGCTGGAATCAACTTATGGCCCACAGTCATCTTCCCCTTGTAGCGAGAGCAAGCGTCTTATGCCTGAGGCAAAAGTGTACGTCTCCACAGCGGGCTCGGTATTTAATTACTCTGGAAACCCGCCGCTTTCTGAAGCGGGGTTGCGCACCTTTCCCATGGACAAGCTTCTTGACTTCGAGGTTCGTTTAGGAGCTGAAATCCCGTCCTTGTACAGTCTAACATTGTTCTTTAGTTGGCGGCCTAGTCGTGATGGACGGCGCTCTCGCTGTTTCGGATTTCCATCGTATCGCGGTGGAGACTTATCCAGATTTGCCTCCCCACCAAGCCATCTTGAAATTTCACCGCGATAACTACGAACTCATACCTGAACGAATCCGCTTACAGATATCTGACTTGGTGAAGGAAATCAGTGAACGTTTACACTTTAATCGCATACTTGGGTGGGGAGGGACAGAGGCTGACACAGCAAACGAATCACTATCAAACATCCTCGACTAGATGAGAGGACAGAACGAGCTTTTGAAGAACATTCAAAGCCAACTAAAGATCTATCAACGACCGGACATATTTGGGCAGCTAGCTGCAATCTCAACTTCCGCTGCAGCCGTCTATCAGATAAAAAGATTGGCAGATCAGACCGAGCGTGTTGCTGGCTTTCTGAAAGGCATCGAGCAGAATTTGAGCTCACACCACATCCGCGGTGAACATTTTCCTCAACATGTTCATTCGTACATACGGTTATTGATTGAGAGATACACTTCCGATACCGTTCCTCACTATTTCACTGTACTCAACAACAGCGATCTGTGGCATCCCAAGTTTGCCGATATTCAGCGTGAAGATCCACTAGGCCCATTATATCTCGGACATAGAACGGACCTCGACGAACCATGCGCATTTCTGGCAGAAGAAGTACGCCCTTAAGTTGGACTAAGTGCTGTTTTACACGTTTTGATGCCTACAGTTGATCCTTTATCTCTTGAAGAGGCGATCAAGTTTCCAGAGGCCATGCGTCCATTCAAGATCGACGGGCAAACTGGCCACGGGGGAACAAAATTTGTGTACATCTGTACCCTAGAAGTACAAGACCAGGAATGCCTGAGCGGTGTCGGAGTTCTCAAACAAAGGGAGATTTGGAGGATGGAAGGAGGGATAGGGATTCCTTTCACCCCGCTGATTGCGTCTTTTGATAAATATTTCGTCGATCCCGGTTACAAGGTTACCACTGATGTGGGCTTGATACTCGCCGGTGGGGGGTACTATTCTTGTGGACTCAAGCCTCCAAGGACCTTAGGTCAGCGGACAACACGACCGTGGTCTTGAGATACTGAATCACTGGGCATCATATTAAAGGCTCATCCTAGTTACTGTATGAGTGCGCAAAGACGAGAGTCGTCCCTAGACAATGTCTTGTGTGTTCAGAATCATTCGAATAGTTTAGATAGACAGGACACCGATTTAGTACTACGTAGATTGGTGTGTTACTGGCGTGCGAGTCTCATATATGGAAGAGCCCCCTGAGTCTAGGCAACGATACATATGATTTACGAGCGTATTGAATGTGCGGAATCGCATTACCTCAGGGAGAAAATTACACGAGCCAGGGTTATTCCGGATCTAGCCGTATATAGACTAGGAAATTATTAGCGCTGTCTCAGAGGAAAGACAAGAGAGTGTGTGTTGTTACTCTAAAGGTGCAAACTACTATATCTTCTCCAAGTGTGCGGTGTCCTATCTTCGGCGGCCGCAGCAAGATCTACTTGAGGGGAGGGAGTAGAATTGGGGGGGGTGGTTAGGGATATGTTGCTTCATTTTTCACTGTGTAGATTAAGGTTCGGATTCGAGTTTCTGTTCCAATCTCCCTGTTGCAATCGCGTAGTTGATTACAGCATGGACGGTCTTCATATCTGGTTGCCATAGATCCGGATCCGAGCGCGATTTTCCTCCTAAGAAGAAGGATAGATTGCTTCGTCTTGACTCTGTGCTTTGGTTCATACCTCCTCTAGTTGTTGTCCATCTCGTGCAGCGGAATAGGAAGTGTTCCATTGTCTCGCTTGCTTGGCCACAGGCGCAAATATCGAACTCTGCTGCGCCTATCTTGTTCAAATAGCTATTTAGCCTTGTCTTTCCTGTCCGAAGCTGGACTAGGTTTTTGCCTCTCTCCGGTTCATTCCATCGTATAAGGTTCTTGTGTGTTTCCTGGAAGAGATATCGATGGCCTTTTGAGTATTTCCCAATATCTGCAGGGAGAATCCATTCTTGTTGTTGTTCCGTAAGGGTGAGTCTAAGTGCAGTCGATTTAGCTTGAAATGGTTGCTTCTCTGGTATACGTTTCATGTCCATCGATTTCCGTGCTTCGGCTTTTGCTCGTTGTCTCAAGTTGATATCTGTGTGGGCTGGAATCCAAATTGCATTAACCGCGTTTCCTCGCTGCTGTAAGCTCTGAATCTGTTTATATATCTGCTGGATGGTTTCTTGGCCAGATTGTTGACGGGGTTGGCGATTTGCTGCTAGTGCGGATCTGTTGCTACTCAGGAGGGATATCCATCTCTGGCATGTCTCAGGCGGGATACGTTCCAGGGCGGTTTTCATCGCTTCTAAGTCTGCTGTGTAGGGATTTTGTTCTGTCCTTTTGCCTAAGGTGATAGAGTAGCTGGACATGTCGTTCCCGTTATTGCCCGCTTGAGTGTCTCTTATACAACCCCCAATGCCCACAATCTCCGATCTGCTGGATGCACTTGTAGAAATTAGAATGCCAACTGCCTTACGAGCAATCTCAATGGCTGTATCCCCATCTTTTTCCTATATCGTTAATATCCGGCCTGCCCACAGTGGTAATGTGAATGCCTGGATAGTTTCTATTCGCTCAGTTTTTGTTGCTTCTAGTGGCTGAGCTATCATCTGCAATGGAGACCTAAACCTTCGGGTTGTAATGGTTCTCAGTTTCCTCAGTGGGTTCGATTTGGGTAAGGTCTGTATGTCGATCCACAGTTTCGTAGCTTTCTCCATGTGTCGATTATGGAAAGGTTGAATCCCTGCTTCTGCTTCAGCCACTGCAGTTGCAACTGTCCGAAAGGCTCCTGTGACAGCAATAGCTCCATGTTTCTGCATTCTATTTAAATATTGTGTTCCCCTTGTTCCACAGGCGTGCATCCAGATACTAGATGCGTAGTCTGCCACTGGCGCCACTGTAGCCACTGTAGCCCTAAACAGTTGCATTGCTGTCCGTGGAGATATTATCTTCAGTCTTCTCAGCGCCATAGCTGCCTCAAGTCCTTTGGTAGCGGCATTGGCAACGTGTTCCGGATCTTTGCACTCTCCTTTGGTTCGACGGTTTCGCCTTTGATCCTAAAAGAGAGTTGAGAATGGCTACGCAGTGTTGTGTAGCAGTCCGCGAAGTCAAAACTATTATGATGCTTATCCTGATTAGATTTAGCTCACATGCTAGTCGTTTAAAGGCTTTCGCAACCCGACCAGTAGAAGTGATTCCTTTGGGGAAAGTCGCCTTCTCAATGAGAACTTTCCAAGTCAAAATTCCGGTGGAAAATCTTTCATCGTTGGGGCCACCGGCCGGGAGAGCTTTGAAAGGACACGTCTACAATATCAACCACGTCGACGAGCTTTCTCATCGTTTACCTACCTGCCACCAATCGATACTCACCGGATTTTGCTCGCGGTGACGCACCTGCCCTACCGGTTCAGCCACATTTCAATTCATCAGTCCTTCGTCTGCTATCTTGAGTTGTCACCAGCGAGGCGTTCAGCTACTTCGGGCGATAATGTGAGAAGTACTCTTGGTAAATCGCTACTAAGGGAAGAGGTTCACAAAACTACACCGAGAATGGACGCGTGGGGAATCTGGTGTCTTAGAGGGATGGGTTATTGCATTTGGGGAATATGACTACGACGACAAAATGGAGACGTTCAAGACATAGTGTATGAGCTAGAGGGGTTTTCGAAGCTGGTACAGCTTTTCCTCTCGACTTAAGACCATGACCACATTGTCTATAATGCAGGGCAAATAGCGTGTTGGAGCCCTTTAGGCTTGCCTCCGGGCGTAATGAATATACTACTAGTCATTCCTTTGTTTCGATGCCTCTTAGATACATCATCTACGCAACATAAGTATAACTTATAGTCCATAGGCGAGAGCAAGCGAAATAAACTTCTATTCGGACTCAGGAGTCAGCCTTCTCCTAGCTGGGTTACACCATACTAAATCCCAGCATCTGCTCTCTTTGTAACAACTCTAGCTAGCTACATGGCATACCCTGCGAGGAAAGGTTGATTATAGAAATTAGATAACATTAACTCGAGAAGATACGCCACACGCCTCGTCGTACATCTAATCTTTCGTCTTCAGCAGTATATATTGCCCCATGTCTACTACCTCTCAGAAGAAAATCGAGTAGCACATTCCTCTTTATAAGCCTTCAGTTGCTCCATCTTTGCCTGCGCAAACAACTCCACCTCTGCACGCGTCTTGTCGTCAAGCGACTCAGCACCCATACTGCCGTCATGCAGCGCCGCCCAATAGATGATGTCCACGTCGAAACTCTTTCTCGCTGCATAATCGAACCAGAAGCGGCCAGTCCTCCACGAGTCGCGCATGCGAGTAGAAAGAGGTGGCCCACTGGATTGCTTGCACTCTAGTGCTGTTTCGTCTTCCACTTGTTCCAGCGCTCGCAGGAACTGGGTCAATCTGGGCTCATAGAGAGTCAAGAACTCATCCTTAGCGCAGCGTTCAAGCCACATTTCTGGCCCAGACAACAGCAACCACCAAGGCGGGTCATACGTGAACTCGGCCGGCATGGCATTTGTGAATTTCAAATCAAGTACGGCGGTAATACTTAGTGTTTCCGGGTTTACAAGCATGTTCGACGGTCGCATGTCATCACTGAAGGGTATAAATGGTCCACTATCCTCAACGTAGTACTTTTGGATAAGCTGTGTGAATCGATGACGGGCAATAAACCGCTTCTGCGCAATTTCTGCATTATCTGCGAGGTTGCGCTGGGTCCAAAGGTGGGTTATGTGTTCGTTCGCAATTGATCTCAGATAATCGCTAGCGCGGTCAAATGGTGTGATAGGAAATTTATTATCAAGATAGCCAGAAACGGTCGCCAACTCGTTCATGTTGTATGTTAAGGGTCGTCCGGCAACATACCATGTATCTGAATCGTGATCCTTCGAGATAGCTCCAATGCGAGGAAATGTAAGTTGAGAAAGTTGAAGCATGTAATGGGCGATTTGACGATAGATCTTATCCAATATTGTGTTGTCGATATCTGGGTTTAGAATCACGTCTTCTTGATCTGGTTGCTTCAAGATGGTTGATAATAGTACTCCTTCAATATAATCCATGATAATAAATGGGCCAAGTTGTGGGCTCTCGGCGCTTAAGCCCCAGCTATGAACACGAGGAATAGGAATATTAGTGTTTTGGCGGAGGTATTCCATGATCTGGACCTCGTTTGTAACCTTTTCATCCCTATAAGCTGTAGCGGTGTGTCCTGGTTTTGGGAACCGAATAATGGCGTCCGGCCCTCCATCGTCAAAGCTGAAGCGGAAGCTGAAGTTGAAGGAGCCTTTAAGAAAACCGATATACTTTCCACTTCCCTCTCCTGCCCGGCGCGTAGCAACAAAATTTGCTAATTCAACCTTCAAGTCGAAAACTCTCTTTAACCATGCCTTACATTCATCATCGCCGTTGGTCTCCTCTATCTCGTCAAGATATGTCTTGAGTGAGGATGTCTTTTGTTGAGGCATGGGACACAGATAATGATGGATAAAAAGAATACTCCAGTCTAGACAGAAAAAAGACGGAAATATCTAGGGTAAGTTCTTCTTGGAATCAAGAGCAATATAAATTGGGCTGTGTGGAGGGTAGGAAAAGGAAGTGAGTTTTGTATTTCATTTTTAGAATGGGCAAGCAGGCATTCAAAAACAATGTTAAGATCCGATCCGCTACCCTCAAAGACAGCAAGAACACGACATTCATCCACTGTAATTCCTCCACCGACAAGATATACGTCTCGGTGGCCACGTACCCTCCGTCGTTTGTCGGTACCTGTATCAGAATATCCTAAGATGGTTGCAACGCTTTCTCTTATAAACACCTAATAAATCCTTTGGCCATACGGTAATCACAATAATCTCGCGCTCTCCTCGGTTTTCCAGCGACCACTGTCGCTCTATGGCTCGTCTCTAGCTGCTAGTAAAATATAAGAATCGGGAACCACTTTCTCTTTCCCATGAGAGATGTTCTCCGCACACACGTAAGTGTCCTTCATTTAGCATCCGGTTGGTACGGCATTCGATACGAAATAAAATTGATGGTTTCTCATAATGTTGCAGCGAACGAATGACATTTTGTTGTTGGGAGTTCTGATCAGCTTGTATAGTAGCGAATCTGCTCTACTGTAGCAAGAAAAAGGAGTAGGTTTGGAAGTACTGTACTATACTATATCATTTACAATGATCTTTCAGAATTATGCAGCGGTTGGGCTTACGTGATATATTAATGCAGGAACAACTGATAATCTCCATGGGCTATAATATATGATTGTACATCCTGCTATATATAGCTATCTATACTATGTATACGGTGTAGCATAGTGTAAAGAAATCGGTGAAGACCCAGAAGGTTCATATCGTCCAGTGGCAGTGATCAATGACCAGCTGCGTGTAAGTGTTGATAAGGATATGATTCGATACGTTAAATCTCTATATATCTCTCTTATCTTAATTACATATAACTCAGGGGTTGAGACTATAATTAGCCTCAGAATCACTATCCTAGTCAACATGTGACTTTACGACCATATTCTTTACATATAGCAACTCTGTTGCCTGAATACACCAGCTACTTAAATCACAGGCATGTCTAATCATACTTTGCAGGATCATGTCAACTGTGGCCAACATCGGTACAAGCTATGGGCCATATCACACGAGATACCAATGGAAGCCTTAATAGGGGCACTAGTAAAAATAGTAGACAATGTCATAGCCAACGGTAATAGTATCTTCCCACAGGGTATATCCACCGCATCATGTAACGGGAATATAAATGTGTCGTGGGAGCATCTACGTCCGAACACAACCATGGGCATGGCTATGCTTCGTACTGGTGGTGGTTCATCTGTCATTCGTGGTTATCCTAGCGACGTCTCACTGGCTTTGTTCTTGACTACATGCATCCTCCAATGTTGCGAAGCGAAGGATGCTAAATGCGATAACCTAAAGTCGTATAGCATAATGGAGAATCATGTAGTTAAATTGATAGGAAGCGATAGTTTGAACGGGCTGCGCCAAAGACTATTGGATATGACGCCTATGGCTCGAGCTATAGATACACAATATTTCTATTAAGCTTAGTTTGTGGCCCAATGGATCTATGGTGCAGCCATTTTCAAAATATTAGGCAACGACAACTCTGTTATCTATACTGCACTATTCGAGAGATACGCACAACTGCACATGACGAGAGTAACATCTGCAATGCCACCAAAGGACCAAACATACCAATGTCTATCATGCAAAGACACATGCTCATATGTATCGGAATTTCCTGAGACATGCCTCGCATCATTGACCGATGGCCATTCCTGTGATTCTACCAAAATAGTTGAGAAGTGTCTCTGTGAGCCAGGTCAGCGACTTTATTTGATTGAGCGTGCACATTGGACGGAGAGCCAGCAAGATAAAAGTAGAGAGCATAGCGGGTATGGCCTATACCTCGTGCACCTATAGTGGTAGTAACATTTATATAGTACCTAGGCGAAGTAAACTTACAGAATTTGCGTGTATGTGTATGTGTGTTATTATTCAACGGCCGTGGTTCATGATTTGTACGTTTCCCACAAATTCCCTATTGGGACAAAGGCCGCCAGGGGGTAAACCTTGGGTGTCACTATAGCTATATAAATGTCACTAATTATATATACAGTCGCACCAGAAATCTCCTTCCCAATTGCATACATACACATTCATTTTCAAACCCTAACGCCAAGTGTTGTCTACTTGTATATAGCTAGCCTGTTTTAAAAGGAACCAATTACTAACTGTACATACGCCAAGATGACCCATAATCAGTCTATTTATAGATTAGTACTCTTAGCATTAGGGTTTAACATGTTAGAAATAGACAGAGCGAGGAATCAATCAAGAGATACGCTGATATAGAATTTGCGAGAAAAAAGGAAGTGTTACCGTGTTATTACACCGTTCCACATCTCCAACAGATAGCTACGTGAAAGATCTGGTGCGAGCTTCCCCAAATATCAAACTTGCCTGGTGCCAAACGCTCCGGAATTCGGAACTATAGATATCCGTCAAAATTATTGGCTCTCAGTCAATAGAACGTGCGGTGAGCGTGCAGACATACCGTATATAGACTGACTCCAGCGCCATAAAAAGTAAGCTCGAGCAGATACCATCTAATTCCCGAGTATTGGAGCATGTAATCAAGCCCGTATCATTGAACTCCATGTAGTAGGGGTATAAACGATGAAGCGCCAAAAATAATGAAGGTACCTACTTTTATATTCCGCCAGCGCGGCGTCTTGAGCAACGGATTTGAGATTAGAATACTGGTAACAGTACCCATAGCTAAGACCTGGATCCCATGTCAGCATATCATGGAACTTGGCTGCCATATCGCTCGAAAATTCTTACCATAGCCCAGTGCAGCTGTTGCCAGCTGGCTTCACAGAAGAATACATAGTAGATGCCAGAAAACAATGTGCCCACTGTCATAAAGACAATACCAAGAAGATCCATTCCATGCCAGAACTGTTCTACTTGATACGAGTGGGGTTGCATCAGATGGTAAAGTGCGCTGAGGATCAAACAGACTTCTGAACACCAGAAGTAGATTCCAAACACAGCGTAGTCCATAGTCGAGACATTAAGAAATTTAGGCTCTGCCAGGTACCGCAGGAGGGTAGTTGCGACGAGTGGTAGGAGCAGAGCCCCAATCAGATGTGTGTACACATTGCAAGACTCATTGTGCAAGAACGTCAGGCTGCGAAAAATCTTCGGATAGTCTGCATTTGCTGGTCGGTAGCCACGGAGGATATACTTGTTGTCGAACTGCCATCCGAAGATCTTCTGCCCTGTTACGGTTCGCTCTGGCTGGTATATGGGATCGTTCGTGGGGTTCATATTGATTTCCGCCACTTGCCGTCTTTTGTGTTTTGGTGCTGATATGATGCTCTCCCGAATATCCGAGCTGCGCAGGCTATCAGGCGCGCACAGGAGGGCAAAAGGAGTAGATGACGGGAACGAGATCAACCAAAGGCTTGGGGGGCAGAGCAACGGATAAGCGTCACAAAGAAAATGTGATGTAATACAGTAATAAAGGGTTTACTACAGTAGATTGTAATAAAGTGATGGCCGAGGAAAGTATGGTCAGAGAGATAGTGGCTTAAATCATTTATCTAGGGCAGGCGTGAGGAAATGCATGCATTGCCTATGACAGCTCGCAAGCAGTTTCCGTATTGTATTACACTATACAGTTTCGAAACATACCTAAAATAACCCACTAACTGCATATGCTTTAGTTCTGTTCATGTTAGGGTTTCAGAATCACTCTTTATGTGTACAGTTGGGAAGGAGATTTCTGGTGGGACTGTACTTAGTGGCCTGCATTCATTATTTGAAGTGTCCGGTTTGCATTACAAGTCAGCAGGTTTGTTCAAAATATCCTTGTATTTTTTGTGGTAAATCTCTAACAATGATTGGCATGCAACCTACTATTATCCGTCAGTCTCTGCTGTTCTCCACCAGTGTTCCGTACCATTTCATGAGAGCTAGAGAAAACATGTTTCTCTTACCGGTTGTACGTCAAGTCACATTCTAGCTAATATAAATATGTTACATTAGGTGTCGAAACATGGTGCTGGACACAGCCAAGGAGCTGATAAAAAGCTGGCTGGCCGGTTGTAGTTCTTCAATAGTTTTGCAAGTACATATAAGTAATGGCAAACAAGCGAAGCGGCTATGTAGTTGAGAACCGGAAAAGATTCGACTGAATATGAGGCCCTATAAGGGTTTGGTAATTATGTGGTTTTTATAGGCTATTTCTATCAGAAAGATCGTCCTAATTCTATTGAAGATTAGCTAGCCATCTTGGGGCAATACTTGGACACTTACCGTCGTACATCTCAGTAAATCGGAAGTCTCTTTCTTATCAGGGCTCAATATAGCCCTCAAATCGTCATGAAAGCTTACAGAATCCCCCGCCCAAAATGTCTAGATAAACCCGGCTTCGACATCTGATGTATACAGAAAGGCGGAGAACCCCATACACACGATCTTGCTAGTCACTTCTTCTTTTCTCATCCTGTTTTCTCATCTTAGTAAACCACTACCCAGGATTGGCTGAAATAAAACCACTAATCCGACAATTCCCGGCTGACAGTAGGAAGTTGTAGGCCCTAGAAAGAATATTTGCGAACAGTAAATTCATCAGTCCATCTAGCTAAAGAGAGGAAACCCGTCTAGTCTTTATAGTATATAGCACCTAGGAGTTTTGAACCTGGTTCATGTAGAATATTCTCAACGAGCAATTCGTCGTAGTATCCGCAATGTTTTTTTCTTTTTTTTTATTTGAATCGTTTTTGTTGTATTCGAATGTATCTAATAAAACTAAAACTTCTTCTGTTCAAGAAACGGTGAGTCTCACAATTTCACGGGCCAGCCCGGGCCATATTTCTCCTCTTGAATATTAAATTCAACTGGCCCGGCATAAGAGTAAAATTATCCTTCATGCTCCCCTCCATTGCGGCTTGCACTTCTTCCATTGTCATCGAGCTTGGAAGTGAGATATCGTATGTATGAATGAGTTTGGCTAGTGTCATGCGTAGATTGAGCATAGCCAAGGGCCTACCGACACAGCTATATGATCCTATATCAGGAGCAACGGAGTTGTGGTTAGTATTGGTCGTGACTTTTGGCTTATTTAGGAAGAAGGGGATCTCTTTACCGATAGTAAATGGCGCAAACGAATCTTCATATTTGATCATTTCGCGCTTGGAGTACCATCGCTCCGGGATGAAGTCGTCGGGCCTTTCGTACAGATCTTCGCCTAAAACACAAGCACTTAGTCAGATTCTTGTATACCATATCCACAAGGTGAAAAGTGTGAAGGGTGAAGACTGACTTCGTCCCAGAACATAATGAGGCGTTGAGACTACGACATTCCCTGGAATGTACGTCTCCTCGTCTATCCACACCCCCTCAGCGGGTGTTAATCGCCATAATGCAGTAGGTATAGGTGGGTAGAGGCGGAGAGTCTCATTGATAATACCATTTAGGATATCTATGCCCTTGATGTGCTGTGCTCTGATTTCTGTCTCGTCGACTGGTAGAGATGCGGAAATCGCCTCGCGGAGTTCCACTGTAATTTGAGGGTTGAGTGCGAGTTTGTAAAGAGCACATACTATGGCTGCGGAGGTGGTATCGCTATTAATGATGAGTTAGATCATACTTGGGCAGTTAAGTTAGCAAAGAAAACTTTACCTTCCAGCGACTACAAGTAACTGTGCCTCTCCATGTAGTACTCGCTTCTCAGCTGGCGTTAGTTCCCTATCCTTACATGGACTGAGTAGGGACGATGCAATGACTGGCGAGTCTGGTTTCTATTAGTCATATCTATTAGCTGAATCTCGTGCTCCGTATTTATTGAATAACAGACTTACCAATCTACAATTCTCCATTTGCTCAAAACAATACGCAACAAACTTGCTCCACTTCCGAGTCAGACCTGGTATCGCAGCAGCAACCCGTATCAACCAAATAGGCAACATGAACCCAATTAGAGCCATTGATTCATTCAACATGTCAATAGCCTTATGACTTTTGCCGGTGCCTAACATGTCAAAATCTGTTCCGTAGGCGACTTTACCCATAACATCGAAGGCGTAATGGTTGATTAGACGGGTTACATTTACCAGTCCATCATCTTCGTCTTTTGAATCCCGATCAATACGCGCTAAGAGATTTGCGTGGATCTCGTGGATACTGGCTTCATAATAGGGTAACCTGGTCTTTTCGAATGCCGACCCCCAAAGTTTCCGACGCTGCTTATGCAGATCCTCATCTCGAGTTGTCTGAATAGAGGTAATAGGCTTATTAATATCATAAAACGGAGCTTTGCGACCTGTATCATGAATCTTCTTAAGGGCCTTTGGGCTCACAATGGATAGATCATTGGAACCCACACGAACGATTGAACCATATTCTCGATGGGCGGAGAGGAGAGTGAGATGCGCTTGTTTCCGTTGTCGGACTTGAAAGAAGAGCCAGAGACTGCTGATTCGGGCACTTGGGGGCCCTGGGAATCTATAGAGTGGATGGATGGGACTGAGACGGTAGAGGACGCAGTTATGTAGAGGCCGGCGAGGAAGGAGATTGCTGTCCGAATTGTGGTTTGGATGGATTCAGAGAATGTATATTCCTGCCTCCAGGTGAGATATGCTGTTGAAATGCCGCAGGCCACGAGGAACTGTATAAAATAGCTAGCACCATGGAGATGATGCTCCCCATGATGGAAATAAGTGATGAATGCTACAGCACCTAAGAAGGCTGCGGCGAGTATGCCCAAGCATGCCATTATGCTACAGTATAGCTCCAATTACCTTGCGCAACAACTTGAAATTCTCTTAATGTGCAGATAACATGAATTTAGATATAAGAGAACAGTGCTTTATATCTTTCAGCTCAACGATCACATGAGTGGATTATATACATAAATATTAACACAACTAGGCATTCATCAAGCTGTAAGTTCTCTTACTCACAGCATGATCAAATACGTACATGTAACTGTTTAAAGTGTTTGTCATCACCAGGATCATCACAGCAAAATTTCAAAATGCTAAACCAGAATTTCTACGATTTTAACCATCTAAAATATGCGACTGTATAACGCAAGCAAAACAAATATTAACTATTTAAGTTACTAGTTATGTATTAGGCAATCTTAAGCAAGGTGCATTTGTATAAGGATTTGGATACCTAAGACTTAAAGCTAGCTGAATTGAAGCAGCTCTCATCGACACAGACAAACTTGATTACCATATGTTAGCAAATCTGCGTATTCCCGCGTCTATCGCTGTGCCCACAGCAAGATGACGTGATTGTTGGCTTACCGTTGGATTGTACGTAAAAATCTTAACGGTATATCTCAGCATATCAGGGTACAAGTCACAAAGAAGCCTAGGTCTGATTTAGCTGATGACTCATGTAGCCTACTCAACGGACTTAAATGTCGTCTGCCCAGCTCCTCAAGAATTTTGTCTTGCTGAAGAATTCACGACATTCAAATTCTTGAACGTTTAGCCGATGAAGTTCCTCTTCTTTCATATTACAAAGGCCATATACATCTACACCTCAGCAATACTTACAAGGCATCAGACGACGACATCTATCAGAGTATATCTGCTATCTGTATTGCGGATGATTGCCAGCAGTCGGGTGTCCCTTTAGCTGTCCGTATAGGTTACGACCCAAATACAACTTTTTATCATGGCTATTAGATTCACTTAAAGCCGTCGTATCTGTTCTTAATAGATTAGACTACAGACAGATGCGAAACCTCCTTCTGTCACGGACCTGGATCCACCTTAGTTCTAACAGCGGTGCGTCGTGATACGTTAGGATAATTGAACCTCGCACAGGTTCCGACCAATAATATAGTGGAGCGTAGTGGATGGTATGTAATGGAGTATCGGACAGTACTGAGACGGTGACTGAGAATAGTAACAAAACTAAGATAGAAGAGATCCCCCGTACAGCCTGGTGCCCGTACGAGTTAGAATGCCTTGCTGACTCTCACTGTTGTATTCAAGTGACTTATGTCAAAGAGCTATGAAGAACTAAATACATGATGGTAAAGAACGTCCTTATATATCCAGTCCTCCACGTTTTGTATACCTTATATCGTATACTTTAAAAGTAGCAAGTATAAAGTATACGATATCCTTCCAATAATATCGTGTTGTTTCGTATACTCTTATCTCGATAAGATAACGGTATATCTTTTGTCAGCGTGCTACACCCTGTTAGATAACTAGGTGTCGACAGGACGATACCTCTGACCCTAATTAAGAAAGTGCACATCGCCAAAATGCCCCTTGATACCAATCAACTACAGTGGTCAAACCTGTATAGTTTCATGTTTGTGACTCGGATTCTTCGCTTTGCCTTAGCTGAAATTCCTGTTGTTATTTCCCTTACTTCTCTGAGGCCGCATTGGAATATATAAAGACATAGAATCACCCTCAATTCTTAGAAAGAGGGAGGGGGGAATACATACAATTTTGCTTGTTAATTCTACTTCCAATACGAACACTTTCCACGTAGCAAAGCTAGGAATCATTGCCGAATCTGCCCCCACGGATTAGTAATAATCCAACACACCCGTGGATCTCCCTCCGGCGCGGATCAACTATGCTCCGAGAGTCATGTGACCTCCGTAAAGGGGTCAGCGCAGCTGTAGTTAGCTTAGATAACCAATAATAACAACCAGCACATTAACATCTTTCTTATCATCACGTGACTCTTGTCTCCTGATTGCACAGTACGCTTTACTGTTCATGACTGGTACTGGTTTCTTCTTGTAATTTGAAACCTTTACTTTTCCGTAATAGTACCTTTTAGCGTCATGCAGTTTAGCTTCGTAACACCTTAATATGTAATACTCTCTTTGTTTTATTTGCCCCGCTGCCAAGGCACTCTAGTTGCCTTCAGTAATTTTCAGTGTTTCATTCCTTGTGTTTTGTTTTGTTTATGACCTATTATAAACCGCTAATCCTTTTCGCGTTAGTTTAGCTGTGGAACAGAGTATGTTTTGTCATTTACAAGATAGAACATGAATCATTAAATACATTTTACCGTACGGCACAGTATTGAACTAACTACTTCTAGTTTAAACTACAAATCTTTTCTCAATAAGTGGGGCGGAATTGAAGTGGAGAGAGTGTTTGTACAGAAGCATGTTTCGCATATTGTACTTAATTTTGAACGATTTCGAAACCTCCTTCATTTGTCACGGACCTGGATCCACCTTAGTTAAACAGCGTTGTGTCGTGATACGTTAGGCTTTGGTGAACCACACAAAGGTTCGGGTTGTCGGATCGACAGAGTAGGCTTTGAGTAAACGAAGTAACAATAGATCGGTCAAGGGTTTGGAAGTCTTAAACGTAACTAAGATAGAAGAGATCCCCCGTACAGCCTGGTGCCCGTACGAGTTAGAATGCCTTGCTGACTCTCACTGTTGTATTCAAGTGACTTATGTCAAAGAGCTATGAAGAACTAAATACATGATGGTAAAAGAGCGTCCTTATATATCCAGTCCTCCACGTTTTGTATATCCTATATCGTATACCTTTGAAAGGTAGCAAGTATAAGGTATACGATATAATCCAATGATATATCGTTGTTTCGTATACCCTTATCTTATCCAAGATAACGGTATATTATTCATATCTTCACGTGACTTGGTGCGTGTCCCATACCAAAGTATCCACTTTGTGACATACTTCCATCTTGTCTGTAATCGTATGGTTCATACGCTTCAAACACCAAAGTGACCTTTCCCTTTTGGTCATGGTACAATTTAGCGTCATGCAGTTCAACTTCGTAACATCATTCTTTTTATACACTTTCGATTCTATTCTGGCCCGCTGCCAAGATGCTCTAACCGTATTTAGTTAATTTCATAATTTTCGTCACTGAATGCGTTTTGAAATGGCTATTTAATTACAATACCGAACAACATGTCCGTCATCAGCCGCGCATAGTTGGGATAAACATCATGCTTTTGCCCGGTTTATTGAATAATGTTCATTAATTAATTCGCTCTGTTTCGTTATGAGATACAGTAAGTTGCATAATCAGCTTGACAATCAAATAATCATTACTCCACACTATAGACGTGATCAGAGACACGCTAGTATATATATGGCTTAGTTCAGTAATAATGTTAATCCGAAAGTTACGCTTGACGGTATTGTTACACGTTCTATTCGAAAATACAGGTAAACTACTCGCACATTTAAAACACGTGTCTTGGCGTGGCTCCTAAATACAACGTCATTTGAAACTCCTTTACAAGGCACTGATAAATGTGATTCAGAGTTTCCCCATGTTCCCAATAAGTGACGTTCCTCAATCAACAAGTCATTTAGAAACATCTCATCGACTTCATAACTTCCCACTATGTCCCAACAAGCAGTAGGGCAGACTTTGACAAGCGATCAATGGGCTTTGCGTGTCCTCACAAGGTAAGTTGCGCTAAAACTTGAGTCGCTGTTTCCTAATACTGTATCGTATAGGATCAGGGAGCTTAGGGAGTTCTCTGACCTTACAATTGTCTGTGAAGGGGTCAAATATGAGGTCCACAAAGCAATAATCTGTTCACAATCGCCAGTTCTGCATGCTGCCTGTACTGGGGGTTTCCAGGCAAGTAACATGCTCTCAAGAGAGTGGTGAGCAGCCTAACCTGGGCCAGGAGGCAAAATCAGCGATATACGAAATCATAGATGAATCGAGTCCTATTGTCGACAGATTTGTGCAGTTCCTTTATACTGGTGACTATACGATCTCTGAGAAGGATCACGAAGGTGTCGATCTTTCCCCCATGCAGTATCACGCAAGAGTCTTCGCGCTGGCGGACAAGTATGATGTGAAAACCTTGTGTGATCTAGCGGCAAATAAATATTATGACAGACTTAAGAATGACTTCGACTATGTCGAGTTTCTCGATTCTATTCCAGACGTCTATCAGCGGACGCTCCCGCAAAGCAGACTGAGAATTCTTGCAGTACGCTTTTCGCGGGAAAGAATTGAAGATGCACTGCGCGATAACTCAAATTTGGAAAAATACGATAACATCGCATCACAAGTTCCAGCGTTTACGAAAGACCTGCTTGACTCGTATATCACTTGCCCGATATTAGCGGATTGCGAGAAGTGTGGGCCCGATCAGCCCATGCGTGCTTTGCAGGCTAGATGTCGGAAGTGCGGTCGAGGGAAGGGGCTACCATATGGGCGATAAACAGATTACGTGTCACGGTCGAAGATACCACAGATGGGGATGCATAACCAAATTGGTTCCCAAGTGCCATCCAGGGACGCGGATACGTTGTTTGCGGGGTCAAAACCTATCATAAGTACAGGTAGAGTCGAAAATGCCTTCACTGTCACGGACCTGGATCCACCTTAGTTAAACAGCGTTGTGTCAAGGTACGTTAAGCTTAATTGAACCACACAAAGGTTCCTTGAGGTAGTAATCAATAGAGTAGCTTGAGTAAACGAAGTAACAATAGTCGAACTGGTGCTTGGAAGTCTTAAGCGTAACTAAGATAGAAGAGATCCCCCGTACAGCCTGGTGCCCGTACGAGTTAGAATGCCTTGCTGACTCTCACTGTTGTATTCAAGTAACTGTTTGAATAGCGATCTTACGAATCACTATACGGCGCTGTAGCACGCCGTCGATTCGTACGCGAACTGGTCGGGATTACTATTCTCCGTGCGCTAGAGCGACCAACACCATATAATGTATCTAGGCACCCCGCCCCCCCTAGTTTCGGGGGTCAGTCTTTTATAATATTACATTTCGTGCTATATAGCAAGGCTCACCACGTAGGGCAGTTGGATCGCCCTAGCTTACGATATCCTACGCTTCGTAATACGGGACGTAGCTAAACCAACAGTAACTTATGTCAAAGAGCTATGAAGAGTTAAATACATGATAGTAAAAGAGTGTCCTTATATATCCAACTCCTCTCATTTCGTAGTGCTCATATCGTAGTATCGTAGCATACTACGATATACCTTACTACGATACTATGATTGATTCTCCAATAGTATCCCATTGTTTCGTAGTATCCTTTATCTTATCAAGATATCGGTATACTATTCATATCTTCACGTGACTTGGTGCGTGTCCCATACCAATGTGTCTCAGCCTGACATCCTTCCACTTGTCTTGTTATCGTATGGTTCATACGCTCGCAAATCCAAAGTGACCTTTCCTTCCTGATCATAGTGTATTTTAGCGTCATGCAGGTTGATTCGTAACATTCACTTTTTTTTCACACTCTTTCAATTATTTGACCCACTGCCAAGCCGCTTATGTATATTCTAAAATATCTGGTTAGCGCAGTATTCTTCTGATTTCTTTGGGCTCCACCGCCTACATGCACTGCACTGTGGTTGGCTGTCGCACAAGGCTTGATTGAATGTTCTTTGACCCCGCGAACCTACCCTTGTGCTGACCCTAGAAAAAGCATATCTTCACTTTTTGGACGTCTATGATCTTGTCAAGCTTCTGCTGTTAGTATCATGTCAGACCCTGTCACTGCCGCTCCCTCTGTTGCAGGCCTCATCTCCATTTGTGGCTCAGCGTGCAAACTTTTCTATCAGTTCATATCCTCTGTCATAGACGCACCCGCTGAGGTTAGGGCCATTGCCAGTTCCTTATATGGGATGAATATTGCATTATGTCAGCTTCAGAATCTGTTTTTCTGATGTATCGCAGCTCCCCTTGGCAGACCAGAATGACCTCGAGCGCTTAGTCGTACATTGCGTTGAATCATTCAGTGTGGTAGAAAATCAACTGAAGAGCGTTAGTCTGGCTGGATCCGAAAGCTTTACGATCAAAAAGATTTGGCATCAGGTTAGACATGTGTTCGAGGGAGAGAAATTGAAAGATGCCCTGGCCAGATTGGAAATCGAAAAAGGGACGCTGCATTTGCTTCTAAATGCACTGAATAGGTACTGTACATACCATAGCTCGTCACCTTAAAGATAAATCTTGGTCAGGTTTAATAATAATTATGTGCAGCAAATCAATGGCGGATGTTATTCGCATAGTTAAAAGCACGGAGGAAGTGGTGGGCAAGAATAACCACGTTCTCAAGAGCTTGGAATTGAAGATGACCAGGGTGCTAAAAGATGCCATGGGCCGCTCGCATACAACAACCTCAACCATCTCGCTAGATACTATACTCTCGCAGGTGGACATTGAAAGAATGCTAACTAACAGCGGTTCCACTCTAAACCTCACGTTAACTGACATGTCCGATGATTCGGCGTCAATTATTGTCGTTCCGGATAGCCTAAGCCTCGTCGATTGTGCTTCGGCTAGAATCAAATTCCCATCCAACGCTACAAAAGACCAGCCTAACATCATTTTTCCACGTGTAGACCCGCAGAACGATATTGACAGCGTTCTGGATTACTCTCCGCCGTCATCTACAACCGCTGAGACCCCGGCAGGCGAAGCCGATGGAATCACAGTGGAGTCTCACTTCGGCCTCGATGATAATGTTTCCAATACTTCCAAGCACGCTGATGAGAAAAACATCACTCGATTGACAAACACCATAGCGCAGCAAATAATTGAGCATCTTCGTCTGAGCAAATCCTCATCGAATTCCTATTCCAAGAAAAGAATGCCTGGAAGTCGTTTGATAGATTATGGAGAAGCTTCTGACCCGCTTTCAACAACGGCTTTGAATGCACTTGTACGAATAATTAATTTCCTGCGCTCCTTTTTGGCGTATGTCTTTACTCATGATTGAGTGTTTCTAACAGCTCAGTATGAGCACCTGATAAAATTCGCGAGCGAAACGCTTCAAATATCCCAGATGCAACATCTGTATCGTGCAAGACGACGGTTACAGCTATACAGCCCCATTGTCCAGACCTTGATCGTGAGTGGAAGGGGATTAGAGAACTTATACATTGTAGAATGTGGAAATGAAGCAGTAAGGGCATTGACGACATATGTGAACACGGTTAAAAGAGTGTATATTTGTGAGTTTTCCAGTCATCCTCTCAATATTCAATGAAGTCCACCGTATATTGACTTGAACGGCTCGTTCATGACTGCTAGCACGCTCAGCGAACTGGCCCCAGTTGCTGCTAAGCTTGAGAACCTCCTGTGGAGGAATTGATGAGCTTTGGACTTCAGTTGAAAGATCCATGGATGATTTAGAGCGAGTAATCAACATGGTGCTTCTGCTAGAAATACTCCACCAAACGGAAATAGTGTCACAAGAAACTGGAAGCGAGGACCGGTAAACATTGTACTACACAACTATCCTAAAGAAAGTTGTACACATTGAGCATCTCTTTACAATTTACTGTAAGCTTCGAACTCTATTATGTCAAGTCCAGCTCCGCACTTCATAGGGAGCCAGGAAAATCCCACGTGGCACGTCGGACGATCATACTCCTTACGTAACAAGGATGAGTCTAATTGGACAGTACAACACTAACCTTAAATCTACACCAATTTTGTTTTAGGCTCGTGTATAGGAGATAAGAAAAAAAATCATATATGTATAATATTGATATAATACCGTTTGTTACCTGTTTAATACAACCAGTAACTTACAGCAGCGGCCGCTTGGAACAAATGACGTAATGATCTACTTAAGACTGATGCCTTGGCAGTGGGGCAATATGAAGACTGTCATTGTTTATCAGTCAAACCGATTTCGAGAATGACTGTAAGGTTTTGACGAGCTACGAAACCGCTCGGCATGGCGGCCACCGAGGTGGCGAGGAGAGCGAGAGACGAGATGACGGGAAAGATCATTTTGAATCTTAAGAGAGTATTTAAGTTTGCCTTTCGATTTATATTGTAGAATGTGTGCGATTGTTGTGTTCTGAGCTGATTATATCCATCAATACATGAGAAAGTCGATGCTCTTTATACCTTTCCATTACAGGCGAGCTCATAGATCCTCGTGCGAGGAATTATGGACCGCAGTAGAAGTGTTGGTACAGTAATATATCCCAAGAAGTCTATACTTGATTTATCTAAGGCGTGAGGGTGCAGCCTGGCACTACGGGCATGTGGCCTCTTCGAATCCTGTTAAGGAGGATATAGGGAGCATGTTGTGTAAAAATAACCCTCAATGATTGCCCAATGCTTTGCTTGGATCATATTCTCGTAACAAGAATTTAAAGATGATCGATCATCAAAGAACCAGGATCATCCAGAAATTAAGCATTTTTTACGCAACTTGTTAGATAGGGCAACATCTATCAAAAACTAGGGTAACTTGCACATTATGGGATCATATCGAGCAATACGTCTTATCCACTGTAACGGAAACTGGAAATTCTAATTATCGTCACACACACACAATATATTAACGCCCAGCGGCCAAGCCGAAAGGGCAACTATCACTAATCTACTAATACATGTCGTAATATATATGCCATGCCTCCTTAAAGCCCATACATGATCGCTTTTAATATATGTCATCTCATCTGTCAGTATTGTAGCAGATGCTCATAGGTTAGTAATTTTGTTAGTAGCTGGCTTGAAGGCGTTTCTTCAAGTGTTCAACATCCTATCTTCGGCAGTTGACAGTTGAAGCGCGTCTACCGTGTCTGGCACGAGGTGGTTGGCGTGAGTTAGAGCGGGAAGAGTGGTTGATTTGTGTTCGTCTATATGGTTAAGTGGCGTCGAGTCGGCCCGTGGCGATTGCAAACCGTATTGAGGCCCGTACGGCTTCGAAGTTTGGGGTCCAGTTCTGATTATCTGAAGGTGATTTTCCTCCCAGGAAGAAGGATATGTTGCCTCGGTGGGTGTTGGTACATCGCAGCATTTCTGTCCGGTATGCCGTCCACTTCTGACATCGAAAGAGGAAGTGCTCTACGGTTTCTCTTGCTTGTCAACACAGGAGCTCGATTGCTGGGTTACGTGAACTGGCTCTAGGGTCTAGGCTAGAGAACTCGCTTTCTCCAGAATATCACGTCATGCTGATCATCTCCCTGGCTATTTCCTAACATACGGGATCATCTAGTAGTATGGGTGCGCTTTTTGGCCTAGTCGGTTGGCTCTAGGGCTTGTATGAAGGATTAAGTAGTACATAAGCTGAATGGCCTCGTATGCTAGCTTGTGTGGAACGTTAATTCTATCTTAGGGTTGAGTGCAGATACGTAGAGACCTATCTTCCCTACTTCGCAGCATGTATTCCATATCAGAGACATTCATGTTGATTTGTGGCGATGCTTTACCATGGCCAGCGGAAGGTCCACAATATTTTTGCCACTCTGTTTTCGCATCCAACTTATTGTAACAACGACATTAGGCAGGTATGTTGGCTGTCACAGTTCATACCATGAATTCTGAATTCATACAAGATGTAACCCTAACAACCCTAAATCACGTTCTGGCCAGTGTCTAATTACGTAATCGGGCAGAAAAATGTGACTCGGAGAAATCGCGGGGCTCGTTAAGGATGACGCAACACAGAGAGAAGAGATGACTTTTTACTACGAGGGATATATTATTAAAGAATGGGGTGGTCCATCTACCGACGTATCAGAGTGGTTGGATACTATTCTCCGAACTAATCGAGAGACCACACTTTACACTAGAGGCAGCTATAATACTCAATTATCAGAAGCCCTCATCGAATTCATGGAGCATGGCCTACTTGAACCAGAGGTATGTTACTCACAGAAACAATGTGCAATTCAGCGTCCGCAGGGCTGCAGGCTTACATGGATTATATAGATACACTATATACGTTCTCTCCTGAATGCAAATGGCGTAGACGAAATCAAAGCAGCAGGAGCTACGCGAAGGCATGGTACTCTTTATGCTCTCGGATATGTGCTTGAGTTGGCCCAATGAAAGTAGTAGTGGTCTATTTGTCCTACAGACCTTTTCCTGTGAACGGCAGCACCTCATGATTCAGAGAGATGACATCCCTGTCAAAGTAGTGCCATTCCATGCAACACCCCTTATTAGAAAGCTTGAGAGCAGTCTAGAACGTCCATAGGTTGCAATGTTATCCGACAGTTCACCGGTTTCGTCCGTGCCGATCCATTATAGCTGCGTAACCGTCCCATAGCGCGAGGGCCGTAGGTGCGTAAAGCTTGAGTATTTCGAATGATTCACTAGTCCGAAATAGGACACAGAATGGCCCAATTTCCTCGAATCTCACAGCCCTCAGTCGTTTGAAGGCAAAATACATGCTCTTCGATAGGCCCGGAGTTCCCATTTCCGCCTCTATTGCACGCGCTTTCTGCGTGACTTGAACTATATCTCGAAGCCTGTTATAATCCATCCCATGCTTGTCTGCGTATTTACGGAGCCCTCCCTGAGAGTTGACTCCTCGGTTTTCCCGTACCTCCCATAATTCCGTAAAGTCCGAGTCCGGATACTCCTCATAGTATTTATCGGTTATCCAATGCGATTTGAGCATAAAAAGGAACATGTCCGCGATATCTGCGTCACGTTCTGGCCACCATACTTGATTGGCTAGAGTGGGGTCCACTTCAGCGATCAGGTAGGCACGATCGCGATCAAGGAAATGGAGTGAGTGTTGATGTTTTTCTACAAAGTTAAGGAAAATGCGGGCACCTCGAGGTGCTTGATCGTCCGCTATTACTTCCATTCCGTTTCTAGCGTTCCAAGATTGTTAGCATAATCAAGTAGATAGCATACCAAAGCATGTATTCACGTACAAGACCAGTATCGCTGACTATACTCGGATTGCGCGGATCCTTGGGGTATACGTTCCCGGATGTGTCGTGCGAGTGCCCCGTCGCTTAGCGCACCCTTGGTGGGGCCAGACAGTTATAGTGGGTAGCTGAGACATGTGAATCAGCCAATCACTGTGCATATTTTTCGCCGTCAACAAATGTATGGTATGGATCATGTCCAGCCACGCTGGTGATAAAAGACTTAGTAGAGCCGGGATAATCGGGCCCCGAAAGTTATTCGAATCTGATAGGCTCTGTTTCGGATCAAAGATAAGTGTCTGGCCAAGGTTTATCGTATTATTTCTGAATTTGCACCAAGCACATAACATGACTGGAACAATACACGAATCCGTAATTTACTATCTGGATCCATTATCTTCTTTCAAACCTTACTAGATATTACGTACGTATAAGTCTCCTGCTTATGAATTTTATGCACTAGCAAAGAGCTGCAAGGCGGAGCCAGACGAATCCGGTGGGCTTGCGAATCCGGACTAGACGGATTCACACCTAGTGCAGGTCTGACACCAGGGATTTCGCGCGCTAGGCATAGTGTCGCTATCTACCGAGAAAAGCCCGTATTTGCGAGACCCGCCGTGTCTGACCGCATTTTGTATCAATGATACTTCCTAATTGGCACAATGTTTAGTGGGCTATCTTAGAGCTTATATTAACGGTTGTTATGGATTGGAGGATGAGCGTGCGTTATTTTATGTAGCAGCAATTCGAATACGTATAGTACACAGGTAAATATAAATGTCTCAGCCTTGCGGCCCTTGCCTGACCATCGCAATTCAAACATAGACTGAATGGCGGTGAACCATATCGAACCTGAAGGCCCGATTGGACCGCAAGGCCCGGAATGCAGGAGGTCTGCTAAAAGCCTGGCTCCTACCCACTCAAAGACAACAAGTACGTATTGATATTTCTGTTCTACCGCGCCCTTGAAACTTACACAACTATTATGTAAATTATAGACTATTAGTTAGGCTACTTCCGGGGATTGATAAGTTAATAACCTTACTGCACTCAATGGAATGTTATCACCCCGCTGGTGAGTTAGATATTAGCTGAATTTCATGATTATGTAAAGTGATAGGTGAGAAAAGAGCAAAAAATCGGTTGTAATCTGGGCCTCCACCCTAAAGGCAAGGGTGTCAAATTTTCCCTTGAAAGCTAGAAAATTGGGATTCAAATTTGGTTACACCTTTAGCAGTTTGGTACTTGCCTGTAGCAAATCAGCAAGGCCTAGGCTACAATCAATGCGGGCTCGGTTAGAGGATAAAGAACACCTGCCACCGGCATCGATAGTGTACGTAGAGAACCAGGTTTTACCTAGGTCAAAGTAGAATGATCTTGGCAGAAGTCTACTATTGGTCGTGTATACCACGAAATGAAGGTTCTCAATATGCATTAGTTCTTAATGAATTCAAAACTTGGAATCCAATGGAAACAGCTGCTCAGTCCGATTTGGCATCGAGCCCCAAACGTGCAACTAGCTCCAGTAGAGGTCGTACAAAGCATTCCTGAATTGGCACGCAATTTAGAAGGCTCATGGCTACGGTACTATGCATCTAGTCTTGTTGCCCACCCCGCAGCCTGATGGTAGATGTATTCCAGAGCAAGGAAAGTATATACTCGTGCAATCAAGATGTACATGATCCGGTAGTCGTAGAATGTGATTGGGTTGAGCCCTTGTAAGCTACCGGAAATTTGCCAACCCCGCAGCGAGCGAGGTCTCTAGACTAGGTCAGAACAAAGAAAAACCTGAATGGCACGTGGGTGCGATTGGCTGGCATGAGATAATCATTATATTCCCGAGATACGAGTATTTAGAAAATGTTGCAAATACAAACTTAATGGCTGTGAGACGCAGCTTTAGCTCGTGTGTGCTAAAAAGTCGTTTTCGGTCCATGGGTGATGTCTTTGCCTAGCCGGTTCTCGGTATTTTCAATATTCCTCTTTCAAGCTTGACTGGCACCTGAACCAGCTTATTATTCTTATAGGACCCCGGGATAGTCGGGAAATCCTGGAGACATACGGTCGACACATTTTGCACATTTTGCTACGATACAGAAGGATAAAATCGAGAGCCAGGATTCAATAGACGGGCGCACAATGTTGTCAGAGCGTATCCATCTACCACTAGAGGGATTCCCGCCAGTTGATGGATTTAAGAAGCAAATAACAAGGTGATAACCCAAATTACCAGATGACTTTTATATTCCGAGCTTATGATTTAGTTATCTTTCGGAAAAAAGGCGGGGTAAGGCGTTGATCTCTGCCAACCTAGCTAGTGAAATCCACACTGTTCTAACAAATCCACGGGACATTACCGTCCAAACAGCTCAATTTAGGTGCGTACTGTACTACTTTTCTAACACTGTGTGCTTCTACCGATTTCCATGGTGTCCATGCTAAAACATAATTTGACTAGATTTTGGGCGAGGCGGATGTTCAAGCTTAGCCGTGATGGACGGTGGATATGTCACAAAGGGAAACCAGTGGCAATTCAAGAAAACCTATTTCAGATATTAACCCACGCACACCAACTATGTGGACATGGAGGTCGCGACAAGACATCAAGCGAAGTGCATAAAACATATTCTTGGTAAGATGGGTCTAATAAACTCCCTCGTCCATCTACGCAACAGACAGAGCAGGTATTCTTATATAGTTATTTCTAATCATATACTACTATTAGGGTACCAAAAGATATCATATCTCGCTTCATCAGAATGTGCCCGACTTGTCAAGCCCGTGGTAGGCGCTCACATATTTTGCGTCCAAAACAGGAAGTCCAACTTCCAATCCAACTTCCACAGCCATCATTACCATATATATGGGCACAGCCTGTGCCGTCGATGTCACAGTATCGCGAATATCACCTGAACGATTCTTTTCCTCCACTCTACAGGTACTATGATACTAGAACAGTATGATGGTATATACTGATCCACAAACCCATGCTATAGTGGAATAGCTTCATTAGTACCGATGGATGGAGGGGATTCGACCCTCTCAGGCGAAATATTTTTCAGGAGACGCGTGTAGCAACTTATATCGACCTAGCTTTTGACCTTTCGTTTCCGGAGAAGTGCCATATGCACGTGTTTCTTTCTAAGTTCTATATTACGAGTGGCTAGTTCATTGGGCATCCTTGGGATTGCACATGTGTTAGGTGTTCATACGAAAGTGTTGAAACGCACATTGAGAAAATATTATACCCTGCAGATAAACCTTCCTAGGTTCTATCTGTCTATTTTTTCACACCTAATGCTAAAACTTATCCATCACTGCTTAGCTTTGCGTGACCAGTGATACGTAGTTCTGATTACAGGAACCCTTTCTTAACTCAAAGAACCCATCGGCTTTATAGCGTAGACCTGTGAGTATCACCTATTTGAAGCCTTAGGCACTAACCTTCGTAAGGTGTGACGGCTGCGTTACGGAGCTGGATATCGTACGGACCTTGCCGGCACCTGGACGGAGCCCTCTGGATCCGTCCTCAAGGATATGCCTGCCATGAGCCTCTCTGAGACCTGCCATGGAGTCACGAAGATTTGGCGACCCTCTGGGCCTGTCCCCAAACTCAGCACGCGATCCTCTGGATCTGTCGTGCCTACACTATCAAGAGCCCCTCTGGGATCTTCCTTAATGGTTGCTTCCTGAACGAGCGACCCTCTGGGCCTGACCCCGCCAGTTGACGTTCCAGCTGCGTGCTTAGAGCTCTGACGGAGGCTGAGGTCATTTTCACGGATGATAGTGATGCTAGCCGCCAACAGTGCGCTCGGAGGCGTATCTGGAGGTGTAGGATAAGCATATTTATCAATCCCCTCTAACAATCCTTCTCCTGGCGTCAGAGTTGGGCCGCTTGGATAGTCCGAATCAAGCTGACTTGAATCTTCAAATCCAGAACCAGTCACCGAGCCTGTTGTCGTACGCTCATCGCTGTGCCTATTTCCGTCAAACACTAAATCCTCCATCTCATCTCCAAAGTTAGCATTATCTTCGACTTCACCTGACTGTACTCGGATATCTATCTTGTTCAGCAAGATTGTCAGTTCTTCAACAGACACATGAAGGAGATCATCCTTGATATCTTGGATATCTCCACTGAAGACTTCGTCCTCGTTAAAAATAACGTCCCTTGCTCGCACGATCCTCCCTGTCGAAGGATTCCAAATCCTATAAACATTTGTTGAGTCATATCCGACGAGATAGCCTACCCATGCTCGCGGATTGAAGCGTTGGAGTCGATTTTTCTTGAGTTGATACCCCGATGTGAGGGTATATGCTTTACAGCCATATACCTTCAGGTGAGCAAGCTGAGGTTTCTGATCTTGTATGCAAATTCTATTTTGCAAAGCAACGCAAGTATGGAACCTATCGTATGGCGTTTTCCAGTTGTACATGAACTTGGGGGTACGGTTATAAAGATAGATTGAGGCTCGGTATATTTCTGACCACAAATCCTCAGGTAACTTTGCACTGTTTCTCATGGCCCTAGCCTTGTCCTTGATGACACTCCCTGAGCGCTCAGCGGCACCATTTTGTCCTTGATTATTCGCCGTTGAGTGCTTGATAGTAACATGTTTGGTAATCAGCCACTCCTTCACCTCAGGACGGTGTAAGAATATCTTATTATCCATCTCAATCTTGATCGGACTAACATCATGGTGCTTTTTCAGATATTTAAAGAATAATTTTAGAGTTTCTAAGATCTCCATGCTTTTATGCGACGTCATATAAAAGTCCCAGATAAAACCGCGGAATCGATCGGTTATAAGCATCAATATCTTTTCTCCATTCATTGAGCTTTTCTGAAAGTCATGAATAATCGATCGCTAGATGCACGCCAGGTCGTTCCACAATATTTCTTTCTTCTCGTCGTATGATTCGTCTGGCTTTTGCCCTTCCACCGGCTTCGCACTGCACGATGGTAGGACCTTCGGATAGGCCAGTCACTCTTACACCTTTTGTCGTTGTGGCAAGGTGTTTGATAGCTTGGGGTCCAGGATGGCCAAAGCAAACGTGCCATTTCTTAGCGTTAGCTTTTCGTTCTTTTCTGACTGTCCACGAATTAAAGCGGTGCCGTCGTATCATGAAGGCCATTTTTACGAGAGGATGGTCGTTGGCGATATGTTCGAGTACAAATTGATCTTCCCTCTCTTTCATATATGCAAGGACTTGATTTTCCTTGTTCCGAAGGCAGTCGAAGCCTCTTCTGGTGTCCCACCAGATTCCTTGCTTTCTTAGTAGTTGGAAAGACACCAGGTTTGCCACAAAGTCCTTGCAGTATGCCACGTTATAAAAACGCAGAATTTGAAGTCTTCCACCAAGGCCGTGGATTTCGATATCCACTTCTCCATATCCTAAGACAGGTACTTGGTGGGTGCCTGCCCATAGAGAGTCTCCTACCGTTGATTTCCGGAGGTTCACAAACCTTTCTATCTCATTAAAAACGTGAATTGATGACCCTGAATCCAATAGAGCTGAATGTTTTAAAGGATATTCGTTGATTGACAGTGCAACCAAATCCTTTTCCGTACGAAGATAGCAAGTTGATTTGCAGCTGCCTACTGCCGTCTTAGAGTGTCAATTCGAACTTGCCATTTCTCCTTGGAAAGTCACCTCATTCTGAGTATTTGAGTTATAGGTTCTCGTCGCTCTTGGGATCGACTCCTAGAGCGAGATCGCTCTTTCCTTTGATAAGGAGCCTGTCCCTGTTCTTTGGTTAGTACGCGTCTTATCTCTTTTGCTAGTGGTGCATTGCTGTTGAAGCCATCTATCAGCTCTTTGTTGAAGCCAAAGTCTTGGTTCGAACTTTTGAGGAGCCTTATAACCAAAAATATAGAAGCAGAAGTCAATAAAGTGCATAACTCCGCATGCAGGTCAGGCCGGTTTAGGTCCACCCCTTTTATCTGGAGCAAATGCGCTGCGTCATCTGTCGGATTGGTGGGTTAACTCCAGTCCAATCCTGAAAAATTGTTTACAAGAATGGTCAAAATAAGAAGTGACTCGCAAGATCGTGTCTTCTTCCCCTTCTTCCGTACATCAGGTTCCAAAGCCGTGTTATATAGATATGTTTGCCAAGATGTGTACAACTAACAGACTTGGGGTTCTCACTGTTCCAAGGAATACACCCATGACGTTCCAAGTCGAGTTTCAGGTGCACCAGGTGAAGTTTTATATGTTTGAGGATGGCCTATGGATTCTATACCTTGTTGGAAATCCAGATTATCTGACATCATCCTTCTTCGAACGATTGTGATCCCTAACCCTAACCCTAAGGAACCGTTTGACAGATCGCCTCATCTAGTGGTCGAATTGTCAGATAATCCGGATTTGCAACGAGGTATAGAATCAAAAAGGCATCCTCAAACATATAAACCTTCACCTGGTGCACCTGAAACTCGACTTGAGACGTCATGACCGTATTGCTTGGAACAGTGAGAACCCCAAGTCTACTAGTTGTCACACATCTTGGGCGAAGGACATGGATTTCTTCCTTCCTTAAATTCCCACTTGATCAACCAAGCCTCCGGATCTCGCGGAGTGCCTCTAAAAGGTTTTATATGCTGGTTATTGTCCAACTTGCGTCTTCAAGTTATTGTATGCTTCCTTCCAGCTGTGTGTCACATGCACACAGGTCTTAAGACGGCTGTGACACACGGTCCACTTCATCCATTCGAAGATTTTGTCGATGTCTCTACGCTGAACCTCCGACTCACTGAACTCCATCTTGTAGTTGTTGAGACGTAGGCTGAAGTCATTTCTTGCCCTCTACTCAGCACAATCGTCAGTTGTATCTTCAGTCGCAGTGGTTTGGGTCGATTGAGTAGAGTTCTGACGCGTTCCTTGCGCTGCACCTACACGGGTTTGTGTAGTGTTCTGGGATTCAGGTAGATAGTCCTGTATCTTTGGTCGAACAGGTTTCTTGATTGGTCTCTCAGTTCCCTGGAGAATAGGAAGAAGATCGTTGGCTCTTGCCCGATTGAGAAGTTCGTTCTGTCAATCGTCCCAATCCTCTGGGGAATTGAGCTTATACTCGGCGGTAACGTTGGACAACCTGTTGATATAGAGCCGGTAGGGGTAGTCAGACTCTTAATTGTCGGATTAGTCGGTTTATTCCAGGCCAATCCTGAAGAGTGTTTTACTAGGATCAAAGAAAAGAAGTGACTAGCAAGATTGTATGTATTGAGCTCTCCCTCTGTCTCTCTGTCTCATACATCAGGTTCAATGCCGGGTCCTTTATAGACACTTTTGGCGGGGTCCTTTGTGAGCTATCATGAGGGGTAAACTTTGAGGGCTATATTGAGTCTTGATAAGAAGATGACTCCTTATTTGCTGAAGTGTAGGTAGCTTGAGGTGACTGGATGACCTGATCAAATAGCCTATCTTCTATATCGCCGGATATCCCGGTTATCTGACAATTTTCATGGTTGAATCCTTCATGGTAGTCCGCGAAGTCTCCACGTCCAGTACGGGCCGCGGTGATATGGCCGAGGTCAAGTCGGGTGAGTTGAAGCTCAGCTGGGCGCTTAGGAGATTAGGAGATGTAGTGATTCCAAGGTCTTGGTATGTCTGTAGTAACACGTTCTGCCATAGAGTTTGAGCAGCAGCAAAGGATTGAGCCTTAGCATTTCTCTCTAGTGAGGCATATGAAATTGTGTGTGGAGGAGGAGAGGTAGAGGCAACGCCCTCTTTGGCAGCGAGGTCAGCCGTCTCGTTTTCAGGGATTTTCGCGTGTCCGGGGACCCATCGAACTTGGATAGAGCCGCTTTTGGTATGAGGAAGCCTTTCACGAAGTGGCCAGGTGGCCGCAAGTGCGCAGAAGGATTCAAAGGCTTCTTGAGAAGATCCTGTGGAGGGAGTTAAAAGGCGCGTGGCAGCTTCCAGGTTGCCAAGGCAGATCCACATATTAGTGGCAAATCGGGCTGTTGAGAGAGCTGCCTGAGCACCGGCTAGAGCGGCTTCTTCTTCCGTATCAAAAACTTCTTTCCTAGGTCTAAGAGAGAGAGGAACGGAGGAATTAGTGATGTGCTTGAAATCCGACATAGCCACCACCCGCATGTCCGTTTTCGAGCTTGGGTCCGCCTGAGAAGACTGTGATATCGGAGCCAGGAATGGTGTGTCGGAAATCTAAGAAATCAGCCGCCGCCTGTTCCTTAGTGCATCCCATCATGCTGTGAGCACAGTAAGAGAACCCATAGCTTGATAGACGCCTGATATTTAGATATATAATCCACTCATATGTGATCGTTAAGCTGAAAGATATAAAGTACCGTTTTTCAATATCTAGATTCATGTTATCTGCCCATTAACAGAATTCCGAGTTCGTTGCGCAAGATAATTGGAGGAGCTATACTGTAGCATAATGGTATGCTTGGGCATACTCGCCGCAGCCGGATTAGGTGCCGTAGGATTCATCACTTATTTCCATCATGGGGAGCATCATCTCCATGGTACTATGGAGTCTTGTAGATTGGTAAGTCTGTTATTCAATATAGAGCACAAGAATCAGCTAATAGGTATAATAGAAACCAGAATCGCAAATCATTGCATCGTCCCTACTCAGTCCATGCAAGGGTAGGGAACTAACGCCAGCTAAGAAGCGAGTGCTACACGAAGACGCACAGTTACTTGTAGTGGCTAGAAGGTAAGTTTTTCCTTGCCAACTTAACTACCCAAGCATGATCTAACCCATCATTAATAGTGATACCACCTCCATAGTATATGCCCTTTACAAACTCGCACTCCACCCTCAAAAAACTATAAAGGAACTCCGCGAGGCAATTTCCGCATCCCTACCAGAGGGTGAGACAGAAATCAGAACTCAGCACATCCAAGACCTAAATATCCTGAACGGTATTATCAATGAGACTCTCCGCCTCTACCCACCTATACCTACTGCATTATGGCGATTAACACCCGCTGAGGGGGTGTGGATAGACGAGGAGACGTACATTCCAGGGAATGTCGTAGTCTCAACGCCTCATTATGTTCTGGGACGAAGTCAGTCTTCACCCTTCACACTTTTCACCTTGTGGATATGGTATACAAGAATCTGACTAAGTGCTTGTGTTTTAGGCGAAGATCTGTACGAAAGGCCCGACGACTTCATCCCGGAGCGATGGTACTCCAAGCGCGAAATGATCAAATATGAAGATTCGTTTGCGCCATTTACTATCGGTAAAGAGATCCCCTTCTTCCTAAATAAGCCAAAAGTCACGACCAATACTAACCACAACTCCGTTGCTCCTGATATAGGATAATATAGCTGTGTCGGTAGGCCCTTGGCTATGCTCAATCTACGCATGACACTAGCCAAACTCATTCATACATACGATATCTCACTTCCAAGCTCGATGACAACGGAAGAAGTGCAAGCCGCAATGAAGGGGAACATGAAGGATAATTTTGCTCTTATGCCGGGCCAGTTGAATTTGATATTCAAGAGGAGAGAACAGTAATTGCTCGGGCTGGCCTGTGGGATTATGAGAGTCATTGTTTTTTGACAGAACTTTAGTTCCATTAGATATATTCCAATACTGTACAACAGAAACCATTCAAATGCTAAAAAAGAAAAAGAAAAAACTGCAGAAACTACGACAAATTGATCGTTAAGAATATTCGACATGAACTGGGTTTAAATCTATCTAGATACGGTATTACTACAGTACAAAGGCTAGACGATGGACAGATGAATTTAGTGTTGGCAAATCCTCTTTCTAGGGTCTACAGCTACATGTACTGTCAGCCGGAAATTGTCGAATTGGTGGGTTTATTCTAGACTAATCATAGATAGTGGATTACTAGGATAAGAAATGTAAAGAAATCAGTGAAGACCCAGACGATTGTTATCGTCCAGTAACAGTTATCAATGACCAGCTGCTTGTAAGTGTTGAAAAGGATGTGATTCGATACGTTGAATCTCTATATTTCTCTCTAGTTACATAACTTGGGGGTTGCGACTGTAATTAGCCTCGGAATCACTGATGGATATATCTGATACGCTAATTCCCATCTGTCCAGGAATAGCCACTCAATTGCCGACCCGTTCACGGGGTGCCGTTTTTGGCCAAACGGTCTGATTTTTAGTCCACACGAACCCTCTCTATATCGGGTTAAGGTGCTAAATGAGAGAACTGGAAGGACGGGCAAGCATGATGAGTTCTTTATTTCAAGATGAATGAAGAGAGTGATAGGTAGGACGTGGAACCTTGGCATTTCCGTATTGGAGGATGTCTTTTGGTGGGCGTACGGATAGGGTGCTGGAAAATTACAAAAGTGTAGTGTCACATCAACTTTGATCGCCAGAATTTCAAAGATCACATGATTGTAATTTATTAGTAAATAATATGTGACGTAGCAAAACTGGTTAACCAATAATATAGACTACGCGATATAATAAATTACTAGCGTGTAAATGCCCCACTGCAACAAGTAATTTTGTCAATTCCGACAAAAATTTACCGTCGCGTCGACAGACCCACTTGACATGATGACAAATCCCTATGTACGGAGTACGCAAGACACTCACCAACCGGCCAATTTTAGATCTACGCACTATACGATCAATTGTAATATTGGCTACCTGTTGGTTTATAGGTGCAATCGAGATTCCTGGCACCGACGCGAACCAAGGAGAGGTCACGTGAAGGTACACGTGACCTCGTCAAGCAAGGACTATATAGACCGCGTCGGGGTCTCATTAAGAGAAGAGACAGACAATCAGAAGAATATGACTTTACCAATTGGTTACTAAGCTACTTGTATGCACATGTGCAGAAGCGAACCCACACTACCAATTATTTCTCCATTTCCCTTATTTCTGTCACCATGGAATACCGATTCCCTACTCCAGCACAACTCACTCTCCTAGTATTAACTGATATCTATGAGAAGCTAACCAACAACACTCCTATGTATTGTGAAGCCATATCCAAGAAACTTAACCAGCTATCAGAGCAATTAGCCAGTAGAAACAACAAAGAGAATAACAAAAGAAAAAGGTGTGACAATGACATTGAGTAAGAGAGCATCAATCTAAATGTGTCATAATGGAGGAATGGTATCCATAACTGTTAGTATCTCAGACCCTCTGGTGAGGATTCTCGCGCTACCCGTCACTTCACCTCCCCCCACCCTATTCAAACTGGGGGGTCAGCCCGGGCTCAACGCTCAAGATATTCAAATTCTTCAAATTAATGCTTATAAGTCCACCAACACCATGTAAATTATATAAAAAATCTAGACACATGAGGAATACATATATGATTTACCTATCACCCGTAGAATCAATGAAAAAACCCGAGTTTTGAGGCTCTCTTGGAGTCTCAGCATCCTCCGCCTCCGGCACCCCAAGTACGTGCTGTTTATGAATCCTCAATAAATCCCCGTTATGGCGGCGTTTTATGAGGCGATTCGCATCTTTTACTTAGAGCGCGCCTGAGGCCTTTACCTGGCGCTTGTTTTTTTTGTTATTTTTGCGTTTTGCTGTGTCGTGCAGCCTTACAAAATCCTCGCGGTGAAGCTCACCTAATCCCGCCATGGCGAGGCTGCTTGAATTCACGACTTTTATACGCCGTACGAGGTCAGGTTTTGATTTCTCCAAAATATCATTTATACCCTCGATTGATTCCTCTATCTTATTGATATATCTACGAAGCGCGGTGACCGTTGACGGTGGAGAAATTGATTTCGTTGTTGGTGAGCTGGGAATAGCGTCATCGACCTCGCCATAAATTAATGTATTCCCATCATCAATAATTACCTCATCTGGGTGAGGCAATTTGCTCAATACGATATCAGGATTATATGGCCAAATTCCTCAATCTTTCCAACCGTGGTAAATAATTCGCGGAGTAAAGGTTTGAATTCGAATATCCCGTAATTCCTCAAAAAAGTCATTTTTGTTGAAATCGAAGCCTCCGAGCCGAGCAACTTGATTCACCACTCTTCCATGAACGTGCTTATATTGCTGAAAAGGCACTCCATCGAGTGGTTGTAATAGATGCGTGGAATGCGGTGGAAATCTGAATAATCGAATGTGATAAATTTCATAGTATTGAACGAACTGTATAGTGAGATGGGTTGTATGATTCATAATGATTATCCATAATTAATAATTGCCATTCGAACATATATTCTGGCTTTATATAGTACTGAAAATATTGAAGCCATTCAAATGCGATCTCATCCGTGATAAATCCATTTGAAGCAGGAGCAATAAGCCACTCCGGATCTGTAAAGAAATCGGTGAATGGATCGTATAGACTCAGAGGATTGATATCGTTCAGTAATAGTGATCAATGATCAGTTGCTTGTAAGTATTAATAAGGAGATGATTCGATGCGTTGAATCTCTGTGTATTACTTGTCTCTTTTGTTACATACAACTCAGGGTGTGTGTGTGTGTGTGTGTATTTAACGGCCGTGGATCGTGACTCGCACGCTTTCCACCAATCCCTACTGGGACATAGGCCGCCGAGGGGTAAGCCTCGGGCTTCAGGTCCTATCAGATTTATATACAAATAAGGGACTCTTTGGCGCATTTCCATAGCTGCCGTGGTCTTACAGGGAGTCCACTTCCGAGTGGGTTTTAGATATTTGCCAGCTGCAATGGTCCACCTACGCTCCATGACCCATAACTCTACCATAATAGTAATCAAGCAGTGAGAGTTTAAAAGAAAGAAGGAAAGAAGGAAAGAAGGGAAGAAAGAGAGAAAGAAAGAGAGAAAAGAGAGATATAAGGGAAAAGTAGGGCTGACTTAGCTAGGTGCTAAGGAGAGGTTGGCGAGGACAGATATCCTCAAAAAAACGGGTCTCTGCTAGCCATGTAGCTAGTTTTTGTGCTCCTTTCGCGGTGCCTAGAAGGAAGGATATGACCTCAGAAGGAGGTCCAGGAGGACGAGGGGCTCGTCTCTTAGCTATATAGCAGAAGAAGAAATGTAGAGGTGCTTTTCGTGCTCCACATCGACAGAGGAGATGAGCATCATCATGATTAAAACGTTCATGGTAGTCTGCGAAGTCTCCATGTCCAGTACGGGCTGCAATGATATGGCCAAGGTCAAGTCGGTTAAGTTGAAGCTCTCCAGGGCGCTTAGGAGATGTAGTTATTTCTAGATCTTGGTAAGTTTGTGGTGCTATGGTCTGCCACCGTGTCTGGGCAGCAGAGAGAGATTGAGTCTTGGCGTGTCTCTTTAGCGAGGCATATGAGGACTTGCATGGAGAGGGGGGGGTAGAGGCAGCTCCCTCTTTAGCAGCAGAATCTGCTGCTTCATTCTCAGGGATTTTAGTGTGTCCAGGGACCCATCGGATTTGGACTGATCCACTTTTGGTGTGTGGAAGCCTTTCACGTAGTGGCCAGCCAGCTGCAAGGGTGCGGAAGGATTCAAAGGCTTCTTGAGAAGATCCGGTAGAGGGAGATAGAAGACGCGTGGCAACTTCTAAGTTATCAAGGCAGATCCATAAGTTAGTAGCAAATTGAGCTACAATCAAAAGTCCTAGGCGTTGACTATCCGCATACCGTGTCCTCCTCTGCGGCATTGATTGGTTGGCAGACTGAAAACTTGGATATTGATGTGTAAGCAGCAAGTGGTGCGATAACGTAATCGGTAAGCGAACCGGCCACCTCTCCGGAAAATAACTCTATATTGATTTCAAATCCCAATCACGTACAAATTATATACAAAAATCTAACTACTAGTACGACTAGGACATTGATTTATTCTATGCCCCATAACGTTACAACCACTGCAGCGAAATTCGCGGCGTACGACTGCTTGAGAAGCTGGGAGCTCCGGCTCAGCCAGAGTAGTAGTAACAGCATGAGATGCCTCAACCTGACCTTATACGAGCGCCTGAGCTTCCTCTCTAGTAATCCCTTGCTCAATAGATATCTGTTTATTAGATCTTTTGCGCTTTTGCTTCTCTTTTTTATGCGCAGCTCGTAAATCACGGTTTTCTTTCCGTACGAGTAAAGCATCATTCGCTAGTATTTCGAGGCTTTTGATAACCGTATAACTGCCTGATTGATTTCTTCATTCTGATTCAGGCTTCCTGTACGCTTATTTATACGCTTATTGATTGTAGTTGACTGGCGTACAAATTGGCGTATATTTTGAGGTGTTTGTAAGCAGGATGATGCTGTATTGCTTGATCGACTTGGAGGGGGGGGTTGGAGTCTTCAATTGAATATTGAGATGTTGAAGAACTCGATCTGGATTGAAAGGCGCTAATCTGGTGGCTGCGAAGCTATTCCAAATAGTTTGAGCTTTATATGCCACTGTACGAGCCTGTGGAAATGCTGTTAAGAAGTCGATTTTGTCAATATAATTAAAACCAAGCCTCATTCGTTGTTCAACAAGCTGCCCATAATATCGCTTTAAAACTGCAAAACAGCCAACATCAAGAGGCTGTAAGAGATGTGAAGAATGAGGAGGCATACAGACTGGAATAATCTTATAATCCGTACATGTACGGTCAAATTCTGCAGTCAAATGGCTTCCATGGCCATCAAGAATCAACATACTATATGTTCCCAATGTACGACCACTAGTAAGAGGAATAAAATGGGTTTTAAGCCATTCTAATCCTATCTGATCTGTAGTCCAGCCATTATCGCTAATATTGATTCTCCAATCATCCGGAAGCTCATCAAACCAGCCTAATCATACGTTTTTCTTTACTTTGAAAATCACATATGAAGGCAGAGCCCATCCAGTTGAATTTGTTGCCTCAATTGCAGTCACCCATTCTCGATTTCCAGGCTGTAGAAGCTTTGGCTAAGCATATCGATCGCTTCCAGTAATAACCTTTGTAGTTGCGCAGAGTCCCATAGCAAAGCCCGTCTTATCAAAATTATAGATATCTTCTGGTAAGATGCCGTACTCAGATATTATATCTCGTACGCGGTCAAAATGGCCTTGTATAATCTTTGGATCTTCACATTTGACACGTTCGTAGTTGTATTTTCGTGAGAATTTGGATTTAATCTCTGGGCGACGTTGAACAAGATTATATACCCATTTATCTCCAACCCGTTGATCTCCATGTTGTGAGAGAAGATAATTAGCCATATCTCGTACAAGAAAGTGCCGGGGCGGTAATCCACGTTTAATTAAATCAAGCACCCATTTGACAAGCGAATCCTCCTCAGATTGACTCAATTTATGGTTGTTGGCGCGTGTTATTTGTCGATACGGCACTCCTTTCATTCGATCTTGAAGAGTTGTACGAGCAACCATATAGATTCTTGCAGCTTCACGAATACTGCGAATTCTTCCATTTTTTAAATCGGAAATAGCTAATTCGATCTTTCCCTCATCCTGAGTGGATTTTAGGGGGTCTTTTTTGCGAATTGGTGGCATTTTGACGCGTTGTAATATGGTAAATCAATATAGAGAGTTATTTTCTGGAGAGGTGGCCGGTTCGCTTACATGGCCGGTTCGCTTACCGATTACGTTAGTTAGATATAATAAGCAAATCAATGGATAGTGAACACTGTGGGCGGTTGAAATTTGGCCTGCATGTATCCAGAAATGACTCATGAAATGGTTTCAGCACAAAGTACAACGCTAATTTTAACTATGTGTCACTCACTCATATTCAGCAAACCGGGGGTTGGTAAGGACGTCCTGTCTTTTTGGGTCTAGCGTCCTGACTTAGTCACATACACAAAAATGGGCGCCGTAGCTTCTAAGTGGACGCGTTGTGCTTTCCAGTTTCAACACGAGCGTACTCCGTATATTTGATCATTTGTATACATGTTTGATACAATACAGTACATGATACAAGGAACCAGAGATGCCTCGGTGTTTATCCATACGTAGTTTAGCCGCTCTTGGCGTAAAGAGAGCAATACCCCGACACCGGTTTTGCCTCCGAGTGTATACAGTATTTATTCTTCTGTCTCTCAAGCGAAGCGAGAGAAGACAGCTAGTGCTTAGATCCTTGGATCTAGCCTGACTCTTGAAACTTCGACTCAGCTACGAATTTATCGACTATAAAAATTGAATGCACCGTCGATTGTAGATAATAATTGTCATATATTCAAAGGAATGTATTGAGTTAGACTGTAATAACGGCTAGCCTCTTCCGCATTGTTGAAATCGAGGTGGAAGATTTAGTGTGCACACCACATATAGCTTAGGTCTAATAGAACTAGTCCACAATGATTTATGCACGAATGCCATCACTGGTGCCTGGGTCCTTGTAAAAAAAGAACCGTGCTCCGGTATCCTCAGGGGAGAAGAAATTGGCTGGAGGAGTACGACGATCACCGGTTGGGGGGGGTGGCACAACCACTGAGAAGAAATCCGATGCTGGACACATTTTGGACGACGAGATGAGCAAGAGGAATCAAGAATTTATTTCTCAATGTTTGAAGTATAGACCCAGACCTCAAATTCAAGGCCTCTTGTTGGTCTTATATAGATCACTCAACTTGGTATAGTTATCAATTAAGCTATGTTGTACGTAACCGAATCCTGAATCAACGGTTAGTTAACGTAATTTTGACTACTATCTGTCGGTTGCAAAATTCATTCGTGTCAGTCTTTACACCTATTCTCTTCAAAAATGTCGACACATACACTTATTCCTAATACGTAACTCGGCCACATTGTATGTAATGCAAGACAAATAGCGTATCGGAGCCCTTTAGGCTTGGTGCTGTAAAGAATATGATCACAGGTCACGTGATGACTAGTGATTTGTTGGAAATAAAATCACGTGACTAGCAAAATACAGAAGTCGAACTACGGAACGGTTCGCAAATACCTCAAAAATACCAAATTCCCTTTAAGGGCGTCCTCTTTGGTGAAACGGTATTACGTTTTAGTTCCGACAGTGATTCCGAGACTAATTATAGTCTCAACCCCTGAGTTGTATGTAACTACAGAGAAAGAGAAGAAGTAATACACAGAGATTCAACGCATCGAATCAACTCCTTATCAATACTACAGTAACAAGCAACTGATCATTAATCACTATTACTGAATGATGTTATTCCTCTGAGTCTATACAATCCATTCACCGAATTTCTTAACAGGCGCCTCCAGGCGCAATGAATCTACTACTATTATAGCGGCTTGGTAGTGGAACGAGATGAAGAGAGTGTGTAAAAAGTCTGTACAGTACAGTACTGTACATACATGGGCCGAAATGTGATTTCCAAGCTCAAACCGAGTTTTGGCAGTAAATCGTAAAGCTGCCACATACCCTAGAAGAGCGCACTCTAGCTTTATTTAAGCTTACTGTACTGCGTTCTGGAAGGATACAAATCATATAATATGGAATGACATCGATTCAAAAGTTTCCGCCACGCTGCCTTGAATCCCTTAGGTGGTGACGGGGGATCGCGGGAAGGTGACATGTAAACTCGTTCTTGTTTAGCGGGAACCATTGGCGGCCTACCTAACGGAGAAGAGATATTACCTTGCAGTGGTGGTGGAATTAGCCTGTCCTCTGCCTCGTCTGCAAATGCCATGCCATTGAAAGACAAGAGAAGCCATGTTTTTAATAGACAAGTGGCTCGCTCAAGTACTAATGAGCACAAGCTATTATTACAACCATTCTCATTGGTTTACGTCGAAAATGACAGGTATATTTTTGGATCGTCGCTATTGAGATTGCAAGCACTTGCAGCCTTAGGCACGTTCTCACGTTTTAAGTTACACACTACTATAATAGTAGTACTGTAAACCGATAATTCTCGCTGACTGGCATAGCAACGAATGAAAGATGTAATTTATAAAGGCTCCTGCTGTCCTACACTAGGGATAGATTTGTCAAGTTCTCTCACGTAACCCTAGAGCGGCTCCACCAAGTGCTTCCATTTCACATAGTTATCCAGCAGGCAACATGTAAGAATAAGAGCCTGCCTACCCAGAAAATCCGACACTAAAATGATTCCCATCTTCTCAGAACCAGACGCTATATGTTTAGAACTAAGCCGATGAGAGATTCTTGGTTACTTCGTCCAAAAATAGTGTCTCCTATCATACCTGCAGATTATGATATCGCTTCGGAACCGAAAGAGCGGTAGAAAGGCCGATCAGAAGCGAAACCTTTATCTGAAAAGTGACGGTAGTGCGACGTTGCCGATCTTTGTATTCAAGTCTAGCTAATCCTACACACAAAGGGCCTGCGCTCGGTTGGGGTTAGATAGACTGCCGTAGTATGTAATTGGGGCCTGTAGGAACTTTCATACCTCGGCTTTTTAATCAGCAGACCGCCAGAGCGATATGCAAAACGCACTAACCAAATTAGACGATTTTCAAGGTTTCCTAACTAGGAGCTTATTATAATTCATTTCTAATTAACCTAGCCACTGATCAATATCTGACAAATCAATGTTAAGTTTACATCCAATTTCATGTTGGGTCCAGGTCCATGACTTTATATAGATACAAATCATGGTCCTTAGATAAAGCATAAATACCCACTACAAGAATTCCCTATACTAATTCTTATCTCCACATCAATTACCATTCTCATCATGGGCCTATTCAATAGTGATTATTCTAGACTTCCAACAAACACTAGCGATAAGACTGGAGTTCTTGAGTCTCCTATGGAGACTAGCGATGACCCTTGGAATTCTCCCTTTGGTGAACCGCCTATTAGATCTGCTCTTGAATCTGACGAAGTTCCGGCTTTTGGTAAATTACCTGGAGCTCCTGAGAATTTTACATCTATTCTTAAGTTTGACGGAGTTCCTGCTTTCGGTAAATCACCTGGAGCTCCTGAGAATTTTACATCTGCTCTTGGATCTAACGAAGTTCCGGCTTTTGGTAAATTACCTGGAGCTCCTAAGAATTTTACATCTATTCTTTTTAACGAAGTTCCTGCTTTCGGTAAATCACCTGGAGCTCCTGAGAATTCTACATCTGCTCTTGGATCTAACGAAGTTCCGGCTTTTGGTAAATTACCTGGAGCTCCTAAGAATTTTACATCTATTCTTTTTAACGAAGTTCCTGCTTTCGGTAAATCACCTGGAGCTCCTGAGAATTCTACATCTGCTCTTGGATCTAACGAAGTTCCGGCTTTTGGTAAATTACCTGGAGCTCCTAAGAATTTTACATCTATTCTTTTTAACGAAGTTCCTGCTTTCGGTAAATCACCTGGAGCTCCTGAGAATTCTACATCTGCTCTTGGATCTAACGAAGTTCCGGCTTTTGGTAAATTACCTGGAGCTCCTAAGAATTTTACATCTATTCTTTTTAACGAAGTTCCTGCTTTCGGTAAATCACCTGGAGCTCCTGAGAATTCTACATCTGCTCTTGGATCTAACGAAGTTCCGGCTTTTGGTGAACCATCTAGACCTCCTAAGAAGAATATTCGATCTACTTTTAGATCTCCTAAGACCAGCAATGACTCTAGGCAAAACGACTCTTCTTTTAGTGATCCTCACCATGGCTCTATGATAGTTGAATATTCTCCTTTTGCATCTTGGGGTCCTAGGGGTCCTCTTGGAACTCCTGAGAAGAATTCTAATTGCAACCAAAGTTCCTCCTTTTGTTGTTCCCATCAGTCCAAAGGATATCCCGAATCTGAAGAGGACAAATTGATTGATGGTGCTGATATAACTAGCTAAAAACGCAATAGAGGGAAGTATGGAGGGGGTAGCAAAGCTGAGGATAGTGATTCGTAATACTTTTACAAATGAGAGATCGAACAAGGTAGATTAGAATGAGCAAATTTTATTGTATAACATGGCCACAAGAGCATTCCTATACCATAGTCTTTTCAATCAATAAAAGCTATCTTTAAGGATCTATGCTCTATAGTAGGATAATCTTGGTGCTGACAAAACCATCGTTAGAATCGCTCAAGACGCAAACGCTGCTGTCGGACGTATGCGAAGACTCGAAAAAGAAAGAGGGAGGAGAAGAGGTCAAGGAGATAAAATCAGCGATTCAACGAGGAGGTAGCTTGATCGCTCTCTAAGTCGTATATCAGCACTGATATCTATTATACAGCGTCGAATTTACCATCCTTCCAAAAGAGAAAACCTGCCCCCATTGTTGGGAAGAAAAGATTCGATGCTGTCTTCGCTGCCAACAGCTAGGGCGGCAATTTTCACGAGCATTAAAAACTATATGCGATCAATACATTCAAAGCGGCAACAACAAATGCTCGAGACAACGACCGTGTGCTCAGTGTCAGAAAACAGAGGATGATTGCCATTATAGTTTTCACTCTTTGCCACCATTCCACATACGACAAAGATATCTTGGAAAAGCTAGGAGAAGAGAAAAAAATGTTATGGGAAGATCACGCAACATTTTCTTACCCAGACGAAGAAACCAATTCAGTAAAAATATTATAGGGGACGACACAAAGCAGTCTAGCATTAGTCCGATGTTGAGTTACCTTGCGATTTCGAGAAGTCATCATAACTGCCAGCATAATGATGAGTTCTTCGCATGTGATCGTAACAATTCCATTTGCGCGAAAAAGCCCTCCCAGAAGTAGCTCGACCACATTGCTCAAATAAACACAGAAAGCCTGTGTGGCCATAAGCCCTGTGGGCTTCACGATTGTGGCGTAATAGAGTGCTATTGGTCTTAAATGTGTGCTTGGAACATTGAGGATGCTGACATCGCAACCAATCTGATGCAGCCCTGTAGACTTCACGGCTGTGACGGAATAGACTGGCCTTGGTCCGAGGTGTGAGCTTGGAACATTTAGGATTCTGGCATTGCCACTTGGTTTGACGCAACCTCTCGCCGGCTTCCTGTGGCTCCGTGTTTCCCATATATAGCGGAGCCAGCGGACTTGGGACGTGTCCTTCCTGCTTTCGATTCCGCAGTACCAATTTCCGGAAGTTATCAAAGATTTGTATCTAGCTTGATCATCTAGATATTGTATGATTGATATGTCGTATAGTATCAGGAGTCAAATTTATCAATCAAACAAGGATGTTTTGGGAGTAAAAACCCGTGGTTGGGGATATAAATCATCAGATACCCCTTTTTGGTATTACGGACTTGCGAATCCTCCTACACTTGACCTGAGCAATATGAGTGTTCCTCGCTGTAGATCTCGTAAAAACAGCACCGCAGTGAGGACATTCCCACTTAGTAGCCGCGCCAGATTTTTCTCGCTGATGTCTCATAAAATTGCTGAATGTGGAGAATTCACGGCCGTTGCAGCCGTGGTCCCAGCATTGGGCTTTCGATGGTAATTCGAGCACCCGGACTTGACTCTGACGCTCTGAAGTGCCTGACGTAGAGTTGAGTTCGTATTGGCCTTCAATATTGGGTTCCGCTGGATTGGCATGGGATCTGTGAGTTGAAGATTAGCGAGGTCTCTTTTTTCTTAGCCAATAGCTCTATTGAGGAATACTAACGAAACAAATGTCGTTTGTGGAAGCCCGGAGCTTGGTTGATTGAACCAATATGTGCTTGAATTTGATCACTCAGTTAGTCTACACCTCTCACAGAAATGTTCATGTAGGAAATGAAACTCACTTAGGATCAAACGCCTGGGATGGCAGCGCTTGCATTCGCTGTCGCACCTCTATCGAGTAAGATAAAGAAGCGTTTCCTATACGAGGCAAGAGAGACTTCTGTAATCTTTGGCGATGCCATCCCTTTGATATACTGGATCCGTATCGCAGATATCGTCTTTGTGCCTCTTGGAAAGGAAACGTTTTCGCGTTGTCTGCCTGTGACGGAGCGTTACTCGCAGTACTGGAGAGGTCTAAATTGTAAGCCATATCTGGAGTAATCAGGACGATTTCAGACCACCTGACCAAAAGAAGAGAAAAAAGAAGAAAAAGAGGTTTTGTTGCAAACTTCTTGCCTTGCTTTGTTCGCCTGATGTCTGGGCGAGTTTGGCTGGCCAGACTTTGGCATCAGCCGCTGGTCTGATCATGACCCCGAGCCTTGCAGGTTTTCCTACGCTGATTTGGCGCTCCAGAACTGGGATAAATCAAATTCTACAGATGGCCAAGCGGAGACTGACACAAGACAGACAGGGGGGGGTCACCGGTTTAGATAAATTAAGCATATCGTTCGATGAAAAGGGGTCAAGAGAAGGCTCTTCTGAGTTTACAACGAAATTTCGAGATAATTCTCCACTTCTCAGGACGGGTGTAAGACTAGATCAAATTCTCGCCTTGATGACCTTCCAAGTCACCTGCTGGTTGACCAACCAGCATCGGTTGTGACACGCCCCTTGTCCATCTACTAAATTCTGCATAAGGCTAGCGAAGGGATTTACTGGACTATTTGTAAATGGTCTGCTTACCCTTTTCTTGCCGGTGACAGGTATCTCGGTTGTATTCACTCGTATCGGGGCCAACCAAACAACGCCACAAGTAGCAGCAGTTAGGTCCTGTATCTCTACACCCAGTGCTACATAGGATTACAATACAGATATACTCACTTCTGATGGGGATTATACTACGGCTAGATCAGCCTTAATTGGGCAGAAAGCTCCTTTGCAGCTAGTTGTGGTTCTTACAGACGTTTAGTACTATTCTAGATCAACCAACCATGATTGATTGCTTGAATCGTTACAAATAGGAAGTGACCGAATATTGCCTGCAAATCATCGGGATAAGGTCGGATAATCAGGTTATCAAGGGAGTCAATTTGGGCTTGGCGGTCTGGATATGATATATCCGGGTAAGTTGACGGTGCGCGTCATCTCGCGGGATTACGTGAGGTTTGATACCTAGTGGTTCTTTTGGGTGTGGGTTGTAACTCAGCATGTAACTAGGGAGTGGATAACTAAACCTAGCTCCCTAGATTCCCATATTCCCATGTTCACGTCTATCATTGAATAAAAGACTTGAAGAATACGAGTATCCTAGTTTCGGTATTCATCACAGTTTGACAGACCATTACAAGTCTATTACTAGTTTCAGGTACGAACAAGGTTGACTTGTTTACCCCTGATGCACCCAGGGGCTACCTGCTTTGAACATAACCTTCAAGTGATCGGAGAGCGGAACGTATAAAGATGAGATAGTCCTACTATGGTTGGGGCCGGTAATTTTGTTAGCACGATTTTTTTACAGGGGTTGAAATCCAATGAATTCTGCCAGTCATATCTGATTACTAATCTAATATTTTGTATGACCACCTCGAGCATCTATTACAGCTTGGCATCTAGCGTGCATAGAGTCAATGAGCTCCTTCAAAAACTACTCAGGCAGTGCATCCCAAGCAGCTCGTACAACCTCACGGAGTCGATCATAAGAAAGTTGCTCATCATCTGGATATTGTTCTTGAATCCAATCCTTCATCCAATTCCATACTGCTTCAATTGGATTGAGATCAGATGAGAATGCTGGCCAAAAAATTGGATATTGTTTGGTTCTACACGGTCCCCGACACGAAGCGGAGATTGGTGTAAGGCTAGTCCAACGAGCCTACAAGGGTGAGCTGACCAATATGATAGAATAATTTCCAATTGATAACTGATCTCTAGAACTATCTAATGGGCGAACGTAGGGTATATATATACCCGAAGGTTCAATCCCAAATAGGCAGTGTATCTAACAACATGATGGGTTGCATACACGGAGGATAAAGATTGAAGCTATTCCGGGATCATAAGCCAAATGTGATCCGGTGCTCCGAGCTGTCCGTAACATAGGTATGCTGCATGAGGATCATGCATATAGACAGGTATGCTGCATAAGAATATTGCATGCGTACAGACAGATATATCCCACGAGAATGAAGCTCTTCGAGAGTCTCCTTACTCGCATGGCCAGGTGCCCCATCCTGCATAAATTGAAGCCAGATATCGTCTCGTAATAAGCGAATATAGCCATCAATAATTGGTATAACCCGTTGACAATATCTCTCCGAGTTAATAGTTCCCCATTCCTTCTCCCAGAATAAACACGGACCCTTGTTATTCCCATGAAAAGTAGCCCAGAACATCCATCCACGTTTCCGTGTAGGAGAGGATCGTATGCAAGTCTCTTCTAACTCTTCACCAGCCTTTCTAGTTACCCAGATTCTCGTATGAAATCCTGAAGTAACCTATGTTTCATCAGACCAAAGGATACGATTCCATTGTTCAGTCGTCCAATTCAAATGCTCTAGGGCCCAGGCAAGACGTACTTGTTTATGTTTATCTGATAGAGGAGGTTTATTAAGAGCCTTGCATCGTGAATAACCTCGTTTTTTAAGAGCTCGAGCCAGGGCGTGCTTTCCAATAGATAGGTTAAGCTCTTGTATAACCTTATAATAAGGCATACGTTGCGTACGCTTCGAAGAAGTAATCCATTCGATAATATGATCAACTTCAGCCTCGGAGAGCTTCGGAGGGTTGCCACGGGCCTTTTTAGGGGTTGCTTGCTGGCTTTGGCACGTATATTGGACTTGGCGATAGCTAATTTGAAGCTGCTGAGAGATTTGAAGATATGTAAATCCAGCATCTCGAAGGGTTAATACTCGGATCCGTTCATCCCTATTCAGCCGTGCTGAATTCTGCCTGGGATCAGATGGCTCGAGAGCTCCTGCGCTTGTTGCCCTAGGGGGGCTGGTAGGCTCGGGGGTGGCCATATTGATCGTCAAATGTCATATATCTAGGCTTGAAAGGCTGAAAGCAGACGGATGGTCAATATTCTATTTAAAAGGCGGTGAGCCCCGGAGCCTGACCGCCTAAAAATCGTACTAACAAAATTACCGGCCCCAACCGTAGTATAGTTCCAGTGTTGTCCGAGTGTCAGTGTCATTCTTTTACTCCTTGAGCATTTCCGTTTTTTTGAGTACATGTAATTTTGTGTACGTTGGCAAAGTACTTTGACCTTGAGAAAACTGATGTTTTGCGTGATTTTTTTTGGCAAATTGCTGACTGTTGCTCCTATTCTTCCTGCTTCCTTTCTCTCATTCCTTTCCAGTTTGGATTCATGATGCTGTGGATCAGCCCGCCTTTGTTTCTGCACAATATTAAACTCTCTATTGATACAATGGCCATGCCTTACCCATTGGATTTATTGTCTAGTCAGGGTCCTGAAAGTTCCATTTGGTGCGCTCCCCTGTTTTCCCATATGAAGATGTTTTCCCTGCACCTACAATCTCTATCCTGGACTGCACCGCCCGAACAACAGAAAAGTGACGACATTAACGTAAATTACAACTCCATCTCGTTCTCTCTTCCTATCTCCCACGAATTCTACGCGTCGTTGAATATTTCTGCTCAGCTGCAGGGAATGTTTTCGCTTGCCAATTCCAACGAGATGCCACTTACACACGATGCGGAGCTCACCTGCTACCGTCGAAATTTGTTTTTAAAATCACCGGATTCGTGACTGTGCGTCGAAGTATGTATATCGAGACCGAACACGGAGACCTCATGTCCATCGAATTGACCGTGTCTGCTACCGAATCTGTTAAGGGAAATTCTGTTAAGATTACTCACGTAGCTGAAAAAATACCAGCGGCCGCCTCAGCAGACGACTGTACTGTGGCTCCTGCACCCAAAGAAAAAGCTAAAAAGGAGCCTCCGTCAATACTTTTGGATACCGTGGCTGGACAGGACATGGAGGAAGCGCCTTCAATTCCGGACAGCTACCGCCAATAATGGCCGCCGCAAGGAGCTTCAGCAGCACTTTTTTATTTATATCAAGGCTGTCACAACACTTAAAACAGATACCACGCTCAAGAATAGTCATTGTCCGTGACCGTGGCCCGGGTAAATCTAAGTCTGGTAGGGGCATCCTGCTCAGCAGCCGAATAACTCATCTAGACGTAGAAAGCGGACCAGAGTGGAGAGCTAGATGATCGCACCATCGAAGTGTATAAGAGAGGTTGACGATATGATATTGCAATTATTCCATTATGAAAGCTTTGTCTCCTCGACATCTATTTCAATGTCACGTAGAATACTTTTAGCTCGGTCTAAAAACTTTTGTCCGTCTCTGTCTTTCGGAATACGGCGCAACTCTAAATGGCGTGTTTTAGCCCAGTCATGAAACTCGGTAAATAAGCATACACTATAAACCTCTGCTTAATATCTGTAACATTGCTAAACCCCCAGAGCTGAGATAGTGGATCCCTCTCGGTAAATTCGTCCTTCATATCCATGGTCACATATGCTGCTGTCACGGCTGTCAAATCTGAGCCATCAACAGCAAGGTCGGCATGACTTAACCCTAGTGGTACGTAGCTGTCGACATAGTCTCTGACGCCTTTCTCCCTCAATATTTTCCCGCAAGAAGCTGACATAATCATTTACTCTGTTCAGCATTGACCACCGATTTGGGATCGTCAATTCTGACAATCTATGCTATAATAAGTGAAACATCTTTCCGCTGGGGTAGGGATACCGACATTCAGGGTCTGACTCATGTCTGTTGCCAGTATGATAAGAAATCTGTATTTGAGAGATGAATAGAAAATGTCTATTTATAACAGTTGGATAGAACGCGAAGGCTGTGACGGCGTCCTGAGGGAACCGACACATGCGGGATAGTTATATGGGGGATTGGGCGTAGCAAGTTAGCCTTCTTCTTCTTCCTTTTCTCATGCTTGATATTTTCAGTAGACACACACCTCTGTACACAGTGCTAGGTAGTTCGAATACATGAGATTGGCACCGTCACACCAGTCGGTTAATCAAGAGTTCTTTTATGACTTCAACTAGGCGCGCACCCGGCAAGGTTTTGACGAGGCACAGTGGCGACCAGCCTTGGATGAGATAGTAGCGACAGGTCGATTATCTTGTGATTACACTGTGTCAAGAGGCGAAGCGATGCCTATAATTGGTGACGTTTTCGTTGCAAAGAATATGGAACAGTTTGGGTACTGTCGGATTAGTCGGTTTATTCCAGGCCAATCCTGAAGAGTGTTTTACTAGGATCAAAGAAAAGAAATGACTAGCAAGATTGTATGTATTGAGTTCTCTGTCTGTGGAATATATCAGGTTCAACACCGGGTCTTTTATAGACACTTTTGAAGTGCGCAACAGCACGATGAACGTTGAGAGGCCGCGACGATGGTGGGGTCAATTATATACAGGATTATGTATTATTCATATAATTCATGTTTCACAATATACATTTGGTTCGAGAAACCGTATCAGGATGTACTACGATTGACCCCGGTGATTTCCCTAGTACGTCTTTTATCTTTCAGTCATACAGCGGTCATATAAATAGTGTTGTATAGTTCCAGTCAATAACTTGCTACTGATTTTCTTAATAATATAGATTTTAACCTTTTAGGACTGGTTCTAGGCAGATGATGACCGGGTTTAAAGCTTTCCTGAGACTTGGGGGCAAGCTTTTCTAGAGAAGTAGTAATGTGACAACTTTGTGATCTATCTTTGTAATATATTATATCGATACTTTCTGGGCTGTAAGTGCTGGATCTTCATACCTAGTTATTTATAGGGTAGGGAGATGTCTGGTGTATTTCCGGTTGGACCTCTGTCTTGGCTGTCGATTTATATGCTTTCAAACTCGCAGCTAGATCCTAGACTTCTTCATATCTCCATGCTTAGTTTTCTCGTCGTACAGCTACTTAATGATATTGGCTTGAGCACCTTCACACTATCCTCAAAATCAGTTTCTCACACCTGCTTGACCGTAGGATTCACATAAATCAAATATCTTCTCTCCACAGCGCCTCATCACTGGGATTATTACCCACAACCCCAGAACTATCCCTTTCACTTGTTCTACCCCCATAAAAATCTGATGGTTGATTTCCCTCGTGACGAAAGCGATTGAAATTTTCCATTTTACGATCTTCCGTCAAAGTGCCGTAGCGTCCATCCTCAGATAAGGCTTTTCGTTTATTTCTCATCCCGCTGAATAATCCCTTTAGAGCTGGCAGTGAGAGCGCAATGATTGCCGTGCTAACCTCGGTATCGGACCAAACCATGACCACGGAGAAATACCATGTTGCATCCGAGTCTTCGATAGCGGGAATCATGGCTAGAATACGGCATATCGACGTGCTAGCAATAATGTCAGTCTTTGTTCAGACTGCGATGAGGAAAAGGGAAAAATCACATCACAGCACTATGAAGTTAGCTAAATCCACAATGATAAAGGCAGACACTACTCACAAAATGCCAAAGCACATAACGGAAGCCAGGGCAACTTTTCTCGTTAAATTCGCCTGAATTGTAAAAATAATATAAATGGGAAGCAACAATATTAGCGAATCACAAATAATGGTCATGCTAGCTGTGGAATAGAACACAGCTTTTGATCCAATGCATTTCCCCTTTGTAGCTCCCCAAAGAGCCGATAGGGGTATACATTGGAGAGCAATAATCAATGTTTGAGTGATGAAAATGGAAGTCACAAAGGCGATGGATAGTTTCAAAATGAGGCTATAAGGTCCTGTCCTCGGGTTTAGGCGTTGGTAAAAGGCGATTCCGGATAAACGACATAGCCATAAAGCTAGCATGTATGCTAATTGCGCGGAGACCAGCCATTTGTATAAGTAGGGGACATCTGAGGCACTCAGGGATGCGATGTGCAGACCGGCGCCATAACGGAGGACTTGAAATGTGAGTGCCATGATAGCTATATTTATCAACTGTGGTAATTAGTTCTCCTTGTTTTCTATAAGTCGTCAGGGGACAGGTACCATAGCCACACATATCAGTCCATCATCATAGCCAAAACTTCTGATGATCTTGCAGCGAGCATATACGCGAACCAGGACTACTATGCCTGAGAGGACTGTTACAACTGAGATTCCGATCCGTGCCTGCGGTCGCCGATCCTGAGCCAGATACTCAGGGCTCAATCGAGAAGCCATGGTATCATTAAACAGGGAATTTCTATCCCAACGAAAGAAGTACAAGAGAAGAAAAGCAGACGAGACAATCTATTTATTATGCAGGCACAAATACCCCAGAGGCGGTCACATCCCGTTGATCGTTACATACTACATAGTACATGGTTTGGTCGTAATATTATTGATTGACAGGGGATTGCGCCACAGACGAATCTGGCCAGAGAAAATTAGGGACGCGATCTTATGTGTGATCCTGGCTAGGTATCAGGATATTGTGATCACCAAGGACCATCTTCAATTAAAGCTCTACACCCTCATTCTACCATAGTACATTAACTAGAGTCTAAATCACGCTTTAATCATGTATTTGTTGACGCCGTTACAAATTATGGACCCATGGGGCTTACCTCTAGGAGAGGCCGAAGGGCCTCTATTTCATAGCTCTTCTATAGCTCCGTCTAGCGCATCTGTTACTCCTGAAGAGGCGAAAATAAACTTGCTAGAGATAGTACGCAAGATACCCCGCTATCAATATGCTAAATACGAGCCTCTTGAGATGGCTAACCTTTTCTTGGAACGGTACAATTACCACCTGAGGCAGAAATTAGGAGCTCGTACAGCTTCTTCTCTCTATTTACCTCTGATGAATGGTTAAATTATTGTCCTCAAATACCAATCAGTACGCAAAAGCTAAGAATGCAGGAAAGTTCGGACGAGATTTGCATGAAAACAACTACTTCTGAGATCGAGATCATTCTTGCTATTCTGATCTGCACCCCTGATCCATGGCTATTTGATGTTTCCCTGCTCTCTATAGATCGGCAGTTATTGCCATGAGAATTTGTATCAAGGAATATCTAGATATTTGCCTCTTCCATCATAACATAGATTAGCAACTATGGAGGAGAACACAGATCTCAGGGGACGTGTGGTTTCTTCGCTTGCTGCCTTATACGACGACCAAGTCTCCTAGCATGGGTTCCATTTAGGACTCAAAGGAATGTGAAACCGGTGAGATAGCCCTTAGTGGTCTGGCCCATATTGCAATGAGAGAAAAAAGACGGAGTAGCGGAAAAGTGACGCAGCAGTGGAAAGAAGACAACGGGGGGAACAATTACGAAGCCCTACATGAAGCTAATTCTGGAAAGGCATAGCCTAATGAGCGAATTTATGCGGTCATGTGTGATTACATCCGTTCTCTCCTTGGAGCAAATGATACAGTGGAGATCGTTCGCGGAGAACCTTATTGGTAAATTGCATCTGAGACCTAGATTCACCCGTGGCCTACTATGTATTGCTAGGATTGTATGGATACTATCCGATAAAGCAGTTTGCTTGATATGACATGTGCGGGGAGACGTTCCATCTTGGCTGTACGAAAAATCGCATACTACGATTGACCCTGGTGACTTTGATGGTACGTTTTTTATTCTAAAGCAATACCAACCCCGTAATTCACGCTAGAGTAAATAGGAGACCATGTAACGTAATTGGTTAAAATAATACAACCATTATATAACTTCTGTATGACTGAAAGATAAACGTACTATGAAAACGACCAGGGTAAACTGTAGTGCATAGTACGCTCGGTTGAATTCCTCTTGATTAGAAGGGATTAGAAGGAACACTACGCCTAAAACAGGTGTAGCTGCGCAAAGACATGGTACTTTTTATGCTATCGGATATGTTTTGAGGTGGCCAAATAAAAATGATGATGTATTTGTCCTACGGATCCTACGGACCTTTTTCCGCGAACGGTGGGAACTCATAATTGAGAGCGATGATATCCCTGTCACGTAGCGCTATTCTATGAAACACCCCGTATCAGAGAACTTGAGAGCAGTCTGATCGTCCATAGTTGCAATTTCCAATGATACGCTGTATCTGTCCCATAGCGTCAGGGCCTAGTTGCATAATGCAGCATGCTTGAGAATTGTAAATGAATCATAGTCTGAAATAGGGGTTCATCGTCCGATTCTTACGTTTCGTTCCTAACGTTCCCAGATTGTTAGTAAGGTCGAGATAGCATCCTAAGCCATCTATTCCTCTAAGAAGATTAGTGTATTACAAATTTTCCGTGCCACGTAAACTTTGACAATACACAGGACTGTAATTTATTAGCCGATCCAATAAGACAACAACGACAATGACTAATAGGATAAGCTGTAGACTATTTGTACTATGTATATTACTAGCGTGTGAAAACGATTTGCTCCGTAGTGTCGCGTCGACAGGCCCACTTCACATGACAAATCCTAAGCTTGGTGGGGTCAGACAGCTGTCTCCAGTCCGGGAAGACTCCAGGACTCGATGTATTAGACCTTGGAGTTGAAAAGAGACTTTCTGGACAAAAAACAGCTTTATACAGTCTGTGGTGCAATCCAACCTCATTTTACTAGATTATAGCGCATTTGAATAAGTACTGTTGCTCTATGTCACCCGTCGAAGTTTGTCAAGAGCGTGACGATTTCCTCTTCAAGATTAGTGCAGTGTGATCATTTCCTCAACGGGCTAGTGTCAAAATCCACGTAAACGAGACGACTGGCGCTCTCTGATTGGTGTTACCACCTACATAGATCGCAAATCTAATGAGGGCAGCTGATCCAACAAGCTGGCTAAGCCGGAATCCCTATTAGTTATTGTGACTGACTCTATGTGGTTATCCTCCGTGCACGAGTACGCATGGGTAACTATATTCCATTCCGCGGCTAACTAGATAAGCTCACTCCAGGCATTATGTGATTGTGACTCATGTGCATTATTAACTTTACATATTGAATGTAACAACGTTACGTAGGGTATGTATAGTTACATTCGAGAGGGATCACAGAAGGGTAAGCACACAAAATAGAGTATGGATGTCAATGTACTGAAACCTATTTCTTCTGTTTTCACAGCGTGCATCCTATATAAGAGACATTCATGTTGTTTCCCAGTAATACGTTATTACCATAGCCAGCTGAAGTATCCACACTTCAGCCACTGTCTGTTCTAGCCCCAAACCCTAGGATGTTTGTTAGGCATGTTGTTGCTTTGGACGCCTTCGCAGCCGACACGGCCAATTATACGGAACGGCAGTGAAATGCGTCTCGAACGTCCATTCTGTTTCTGGATCAACCTGCTCAATGTCGTAATCACGCAGCAATGTTGCAGCGACTTTGGAAATTTCGAAATGAGCCAGATGTCGGCCTGGACACTTTCTGGAGCCTGCTCCCCACTGTTGAAGTCAGATTAAACTATCGGTTGTCTTGGAGAGAAGCAGCTTACATGCAATAAATAATGATTCATCTGGGCTGCGCGCTCTGAATCAAGCCAGCGCTCTGGATTGAATTCGTTGCAGTCTTCACCGAATAGAGCTGGGTTGCGGTGGAAGACCCAAGGATTTACGCTCAATATTACCTACAAAAGTCAGCAAACCATAGGTGTGAATATCTGATGAGAGCTTTGTTACCCCTTCCGTGAAATGATGGCCATCAATGGACAAACCCCCTGCTGGGACAACCCGAGAAAGTCCAGTTCCAGTTGCGCTGTGATATCGATAAGATTCTTTAATCTAAAATGGCTAGTGAGTTGACGCTCTTCCAAATAAGGTTGAGGGAAATGATGCCCTACACAAGCTTGAAGATACGACAGCTTTGAAGCATCCTCAAACGAAACAACAGACTCATAAGGTCCACGACCAAGAACAGCCTCAATTTCATCTCGAACTTTCTTCAAATATTTCGAATTGCGTAGAAGATAATAGAACAACGCCTGTAGCGTCGCGCTAGTAGTATCTGCTCCGGCACCAATATTGGCAACGGCAGCCCCAAACACTTCTGACTCCTCCATGAGATCTGGATATTTGCGACGAGCACTTAGCCATTGCTCCATCATATCATTTCTTACCTCGGGATTGTGTTTCCGTGCATCAATAGCAGCTAAGCAGGTATCAAAAATATGAGATGAAGGTTGCAGTCCAATACGACTGAGGAACGGATGGCCCAAAGTCAGATTGTGTAACCAGACATAATGCCCCATGATGGCAAGATAGAGTGCCAAAGCACGAGTATTTGCGATTGCATTTCGAATATCAGTGCCTGTCTCCACGAATCCAAAAGCTTTAGAGAAAGTGACTTCTCCAACGACGTCGAAGGCGAAAAAATTGAACCAGCGGTCAAGTTCAATTGGCGAGTTTGAAGTTGATAAGCGGTCGAATTGTGACTCTAATTCTTCTAGAATTGCGTCTACATAGCGCTCTGATCCATTTATTTTGGATGCTGCGTAGCCAGTTGCGACATTTCGGGATTTTTGAAGATGGCGTCCGTGGTTCAGCTCAGACATTAGGTTGATGTGGTTAAAGTCTGGAAAACAAAAGACTCCATACCAGCGGCCCTGTCGAAACTACTTAGCTGGAGTGCAAATTGAAGACTAGGGATGACATATCATACCTTATCAAGGTCTGCACATAGTATTAATTCCACCGCATCTGGATGAGAAACACTGACTTCATTTATGCCAACACGGACCAAACTTCCTACAGAAATTGAGAAGTATGATTATGATTATCCTTCAAGGCAGAGAGACAACGCTAAACATACCCATCTTTTTATGTAGTTTAATCATCTCTTCCTCCGTATGTCCCTTGATTAGATGATAAACCTGCCAAAGCGTAGAAAAAGACGCCAGTAAAGGTCCTGGTATGTCGCTAATTGGCGAGACATAGCGCCTTTTCAAGATGATGACCAGTATGGTGATTGCGGCGGTTATTGCCCATGTCGAAATGGGTATATTGAGCAGCAGGTTCAGAAGCATGTCGCGTATCTTGATTCAAAGATTTTTGGGTTTCTGGTCGAGGGACCAAGTGTAGTGTCGGTGTAGCAATCCTACTTATCTCAGTGCCGGAATGGGATATAGTTTATCCGTGCGCTATAGACCTCACCATCCCCGCATCCCTAGTTCTTTGGATTAGTCGCAATATTAGGAATTCAGTATTACTGCTCAGTCAGCTTGTTGGATTAGCTGTCCTTATTCAATCTTGCGACCTAACGAAGCTAACAGTTGTGTCTTGAACGTTTCTTTCATGTCATTGTAGTTACACTCTGTGGAGATGGATGAGCACAATCTCTGTGTATTGCTCTATCTAACAGGTGTGTGTTGGGAAGGAATAATCTCGCGAAGAATCTCGCGAAGAATCTCGCACGCTAGGGAGATTATTCCTCTTCCCAATGGCGCTAGACTACATGCGGTAGGTATGCGGCGCTGTGTTAGGCTAACCTTTTAGTGCAATTATTCCACATTGAGCTGGCGTAAAGTCGAGCAGCTCACAGCGACTTATTCATGTCAAAGACGAACGTCTCCCCACCCAAGAAAGCGCTGAGAGTCTAGACACTATACTGTTATTGGTTCTTTCTAAGAAATCTTCTAATCAATTGGTAAATCGGATTTGCTGTTATGCGCTCACAATACTGAAAGGACGATACCGTTCTATTAACACGATTATCCTGCCTCCTAGCAAGATAAATTATCATACCTTCTAAAATGGTAACAGGTAGGTTGATATCATCGATTGGATCTCTCAAAATCTGCAATGCAAACTCACTGGCATTATTGCCGTTCTTGGAAAGAGGAGACTGTAAGTATGGCCAGTATAAGACCAAGGCCTTCATCAGTATATAGCTGGGAGCGAGCGAAGCAACATACTTGGCAGGAGGCTCTTACCATTTTGTTGGAGAAAACAGATATGGTAGAGTGTGCAAGACGATTAACTTCTGACGTCCACGCGATTCTGCAAACTATTAGAAGTATGCTATTGTAGGGCAGGTCAGCGCTAACTGCTTGAAGATACACTATCTTTTTGTTAGACCGTGGCAATGTCGAAGCCCAATCTCCCGAGTTACGTCTGGAAAATTCCATGATTCAGGTGAACTCTTCGCCCGCAACAAGGATTATCATACAGAGTTAGCTACTCCTCGGTGGAAGTCGCGTCTACGGCTGCAGCATATGAAGTTCTAAAACAACCAGAGGCAAACACCAATCTTTTATCAGTGTTTCTGTGTTTCTTCAATGATTCTATTCTTCCCTTGGATTTACTTTCCCGCGGAACGACACCTTGCAAACGCTGGAACGACAGTGGCGTCTTACCGGAAGATATCTAATTTTGATGAGACGGGCTTTGCTATGGGACTCTGTGCATCTGCAAAGGTTATTACGAGAAGCGATCGATATGCTCGGCCAAAGCTTTTACAGCCTGGAAATCGAGTATGGGTGACTGCAATCGAGGCAACTAATTCAACTAGCTGGGCTCTGGTTTCGCACGTTATCTTCAAGGTGAAGTAATACACTCGATTAGGCCTGTTTGAGGATCTTCCAAGCGATTGGAGAACCAATATTAGTGAGAATGGATGGGCCACAGGTAAAATTGGATTAGAATGGCATGGAAGTCATTTAACTCCTGAATTTGATCGTACATGTACTGAGAATAAGATTATTCCAGTCTGTATGCCTCCTCATTCCTCACATCTTCCACAGCCTCTTGGTGTTGGCTGTTTTGCTGTTTTAAAGCGCCATTCAGCTTGTTGAGCAGCGAATAAGGCTGGATTCAATCATATTGATAACATCGACTTCCTTACTGCATTACCTGGCATACAAAGCTCAAACTATCCGGAATAGCTTTGCAGCAACTGGATTAGTGCCATTTAATCCAGATCGAGTTCTTCAACAACTTGATATTCGATTAAAGACACCAACACCTCCTCCAAGTCGATCAAGCAATACACAATCATTCTGCTTACAAATCCCTCAAAATCCACGTCAATTCAAGCGCTAAGTGACTACAATTAAGAAGCGACTGAGCCGGCGTACGAGGAGTCCATCTTAGGCTACTGAACCAATTATGCAGATATCAAAGGCCTATGAAATGACTGTGAATGGTCTTTTACTCGTGCGGAAAGAAAACCATGATTCGAGCTGCGCATCAAAAAGAGAAGCAAAAACGTCAAAGATCTAGGAAATCTAGTGAGCAAGGGGTTACTAGAGAGGAAGCCAGCTCTAGAATGGAGCAGATGCAATTGCTAAAAATCCATTTTCGCGCGCTGGAGATTGATAAATGCCTTTCACACTACTCATGTGATGTTCTATATAACTGTTGCATTGTATAATAATTTACATGAGGAATAAGGTAGGACTTGGGGCATGGGCCACTGCCAGACTTAGGATGAACGATTTAAAACACTCTGGTTTGACTCCACTTTTCGTATTGTCAATTATACATAGTACATTACAGCTAGGCTTGATAGGGAATAGGCGGCGTAAAATCCACACTTGACTCTTATTGGTGGTTGACATCCATTACTGAGAACATATGATTTGACCCCTATAATGCTACGTATCCATGTTCGCTAGGGGGATACGGATGTCGCCCTTGAATTAGATTCTAGTATTATGATTTCACCAATTAACTCCTAGCAGAATTTTGTAGAACCGCGCATAGCTCGAACTTCTTCCATAGCAACCCATGCAACTCCTGCATCGCCTGTTTCTAGCTGTCATTTTCGTTGATCACAACATTTGCATTTATCCTTAGTGACCAGAGGATACAATACGAGTCATGGGATGAAGATGTAAAAATTAATAAATCAGCGCGGGAGTTTCAGCTATATTCGTATTAGTCTGAAATAATGTGGCCAAGAAACTAGATTTCATGATTTGAATATAGTAGGGGACAAGATGTGGAAAACGATGGCTAGCATTGGAAGAGCTAGTAAATCAATGAAGTGGAGATTAAAGCCCTAAAGAGAAAAACTCCACGCCAGCCACATCCCTAATAATTGGATTAGAGTGGCCAATCCATGACTTTGAATAGTAATGCTGTATTTCCAGGCCTATCATCAACATCATTTGCATAGAAACTCAACCGAATGTTCGTTCCGTTTCCTTCCTAGACCTTCTCGCACATTGCTTTTCAAAGAGTGTGAATAGAGCTCGATAATGAATTAATGATTGTGTATGAGTAGAACTCGCCGGCAAGCAGTCACCAGTTGCAAGTCTCAGCGGCTGGGGCCCAGCAGGGAAATACGCCTGTGCTTAGGGTTAGCTTATATATATAGAAACGAGGCTGTGACTTGGCCACACTAAGTGATAAGTAAGGCCCAGCTGCCAACAGAGCCACTAGCGACACACAAAACTACCTGAAAGATACAACACCGACACAATTTTCCTTTCCCTCGCACACCACCTCTTTCTAACATTACCTACGCTGGACTCAAACAGAAAATCCTTTCAGGCACGCGGAACTAGGGATAAAAATCAAACCTGAATCCAGCGTGCTTGTCGATAGACGAAACACCGCAAACGACACCGTATACGACGTTGAGAATGGCGAGGGACCGATTGCCACACTGGCTGCGAAAATGGCAGATCAACAAGCAGAAGACAATTAAATCAGTGGCCAAGAGTGTGGTTTCAATTCATTTTTGTCAGACGCGGCCGTTTGATACAGATCCTTCCATGAGTGGTCAGGCTACAGGGTTTGTGGTTGATGCGGAAAGGGGGTTAATCCTTACAAATAGGCATGTGGCTTGTGCGGGACCTTTCTGGGGACGGTGTATTTTTTATAATAATGAAGAGGTACTTATATTGACTCCAAGGTTAAAGATGGTATACTGACTGTGCAGTGCGATGTTTCAGTGCTTTATCGAGATCCTGTGCACGATTTTGCTTTTTTGAAATTCGACCCAGAGACGATCAGGCACATGAAGATTATGGAGCTAGAATTGGACCCTGAAGGAGCACAAGTGGGTGTTGAAATTAAATTACTTGGTAATCATGCTAGAGAAAAATATAGTTTTCTTTCAGCTTTGATTAGTCGTGTGGATCGAAATGCTCCGGAGTATGGAGGATATAGCGATTTCAACACAAACTACATCCAAGCTGCTGCTGCTGCTAGTGGTGGGAGTTCGGGTAGTCCTGTGGTCAATGCAGCTGGTAAAGTGGTTGCGCTACAGGCGGGCAGGCGTAAGGGCGGTTGGATAAATTACTTTCTACCGCTTTATCGTCCACTGCGTGCGCTGCAATGTATCCAAAATGATAGACCTGTTACTCGTGGAACTATCCAAACACAATGGACGATTGAGCCGTTTGACGAATGTCGTCGTCTCGGGTTAACCTCAGAATGGGAAGAACACGTCCGGAAAATGGCACCTAAAGAGACAGGAATGTTGGTGGCGAAGATAGTCCTGCCAGAGGGTCCAGCTGATGGCAAACTTCAAGCAGGGGATATTTTGCTGAAAGTTAATGGGGAGTTACTCACCCAATTTGTGCGACTGGATGATATTCTAGACTCGAATGTTGATCAGAAGATTCGGATTTCGATTCAGCGTCATGGCAAGGATCTGGATGTATATTGTATTGTTGGAGACTTACATGCAATTACGCCAGATCGGTTTGTCAGTGTTGCTGGAGGAACGTTTCATGATTTGTCGTATCAGCAAGCTCGTCTTTATGCTATTGCATGTAACGGCGTCTATGTCTGCGAGGCAGTAGGATCATTCAAGATCGATGATGATACTACATCAGGCTGGATTGTTGATTCAGTAGATAAACGACTAACTCGGAATTTACAAGAGTTTATTGAAGTAATGAAGACAATCCCAGATCGATCAAAAATTGTCATCGCCTACCGGCCTATCCAATATCTTCATATGACAGTGACAAGAGTCATCGATCTCGACCGGCACTGGCATCCAATGATGTCTCTTGCTGTTCGCAACGATGAGACCGGTGTATGGAACTTTTCAGGCATCGCCAATCCAATACCTGCCAAACCGCCAGCTCCACAAAAAGCAGAATTCACCCAGTTAGGTGGGAACAGCCAGACCGCTACCGCTGAGATTGTGCGCAGTTTCGTCCGTGTGTCTTGCACCTTGCCTCTGAAGTTGGACGGGTTTCCTAAAACTAAGACGACCGGTTGCGGGTTGGTGATCGATGCAGATAAGGGACTTGTATTTGTATCCCGAGCTATTGTTCCCCACGATCTATGTGATATCAATATCACAGTCGCGGAATCGATTATCGTCACTGGGAAAGTGGTTTTTATGCATCCACTACAAAACTACGCTATTTTGCGATACGATCCAGGTCTCGTCCTGGCCCCTGTTCGAAGTGCGCAGCTGAGTACAGAATACATAAAGCAAGGTCAAGGCACAATCTTTGTTGGATTCGATAGCAACTTGCGACTTGCCATTACAAAGACAACCGTAACTCAAATAACGACGGGCATTATTCCAGTCAATGCTTCGGCTCCACGTTACCGTCCTATTAATATTGAATCCATCATGGTGGACACGGAATTGAGCACCATATGCACAAGTGGTGTTTTATTAGGAGAAGACGGTATTGTACAAGCCTTTTGGCTGAATATTTTGGGGGCGGACGACTGTGAGTATAATCTTGGTCTGGCGACGCCGTCTTTTCTCCCGGTCATCAGCAAGTTTCAACAAGGTGTAATCCCTACACTCCGTATTCTGAATATGGAGAGATGTGTCCTTGAAATGAGTGACGCGCGGCCTAGGGGTGTGTCAAATAAATGGATTAACGAAGTCGCCAAAGCCGACCCCTCTAGACAACAGTTATTCATAGTTGGGAATTTGGGTAGGCCTCTATCGTTCGCGCATGAAGACGATGATTTGAGGGTGGGGGATGTTATTCTTACTCTAAACGAAAAACTCATTACGGGAGTCTCAGATCTTGATATTATGTACGACAATGAAGTCCTTGATGCAGTGATTGTTCGGAACGAGCAAGAAATGCATGTCAAGGTTCATACTGTTCCAACAAAAGATATAGAGACGGATCGAGCTGTGGTGTTTTGTGGAGCTGTATTACAAAAGCCACATCTTGCTGTTCGCCAGCAAATTTCGAAACTTCCTAGTGAGATTTATGTCAGCGCAAGAGTACGCTTCCCCCTTGGCCAAAATTATTCGCGGCAACTAACTTGTGCAGAGCCGTGGTTCACCCGCGCATCAATATGAATTATCACCTGCAAATTTTATCACTGCCGTCAATCTCGTCCCAACGGATGATCTCGACAGTTTTGTGCAAGAAGTGAAGAAAATTCCGGATAATACCTATTTCAGTCTTCGATGCGTTACATTTGATAATATACCATGGATTATGACCATGAAAAAGAATGATCATTACGTAGGTCCCCCATTCCCCCTTTTATATCTATCATTTGACAAGAATGTAGTTCGCTATGTCGGAGTATGTGAAAGATACCTCATCATCTCCAGCTAGTTGGAAAGTGATTACAGATGAGGCGTCTATGGCTCAAGGTAATATCACTGCTGATGCGATGGATGTTGAGCGAGATGATTGTTAGGTTACTTATTACGAAGGATTATGCTCATAACCCGTGCACTGTTATGAACTTCTGCTGGCTTAGACTACCATGGCGAAAAGAATTAACAGAGGTAATATTATTGAGTACTACTAACTCATCATATGAATTGGAGGACGAATTGAGTAATTTCTACGATAAGATCAACATCACAGAATGGTGGAGTATGGCATATGGATATTGGAGGAGGGAATACTTGATAATAAGACAATATCTGTGTTTTGGTAGACAGGATGAATTGGTCATATACTAGTTCTGAGAAACTCTGACAGATCAAGTTTGTCCCAGTCCTCGGACTTCAGTCGGCCTCTTTTTAGCCTCCCTCTGACGCAGATATTTACAGGGTGCCGTCTATCTTCTCTTACTCATTTTCCCTCTCGCCACCTCTGTTTCCGCCCTTCGCACCTATAAACTTCGAATCCCTTCTTGCACGTCACACAGACGTCCATCGACTTTTGCTCAAGCCTGCACAATGTCAACGAAAGCGGTCCTTATTACCGACCAGCTGGAGAAACCTGAGTCGGACAGTAGCCATTACCGGGTAGTAGATTGTGAAATGACTTGGAGGTGCTACTTGTCTGCAATCTGAATACAGCCAAGGCCAGCGCTTCAGTAAACGTCAAGGCTGGCACTTTCAACGACAAAGGCCTGCCGGGCATGGCACACCCGAATTCCATTCCCTAATCCCGTCTTTAAGCTAAGTGAGTTGAAACAGTTCCATTCTCCCTTTGCATATAAATTTATCTACTCGAGAATGGATCTAGATTAATTCATAGCACTAACCCTAACCCTACGATTGTGCTTTTTAACCAAAATCGGGTGTTCAATACCACATAGAAATTGGATCTTAAGTAGGCAATTTGTAGGCTGTGGAGTCTTCCGGGAGACTACCAAGCTGATCGCAATAGAGGTTGAGGATTGATATAGAAGTATAATATTGCAACTATCCATTATGAAAACTTGTTCTTCTCGACATCTATTCCAATATCACGTAGCAAATGCATTAATCGGCCGGTGTGGATAGGAAGGAATTCGCGATCAAGATTCTCCACAAAATGATAACATGCCCATTTATCCTCCTCTATCCAAATATTGAACTGCTTCACTAACCAGCGATAATATTTAATTCCGTCTTCACCAATCTCGGGATAGTGCCCGTAGATTCGCACAGTCTCCAATTCGTGTGAAATTGAAAACCCAAGGAGCTTCCGGTGCACTTCTTCTGGGCAACCGGCCGCTTGAGCTAGGCTGACCACAGCCCGAAGAGCAATACACATACTGTGCATATTCTGCCGATCCGCAAATTCCAAAGCCTGGTTCCCACACTTGATTTCTGCCGTTAAGTAAGGGAAGTACATATCTTCTCGCACTGCATATAGAGATTTTTCATCAGGCTTGATTCCAAGTTTTCGCCGCTGGATGTCTGAAAAGGTTGACCATCTCAAGCCTCGGGCATGGTCCGGCTGTGGTTTGGGGCCGTAGATTGGCCCAAGACGGAGCCATGGATCATTGTAGCCATCAATCACATCTTTTAGTTCCTCCTTCCCTTGGATGAACAGATTCTCTGCAGATGGTATGAGGAGTGGATGTAAATCTATTAATAGTCGCGCTTCTGATCGATTTCGTAATGCGTCGTGAAAGCTCTCAATAAACTCGCTGTCAAAGAGGGTTCCGCGTGGGGTTTCCACTGGTTGATGGAGGAGTCGCTGGCAAAGCGCGACTTCTTCGGAAGTCGGACCGGCGGGCGACTGGCGCATAAAGCAGCCTTTGGTCTCTAGAATTGTCACATAGTTTACGGCCTTATGTGCATATGATTTGGCATCTCGGGACGAGGCACTCGCACTGGGTGAATGAAACGGAACGAGTCCGTCCACGGTCGGTCGACGTTGATTGTGAGCGTGATCTTTTAGATGCAGGCTGACTCATAATATCAACCTCGTCAAACTCCTCTGACGGGTACGGTATCCACTCAAGTATCTCTTGACGCTTGTTGATCGGTTTCGACGGAGGTACAATCGCAGAATGTCCACATTCCTGTTCGTTAATTTTCTAAAACTCACTTAGTACATCAGTATGACAGTAGGTGCTTGCAACTGACCCTGCTGCTAACATTGTTCGATAAAGGTGAAGGCGGTTGCAGTGTAATCTGCTCCTGCCTTTTGCTCGATGGTATGGGAACTGTACTCGAACTGTCTCGACGTCGCAGTTTCGCAGGCCGTTGGCCCACATCGTCATGCGAATCAGAGGCTATTGCGCGTTTCATATTTCAGGACTTAACTGATGCGAAGGATAAGGTGATTTATTGAAAACAATCCAGGGCAAGTGAATATATAGCATTGTATCAGAAAGGAAACGGAGTTGACCTTTGAGTGGTAGGTAGGTCGAAATTGGGCTCAGTTGGCGCCACCCAAAACTTGAAGTGGGTCCTGCGATATCCAATTACATCTCCTCTCACTTGCTAGTAGTGTTCTGCCTTAAAGTTCAGGCATCCAGATTTTGAGCCTTTGCCAAGGAATGTGACACTACACACCTCAACTTCTTTACGAGCTCTATAATCTATTAACTTCCAGAAATCGGTTTTTACGAATGGCCGATTACTATTTCTATGAAGTAAAGGGAGTCTGCATTACCAACAAATACTAAGTTCACTGATACCCGTTGCTTCACCTCCCCCCACCCTATTCCAGTCCGAATAGGGTGGGGGGAGGTGAAGCGACGGGTACAAGCTATCATCAAACGCCAAGACACCTTGGGTGGGAATACTGTATCCACTTTGTGTGAGAGCTAGCCGCAGATGACTTGTACAAACTCTTGTGTTTTCGCTCATCGCAACATTATGGGCAATTTTCACAACATTTTTGATCTGTATCGTGACGGTATTAGCACTGAATGATTCAGATTCTCACGGTGGACCTACCTGGCGACCATTTAGCTTAACCTCGGAGACCTGTGTCAAGGCTTCTTCCTCGATATCTGCCGAATGTTCCCGCAGAAAATGCTGGAAAACCGATTTTCTAGCCGATCGATCTAGATCGTCATACTGTAGTTTGAGTTGAATTCGATCGAGAATGGCGGAATCGAAATCCCCCAGCATGTTCGTCGTGAGGAAAAAGATTCCATCATAATATTCAAGCGTGCGGAGAAATGTCGCAACCAGACGATTTCGTTCTAAATGGAAACCGTCTCGTTTTTGCAGATATACATCCGCTTCATCGAGGAGCAGGACCGCTTTCCAATCGCTAGCTACTTGAAAGGCACGGGTGAGCTGTGCCTCAAGCTCCTCCGCCCGTATACTCAGGTCTCCAGACGAGATCTGCAATGATCAGTAGGCTGTTATGAAGAGATGTAGAAGAGACATACTGAATATAGAGGCCTTTGAAGCCGTTCAGAGATGGCTTCGGCAGTAAGTGTCTTCCCAACACCTGGTGGGCCACTGTCCATGCTCATTAGAGTCAAACTGTAATAAGCAGATGGATGAACGTACTGTAAGAGAATGATGACCCCTCGTCCTTTTCCTGCAATAATATCATCGAACGTGCCCTCATACCTAGTGCTGACACGGCTCTCCGCAAGAGACTTTATCACTTTTTTCTTGTCTTCAGGAACCGTTAACATGTCGAAAGGGGCGTTCGAGAAAGTGATTTCCTTGATACTTTCCACACCGAATTCTCCTATATCACGTCAATAATCATCCGGACTGTTTTTGGCTTGGTAATACTCGCCCCAGATTTTTTCGTTCAAGGAGAACCCTAGCACTGTCGGGCTACAAATTGCGAGGTCCTCTTCTTTCATCGCACTGAAGTCGATATCCTTGCCTCGAATGCGGCTTTCTGGTCCACCCTGTTTCACCTGTTCGAAGAAAAAATCGACCGTATCAGGTTTTTTGATTTCTAACCTCGGATAGTTTGGATTCGTCTTGCGGAAAATGGCAGCATCGACCATGATCCTTCCATTCACGTGGAGTTTCAATAATCTGTTCTTGTCTGGGATGAACATATTTCCGCGGTACTCGCGATGGTGGCTGCCGATCAGGGAAACGAAATGGCGGCCATTGCAAACCAGTCGTGACCAGATTTTTGGGTCTGTGTGGTACTTCAGCGGATAAACAGGCAAGGTCTGAATCTGCTTGGTGCTTCGAAAAGATCCAATCTGTAGCGTCTCGGTAGATTCACCGAAAACTTCTCCGTCATAATCGAGATAGCGTCCGTTGACTTCAAGAAATTCCCGTCCTCTGATTGTTTTCTTCTCGATATAATCGTATCGAATGCATCATGGCAGACCGGTGGAGGGGCAAGTCGCAAAGACTAGCGTCCCTGGTTTAAGCAGAGCCCAGATGAGATCCCAGGTGATTTTTTGAGATTCTTGGAGCAGCTTCAATTGCTCTACCACTGGTGCATAGGTTTCTTCAAGGTGCTGCATAAGTTTGCTTAGGTGAAGCTTAGCATCATCAGAGATCGCTTCTTGGGAGCGAAGCCTCTTTTGGTAATCTCTTAACTCATCTAGGTAGTGATATAAAAGATCACGCTCAATCTATGTGCTCAATCAGCGACGGAACCTAGCTTGAAATCCTGGCGACATACCGCAGGCCGATCAGCATCGAAGTTCGCTGTTCTGATATCTTTCAGAACCTCTCTCAAGATGTCTCTTAATTCCGGTGATTTGATGTCAACGTAAACAATGAGCTCTTTGCTCTGCTTGTCTAAAAGGTTTCAGCGTAATTCAATTTATACTTGTGTACGACTCACGACTGCGTTTACGAATCACAAATATGTATTCGTCTAATTCATCGACATCCGGAACTGGGGCAGAGTTGATGATCTTATATTCATACTTCGCGGAATCCCATCTATATGCGGTTAGCCACGCTCACGAGATACTTTCCTCGACATACACCTCGTTGACGGTCTTATACCCCACCTTTGAGGCACGAATTCTCGCTCCATTGTCTTGTTCTTTGGGCTTCTCGTTGCTGCTAGAATCCTTGCCATCCGAGGTAGGTTGTGCGCTTTGAATTCGCAGCACTTCCGTAAACAACCATTTCAGCTCTTCTTTGGTGATGAAATTCGAAGGGGCCACGTGTGGACTATTCGGCGACGTTGTAGCTTCCACAGATCTAGCGTCGAGCTCTGTCCGGGGAAATCGACATGATTCTTGTGAGCAGTCGTCGATTTCGGTTACAGCGTCCCCAGCTTGGAAATTGCGCACGTGTCCGATGTGTCTGCGATAGGGAGAGACTGGCCGTTTCGTTCCAGTTTGCCCGCGATGGAGCTGTCTGACTGGGAGCGTCCAGTCGGAGAAATGCCCCTTTTGAGGTCATCAAATATTCCGTGGATTGCATTGGTATACAGTCGAATTTTAGTCTTGCTCGAAGGTATTTCTTGATGTGGACTGTCAGGGGGCGTGGCAACTTGAGCCTGTGGTTTTGAATTGTGGGAGCTGGAAGCCATATTGAACAAAATGTATGGGAATGAGAGATGAAGGGTGTCTTGAACAATGTCTTACGAATGATGCGGGTTAGGTCGAAACATGGAGGACGAGGTGGGAAAGATGCTGGGAAAGTGCACCACCCTTATATGTCTGTGGCTGGGATTTTTGTGCGCGTATATCGCTTCCACAAAAGCTCGAGACACGACACAGTTCGTGCTACGATCATTCCAAATCACGGACACGGCAGACTCATCACCGATCAACGTGCCTGGAACGGTCTAAATTTCGAGTCAATGCAGCTGCTCAAAATAGCACTTTGGATAACCTGAAGATGCTGTTTCTGTCAGCAGCAAGATGACTCTCCATCTTTTGGCCGTTCGCTCTATCTGTACTTGAATATTTTAATACGAGAATAGATGAAATTCGGACAAGAACCTATGCGGTAGAAAAAGTCCGTGATTAGAAAAAGTTCTTCTGAGGGAATGGATGCCTAACATCATCTGCTGGTGATCTACGTTATCTCATTGGTCGCTCCGGAGACAGACCCATAAGCTGACTAAACAAGTGATGATGGAGAAGTCGTGGTCGTTATATACGTAATAGAGGTAGCAGAGATAGCAGAGATAGCAGAGGTAGAAAGAGGGGGCCGGGCGATGTTGCTAAATTAATCATTGGTCACGGAGCAATGATTCTGGCAAGTAACTACATTATTAGCGTGATTTGTTACTCTATTTAGCTAATGCAAAAGACTATAAATACCTTACTATGTAAGGTCCATCCCTAATTCTTAGTTATGCCTAGAGTTGGATTTCACGGGACGATATCCTCGCGCAAAAAAAAAGTTGGCGGTAGGAAAGAGAGGTACTACTTCCAGAGTGTTCTAGTATTCGTTGCTGCCTAACGCGTGCTAATCATCTACTTTGTCTCATTGACTGTTCCTGAGAGCTCCTGGAACCTGAGGCGTTCTTTTGTCACAAGCCCCGTAATCTACGAATCCATTGGATTTACCTGCTTGAAACGTCTCTGCGACCCTTCGAAGCAAAAGGCGGTTAACAAAGATTTGCCATTGGCTAGCCAGCTGGTAGATGGGACTTTAAACGCGCTTATAATCCGATCAAGACACGACGAGGTCACTGTAAGGTTATCAGGTATTTCAGTCTCCATGCAACCATAGCCTATTAACTTCCGCGCCCGCAAAAGTTAGATACGGCGAGTGTAATAAAAATAGATTTACATTATTCACTAGGCCAGCAGATGTAAGGTATTCATTGTATAGCACTGGCGGCCGGTATCTTGAAACCAAAGATACAGCATAATTCGTGTCATTTCCCAAGTCCGGTTGCGGTGTGTCATCGAGTATAAAAAGTAGGTATGATGCCGCCATAAGACCTTCAGGAAAAGGAAAAAGAAACTTCATAATCAATTTCACGGATAGCCGATTCACTCTAAACCCAGTCTCCAATCTTCAGTCAAGATGTACAGAGCCAGTCAATTCATAAAAACCATGACCACCGCAGCAGGGAAAGAGGTCGCTATCGCATATGTGACAAAGACAGACACATGGGAGCGTCTATATCTTTCGCAAGATACTAAAGACGAGTTTGCTGAAGTCGCTTAGAAATATAAAGACACTTTGAAGCCTGATACAGTGAAAGTTGCCATGAAGTAAGCACTCTCTCTCTCGGTGATGTTAGTCAAATCTCACACAGAGATAGGGAGGCAGAACATCCAAGCCAAAACGATGCTAGTAAACATTATTCAGCGCTGGAACTTGACAAGAATGACAACGTTATTGCCTCAAAACATTATTATAAATAATGCGAGACAAAAGCACGATCAAGAGACCAGAATCTACCGACAAGCAGCGTTCCGGCTTTTTATACATATGGAGTACTTCATTGGTTGATTTGGTTGATTGAGTGGGCCAACCTGTTGATTGAATGTGATGTGTGTGTCGGACGGGATCCAATTATAAGCTCTAGAATAGGTTGGATCGGTGACGAAGTTCATCCGAATCCGATCTGAGCCCTGGGCTAGCCTTTTTGTACATAGCGCGCCTTGGAGAGCTAAGGAGACTGGGAAATAAATCAAGTTCGAATTTGGTCACTGTCTTCCTCCATCTTTAATTTCTTTAGTCATTTCAACCACCCCTCATCTGCCAGCCTACTATGTTTAAAAGAACCCTTACCAAAATGACATCTGCGCCCAGGGACTATATTGGAGCTTCGGGGTCTTGTTATCGATTTCAAAACGTGCTTCAAGAACGGCCGCATATCGGTCGCGTCTGGTTGGCAACGTAAGTCTTCGTAGAGGATTCTCTGTCGCATCTTCACTAATGCATCAATAGATCGGGGTTAGATAAATTTGTTTTGAAAGATATACCGAAAGATATATTTGACAATTTCCGTGAAAACATCCTACCCCGATTGCGCAAGAGTCCATATATACGATTACCATACGATATCGTACCGGGCCAGCAAATATATATATATAGATATTTGACAGATGACTTTCTCAGCCTCGTCAAGAGGGGAATTTCACTACGAGCTAGAAAGCAGATTCTCCATAATACTCTGTTAGGTATTGCTGAGTTACACGATCAGGATGTCGTTCATCTCGGTAACAGCACCGCTGCCATGTTCAAATCCGCAAGAGTGCTAAATGCGTGTAGATATCAAACCAGACAATATCATGGTTGAAAGCAAACAAGATGGCGAAGACATTATCGTCGAGAGTGTGCAGATCATTGACCTTGAGAATGCCGCCTACCTTCCTAAAGGTAGGTGTATTAAGGGTATGCTTGCTGGAAATGAAAATTGGCGAAGTCCAGAAGCACATTTCAAAGGTGAACTCAACAAGCCAACGGATATTTTCTCTTTTGCGATCGTTGTAAGTGAGCGAGAGGATATTTAAGAGGCTTCAGCTAACAAGCAGTTAGTGTATCTACGCTATGCTTGGACGAGTTATTTTTGGTCCTGATCAGGATTTCAGAAAACACGAAGCGCAGGGTGCATTGCCCGCTTTTATCCGCCTACAACGTCAAGTTTCGTATTTTGGAGACATGCAGGGAATAGGAGGCCTGTCAAAACATATTTCCGACGATGATATTAGCTGCCAGGTCTTGCAGATGTTATGGGACGAAAGGGCTGATGAGCATATCGATTACCGACCATTTGTTGATTGGCCTGACGTTGACCCTTCATTTAAAGATCTGATTCAAAAACTTGCGAATCTAGACCCCTCAAAACGACTCACAGCGCGTCAGGCATTGGAACATCCCTGGTTCTTGGGATAGGGGGCCTGCCCAGAATTATAGTGTTTCATACTTCGGTGGAGAGTCACTTTGTCTTCAGCTGATGGAAACTTTTGGCTGAACTATGCAGCTAGAAAGGGTTGGGCATTTGATATGATATACTGAGCTAAAATAGATCGAAGATTCTTTGATGATGGAAATCTGGAAGATCGTCTGCAGCTTCTGACCCAGAAAGAAAAGGAGAATATGGATGCTTTCATTCAAAGGGAGTTGAGGGAGAAGGAAGAACGCACTTACATTATTGGCACAACGTGAAGTCGCACTGGATAATAAATGCCGTAGTGTACATAATGTAAGATCTGATCCATGTGAAACAACTGCAATCCATCTGAACTTCATTCCAAGAAGTAATTGGAAATCCTGGAGTATATGGTAAGGAAATTCTATTTTCCGAGAGTGTTGAACGTCGTAGCAGCTGCACTAGCCACTATGAGGCTAGCACTGCCACACTCAGTATCCGAATCATTCCAGATAAATGCCAATCTGCAAGTTATGGTGTTTTCTAACTGTAAAATCCGACTCTACGGCTTTTAGGAAAGATCTCTTCAGCTAGACATTTCGTCACTTAACTCCTAGCTCTCATCAACATTAGCTTTGGGTTGTGGGGGCCACTATTCTTTTGGACATTAACTTGATGCTAGATGATTCTACGATACAGAACTAGAAGCTAAAAACAGTTGTGGAAGTCTCAGAACTCGAATGCAGGTCAAACGATATGTGGAGCCAGCTCCAAGATAAATGAAACAAACAAATAGCATAAATCAACACATTCTAAAAGATACAGCGACGATTAAAACAAACAGGTCGTAGAAGCCAGTCAACACAATCTACAAAAAGCAACTATGCTTATTGGCGAAGTGCGCTTTCAGCTCCATCTTCCCATTCAAAATGAGCCCAGCGCATGCATGGTCGTCAGGACAAGGAATGGGGTCGTCTGGACCGTAGTACTTGAGACGACATCGATCGACGTGTTTCTGAAGCGTGTATTTCCGTTTATACCTGCACTGTCGTTCCTCCAAAGGCAGGTCGTTACTGGCTAGACAGAAAACGCATTGCCAACCTTGGCACTTCAATGGAGAATCGCGTTTGATCTCGGGTTCTATCTGGGACAGCCGTGGCGAATCTAAAGCAGCTTTGACGAGAACAGGCTCCGGAGAGCACCTGGTCTTCACCGGGCGGCGATCCCTCCGTTTACATAATGCAATCAAAGCGACGGAGAACTCGACATGGAAGGCATAACCTTTCTGATCGTGGAGTACAGATGGATCCCGCACCGCACATTCCGCGATGTAGCGTCTCTCAGCGATCCGGATGGAGTCGACATCAGCGGGACTACCTTCCTTAACGTCGTCATTGTCGTCATCGTCAGACTGTTCCGCATTCAATTGCTGCTGAATAGCCAACACGGGGGCATTCAAGTCGTACTCCTCCTGAATTTGCTTCAGCAACGCGCGCTCCTTCTTTCGAATAGTAGCGGCAAGGGATGCCTTCACGGCTTGATAGTCATTATAGATTGGTTCCCCTTTCGCCATTTCGATTACCCCGAATATTTCCTCGATCTGAGCGCACAACCGACTCCGGACAGCCGCCAATTCTCGGACTTCAGGATCCTGTCGTACCTGCTGTCCTTGTTCGGCGCTGAGTTTCCTCGGTCGATCAGGATCTCGGAGCAGACCGATCTGGCTCGCAGTCCTTGCAGACTCATGATCGGAGCTTCTTCCCCAGAACTGATCTTGGGTAAAGTAACGAATCGTCCGCGAGAGATAGTTGCGTTCGAAGATCTTAGATCCGGTACCATGATCAAGGACTAGATTTCGCACCGCCGCGTTCGAGTTGGGATCATCTACATTAGGTCAGTGAGGGACGGTTCGTGTATTAAGTGTACTAATCCATTGCGAGTATTACCATTAATGGCATTGCCTAATGCTCTTCGCAGACAATACGTCGTCAGGGTATATATGAAGCCTAGGGCAACTCCGAGAAGAACGAGCCAACCATGATACTGGTTGTAAGGGAGTGGTGCATCCTTAGAGGTTTCCACACCTCGCGGTGTCTTGATAGCCCTGCGGAAGACAGGAATGTCGAGCATTTCTTGCTTCCATGGCACAATTTGACTGGGGCCTTTCTTCGCTTTCAGCGCAAATACCTGTCTCGGGGAGACCAGTTCTGGCACATTATAAGCCTCATCATCGAAGGCGATGCTAATCATGTGGGTGATGATGCAGAAAACCGGGTTCTCATCAAGATGGAAAATATAGGTTTTGCTACCAGGCACCACTATGGTCAGTAGTATTTCAGAGTTAACGTCACGGAATTCAATAACTTACGGTCGTTTCCGCTTCTGTCCCGATTTTGTTTTAGTCAGCGTCACTGCAAGCTTTAACTCATGCTTGCCGGTCTTGCGGTGCTTCTCCACGTACAGGCGTAGGTCGCGATATGTGATGTGGAGAAGTGCCCCAGGCCTCGAGCCAGTATAAGCGGCCAGCAGAAGAATGGACGCAACCTGGACACGTTGTCGCTCGTGGGGAAGACGTTGATGTCAGCGGCCCAGTGATACTGTATGATCTCGACAAACTCTTCGGCCTCGAGCAGTGGCTTCTCACTTTCGGTGTTATCCAGGCCATATTCTTTCGTCAAAGAACCTTCAATAAACTGGGACAGAGTCAACACCAAGGCTATCATGCGGAAGTTGTGGATATTTCCAGGATTCGTACCACAAAGATCTCTTTCAGAGTTTGGGGTGAGATCCGGCATTGCCACCAAGTGATATGTAGCTGACTCAGTTGCCGCCAGTAGGTTGTGACTGTACTCGTTTTCTTGATTGTACAGGTTCTCACTACCCAGTGGAGGAAGTTCTCGATGCGAGCAGTCTGACACTCTCTCAGTGTCTCGCGAGGTTCAAGAGCGAAGATAGCACAATACCTGCTCTCATCAGTAGCGTGCCTAGATTATGCGGGTAGAGAGTACAGACTCGGTCCAAAACTTCTCCATCCGTTCGATATGGCATTTTGTCGTCTCGGCGTATAGCGTTGTCGCACGAGTCTCCGTCAGAGCTTGATCAAACTTCTGCTGCAAGACCTCGCGGGAACAGACGCCAGAAGCCGACCAGCCTGTGTACGAGCCCCCCGATTGCAGCGTGACTGTCCCCAAAATCTTTCGACGACCCATCTTCGAACCGTGAGATGAGATTGCGGGACGTGGACGAGACGGAGGGTCGAGTTCGTAGAGGGAGAAGGATGAGAAGGGAAGAGAAACATGGCGGCAAGTCTAGGCGTTTTAGCTCAGGCGATGGGAATGGGATGGTGTGAAGCCATATTCGGCCTCATCAGCGGGTCACGATTTGAGGCCCTCAGGAAAGCGTGGTTGGAATCGATTCAGGTCGGTTCACCTCCAGGGCCCACTAACAGCGTCAGCGAGCCGCCGAGAAAGAGAAATCGCAAAGGCGCCTTGTCGCATTTCGCACGGTCTCGATGCAATGACATCGTAGCGGTACCGTCTGTTTAGATTGCTTTCCAGTTTGATCACTGGGTGTGAGGTGATTGTAGGAGGAAACGACGGTATGGTGAAAAGCCAGAAATGGATTCTGTGGTGGTTCCTGTTCCCTGTCTAGCGGCTATGACGAGGTGGGGCCGCCTGGTGAAAGCGACGCTTAAAGCAGCGTCTCTTGAGGACGAAACGGGCCACGCTTTCACCAGAACAGACATTTAGGAAATAGAGTTAAGTTTATAATCTGAGGTTCAGGCATTATATCTATAATTGATATGAACGCTAATATAGACCTCATTTTTCTTTGCGACCATTCTGCAGTAAGTCCATCCGGGTCCAGATTACTCATTTCTGGATACACTCCAAAAGATATTGTCCGAATTAAGCATTTCTGTGCTATATCTTTCTGAAAACACTCCATCTCGCTCGTGGACGCTTTCTATCGTTTTACCTATTTACCACCAATCGATACTAACCGAGTTTTGCTCATGATAACTTCCCTGCCCTACCGGTTTAGCCACATTTCGATACGTCAATGTTTCGTCTGCTACCTGGAGCTACCTCACGCCCCAATGTGAGAAGTACTCTTGGTAAATCGCTACCAAGGGAAGAGGTTCACGAAACTACGCCGAGAATGGACGCGTGGGGAATCCGGGGTCTGCCAGGGGTGGGTTGTAGTTTTGATTTTGTCGCTGAACGGATTGCTGTTGGATTTTAGATATTTGGTTGCCCGCCATACATTGATACCGTTAGCAAGGAAATCATCCCAGCGAGCCTGGTTCTGATTACGGATTGCAGCAAGCTATTCCTTGTCGCGTCTTTGGCCTGTCGTTCGAATTTAGGGTTCGTGTAGCGGCTTGTGCGTCGAGATCTGGCCTCTCTCCAGTAAGTGTATATCCGGCTAAGCTGTGTCAGATCCGTTGCCCACCCCAACTTGGCATACGGCGAGGCTTTGCCCTCGGTCTCGAGGTAAGTTCCTTGACTGCCTTTGTGACTACTGTCATAAGGCAATCCGCCTGCTGTTGCACTGATCCACCCAGGGAGTATGAAATCTGCACTGAAGCTAGTTGCTACAACTTGCAGCAGCAGCAGTAGTAGGCTCCAATATGCTATTTGTCATGTATTGGGGCCATGGTTGCGTGTCGAGAGAAAAAGCTGTATCAGCTGCAAGAGCCGCTCTAGCCTATACATTATGTCCTGAACATTCCCTCCTTGTCATTATAATCATTTCCTCAAAAGCAATAACCCATTCCTCTTAGACATCGGATTCCCCACCTGTCCATTCTCGGTGTAGTTTCGCGAACCTCTTCTCTGGGTAGCGGTTTACCAGGAGTACTTCTCGAGGTAGCGCTCGAAGTAGCTGAATGCCTCGCCGGTGACAATTCCATATAGCAGACGAAGGACTGACGAATCGAAATGTAGTCGAACCGGTAGGGCAGGGAAGTTATCGTGAGCAAAATTCCGTGAGCATCGAGTGGTGGCAGGTAGATAAACGATGGGAAAGCTGTAATTGTAGACGTGTCCTTTCCAGCCTGGTCATACTAACGATAAAAGTTCTCCCACCGGAGTTTCGACTTGGAAGTACTCAGCTTCAACGAGACTATGCAATCCAGCTCACTGATGTCCCTTACCATGAGAGGGTGACTTTCCACGAGAGACTGCTACCACTTGCTAGGATATAGCAGGCGGTACAAATCTGCACCTCTTTTTGTTGCGGTAAGCACATTAAGTTCTGTTGGATTACCTAAGCTGATTCAACCAATCAGATAGAGGAAATTTGTCAGCCAATAATAGCGAGCCACACACTGATCCCACCGAATAGGGGTTAAAAGACATCTTCCACCTTTACTATACTTAGAGACAAGAAGAAGAAGAACAAGGGATCAAGGATTCCTTACTTTGGCACACATAATTTTGATACGTTGAGATAAACCGTTTAGAGATTGTTACATTCAATCCAACAAGTTCATGGTTGATAACTTGCCTATTACCGTTAGATTCATCCTGCTTATCTAGATTTGTATTAGCGGCGGCATGATCAAAACAAACATAAAGCATCATGTGCATAATAATAAATAATAAAGGCTATAAATGAATCACATCAAGCATGGCACGGAGTGAGATAGACCAGTTACTTCAACGCCTTCAGGAAGCTGAGAGACAACGTGAAGATGCTGAGAGACAACGTGAAGATGCTGAGCGACAACTTAAAGAAGAAAGAAAACGACGTGAAGATGCTGAACAAGAACATGAAAAAGAACAAAAACGGCGTGAAGATGCTGAACAACAACTTAGAAATACCACACTACCTGAGTTCCTTCATGCTTGTCATGAAGAATTATTTCGTGGCCTAAAGGTCCACAAGGATAAGAATTCTTCAACAAAAGGGGACCCGGCAAATGCAGAGCGCAAAATCCGCCCAAATAATATTAGGGAGTGGACAGGTTTTCCACAAGAGCAGATGGAAGTGTGGGGTTACATCATGGATAGTGGCTTTGTCACCGAACGCCATTTCACCTCATTTTCGACATTGAATGACTATGGAAAGGAGGTACAAGACAGGATGCTGAGCTCAGAACTGGACCTAGGTTATTTTGAACGGCATACCGTTGAATCACGTGTCGCTTCAGTTGTCAAGGTGCTATATGCAAATGTGCGACTTCGACGAATCTTCCACCTGCATGGAGACGTGACCTTTGAAAACCATGCTAATACCTTGACGGATGAGTCAAGAATCGTCGAGGATTTGAGCTCTATGAGCTTAACACAGGATCAGCCACGCCGCTCTAGGCGCTTGGCAGCAAAAAAGAGCGGAGGTAAACACTCGGCTACGCCGCCGGAGAGAAGTCGGGCTACGCAGCCAAGGAGTGTCAGGCCTAGAGCAGACCAATTTTGCGTTTACAATAAGGGCTCAGAGCGAAAGGACCCTGCCTTTATTATCGAATATAAGGCACCTCATAAGGTCTCCCTCGCCCATATTAAGGCTGGACTACATGACATGGATGTCGACGAGGTACTTCGCGTGCAAGAGGAGGAATCTCCAGAATACACTTGTCGCCGCGTTATAGCAGCAGTCATTACTCAGGCTTATTCTTATATGATCAAGGGCGGCCTGGAATTTGGTTACGTGTGTACTGGTGAAGCGTTTATATTTCTCCGTGTACCCCATGATGACTTTTCTACCGTATACTACTACTTGTCAGTGCCAGAAGAGGATGTTGGGCAATCAACAGGGTGGAGTGGTAATCTACATGATGATAACCGGCTGCACCTTACTGCAGTGGGCCAGGTATTGGCTTTCACTCTCCGGGCTTTACAAGCGCCGGTACGGGATGCTGCTTGGAAACGCCGCGCAGAAGACAGTCTAGAGACATGGTCTATGATCTACGATGACCTCTTAGATGAAATTTCGGAGTATAATATACCATCTTCCGCCTTCAAATCGCCACCGAGTCAGAACGGATACCTCCGCGTATCTCCTGTTAAAACCAGGTCAATGTCCGCTGCGGTCGCTTCTTGCAATTCTTCACAGCATCAGAGATTATCTAACGACGATGATACCGAGGACGATCCAGATACACCCAGTCGACAGCCACAAAAGCCTCGTGTTCTTCACTCGTCACCTTCATGTTCGTCGCCTTCGAAAACGTCAGAAGGCTCACATACCAAGGGCAAATTTCGGCAGTATTGCACACAACAATGCCTAAGGGACTTGATCATGAAGGGAAATTTAGATATCAAGTGTCCTAACGCTCTGGACCATGGTCAACATCAATTGGGTCTGGGAGCCCTTATGCTTCGATTATATGAGCAGCTCTCTAGCAACAATCCCAATTGCGAGTCCCTGCATATCCATGGAACACGCGGGGCACTTTTCAAAGTAACCCTCTTGCCGCAAGGTTATACCTTTGTGGGGAAAGGTGTGCCGGTCGAGTTTGTGAACTACTTGAAGCATGAAGAGTCTGTGTATTCCCATCTTACCCCAATTCAAGGGGTATATGTGCCAGTAGTACTCGGCAGCCTCGAACTTCGTCAGCCGCTCTCATATGATGGCATTGCAGATATGGTTCATATGATGTTCATGAGCTATACGGGGCAAACGCTAGTAAAGCGGAATGAAACTGACCGCACCCAATTGATTCCAAAAGTCGAGGAATCTTTACAAGCGATTCACCGACTTGGCGTGATCCACCGTGATCCAATAGCTGGAAACATGACCTGGAATGAAGAATGCAGGCAGGTCATGTTCATTGACTTTGAGCGGGCAGCGGTTAAAAACAGACGAAACCCATTAAAGTCCGTATCGCCAAATAAAAAGCGAAAACGAGAGACCAGGATATTGGACAAGCGCTCAAAAACGGGTTTTAATTGCTTTGAGCGTGAAATACAACGTATGAAAAACAACATATGAAATGCAAATTGCAACAAGACACAAAAGAGAGTGTACGGTAAAAAAGTCTTACAGATTAGCTTTTTCTCCGACTCTTGACAGAGTGCCTGGGTCCATCCATGGTGCAGAGACGAACTAGCGATGATTCGATTATTGCGAGGTCCGAGATCTTAGGATACAAATTTCGGGATTTAATTTATATACGATATGGATAAGTTGATGATTCAGTTATAATAGTTTGTCGGAAAGTGACTAGATCTTAAAGAATATCATTTCTGCACATAAGAAAGGCCGAGCGATAAACACAATGGTAGTAAATTCATTACGCCCAGAGGCACCAAGTGTAAAGGGCTCCAATATGCTATTTGTCCTGCATTGCATGGACTGTGGTCATGGCCTCATGATCTCGTGTCAAGAGGAAAAGCTGTATCGGCTGCAAAACCCTTCTAGCCTATACATTATCTCTTGAACACTCCCTTCTTGTCATTATAATCATATTTCTCAAAAGCAATAGCCCATCCCTCCGGGACCAGAGCCTCCCAAGCACTATCCTCAGTGGCAACACGCAAGTTCTCTGGTCTAGATGGAATCCTCAATCTTGTACTGAAAGTTTTCATGTCATTCTCGGTGTAGTTCTGTGAACCTTAGTAGTGATTTACCAAGAGTATTCTCAAAAATGGAGCGCTTAATGCCTCTTGCTGGCGATAACTCCAAACAACAAATGAAGGACTGAAATGTGACCAGGTCAGTAGGGCAGGCGAGTTACTGTTGGCAAAATCCGGCGAGTATCGATTAGTGGTATGTAGGCAAACGAACCTTGTGAAATTGTAAACGTGTTCATTTGAAGCCTTCCTGCCCGTTTCATCCCGACCGGTAAGGGTTTTCCTCCGGGATTTTCGACTTGGGAAGTTTTCAGCTTCAGCTGGACTATGGAATCTAGTTTACTGACGCCCCTCACCACGAGAAGGCTGCTTATATACGGGCTTATACCGTGCTACGTGACCATTTCATCGAAGCAATACGAAGAATACGGAGCAAGCAAGCAGTCACAAGATCTAAACGCTGACCACGAATATACTGTAATTTGGCCAAATTACATAGTTGTGGCTTAGGTCTAGTGCCCGCCGTTACTCCGTACACTGGACAGTGGACAGGATTACTACGTAGTAGACTTCATAAATCTCATCCATGTTTAATGCCAGTGTTACCGCGGCCAGGATAGCCGGGTGAAAGAGAGAACATTGCTCTAAGACTGAGAGATACTCCTACCTGCTGTAGCACCGGAAAATTTTAAGCCTTTAGCCATACCATACGTCTTACAAAGATGGCAGTAATTGCAAAAAATCAACTCTTAAAGGCAACGGGAGGCGCCCAAGCTGGGGTGAAATAGTCACGCTGTGGCCAGTTTGCTACTGAAACGATGAGTCAAATGGGCCCATTATTGAATGGTAACATTGATCCTGTTCCCATTGAGGAAGACACTTGAATGATTAAAAGTTTTCATTATTATTTTTTTTCGATCGACTCCATGGACCGCACTATAGGGCATGGTACTTTTGGAATAGACGACCTCATCCTACAGATTGAACGAGGAGCGAGGTCTAACTGGTTATTTACTGTAATTACGTTGTTTAACGTAGTCATTCGGTCAGCTCCATCAATGCTTCGCCCCACGCGCTTCTTATAATCGAAGGTAATGCCCTAATTACACTAGTTACTATAACAGTTAATTTTTATACGACTTCTTCATGAAGACCGGGCTTCAAATATTGAATATTGGCGTGACGGCGGCGAAGAATTGATGGGGTTGGCTGAATGACCCGTGTTACACGTTAGTGCTCGCCTTCGATCAGTCATTACCTAGCTAGCTGCCTCGTTACCCAATACCATTTGCTGCTTCTTATGAATTGACAATTCATCGACGGCTCACAAGGCTGACGGCACGTCTGCCTTGACTGAGACAGTGATTCTTACAGCAATTATGATAGGTCAGCGAATCAGCGCTGCAGTAAATCGGCCCTCCAATTAATTCTCCATATGCTTCCTAGGCAGACTCTATGTAGGCTTGTGATAGTGGCGTTCGTCACTGCAAATTCAAAACCTCCTTTATCCTAATTGGACAACACTACCAAATTTGAAACATTGAAGGTTACCGGAGTTGTACGATACAGACCTACAAATTACCCTAATTTCGGGCTAGGGGGAAGAAGGCAACGTAAATTCTACTACGTAAGAACAAAAGCGCGACTCGACCAGTTTCGCGTTTTGATTGGAAACGGCGAGTCACAAGCGCTGCGAAAAGTTCTCCAACCCCCCCACTTTCTCATATCATAAAAAACTTAAATACAGGGCACCTACCCTACGTTATTGAACTTATTAAGCGTCACTGCGGTGAAATATCAACACTGATTAGCCTCTACATATATTTTCTCTATTGCGTTTTAAACCAACAAGCATGCACTTTATATCGTGCACTCACTGCCACCACGCAGTCGACTCGGGTAGCCCCGGTAATTCGACTACTGCACATTGTCCTAGTGGAAAATTCATTTGCCCTAGCGAGGTTCAAAATTTCATCTGTCCTTTCTGTGCTTCGGAAAACCCTGACCTAGATGCTCAGGAAGACCATGTTAAGGTTAAGCACAAACTGGAATATCAAGACTGGTGGGAAAGTTTTGGACGATTTTATGAAGAATGGAAACGGCAAAAATAGAATGGTAATGTATGTGCATCTTCTGTTGTTCACCCTAGATTTAGTACTTCACTAACAAGACTATGGTATGGTACAGCGGATGCCATCAGTGCGTGGGTGAGTGGATGGGTGTTTTCGTTTGCCCCTAACCCTCACCAGAGTAATAAGGGCGGATTCGAAACCACCTTATCTTTTACACAGTTTCTCTCATTTATTTCGCTCCAACTTTTCAGACTGTTATCTGAGGCTAGCACGATTAGAGTGGTGTTTTATGATATGGATCTTATGCAGTGATTTGGAATAATGAAGCTATTCCAGCTTTGCAAGCAGAGCTTCCTGTAGCTGAGGGGGTGTGTCAGATAATCTGGTTTTCCAACAAGGCAGAGAGATCGACTGTTCAATCTAAAAGCCATCTTCAGGCATATCTCTGGGCACCTAGATTTCAGCCCAATATTTACCCCTCCTGATAGCTCACAAATCACCCCGCCAAAGGTGTCTATAAAGGACCCGGCTTTGAAACCTGATGGATAGAGAGATACAGAACTGAATATATACAATCTTGCTAGTCACTTCTTTTCTTTGACTTGAGTAAAACAGTAAAACATTTTTCAGGATTGGCCTGGAATAAACCGACTAATCCGACAATAACCTTTGATCACTCCATATTCCATATTATATTTAACCTGGAGAGAGTTTTGATGAGAGGAACTATGTGCCAACTAGAGCCCAGAACTAGATACAGCGTATGAAGGAGAGACAAGAGGGGTTCAGATTGCCTGTACTAATAACATTAAAAACTGCCGTTCAAAAAACGCGTCAAGGGGCTGCAAAGAGGGCAAGCAATTGCCATAAGTGGCTAGCGCCTTCAGGAAGGAGATCTACAACTTGTTCTCCTTTGAAAGTGACATCTGCAAAGCGAGTGCAATTCAATACTGTGTTGTCGGGAGACACCCTAGATACTTAAGTACAAACTATATCTCTACGCGCACGATCTATCTAATATATAACAGAATGAGTCTACTATTCCATTATCTGAAGTAGTTAGCAATGAGGAACTCGATGAAAGTGAAGACAGTGTTGGAGAGGATGATAATTTTCCTCCAGTAGTTATTTCTGGTAGGCCTCTACGTTAGAATATGGCTAATTATATGAATGGTGAATATGACGAGGAGAACCGCTTGCTCCGGGATACACCATTAAGTGAGTCCACACTATTCAATTCATTAGATATTGAGTTAGCCGACAAACCTCTATAACGTGAAGAAGGATTTCAAAAAGCTCAGTGCTAAACGGCGTCTCAAGGTTGCCGAGCACACTCTTCGTGAGGCTCAGGAGGATATCAGTATTGTCGATAAATTCAATCACGAAATTGGCTAGCGCGATTATTCAATTGGTGTCGATCTAACTTAAGGGACTCAGGCTTTTTGGTATCTAGTCTGAGCGTACAGTAGTATGCGCGCCATACTACTGTGCGGCTGTATGGCCTTTACACCTAACAAACCAACAAACTTGGGTGTCAATAATCACGCTCACTACTCAACGAATATACCATTTTCTATATTTTTATATATACCATTCAATTTAGCATCCAATCTTACTTGATACGCGTTTTTAGTAGGTTCCGACCTTTTACGTATGTCTCAATTGCATTTGAAGAAATTCACTTTTTCGCTAACAAATTTAAAGGTGAAGAAATAGATAACGGATCTCTGAGCTACCGTACTTTCTCAGGCGCTTTCCGTAGGCATGCCACTGCGACCAGTGAATCAACCGGTTAGGGCTGATATAGGCGCATTTGCAGTCACATACGGAGATAGCGAAGAGCAGGATGGAAACTTAGATGGGATGCCATCCATGAGAACCAATCCGCAGGGTGATCGCAGAAGAGGAGACAAGAAGCGCAACAGTACAACCGATGGCTCGATTTTCGAATCAAACCACGGTATAGGGCTTGTGGAATTCTTGGACATCTAGCCAATGCTTGGTGGTACATCTTTCCGAAGAACGCTCCGAAAAGTGGTATCCAAAAGGTGTTCAAGAAGGTCGATAAAAACCTCAAGGGAGATAACAAACCTACAGAAGGGATTGCAAGGGTCAAGAACCCAAAAGCCTCAAATTATGATGACAAGGAAGCTAATGAATGACTAGTGCGGAAGGTGGGAAATTGTCCTGCTAAATTTCTGATAATAAACGGAAGCACGTTTCATACCGCAGAGACGAGTGCAGCCTTTAATGCTTCCGAATATCCACTTAAAATTCAACGCTGCTCGATGGTACCACATAACGAACGAACGACCGGAGGGGCTTGATCAATTATCGACGAGCCCCCGAGGGAGATTTTGTATGGGCCGGGGACATGCAAGTGGCAGTTCTTGGGTACGACAATCGAGTTGTAAATGGAGGGGAGGATTTAGAGTGGTTCCTAGTGATCCAAATCATATGAAATCGTTAGCAGAGATTGATATGGTTCAGCCAAGCGTCATATATTGACAAAATCGCCAACTTGGCCGACAAACGAGGTACATACCACACTCCAATGGAGAAGAAAGAGCTTTTCCCGTACCAGCAAATTGCATCAAAATCCTCAATCCACAAGTTCCAGATAGAAGTGGGTTCTCTTATGTACGCTGCATTAAGTACAAGAGTCGATATAGCATTTGCAGTATCCCGCCTTTCAAGATTCTTGACAAATCCCGGTCCTGAGCATCATGAGGCCTCGGATCGAGTATTATGCTATTTTAAACAATATCGATCTCGAGCACTGCAACTAGGGGGTGCAGATACGTTTGTAGAAGCGAGCGATGTATCCTTTGAGGATAATACTCTAGACCGGAAGAGTTCTCAAGCATATGTGATGTATCTATTTGGAGGAGCGGGGCTACTATATGTGCCTGCCCTCGATGTACGTGAGTTGCACATGCTGGCCGGAGTGCCAGGATGCCCAGGTCCTAGCACCTGTTTCCGGGCTTCGATCACCTACACTGCAGCTCAGCATGAACAACTTCTCATTAACATACCAGAATCAAGGACGATGAAAGGAAGCAGAAAAGCTAGGTGTGCAGGTGATTGAAGCCTGGAAACAGGTGCTAGGACCTGGGCATCCTGACACTCCGGCCAGCATGTGCAATCTTGCCTTTACTTGGAAATTACAAGGAAATATGCAAGCCGCCTTTGCTCTGATGGGACGAATGCTTTGAACTCCAGACCAAAGCCCTGAGCCCTAATCACCCAGGCACTACATCCTTCTCCCACACACTCAGCTCCTGGGAAGCAGTAGACTCCGGCAGTTAGCGCTTTGGATGAATCTGTCAAATAATCCGCATCTCAAACAAGGCAGAGAGATTGGATTTTCGATCTTACAGGTCTAAAAATGCACCTTAGGGTATATATCTAGACATCTAGATTTAAGCCCAATGTTTACTCTCATGATAGCTCACACAAATCACCCCGCCAAAGATGTTTATAAATTCCCAGCTTTGGAGCCTGATGGATAGAGAGAGACAACTGAATAAATACAATCTTCCTAGTCACTTCTTTTCTTGGTAAATCACTGTTCAGGAGTGGCCTGGAGTTAACCAGCAATCCGACACCAATCTTGTTCTCTATATCGCCTCCTTTGCGACTGAGCGATCAGTTCAGATCCGACTTGATGGAGAAACCGGTCCTTTAACAGACATCGCCTGTGCTCTACCACAAGGCTCCCCAATCTCTGGAATTCTCTTCATGCTCTACATAGCGCCTCTATTCCGTCCAGGCAACCCAAGGACCAGATTTGGCTACGCGGATGACGCAACTGACTTGGCGACCTCCCCGTCTCTTGCTACTGACTGCAAAACATTATCAGACTCTCTTTAAGAAGCTCTTGACTGGGGCGCTGCTGAAGGCATTACATTTGCGCCAGATAAATATGAGCTTCATTTTTCCCGACATAGCAGACCAGGACTCTTTGGTACGCTTTCAGTGACAGCTGGATCTATTATAATCTCAGAAAGCACTGCACACTCATATCTACGTTGGTTAGGAATAGGAATTCTTCAAGTTACTACTACTACTACATCTTTGCTGCACCTTTTCAACGCACCATTCAAGAAGATTATCAAATCTGTTGGTTGCTTCGTGCAATCGAGATGCCTGGCACTGGTATGCAGCAAGGAGAGGTCACGTATGGCTTACACGTGACCTCGTCAAGCAAGGACTATATAGACCGCGTCGGGGCCTCTTAAGACAGATAGAGAACACAGAACCGAAGAACTACCTATTGAGATTGACTTAAGTGTTTCATACGTACGTATATGCACCTTAGTGCACCCACAAAATCCTTGATCCGGGTTAGTCTCGTACGACTTCCAATGACGTTGTATAAAGGCTTTCAGGTCAGCAAAGATCTCCTCGATAGGATTCAAATCTGTAGTGTATGGGGGTAAATATACAAGTTTGACGCCTAATTTTAAACACGTCGCTTCGATATTTTCAGAATGGTGGAGAAAGGCATTATCCATAACAATGCCGACTTCAGTTCTAGCCGCTCCGTAAATAATGAAATAGCTCCTCAATGAAATATTTCAAGAATGTGCGCATCAGTTGAGTTTTGAGGATATAAAGACATGACAACTCATGCTGAGCATAAGCTGGAATGATTGATAAGGCTGATCGCAATGAAAGTTGGCTACTTGACTAAGAAATTATTAATTTTTCTCACAATGTGATGAAAATTACACTCAGCATCCAAAGTATCCTCAGATTTGAAGGACCAAAAGCGCAGCTCTTGCAATGAGGGAGTAGAGTTTCTAGAGCAGATGCATCAATAAAATCATACTGCCGCAGTTCATCGATTGAAAACCTAATTCTGGCGCTAGCACGAGACCCTATTTCTATTCAGACCTTTTATCCTTCGATATCAATAAATCAGATTCGTATAATAACTCTGAAAGATATAGATCATTCTGGAACAGACTTGACCAAGGTTATATATTTAAAAACCTCTGGTAACTATTACCCCCTTTAATCAATCCGCACTCAGTTTTCGTCGTTTTACATTACCTTGTCTCTCCTGGTTCAAAGTATCAAGGAAAAACTGATATTCCAAGGCCTCCAGAGCAGAATGCCTTGCTTTAGGGCTCCAGTTCAACATATCCGCGATAAGAGAAAGCACTGGCATGGTCGTTTCGCTTTTTGCATTCTGTCTCAAAGATTGCACAAAACAGCGGTGATGTTTTTTATACTCGTCAAGCCTTGGATTCTTGTCTGCGCGCCATGGATTGACAGATAATGGCCAGGGATGGGAACCCAGGAAAATTTCACAACCAACAGCACTTGCCCAAATGTCGACCTTTCCATTATAGTCCGTACTCTCCATTTCTGGCGCAATGTAGTGGACCGTTCCTGTTCGACCGGTGAAGGGGCAATGATACCAGTATGACTATCGAGCTTGCCAACTGCACCAAGATCTAGAATTGACACATGAAGAGGATTGAGGTCGATCCCAATGTTAACTAGCTTGATGTCTCGGTGAACTAGGTGGTGTGAATGTAACCACTGTAAGACTTGGAGGAGTTGTCTAAAAGCAATAACCCAAGTCGACCTTTTGACAGTATTTTTAGGGTTTGTAAGATCTCTAATGATACCTTGCACAAGAGGGGTATAGAGGATCCCGCGATTTCTCTTACTAGGAGGGAGACGGAGGAATGGAAAGGCATTCCTCGATTCTTTTCCCTGAACCTGATCGTTGTCTCCCTAAAGGAGCTTTTAAATCTGCGAGACATGTCTCCTATTGGCTGGAAGACACCATACTCACATATCGGCTAATGTGTCGCGTCAGATCAGTGTAGTTCATCCACTTCTTCCCACACAAAAGACACTTGTGTTCGAACACCATTTTCAACCATGTCGCAGATATGAATACTAGGACGAAATGACCGGGACGGCGGGACTCAAGGATGCTAACGGAAAGAGTTTGACTCTTAAGAGAGATTTGATTTCTCTGGTGTGATCTAGATCTCGCTGCGACGCTTGACAGGCAGTAACCCTACGATCATTTCCCCACTGTACTCATTCTTAGCAGCTGTCTGGACTATATCTGGTGTGATCTGGATCTTACTGCCACGTTCATCAAGTAGTAATCTCATAACCATTTCTTCAGTGACCTCGTTCGTAGCAGCTGCCTGGACTATATCTGGTGTGATCCGGATCTCACTACTATGCTTCCGCTTAGAACAGACAGTTACTGTAGAGAAATGATTATAAGGTTACTGCCTGGCAATCTGTCCCCCCCTAAGAAGCCAGATCACACCAGATATAGTCCAAGCAGCTGTTAAGAATAAGGATAGTGGAGAGATGATTATAAGATTACTACTCGACAAGCGTGGAAGTGAGACTTAAACCATACCAGAGGTGGACCAGGCAGCTGCTTAGAACAGGTGTTGTGATAGAAAAGTCTTGAAATTACCATTTAACCAGCGTCGTGCCTTTGTATCTCAGTAAACACTATAGAAGTCGGAGAAGAACAGTATTTCTTAAGTTTGGCGACCATTACTGGGATTTGTTGAATCTGTATATGATGTCGCCATTCGACTCCCTTAACTGAGAATGACAGATATTTCACTACTTTTGACCACGTTTCTGCTAGACGTCTAGGCAGCTGAGTAAAATGCTATATATACCAATTATCACTAGTACTAGTTGCATGCGACTAAGTTCTTAATAATACGATACTGTCAATTAATTTCGTCGACCTAAAGACACCATAAAGATCAATTTCGCTTGATTGTAGGTTGATCTAGCGTGCTGGATCTAGGAAACGGAATGGGAAGCTGTATTCTATGTCATCGGGATAGGGATAGTAATCTCAAGTATCCCTGGGTCCTATTGCGTCCGATCGTTTTGCTCTCAATCCTTGTGCAAAAATGTCCTTCTATGCTCTACTAGGGTTGGTCCTGACCATGAGTTCTTAGCTTGAAAACACATTAGGGGTTGAAAAGCAATCTGTAGTACATCTGAAGGATTTCTAGCCTGACTGTAGATATTTTTGTTGAACATTTTGTGCGCGCGGCTGCTTATCTCGGATTCATGTAGGTGTGGTTTCCATTACATGCGATAATATTGACACCAGCTGCCCTCCCTCTGGGACTCGCTCGTATGCAAGAAGAATTTCCCGTTGTCACCTTAAGTCGTCATGAGTAGTGCATGCATCTCACTGACTTGTCTCTTCGCTTCCATCACCGAGCTCCTTCAATTTTTTTTAGAAAGCTCTCCGCCGAAAGAACGAAGGCGATAGAGTCCGAACTCATATAGCCAATTATATACCCGTATATCATTTTTGTAGCAGGATCTCGGAGGAATTTGCCCATGTCCATCTCATCAAACCTATGAGAGGTGTGCGACGATAAATAGAAAGAAAATACAGGTTGAGTTACATCTGCATGTTTTAACTTCACACAGAACTCCCTGTCAGAAAATCGTCCCGTCCAAGGTTTTGAGCCGTTGCACGTCTCAACATTGACACTTTTATTGTTACAAACAGATTTGATATTCTCTGCCGTTGGGAAGATCGGATAGTGCTAGAGTTTCGTTCTCGCTCGTTTGAATTAGGCAGCAGCCCATGTCTTTTAAGAGGACATGTGGCCTGCTGATCGTCAAAGGAAGCTCTAACAGGCTTATTAGGACGAAATAATATTTCTCATTGGCGTAGTTGACAAGACCGCGGATTTGCGAAATGATTTCCGGAGTGATATTCGCTAGCGTACTCATGGCTAATATGGAAAGAACTAAAATGAAGAGAAGTCAAAGTGACAAAGAAGTTGAATGGTAAAACTTTGAGGAGTTCCACAAAAAAAAAAAAAATAGAAAGAAAAAAAGACCAGAAGGAGAGGTCAAAAGGGAAGATCAATGAAGGAATGTTAGAAGTATATGACATTCGAAACCTGGACACAATGCTGTTGTGATATGGAGATGATGAGAGTCAGGAGAATGATAGACAACGGGACGATGGAGATGAGCATTGAAGGGGTTTATATGTTAGAAGAGAAGCAGTGCCAGACCTAGTACGTACAGACACTCGAACAGATCCCTATGGGCATCGTTTTCTGTGAAATGGTGGGAATTTTGAAAGGCGGACTCAGCTATACTATGTGTACAGCTCGAAGATGTTGCAGAGCCCAATCATGTTGGAGAAGCAGCTATGGTTTGGCTGTAAAGTTGGATTTGGTCTCCTGTAGCATAAGAAAATCACTCCAGTGGTGATGATGGCGAGTCAGGTACATGTACTGTGTTCAGGTGAGGCGGAATGTGTACATCGCCCTACTTCACCAACCCAAAATTCAAGTGATTGAGCGACTCACAATCTAGCCTCTGTGATATACAAGGCTATCCTTGTACCGGTAAAATGTAGAAGCTAATAAGTCAACTACTTGATGGCGGACCCAGTAGAATATGCAGATGACCGGTCAAAGAAAATGCAATGATTGATGGCAGGGGTTCGTTGACCGCGCAAAATTAGACTAAGTACTAACCTGATCCATATTCCCCCTCTTACGTGCTCGTCGACTACTTGTGACGATGACGTTTGTCACTCCAGCTGCTTGGCCAACAACGGAGTCAGCGACAGCGTCCCTCAAGTAGTAAACGATTTAGTACTCTGTAAATTCTTGGATGGTATGACATTACTATGTAGTGTGATGACTCTGTGGGAACCTAAATATTTCATTGTATGATACCGTAGCGCAGACTATACTAGCAAGTGGTTGTAAGATGGCCGTGGTGCGCTGGAAACACGCTTATGCAGCCAACTTTCAAGCCGCTTCTTGCCAGCCAGAAATACTATCAACCCCTTAGTGGGGCCTCGTGTTTGGTCGAACGGTATATTTTCCGATTCTCGCTTCTTAACTGTAAAATCAGAGGCAAGCTATAGACTACGGACTAATTGATCGTTGAGTTTCACTTTCCATCTACGAAAATAATGTCAATACTCACCATAATCTATCAAACAGAGGTAAATGTAGGTATTTCTAGGTCGCTAACGGTATTCACTCAAACATTAACTGGGAAATTTGAAGCTAGGAAGATCCAGTCGTAGCGGATACGGAGTACGAAGCACAATAAACTCGGAAGAGCCTCTCACCTTGATAGGGGAGCGTGCGCACATTATAATACAGGGGGAAGTCATTGGTGTAAAGTAGAAATACCGAATGGAGATTGACCCAATGCATACCTAAAATTGGAAATGTTACCGGTCTCTGCACGATGAAGAGATACTGAGAGGGTAAATAACGTTAGTACGTGTTAGAATATCGCAAGATCTACCACATGGAATAAGGACATCTCGATAAACCCAGAGACAAGTCATCCCTCTATTTTGGGCTAACCAGAGGCCTCCGTATACTATGCCTCACTTTTCAGGAAACGTCAAATGTGATGTATCATAGTTTAGACCACGTAGAATGTGCCGGGAACTGAGGTCAATTCCCGTGCCGAAGCCCATACTGTGGTATTAACAAAGCCATTTTGCGGTATGGGAGAACTGAACACATAAATCTTGCTAGTCACTTTCAGGATTAGCCTGAGGTAGACCCACCAATCCGACAGTATAGTGGAGAAAAGAAGGTTGTGGGAATAATCCAAGCCCACTTCTCATATAAACACGCACCATATCTTCGTAGTATGCTTGAAGTATTTTTACCGTCTGCATAGTAATTACTAGCGAAGATACATGGCTCCTCAACGAGTCAACATCATCAATTATCTCAGAATGCATCTTCGGACCTGTTGCTAGCTAACGTATGAGCAAGCTGCTCGGTATATAGATTCGGTTAGCATGTCGGGCTTCTAAAAAGAGGAATTGTAGACTATTATTCTTCGAATTTGAGGATATTGATAGAGTTTCTAAGTATTACGGTTCTTCCCAATAGAATATAGTCAAGATCAGAAAGTCAAATATAATTATATATTAAACGGTCTAGCAGCAGTGATAACTACTTATGATATTGTGGATCTCCTTTCGTCCCTAACTTATGGCTCATATCTAATGTTCTATACATTGCAATAGTATGGCGAATACAACTATCATATCCTCTCTTAGAATATGGAGAAATCATGGTTGGAATAAAGACAATGCGACGTGATTCAGCCATCGTTTTTATCATCCATAGAGGCGACTAAGTTGGCCTTTCAAGAACCTTCCATTCCGGCCACGAGGCCGTCGCATAGCATGGTTGTGCCGTGATTCGTGTAGATATGGTTTGCGGCCTTTTGATGTGAGTCGCAACTGTTCCTCGAGTGCCTGTCGCGCAACACGTCGTTTCAAAATCCGATGAAACTGCTTTGCATTCACGTACACCGGCGACTTCTCCCGCGTGTCACCTGCAACTACTTCACCACCGGCTGGGTTCTGTTGAACTTGAGTCGGAAGAGGCGGAGGCCCCATTGGAGGAACACCGGGTCGGACATAATTGACAATAGGTTGCGTGTTTGGTAGGTGCGGGTTACCAACATGGCTTATCTGTTGAATTTGTTGCAACTGGGTATTTTGCGACATTTGTACTTGAGGCGTAGGAGGATTTTGTCCGGAGATTTGGTGAGGAGATTAGAGACCTCGCTCATTCTTTTCTTGAGCTCCATCCGTTTGTGGTGAGCGACAGGATCCTTGCGGCGTGGAACAGAACTGATGAGGTGAAATACCGTATTGTTGCACGAAGTCCATCTGTTCGTTATGACCGTATCTAGTGAATATCGGAGACTCTTGATCTTGAGATGAGCTGGCAGTTCTGGGGGTTTGATATGTGGGAAGCGTATGAGCATGTTGGCCATGTGGTGGCTGGTATTGCGGAGAGTACCTCATGTTGTTAATGTAACTGAATGGGAATTAATATATATAGTGACGAGGGCACTGCTCTAAGTACCTTCTGTCGCACACGAAGCACTTCGCGCCACTATAGGATGGGATTTGAAGCACCCCGCGTATGCAATATAAACAAAACAATTTAATGATTAGGGCAAGGATAATGGGATAAGACGTGATAAAATGAGATGATATAAGCTGCGCGGAGGTGACAGCGAGACTGGACCGGTTGTTATAAGGCAGCGAATCTGTGTGAAAAGACTGGGTGTTATGAAACAAGATTCGAAAGCCACAAGGCTGATTAGGCGACTTGGTTCGACCAACCAACTACCTAATGTTGCCTGTAGCCACTAATAATTAGTGTTAGTACTCTATATGGAGTCTTTGACTTCGAAAGTCTGATCCTACTTTTAAACCCTCCGCCGAGTTGGGTTAAACTACTTTTAGAGAAACTCCAGGAGAGCTCTACTTCGCTATATCATACATGGTATTGTACCAGATATATATATGAGCATTCTGCTTCCATATGTGTCCTATTGTCAAAAAGTTTTGAGTTCTTCCAGAGCTGTCTGGACGGTTGCTAACGTAGTAATATCTTCCACCACTTCTCCGACATCCACAAGACTACCAATAAAATCACAGAGCTGGTGGATACTATAGACCCAACTGAATCTGACCCTTGTACAGTTCTTGGGAAGTGACTTTGCAGACAGGTCCAATATAATTCTACATAATTTTGGAAGACTTTTAATCGACACTCGACGTACCCTGGAGCTCATATTACGAATACGACTATATACGTCGACTGATGCGCTGTTTGAGAAATTATAACATGCAAACCAATTTCTAGAACCTAGGATAGAGAGTTGGACTAATTTATGAACACCATCTAGTGTCTCTTGGTCGCAGGGGTTGACAAACAATTGTGCTGTTATCTTGCAATCAAGTGTATTCCCAGTCACTGTGACGACCCTGGAAATGATGCGGCTGAAGCCAAGGCAGCCAGCCCTGATAAACATATCCCTTCTGTCGGTTGGCCTTACGCGAGGAATTACCCTCAAGTCAGGTTCTCCTTTTTAAGCTTTGTCGCCATTGGAAACGAAGACCTGGGTTGTTCCATCTCGGCAGTGTAAGCGCCGTTTCGGGCTTAACGGGTCTTCTGTACCTACCAATTTCATTCTTCTTATACCGCTCTTCAGTCTTTCTCACACGGAATATCTCGTCTAAAATCAAAGTTCGTCTTCTAGCTTGCTCCGCGGGAGAGGCTTGATTTTTGGCGCCATCGGAGGCTTTTTCGAACATCGCCGCAGTGGTTCCTATAGGAAGTAGGTTCTGAAGAAGATGGACGAGTAGCTCTATAAGAGCTTCGTTGTCTGTATTAGTACATTAGTGATTAGGAGTCTGCAAAATAATGATCCTTACACTCTTTCATGATATCGTCAGGTCCTTCGTGCTTGATATCTTGGGGCCACCACTCTGGCCTGGACTTCTGGGATTCCTCTCCCTGGAACATTACTGCTTCCTTTCCACTATTGCAAGGCCGATTCGCCTGCTCATAGGTTGCAAAGCTTTCCACGAAGATTTCAGCCAGTGAGCGGCAGTCGCTTGTTTGTAGTTGTCTGAAAGCACTTTTATAGTATGCAGTGACCTCCTTCGTATTGCCGATCTCTAAGGAGCTCGGCTCTGAGTATTCACAGGCGCCCGTAACATTGATAACCAGCCTGTTTTTGCGATACGTAGCCCTACCCTTTGTTGATCCCCCGTGACCCATATGCGGGTAAAGCGAGGGATTGTGCCTGTCCAACGAAAAACTCTGAGAAGTCTCTAATGCACTCAGCTCAAGAGTGCCGAAAGGATCAAGTTGAGTATCCGGTAGTTGTTCTGCTGGCATCGACAAAGATTTCATATTTATTCTGATTCATTCAGAAGGTAGAATAGATTCTGCAAAATAGTCATATGTAATTCTGTCGATGATGGCAGCTAAACAGCACATTGTAATAATATTGTAAAAAAAGAAAAACAAACACACACCCCGCATATAAGTAAGAACTTGTAAGCTTGACAAAGCGTCAGATCGGGGACAAGAACTTGAGTAGATTCTGCCTCCGATAATGTAATTTATCTATTTGATTAGGAAGCTTTTGGTTTGGGCCCACTTTTGTGAGAGCTTCCTATCAAATCATACACATTGAATCTGAGACAGAATCTACATACTGTGTTGCCTGATCTAGAAATCCATTCCCCCTTTGCATGACGAGGCTAGCTGACATTACAATCAAGAGCGAGATCTGTTCTGCTTTTTGGGCCAAACAGGATATAATGAATTGGTTTTTAATGTTTAGTTCATCAAGGACGGTCTACTGCATCCTGCACTTGCCAAACCCTGGCTAGCCATCAATTCGCGATGCAGATTCTACTTCGTCTGAAAATTAGGGCAGCATAAAAACTCTGGGAAGGCGAAACCATAGGCGAGACCACTGGCGAATAGAGTAAAGAGCAGACAGGATTGGCTAAACTTATATAGAAGAATACCTATGATTGGTCCATTCCGTATAGGGAATTCTTTAGCCTTATCGGCGATGGGCTTAGCTCACTACATGGCATTTTCTAGCCCTAGCTCTCCTGGAGTTCACATAGTGTCTCCGACCATCCTTCATTACAGCTTGGCAAGATATGAAAGAGGACAGATTATCTTACACGCCGCCTTTGATCCAAATATATATTAAACGCCCGGCCAGGCCCCATGCTGCGATTCTGCGAAGTATACAACACGAATAATGAGGCAGGGGTATTTGTGATTTCTTTTTCTCTCTTATCTCTCTTAAAAAGCCGAATGACTCCGGTAACATACCTTTGAGGCACTATATTTACTTTCATACGTCGTATCAGTATTTTGGTTGGAAGCACTCTGTAGATACCGCAACTTCTGATAAAAGTGGGGTCAGACATACTATTACGTGTAAAAGTCTAGCGCTACACTGGGGTATTTGTTGCCCCTATCCAGATTAAGTTTAGCGTACTACTTGCCCTGTACAGAGTACTTCTCTTAGATATAGTAGCATTCACTTTGGTTCGGCTATTCTGCACTAGAAACCTATCTTCCATGTACGGCATCACAAACGGAGCTGCTATATCGTGGTATGCTAGCCTGGCCATCTGGATGGGAATACTGGTGTATTTTATAGAATCGGTACGTGTGATAGAGTTAGACTAGTTATGCATTGGCTTTGATTTGTATCTGCGCTGCAATATCGTGCAGTGATTAGTTGAGACAAGGCAGGTCTGACAGTGCTCTACGATATACTATCCCTGAGCCATCTAGGTGTTGGAGCGTGATGGACCTCAGTGGGGCCATATTTATGACCCACAAGTACTCAACTGTGGATCACAAAGCTTTTAACGTTATTGGGTGTCATTGGGCCGAAGAGGGGCGGGTTGCGGGAATAACTATCAAGTCAATCCAGATTAACAACCCACTGGAACTCTTTCGTATCGTATCTCTGGTCACGAAGGATAAATGCAAATGTCGTGATCAACGAAAATGACAGCTAGAACAGGGCGATGCAGGAGTTGCAGGGGTTGCTGTGGAAGAAGTTCGAGCTATGCGCGGTTCTGCAAAATTCTGCCAGGGGTTAATTGGTGGAATCGTAATACTAGATGACTTGTTACTATTCCTAATACAGACGAAATTCCCGCGGCTGTGTTATCTGCTACGGGCCAGTCCAGCCTTATGAATTATAGATTCATTTCTCGAGTAGATAAACTTATATGCAAAGGGAGAATGGAACTGTTTCAACTCGCTTAGCTTAAAGACGGGATTAGATAATGGATTTCAGGTGTTGGGGATCGCTCCATGTTCGGATAAGGTACATAATCCGGACTTCAAACGAGGCAGGAGAGATCGGCTGTTCGATATTACAGGTCTAAGAGGTGCCTTAGGGGTTAACTAGGCAGCGCCTCAGCTGCGGAATGGGGTAGCTTTTAGGGCACATGGGAATAATTATGCCTCGTATCCGCATCCACCTAGCGAATCTATATACTTATTGTCATAGGGATCGAATCATATATTCTTAGTAACGGACGTCAACCACCAATAAGAGTCAAGTGTGGGTTTTATGCTTCCTATTCCATATCAAGCCTAGCTATAATACTAGGGTGTGGTGAAGCTATACTAATCTGTGCGCCACCGCGGACACCCCGTATCTTCCAACTGACTCGGAATGGTATTCACATCCCCAGCTTACATTGTTCTACTGAAATAGGATCTATGCGAGATTGAACAATTTCGCAATCTATTCGAATACATAATTGAGGCAGTTAATGAAGATAGTGCATTGGTACGCTTCTGTGGAATCAATGGAGCTGAGAATTTCTATCCATCATAGTCCTATCTCCAAGACTTATCTAGAGCTTTTAACGTGACTAGTACATACAGGTTATTGAAACATATCTGGTAAGAATGCAGGATCAAACTAAGTAGTAACTACGGAGTAGAGCCTGTGACTAGGGTTATGATTTTTGGTTAGGGTTATTATTCGGCAATGCTGATAGATCATCACCAGTCTGTCACAGTTTTCACTGTACAAACAAGGTTAAGTTATTTGCCCTGGGTGTAGGATAACTAAACCTAGCTTCCAAGTTTCCCATATTCTCACGTCCCTATGCTTCGATTTCCCCATCGTTTCGTCTCATTAAATAAAAGACTAAAAAGAATATGAATATCCTGGGTTCGGTGTTCATTGCAGTTTGGCAGACCATTACAAGTTTATTACTAGTTTCAGGTATGGATAAGGCTGACTTGTTTACAGCTGTCCTACCCAGGGGCGACCTGCCCCGAGCACAATATACTCCTATAGTTCCAGTGTTGGCCCGAGTGTCATTCTTTCACTCTTCAAGCATTTCTTTTTTTGTGTACGTAGGCAAATTACTTCTGACCTTGAGAAAACCGACTTTTTGCGTGATTTTTGGCAAATCGCCCACTGTTGCTCCTATACTTTCTCGTTCCTTTCTCTCAGTCCTTTCCAGTTTGGATTCATGAAGCTGTAGATCAACCTACCTTAGTTTCTGCACATTGAACTCTCAATTAATACAATGGCCATGCCTTATCCGTCGTATTCATTGCCTAGTCAGTGTCTCATTTGGTGCGCTCCCACTCTATTTCCTTTTTGACTACTGCAGAGATATTGCTTTGGCTTTTAAAATCAGCTTTAATATAATATGAATCTCTGACAAAAGTGGACTCTCTTCAGTGATGACATCTCGTACAGAGACTTCTCTGCACCTACAGAATCTCTATCCTGGACTGCACCGCCCGAAAAACAGGAAAGTTACGACTTGCTCTCGTTCTCTCTCCCTATCTTCCACATCGAATGCCACCGTACGTCGTTGAAGATTTCTGCTCAGCTGCAGGGAATGTTTTGGCTTACCGAGTCACCACGGGCCAATTCCACCAACGAGATACTACCTGTACACGCTGCGGAGCTTACCTGCTACCGTCGAAATTTGTTTCAAATCACCGGATCCGTGACATTACCTCGAATTATGTATACCAAAACGGAACAGGGAGACCGCATTCCCATCGTCAAGCGAGAATTGACCGTGTCTGCTACTGAGTCTGTTGAGGGAAAACCTGTTAAGATTATTTACGTGGCACCAGCAGCTACCTTAGCGGACGACCGTGCTGTGGCTCCTACACCTAAAGAGAAAGCTGAAAATGAGCCTCCATCAATACTTTTGGATACCATGGCTGGACACGACATGGACTCATATTATACAACCTTTCCCGTCGACTGGAAGCGCCTTCAATTCCGGAGAGCTACCGCCAATAATGGCTGCCGCAAGGAGCTTCAGCAGTATTTTATTGTTCATCTCACGTTTGTCGTAACACTTGCAACGGGGACCGAGATTACGATCTGTGAGGCACGCTCAGGACGAATCATTGTCCGTGGCCGTGGCCCGGGTAAATTTAAGTCTGACAGAGGCTTCCTGCTCAATGGCCGAATAAGCTCAGGGCAGAATAAGCGGAAAAAGGCAAATCGACATAGAAGCTAGACTAGTAGGACGAGCCAGATGATCGTCGCGAAAGGTTGAAAGGAATATGGAGACTCTTGTGATTTATATAGTGCTTTTCAGAATCAGAGTGACAAAATCATGCTCTTGACGGATTAATTGATGGATTACATTATCTAACGGTCCCAATCAACTCATAAGCAGCTATGCGACTTGTATCTCAATCCTGACCGCGGTCCTATATACATGAAATAACTGGTACGACGGATAGTCAAAAAGAGTCACTATATATGTGTTGTCAATGCCGCGCATCATATACCTTCCTACCTGACCAGGAAGAGTCGGATTTCGACTCGTTAACGACAAATGCTCTACTTTACGAACACCAAATCTCTATCACTAGCCTAAAGACCAGAAGATGCAGAGTAAAATTCGAGCCTAATCCTTGGTGTCTAGTCCTCGATAGACCGCGGTGTGAGGTCAACCACGGCTCAATCTTCTAATAACAGGTAGACTCCCAGAGCGCATAGAATTTGGGGGAATCTCCATTTATCTGGTACCCTTGGCATAGTTTTGTTCGACATGGTACATAGTTCATCCTTCCATAGCTTTGGGGTAACTGGAGTCGTTCACGAATCTGCGGATCTCTGATGAGTCAAGCTGAACAGAAAGCGATGGGCAAGGCTGACACGTATAGCAAAAGAAACTGCATATTCAAATTGCCCTAATATGACGCTGACCAACCAGGGAGCACTAGAGTGGCAGAGAGTACGGAGAAGGTGTGATAATAACTAGCTCGCTCAAGGACAGTCGAGACCAGATTTGAGATACAAGACTCAATGCAGATATGGTTTTGCATTCCTGATTGATCTATAATGGCATTAGAAAGGAAATCCCTTGCTAAGACCCTATTTGACAAGTACTCGAATGTGGTAAAACTCCAGTATAATCCTTCTCAATTGGCATCCTTACTAGGAACGCTCCGATCCCTGACCTGATTGGAAGCAATAGATAGGCCTCAGTTCTGTCCTGGGGTAGATATCTTCTTTTAAACTAGGCTCAGTAAAGCTTGCAGGAGTGGAATAGGGCGATTTTGATCCAGCCCAGGAACGCCAGCCTTGGCTTTTGTGAATCCGATCACCACTTCCATATCCAGTGTGATTTATCCTCGCTAGAATCAACGTTGGTTAGTTTAGCTTGATCATGTAAGGACAATCACTCCTATGTTAACAGGTTGGGCAACGGGGGACATAATTAATATACAAGTTGATTTCTTGCTATAGCCAGTTATGCTCATGTCTTCCCTGCTCGATACTTGAGCTACTTTCGCTTATCTCGCAGACAATATTGTATATTGGCAAGCTGGGCTTGAGACTCTTTTAACTACATACTCCTTAGCTAGGCAGGGCCAACTCTTTTCGCATCCATCTCGCGGAAATATCCAGTCTCAAAATGAAATGAAGATGATCATTCTTATGTTCAGATTGCCAAAGGGTTTGGTAAACAGGAATCTAATACAGGTATCATTCGTTGGCAAGACAAAACTTCGCCGTCAAACTGGGTAATACCAGACATGTTCAGATCAGCGTACTGGCATTTTGGACCACGTCCACCATGACATATTGCTACAAAGATATTCCAAATCCTGTCCTGCTTGAGTCTTCGCATTTCTGGCTGCCACGTATACATCGATCGGTATTGACGCTTTCAACTCTGCGCCTTCATGAACTTGAAAACACGGATATACCACAAAAGCTGGTCCAGCTGTCTTCAGCAGGGCTCTTAGGTTCAGGCATGGTTGGCTCCGCAAGAAGGGGAGGAGATAGGCATCATAAAAATAGTTAGAACTATATTTTGTATGTTGATCATTTGGCTCTATTTGTCTTCTACAAGCAAGGGCTGCCTCCTCAAGTATTTCCGCCGTTATTGCCCAAGGAAGAAGATTTTGGACAAGATGAACAAGCAGTCTTACTCGTACTATATTGCGTTGTGTTAGTAGTATAGCCAATTTATACCAGGTAGGTAATAGAACTTACAGTCTTTACCTATATCGTCGGGTTCCAGTGTGCATGATACTGGGTCTCAAGCTGTTCTTGCATAGCAGTAGTAACATCCTAACCTCCATCTCATAACTCACGCCCAAGAACAAGTTTCTTAAACCAAGGATCTAAGAGCATTGAAATATTGAGAATATCGCATGAATCATCCATAAGAGTATAGTACTTGTTATGTTTTCTCATGGCGCTCTTAGCTACATTAGCGACATCTGCGTCACAAAGTCCTTGAACTGTCCCTCCCTGTCCTGATCTTCGTGAAGAAGATCGAACAGTTGATAGTAGATAGTAAAAGGCTGACTGATTTGTGGAATATCAGTAGAGAAGTCTAGTGTATATCTGTCAGACTCTGCAAGGACTATCCGGATTTATCCAAGCTGGTCCCAGTCTTGGTCATTGATAGGAGGTAAGATATGCCATCTTACGATGTTCTTGAATCTGAGGAGCGGCCTATTCAAAGTTAGCTGTATTCTTTTTCCCAAGGATTATTAAGACTCATACATTTCAAACATTATAAAGTACGTGATAAGAGGAATTCCAGTAAGTGGTAACATCATACTGAGTAAGCTTCGAATCTATCCCTCTTATTTAGCATAGATTCCGGACTGTTTACCTTGAGTAATAAAGAGGGTAAGAAATTTTTTGACTAGCAAGAATGTATTTGTGTTTCTGTGCCTGTCTCAGTACATTAGGTTTCAAAGCTAGGTTTACAGACATTTTAGCAGGGTAAATTTTGCGATCTATCATAGGGGTAACCTTGAAGGTTGAAGGCTATATTGAGCCCTGATAAGAAGGTGGCTTTTGGTTTGCTATATTCGGGTTATCTGACAAGTACTTGGACATCCTCTCACTAGCTTGGTGCTCTACTGGAGTACGAAGATTGTAAGAGAATGATTAGTATAGATTATCAGGGGAAGTTAAGGAGAATACACTGAATTTTCTTTCCGCATCTTTCCCCGGCCGTCAATGCAATACCCCTCGTCATTACGCAGCAAGCGTTGATGCTCAGCTTTCATCCAGGGATACGAAACGCGACACCAGTCAACAACACCATGTTTGGGTAAAATTCTGTTCTTGGAACGTTGCGTCTTCCGCACCGTGGGGCATTTCTGAGCGTACATAAAACGGTATAATTTGCATTGGATTCCCGGTATTTTTCGCTCTGTGTGCCCCTGGCTGCAAAAGTGTTCGTTGAAAGCCGCTATGCAATCTGACCATTCCTTCTTAAGATCTACACGGTGGTACCAGATGAAATGCATTTCTTCACACGTGTATCTTGGCCGAGGTGGTCTTCGATGTCCGATTGAGGTGGAGTAGGCGCTGAAGACCAAGGTAGAATCTTCATATTTGTGCCTTCCTCCTGATGCTTTTTGTTGTAGTTTCGCATAGCTACCGCCGATCTTTGTGGGATATCTTTGCTCGTGATGTTCCTTTGGGGGGCAATGATGCCGACGACCAGCCTGCTCGTCCTTGATGTGTCGAATCGAGGAGTCAAGACGGTGCTGTCGCCCGATATCTGCATCTTCTTGCTGCGGGTTCAACAGCGATCTGATGGACATGGAAGTACGGACTGCTGTCATCGTGTTCTGGGTATGTGGTGAAGTCATCGATTTGAATCACAGGTCACAGACTGAATAGGAGTATCGTCTAATACGTAAAAGGGATCGGATCAGGAATTATTAATCAGTGCGTGTATATAAATACCAAATTCATCCTTACCAAATAAAGGAATGATATTCGGTGGAGTTTACTAACATTACTTACTCAAGATACCATAGTACGTCCTGATTTTAAGACAGAAGCAGGGGCTCGAAAATACGGGATCAACTTAGTATTCGGGTTAAAGATGGAGTCAGGCTTTCAACATACTAATAAATAGTATTTGATGTATGTGGAGTAGTGCCCTACCTGAACCAGCGAATATTCGTGGACATGACTTAGACACGCCGCGGAAATTTCCACCGTATTTGTTTTAGTCTATGACCCAAATGTCTTATCTGACAGGCTAACTGAGCCAGTAATGGTGAATTCCTGATATTTGAGCCTACGACTGATCCTAAGAACTAGTTAGGGGAGTTGTTGGATTATTACTAATCCGTGGGGGCAGATTCGGCAATGATTCCTAGCTTTGCTACGTGGAAAGTGTTCGTATTGGAAGTAGAATTAACAAGCAAAATTGTATGTGTTCCCTCCTCTCTTTTTCTAAGAATTGAGGGTGATTCTATGTCTTTATATATTCCAATGCGGCCTCAGAGAAGTAAGGGAAAAAAGCAACAGGAATTTCAGCTAAGGCAAAGCGAAGAATCCGAGTCACAAACATGAAACTATACAGGTTTGACCACTGTAGTTGATTGGTATCAAGGGGCATTTTGGCGATGTGCACTTTCTTAATTAGGGTCAGAGGTATCGTCCTGTCGACACCTAGTTATCTAACAGGAGCGTGGATGATGAGGCATAGTTATTCCCATGTGCGCTACCGTCCCTCACCGCCTGAGGAATAAACCCACCTGAGGAATAAATTTACCCCAAAACGCGAAAAATCGCGAATATTTCACACCGCGATATATCAACCAATATGGCTTCAATGGAGCTCGCACTTGCAGCATTACGTTCAGCGGATCCTGGAGAAAAGCCTAATATTAGTTTGGTTGTAAGAACATACGGCGTTAGCCAATCGGGCCTTTATAAACGTTTTCACGGCGTTACAGGCTCAAAAGAAGAGCAATACGACAAGCAACGAATACTCACCACCACGCAATCAAGAGCGCTTATAAAATGGATAAATCAACTCACCGAGCGAGGCCTGCCCCCTACAAATTCAATGTTAGCGAACTTTGCAAGAGAAATATCTGGTAAAGAGCCTGGGAAAAACTGGGCTTCACGCTGGCTCAAGGCTCATTCGGATAAGGTGATTTCTCGCTATTCAACGGGCCTTGATTCGGATAGAAAAAAGGCAGATTCGGCATATAAATATGCTTTATATTTTGAGCTTATTGGACGGAAAATACAGCAATATAACCTCGGCCCAGAGCAAATCTATAATATGGATGAGAAGGGCTTCATGCTTGGAGTAAGCACAAAACGGAAAAGAATCTTTACTCGGCGCAAATATGAGCAAGGGGGCTATAAGCAGCATCTTCAGGATGGAAATCGAGAATGGATTACAACAATTGGTTGTATCTGTGCCAATGGAACTGCTTTAGCGCCTAGTCTTATTTATATGGCAAAATCGGGCTTTATACAGGATTCTTGGCTTCAAGATTACGATCCCCAAACACAGAGATGCTTCTTTGCAGCCTCAGAGTCAGGGTGGACTAATAATGATATCGGATATTGCTGGTTGGTGGATGTTTTTGATAAAGAGACAAAATCTCAAGCAAGCCGGGGATGGCGCCTTCTTATCCTCGATGGGCATGGATCCCACGTTACAATGAAGTTTATTGAATACTGCGACTCGAATCGAATTCTATTAGCAATCTTTCCGGCTCATGCAACACATACTTTACAGCCTCTTGATGTCGCTCTTTTCTCGCCTCTTTCTAACGCTTATACGAAGCAATTGGATGATTTTATAAGGGATAGCCAAGGCTTCACCCGGCTCACTAAACGTGACTTTTTCCGCCTTTTTTGGGCTAGCTGGAATGAGGTTTTTATAAGCAAGAATATCAATTCAGCATTCAGAACGACTGGTCTATATCCCTTTGATCCGGAGATTGTTATCAACAAATTCAACAAGAAAATCACCAGCCGGCCATCCTCAAGCGAATCCGGAGCTTCAATTATTCCTCCAGAAGATTGGAGACGGCTTGAGAAGCTTGTTAAAACTGTTGTTAACAATATTTATGATGAAAAGGCTGTACAGCTTCGAGAAACGGTGTCACATCTTTCTACTCAGCTTATCTTGCTTCAAAATGAGAATCAAGGCCTGAAAAGAGCTCTCATAAATGCAAAGAAGCCTAAAAACAAGAAACAGCCTTTATTACTAGGTTTACCATCAGAACAAGATGGTGGAGCGCTTTTTATGAGCCCTACTAAGGTTCAGCAAGCTCGTGATATTATTTCTCAAAAAAATGACGAAGCCGCGCAGAAGCAGGCTCATAAAGATGATAAAAAGCTTCAACAACAGCTTAAAAAGCAAGCTAGAGAGGCTGAAAAGGTTAAAAGAGCTCAAATCCGACAAGAAAAACGCGAGCAGCGTGAGCAAGAGGCTGCGGAAAAGCAACGGCTTAAGGACGAGCAAGAATTGGCTAAGCTAGCTGATTTACAGCTTCAAAATGATGTTATATCAACTCCAAAGGCTTCAAAAAGGCCTACAAAGCAAATTTCTAGGCAAGCAAAGCCAAGAGTGCAACCTGAGGCTCATGTGGAGGATAATGAGGTGGTTGTTACTACAAACCGTAGGGGCCGCGCGATACGGCCCCCTGCACGTTTTCGCGATTAACTTTTATGCTTTTTAGATTCGCCATAGCTTATTTAGTGCTACACCAGAAATTCACTATATTTAATTATTATGTGGTGTTGTAAAGCTTCAAAATATTCTGTACAGTAAGCCGTTGAAATTATTCCTCAGGTAGGGTTATTCCTCAGGCGGTGAGGGATGGTAGAGATAACACCACTCCACTGTGGTCAGGACCCACACGGCAAGCTGGTTTGCTGAATGCAGCCTTCCACTAATACGTATCATAGCTTGTCCGGCTGCTGAGACAGTCTCCGATGCGGCTATGCATTGCTAAGGGATCTTATACTATTATAGTTGAAGTTAACAACCTTACCATTGACGGAATATTACCCGGGCTACACAGCACAGACCAGTGCGTCCAATCAATGTAGTCGCTGTATTATCTATTGAGTCTCAGGCAGACTTTGCTAGCGATATAAGAGATGTCGGGCTCTCTTGGCTTGTAAATAATTACCTTGGAGGTCATATCGGTCTTGTATGTGTGCATCTTGATCAGAATTCAAGTTATGACTCCTAATAGCATCAGTTCGATGGGGTGAGATCACTTTAAAGTTAGAATATTCCTGGAAATAAACTAAGGGTGGTGATCTAGCGACACCCCCCTAGTTCCAGCGACACCAGGGTGTCGTTCCAACGACACCCCCACGGAACTTATAGTTCTGATTGGACAATTTCCTTCCAAGTTTTACCATATTTAGCAACAGGATCTAGGATTAGGGTTAAACATAACACTTATTAATTCGAAGCCTTAGGGGCTGCCAGTCTATATTTCAGTCAATTAGGATGCACAGCTCAGAAAAGGAATTGTGCCTTGCTTGCCTGTTACTCACTCCCATCATCTAGCCATAACGCTAGCTGGGATCACGGTCACGTCGCTTGCTTCTCCTGGTCTGATTCTCGTTGGTCTTGTCGTCCTCGTTATCACCAATTTCATTATCCTCATTCTCGTGTCTCTCAGTACTGAATTTACTGGTTCATACAGAGAGACTGCCACATATATGTAGACATGTAGAAGCTTCAAGAACTAAAAGATCATGATAGTGTTATTCTTTATCATTCTGCCTCACAAGATAGACGCAACCCTCCCTCTAGTTGAGGCCTAGGTGTGATGGGCGCCATTTACTAACTACCTGATGCAGCTACAACACCCTAATTTAACGAACAAAAGGAAGTACCGCTCGGGTATTTGGCGTCTGGAGACGCCCCGAGTGTCCTACGCGTTATGGGCGGCTTGGGGCGAGGTCTTGGCGCTTTGGCAGCACTTCGAATTAATAAGTTTTCTTTTTAACCCTAACCCTAGAACCGGTTACTGAATATGGTAAAACTTGGAAGGAAATTGTCCATTCAGAACTATGAGTTCCGTGGGGGTGTCGTTGGAACGACACCCTGGTGTCGCTGGAACTAGGGGGGTGTCGCTAGATCACCACCCTAAACTAATTTGCAGTGACAATACCAGTTCCCATACGATAGATCAACCTCTTGATCATTCATCTTCATGCAATTTTTCTTGCTCAACAAATCCGTCATGGGAAGATTATAATGACGATGCATTACCCAACTCTCATGCACCCTCTCTGGCGTCTCCTCATCTACAATCTCGCAAATCAGCTTCCACCACACACCAACCTATCGAGCAAACCGAAGGCATATTTCTTCAACCTGAGACCCACCCAATCACTGAAGAACAACTAGTCAATGAAGTCAGAGCCATCTACGCTGGCGTAGTAATGCTCGAGAAGCAATGCATTGACATTGTTAAGCAACAAAGTGGGAATCCAGAGGAACTTACTGTGTTGCAATGGCAGAACCTGACTGCGCTGCACAGGAGGCTCCTCCATGAGCATTTTGATTTCTTTCTTGCTTCAAATCATCCAGCTGCAAACAAGTCATTAAAATCACCAGCGAAAACCTATTCTATGCCAACAAGAATGTGGCAACATGGTATTTATTTGTTCTTGGAACTGCTGTGAAAGAAGTTGCCCTCGTCACTTGACCATATGCACACCTTTATTTACATGGCGTTTGCAAACATTACTCAGCTGTTGGAGAGCGTTCCAGATTATAAGGAAACGTGGATTGAATGTCTCGGCGACCTGGCACGCTACCGGATGGCCATAGAAGAGGTGGATATGTACAACCGAAGACGCTACACTAGTATTGCTAGGTACTGGTATGCCAAAGCCGCCAATCTCAATCCGGATGTTGGTAGGATTCAGCATCATTTGGCCGTCCTTGCTCGGCCAGATCTGTTGAAGCAGCTGTTCTACTATTCCAAGGCTTTGATCGGCGTTCAGCCTTTTACCAAAGCACGGGACAGCATCTTGCTCCTTTTCAGACCTCTCCTAGACCCTGCAAAAGCTGCAATAAAGTACCCTGAATACTATTCCCGAACCCTGACTGTTTTTGTTGAAGCTCATGGTGTTTTATTCACAAGAAAGGACGCTCCTACGTTTCTGAGATTGGCTGAGGAATTCTTATCAGAACTCGATAAACACGCTGGGCTCGTGGGTTGGTTGTTTAGAGAACAAGGGGTATACATAACAGCTTCTAATTAAGCTGCCATCTTTGATTATGGACATGATGGTGCAGAGATTCCTTCCATGTTCGATCAAGCTAGTGGTAGAGTTGAGAGTAGGGTTAGAGATAGAGATGAGGGAGGGAGCATTCAGACAAGAACATTGGAGATAATGGAGCAAGCATATGAATCCTGGCAGAACCCTTCTTGTGTCCAGGTTGGAATCGAGCATCGAACTGCTGGAATAAGTTCCAGTAAACAGGTAGTCTCCATGGCGTCTCATTTGTCATTCGCCACTCTCGATGTTATACTCGGTGGTTTGAAAGACATAGAAAATACATTGCCAAGCGTGCACGTCTCTCTGGCTTTTCTGTGGTGTATGGCAATGGTACTGGAAGCCATGTCCCGTATTCAAGCGGACGTGCCCTGGAAACGGCTTGCGACGTATCTAAATAAACTTATCAAGACGGATACTGATATGGTTGGAATTGAGAATGGGGAGTTCCCGGCACGGGAATCAGGGTTACGGCAACTACCGGAGGATTTCCTGATCCATGGTCTTTCCTGGAGTAGAATATATTATCCACCAGGCTTCTTCTCTGACATGGCCGAAGGCGATGAGCGGTCAATTGAACCTCCATCTGTGACGGTTGCGCGGACAAAACGATGCCTATGGTTGGCAAGTAAGATAGCCAAGGTGAGCTCCCTGCTCCCACGCCCCTCACTTTATGCTTATTGTGGCCTTCTTTCTAATTCTCTATCTAGTTTAACTGTTGGCTGCTTTATGACGTCGAAACCCACGGGTTCTATGCAACTCAATTTGCAGACGAACTCACTGCGCTGTCACAGAGGTATCAAATTATTGGACGTACGGATAGTATCATCACTTCAAGCATTTAAGGTTGATAGTTTTATGGTTCATTTGATGTGGCAGTTATTCTCTGTTTTGGTCTAGGGTTATGAGCTATTCATAGTTTGCATTCTATATTCTGAATGCCTCCGCATTTTATTCCATTACTTATGATACGTCTTCTCTCCCTATAAATAGTTCATACTGCAGGCTAACCCCAATATTCAACTTCCAAGGACACAATAGCGATCATGTACGACTCAAGCGATAAGTACTGTAATTAGATACCCATAACTTTTTGTACAACTTTAAGAAATTGGACCATTACTATCATTATACTTTGCGAACTTTTCTCGCGCAGATTGTGATACTATATCTGTCAGTCGTCAACCGCAATGGACGGGAAGTCCACTCACAATGGCCATTCAACCCGCACCTCATCTCGTCTCAGTTCCTTGATTGCATTTGCAATATCTAATTGGGCTTGCGCGAACGAACCCTCTTGGAGAGTCAACAAACGAAGGCTGATCTGACGGAATCTAGCTTCAAATATGTCTCCAATCTTGTCGTGCAAGAGACGAGATAATCTAGCTACAAGTTCAATGGTGAACCCAGCCTTCTCTAGCTCCCAACTCCATTTTTTCAGATTGATATTCTGCAGGTCGATCCCCAGCGATAGAGCCTTACTAGCTATCCTGTACACCAATTTTGAGAACGCTGGTAGCTTCGTCGGGTCGAGATCATGGATATAGGGGATGAGCAATGCTTCCGATATCTCGACACTCCCCCCCGGGTTAAGAGACCTGTGATGTTAGCATTTTTTATACTAGAAATAGAACGACTCACCTGTAGCATTTCATTGCAAATTGAGAAAAGTCTCGGATACAAAGCATCATGTCCCTCACGTGAATAAAATCGGGTCCGGTTGGCAGCGGAGTATTACAATCATGATAATAAAATTGGATGGAGTCTACATCGTTATCAGGTAATGACATCGAAACATCAAAACACTCCAGCTGATAGTCTGTTAGTTGTTGGAATTTACTGAATCAACGAGGTAAGCACCTTAACTTTAGGTCTCGTTTTTGCTTAAATCAACCGTCAGTCTTTGATATTCACTATAATTATACTTCCAGTTCATACCTAGCTGCTTTGCCCAGTGACCGCTGCCACAGCCAACATCGAGTATACGAGATCCATCTCTGATGACTGTGAAGGAAAATCCTTTCTCTTTCACATCCCACCATAATTGGCCCAACCTTTCTACAATCCGGTCATTCGATAGTCTCATTTGGGTAAAGGAATATACCTTGCAGTTCCCGCTCTCGCTGCAGAAATTGAATATTAGCGCAATTGGAGTCCTGAACAATCATCTGCTACATACCTCGTCATCTGGGAAGAGATTATCCCCCAACGTTGTACCAGCACCCATCCAAGTTGAATAGGAGCGACCGTTCTCCTCTAGACATAAGAAGCCGTGGTGACCATCTCCGTCAATTTTGTATGTCTGCTGTGACTGTTCAACGGTGCGCGAGCCAGGAATGGCAGAGATCTTATACAATTGCATCCATTCTTGCGTCGATAGCATATTTGCAGGTATTCGCGAGACTGGTCGCAGATATAATAGCAATTAACACTAGGAAGGAAACGATGTAAGTAACTTCGAATTCATCAACCTCCAAAGACCCGGCCTTATAGCATAGGCCAATGCATACGTGTCGAACCTATGGCACCCTCCCAATCGGAACCATGGTAAGGTTTTTGATAGAGGTTCTGGCTAGCAGAGTTTAATCACGGGTACTAAATAATAAATTTGAACTATAGGACAAAGAAGAAGACTGCGAATGCTAGAGGCTAGGCCAGAGGTTATCGCCAGATACAGCCAATTGTTTCAGCAGGATAACCCAGAGCCCCATAACAAGCCTTGGAGACTCACCAGACAAAGGCAGGTTTTCATCGACGTCTTGCGAACTCTGGTAGTGTCTGGGGCCTCATGCTTCGCGTTAGATCTGAATCAAGTTCACATTTCCATTTTTGTGCAAATGCCCATGTAGCAGACAGAATATAATAGCTATCATTATCACATCCCGCCAATCAGACCGATGTGCGCTTACAGAACCTTGGAAATATCACATCTCACTCTTTGTTGTGACCAGATCTAGAGATACTATCCTGTGGAGTTCGCGGACCGGCTTGTACCTAGGTATATATCTGCTGTTAGGTCGTGATGAGGAAATAGTTTGGATATTACATAATATTATAATACCATAACAACGAGCATACTGGTACTTACTGTTTGCGGAAAAAATACCGTGCTTTTTGATGGTACTGTACAGACTAATTTAGGGTTCCAAGGTTCAAGTTACACTTTTGGGGAGACCCTAGTACGTACTCCGGTACTCCGTAAACAAAGAATGCAGTTAGACTGTAAAAATTTAATCACAATGTTGGAAGCACCAAAGTGTGTAATTGGATATGCTACGTTGTAAGTCACAAGACGGCGCCCCTTATATGGGTGTAGACGTCAAATAACAAAGCCAGCCACAATATGGCTAGCCCCTTGGAGAAATCATTTGCGAGGCTCGAATGCCTAAATTAGCGGATGCTTGGATCCATCAATATACTATGATGGTTCTGGAATGTGGTCTCTGCCCGGAACTGAACACTGGTCTAGTGTCACGACCTCGCTCACGGGAGTATTCGCTCACTAAGCCGTTGCGCCAAAAGGACCAGAGTATTGAGGATGGTGGATTCTCTCTACTACTCTCTCATATCCTGTTGGACTGCCTCGCTACGAGAGGCCAATCCACAGCTTTCCCCATCTTGATGGTTTTCTTCGTACTTACATCCGGATCGAGTCGTATCCCAAATTGACGGACATGATACAGACAGGTTCGAAACCTCCTTCACTTTTTTCTTTCTCTGTCTTCTTTTTGGGCCCCACTTTCCGGGGTATATTTTTGGAGCTAGCTCCAGAATAGTTAAATATTGCTTTAATTTTTCAAGACAATACAGGCATATCAATTAAGAACCAATGATATGAATTACCTAACGTATATAGCGTAAAGATTTGTACAGCCCTAGCAAAATACCTTACGAGACTAGTCGCCTTCGGAATAGTTTAGCCACCAGCCCTGGCTGTGGGGCAAAGTAAAGAGAGAGAGTAAGAAAAAAAGTGAAGGAGGTTTCGAATTTGTCTGTATAGCCAATCACCAAAACTCTGTAGTTTATTACTGATGGCTTTTCCAATACACGATGCCGTAAGCCAATGGTATGCATGCTTCGGGTATCTCGAGTAGACCGGGTCATAGCCAATGATGTCGGGGCGACACAGCGGAACATCCGGTCAGGCTTCTACATTGACTCATGGACTCTGTAAAGATCAGCGCTTCCTTTACTGTCGGAACGTGAATATCAAACCTAGCGAGTTTCGGCACTGAATATCACTTAGTCTAACGCGGCACGTGCGTGCCGCGTATATATGTAGTTAGTGTCAGATAATCCGGCTTTCAAACGAGGCAGAAAGATCGACTGTTCAATCTTACAGGTCTAAAAGGCACCTTTAGGCATATATCTGGACACTTAGATTTCAGCCCAATATTTACCCCTCCTGATAGCTCACAAATCACCCCGCCAAAGGTGTCTATAAAGGACCCGGCTTTAAAGACTTGAAAGACAGACACAGAACTCAACAGATACAATCTTGCTAGTCACTTCTTTTCTTTGATCCTAGTAAAACACTCTTCAGGATTGGCCTGGAATAAACCGACTAATCCGACAGGTTCCTGGACACACACAAACACACAACAGAGTCAGTTTTCCTGCTTCCAGCCCAAAATGTATTCCTGTAGGTCTAAGATGAGTAGTACCAAAGGGAGAGTACAAGCATCATCACCTGGCTTATAGACCAATTACCTCTCATATCGAGTGGAGTGCAATAGGGAATGGGATGATGTCTGTGTCTGTGTGTGTGTGTGTCATTATTTTACGGCCGTAGGCAGTGATGAATCACTGCCTACCCATTCCCTAGTGGGACAAAGGCCGCCAGGGGGTAAGCCCTGGGTGTCAAGAATTATATACAAGATGTGACTCTTTGGCGCACTTACATGGCTGCCGTGGTCAGATGATTAACCTCTACATGTAGAGGGAGAATGTTGTCGCCAGCTGCAGTGGTCCACCTACTCCCCGTGACCGAATCTAACATGTTCAACACCGATGCAGCTTTAAAGAGAGAAAAGGAAAGACAAGGAAAAACAAAAGAAATATGTAGCTATAAGTCTCTTAGCTTATGTGCTAAGAGGGGGCCTTCGAGGGCAGATATCCTCGAAGAATCGGGTCTCCGTGAGCCATTTGGCTAGTTTGGTGGCGCCCTTTGGGGTGCCCAGGAGGAAAGGAATGACTTCCGAAGGATGTCCAGGGAATCTTGGAGCCTTCCTCTTTGCGATCTGGCAGAAGATAAAGTGGATTGGGGACTTTCTTGCGCCGCATCGGCACGTGAGATGGGCATCTGTATGGTTGAACCGTTCATGGTAGTCTGCGAAGTCTCTATGTTTTGTGCGTGCTGCAAGGATTCGTCCTAAGATATGGCGGGGAAGCTGGAGTTCTAGTGGGCATCTTGAAAAGGTGGTGATTTCAAGATCTTGATAGGCCTGCGGGGCCGCTGACTGCCAATACGTCTGTGCTCTTGAGGCAGCTTGTGATTTGGTATGTCGCTTAAATGCTGTATATGACCATGGGTGGGAGGTAGGGACGGTTTTTCCCGCGCCCTCTTTGGCAGCGCAGTCTGCTGCTTCATTTCCAGGGATGTTGGCATGTCCTGGGACCCAGCGGATTCGGACTGCCCCACTCTCAATTTGGAGGAGTCTCCTTCTTGATGGCCAGGTAGCGGCAAGTGTGTTGAATGACTCGAAGACGGCTTGAGAGGAGCCTATAGATAAGGAGAGGAGTTGGATAGCGACCTCAAGGTTGTCAAGGCATATCCACAGGTTTGGTGAGCATTGGGCAGTAGAGTGTGTCATCGCAGCTTTTAACCTAGCAAGAGCCGCTTCTGCTTCTGCGTCAAAGACTTCTTTATTATGCCCGAGGGGTATTGAGCCGCACAGGAATTGGGAGCCAGCTTGGAAACCAACATAACCACCACCTGTTTGGCCATTTTCTAATTTGGATTCATCTGAGTAGATTATAATATCGTTATTAGGGATGGATTGCAGGAGTATTTGGAAGTTGTCCGCTGCTTCTTCTCTTATGCGTCCTGACGGGGCACCGACCCGTCTTAAGGCTGCTTCTCTGGGTTCTTTTGTACTCCAGGGTGGATGAAGCAGTGGGTTGATCTTTTCCATGTTGGGGAGTGCGAGCACTCGGCGCGCGAAGCGGCTAGTTGGGTGGCCTGTTCGGGCTATGGCTCTGGCTTGTCTTCAAAGAGGGTGATATGGGTCTAGGCGGCTTAGGCGTGTGGATGCAGTGAGGGCGATTTGATTAAGCTCAATCTCAGGAGGGTAAAACCCTGACTCTCAGTGTAGGACAGGTAACTGGGTAGTGCGGAAAATAGGCAGAATTGCCCTTGCCCCTATTAGAATGACAGTAGATAGGTCTGTTAGATGTTTATTCACTAGGTTTGAGATTGGGGGAGTGTCTGCCTGAGGGCGGGAACGAGGTCGGGTGCGGCCTGGCCACCACGTCTCTGCGCCGAAGTAGGCTTTACGGAGGACACAGGCCGATATGGCCTGTTGGAGGAGGTGTGGCCTCATTCCGTGGACTGTGTTTCCAAGCGAGCGGAGGGCGCTAGCTATAGTGAGCGCTTTGATGTCATTTCTTGAACATACCAGTGGAAGGAGAGCTTTTTGTCAAAGAGGATCCCTAGCCAACGTAGATATGGACGGTCAGTTGCTTCAGTAACTATGACTGAGCCCATTGAGACTGAGGGGGTTGTTGCAGGATCTTGATCTGCTCGATGCCAAGAGAAATGCATAAGTTCATATTTATTTGGTGCAAAAGTGATTCCTTCCGCAGTGCCCCATTCAATTGCGTCCTGTAGAGATTCGCTCAGTGTCTGGTAATTAGTTAAGAGGGACAGAGAGATTGCTAGGGTCGCTCCATCATCTGCGTGTCCAAATCTAGTTCTAGGGTTACCCATGTGGAAGAGCGGTGCAATGTAAAGCATAAAGAGAATAGGGGAGATAGGGGAGCCTTGGGGAAGGCCACATGATATATCTGTATGAGGGCTAAGTTCATTATCAAATCGGATCTGTATGGTTCTTTCTGTGATGAAAGAGCTGATCCAGAGTATTAGATTGTTTGGCCATCCTTGTGTCTGGAGCTGGTAGGTGAGTCTCCCTGGGAGGACATTATCAAATGCTCCTTCCACATCGAAGGTTAGTAGAGAAGCTGTTTTCCCTTGGTTCAGGGCTTGTTCTATGTTGTGTGTTAGACATGTGGTAAGGTTGATTACTGATCTTAGAGGAAGGGCTCCAAATTGTTGGCTTGCCAGGACCTTGTAGTGGATTGCTATCCAGGCCATGTTCCGTGCCACTAGACGTTCAAGACCCTTTCCTAGGACAGAGAGGAGAGCGATGGGCCGGTAGGACCTAGGGTTGGTCCAGTCTTCTTTACTGGGCTTTTGCAGAATAGTGAGAATTGCATGTCTGAAACATTTTGGATGATATCCTAATCGTAGGCAGCCTTGGAATAGGAATAAGATCTTGTCTTTGATCAGTGGCCAAGCCGTCTTTAGGATGTTAGTTTGGAGTTTGTCTTCTCCTGGAGCGGTGTTTCTGGCCTTTAAGATAGACTTTTCCACTTGTGCCATGGTGATCTCAGGGAACGGAAGGGTAGTGGTAGGGACAGCTGGGCAGTCTAGCGGGATATCTCCTGCCTCTGTTGTGTTTTGCAGGAGGTTGCGAACTAGTAGGTCTCGCTTCTCCTGAACAGAGACTGCAGGTGGATTATCCGGCCGTAATGGATCCTTGAGAGGAGGGCTGCGATATGACCCCCTCGATTTGTGCCATTTGCTGATATCGAAGACCTCTTTCGTTTGTGAGGTAGTTATTAGCTTATTGCGCCAGAACTCTCTTTGTGTTTTCCTAATTGTGCTGCGAAACTCCTCTTTGGGTAGCAATCCTGATCGGTAGGCTTGTAAGGCTTCTTTGCATTCTGGATTCCACCATGGTTGTCCTTTTTTATGGGGGAGGGACCTCTTGGCAGAGCCTTCGTACGCACTGTGTATTGCCGAGGTCAGCCCTTGAGCTAGTAACTCTAGGTTGGCCTTTGAGGAGTCCAGCGGTTGGATCTGTGAGAGGTTGGTGGAGAGGAGAGATAGAAAGAGGGGTTGGTCGAGTGTATTGAATCTTATTTTTTAGGTAGGTAGTGTGTGTCTTTGGTCCCACGGGATAGTGGTTAGCAGTGGTGTATGATCGGAGGTTGAGTCTAGGTAAGGGGCGGTGCTGGTGTGTAGTCCGCTCAGCGCTAGTGAGCTAGTAGCATAGGTGAGGTCTAGAACATTGCCTCTTGTGTGGGTTGGACAGTCTATTTCTGATGTGAGGATAAAGCCTAGATGATCTAACCATTCAATAAAGGGGTCCGCTGATATAGCAGGACGGTAAGTCAGAGAGGGTTGCTATCTAATATGTAGAAGATTGAAGTCTCCAGCGAGGAGAGTGGGTTGTAGGAATAATGTCTCTGGAAGGGATATGAGGGTCTCCATGGCTTTACCAGCTCTGGTGGAGCCAGCTGGGGCGTTATAGGCATTGATAGTGAGGACTGATTGTCCAGTTAAGAAGGAAATTTGCAGAAAGAGTAGGTCGGATAGGGTTGCTGGATCTGTAATGATAGGCCGAAGCTAGGATGCTTGTAGGCCTGCATTTTTCCGGACATAGGTAAGGACACGGGGCCGTCCAGTTACTGTCCAGCTATCTGTTGGAGAGAAACATTCATATGAAGGATGTCTCTTGGTAATTTTTTGGCTTAGGTTTGAAAATATGTATGGTTCCTGTATGAGTAGGACGTCAATATTGTTGGTATATGCGAGTGAGAGGGCGATAGTGTGGGAATCAGCACCCCGTCCAACATTTAGTTGGAGTATTGTGAGGGGTTCTTTTGGAGTGGACCACCAATAGATCATAGGTGTTCTTCAAGAAGTGAGTTGAACCGGTTTTGTGGTTTGGGGGTTGCAAAGCGCACCACGCTAGCTGTGACAGGAGGTTCCTGAGAGGGCGCCAGAGGTGGGGGGGTGGTTGGTCGGAAAGGTGAGGCGACCTGGATTTGTGTAGGTGGAGTATCTATGACCATGTGCTGCTCTTGTGTGGTAGCAGATGACTCTGAGGAGCAGCCTTGTTCTGTACGGGCCTTTGCTAGGTTGATGGCGCATGTTTTGCGGATTTCTACTCGTTAGGCTTTGGTGCGAGTGGTGCCAGCTTTAGGGCGGAGTGGGCAGTCAGTGAAGTCCGCTGGATGGGGTCCATAGCAGTGAAAGCATCTTAGAGGACAGCAGTGAGGGTTTGGAGTAGAACAGCTATTATTATGTTCTTCTTCTATATGTTCTGATGAGCTGCAGAGTCGACATCTTGGGGATCGTGCGCAGGACCGTGCATTATGCCATTTCTAGCAGCGGTTACATTGGATGATTGTTACCTTCCTAGTAAGGAAGCGAGCATTGGTGATAGTGCCGAAAAGGCGGAGCCGGGTTAAGAGAGAGGCTTTTGAGTCTTCTGAGAAATTGATAAACCAGCTTGAAGATGGTGAGTTGACATTGGCAGCACTAGCGGTAGTCTCACTGACAGATATGGGTCTATAGCCTGTTTGCTCAGCAATTTCAGTAGATAGTATCGCAGGGTCGACTGGGATCATGGAGTATTGGCCATTGGTGATTTGGCCAATCTTTCTTGGCAGGTTTGTAACTCTATATGAGATCTATCGTGCGCTACGTTCAACTTGGCAGTTGCCAAAGTACGTCGATATGACTTCCTTTTGAGCCTCAAGGGTTGAAAGGGCCTCCATAGTTGCAGGACAGAGAGCGAACCCAGTCTTTGTAGTTTGTACTTCTTTCAAGGCATTGCTGTTAATACCTAGTTGGGCCCAGAGGCTAGTATAGATCGTGTAAGAGTCCATCATTTTTGCGGCATGGTCTATTGAGAGACGTACGAAGAGGCGGTAGTCAGGGAGAGATTGTTTTACGTCAGGTGTAGGCTTTTTCGTAGGTGGCTTTATTTGTTTTATAGTAGTACCTGATCTGGCTGGGTTGGACTTGGTGATTGTTGCATAGGAGGACTGCGCGAGGCCGGAGGGGGGACGAGAGGAAGGGGGCATAGGGGGAAGGGGACTGGGGATAGGGGAAAGGGCTGGGGCAGGGGAATGGATAGAGGAAGTAGGAGTGATGCCACTTATATAGGCATTAAAATGGTGTTGAGCCACAGTGGCTAGATTATCACTTAGAGTGGCAAGAGCTCCCTGTAGATGAGGGCTGAGGCCAGCCGTCTGGTTGCGGTGTTTATCAAGAAAAGCAGCTATTGGGCTGAAGATTTTCTGACCCTCGGCTGCTCTGGTGGTAGCAGCAGTGGTTGTCTCTTGCAGAACAGTTTGTAGAGACCTCTTGTCGGGTTCAGAGCGATTCCGTGCCATGTGTCAGATAATCCGGCTTTCAAACGAGGCAGAAAGATCGACTGTTCAATCTTACAGGTCTAAAAGGCACCTTTAGGCATATATCTGGGCACCTAGATTTCAGCCCAATATTTACCCCTCCTGATAGCTCACAAATCACCCCGCCAAAGGTGTCTATAAAGGACCCGGCTTTAAAGACTTGAAAGACAGACACAGAACTCAATACATACAATCTTGCTAGTCACTTCTTTTCTTTGATCCTAGTAAAACCCTCTTCAGGATTGGCCTGGAATAAACCGACCAATCCGACACCATGGCGTTGCGGAACGCGTTTTAGCGCGTCTGGGCCGCGTCGCCTGGGACTGGAAGCGGGAGAAAGAGAGAAAATATAGGCAGGAATAGAGCGTCTGTCCAAACCAATGTGTGTGTGTGTTGGATGTGTGTGTTTTTCCCGTCATGGAGTGGTGAGTGTGTGTGTGTGTGTATATTTAACGGCCGTGGTTCGTGACTCGCACGCTTCCCACCGATCCCTACTGGGACATAGGCCGCCGAGGGGTAAGCCTCGGGTTTCGGGTCCTGTCAGATTTATGTACAAATAAGAGACTCTTTGGCGCATTTCCATAGCTGCCGTGGTCTTACAGGGAGGTCCACTTTGAGTGGATTTAGATATTTGCCAGCTGTAATGGTCCGCCTACACTCCATGACCTATTACTCCACCACTACTATAACTAAACAGTAAGTTTTGCAGAGAGGGAAAGAAAGAAGGGAAGAGAAAGAAGGGAAGAGAAAGAAAGAAGGAGAAGAGAAATATAAAGGAAGAGTAGGGCTGTCTTAGCTAGGTGCTAAGGAGAGGTTGGCGAGGGCAGATATCCTCAAAGAAGTGGGTCTCTGCTAGCCATGTGGCTAGCTTTTGTGCTCCTATAGCAGTGCCTAAGAGAAAAGAGATGACCTCAGAAGGGGGCCCAGGAGGCCGAGGGGCTCGTCTCTTAGCTATATAACAGAAGAAGAAGTGCAGAGGTGCTTTTCGTGCTCCGCATCGGCAGAGAAGATGAGCATCATCATGGTTAAAGCGTTCATGGTAGTCTGCAAAGTCTCCATGACCAGTACGGGCCGCAATAACACGGCCGAGGTCAAGTCGGTTAAGTTGAAGCTCCCCAGGGCGCTTAGGGGAAGTGGTTATTTCTAGATCTTGATAGCTATGTGGTGCCACCTTCTCCCATTGTGACTGAGCAGCGGATAGGGATTGAGTCTTGGCGTATCTCTTTAGCGAGGCGTATGAGGATTTGTGAGGAGCAGGAGGGATTGAGGCAGCTCCCTCTTTGGTAGCGAGATCAGCCGCTTCGTTCTCAGGGATTTTAGCGTGTCCAGGGACCCATCGGATTTGGATAGATCCGCTTTTAGTGTGAGGAAGCCTTTTGCGAAGTGGCCAGGCGGCTGCAAGGGTGCGGAAGGATTCAAAGATTTCTTGGGAAGATCCTGTAGAGGGAGATAGAAGGCGTATGGCAACTTCCAGGTTGTCAAGGCAGATCCATAGGTTGGTAGCAAATTGAGCTGTTGGGTACACTATTGCTGCTTGAGCGCCAGCTAGAGCTGCTTCTGCTTCTGCGTCGAAGACCTCTTTCCCATGTCCATATGAGAGTGAGGAGCGAAGGAACTGATGGTGTGCTTGAAGTCCAATATAGCCACCCCCTGCACGTCCATCTGCTAGCCTAGATCCATCTGAAAAGATTACAATATCTGAGCTAGGGATGGTACGTTGAAAAGCCATGAAATTAGCCGCTGCCTGTTCCTTGGTGCGTCCCATGGGAGCTCCTATTCGAGCTTGAGCATTCCCACGAGGCTCGCGAGGGTGCCAGGGAGCGTATTGGAGAGGGTTTATCTGTTCAGAGTTTGGGAGGGCCAGTGTACGGCGGGCAAATCGGCTGGTTTGTCGACCATTACTAGCGATCTGTTCTGCGCGTCTTCGAAGTGGGTGATAAGGGTCGAGACGCCGTAGGCGGACAGTTGCAAGGAGGGCTATTCGATCTAGTTCGATTTCTGGTGGAGAGAATCCAGACTCTCGATAAAGGACTGGCTTTGGGGTTGTGCGGAAGACTGGAAGGACTGCTCTTGCGCCTGTTAGTATTACTTTAGTTAGTTTCTCAAGATGTTCTCCAACTCGGTTTGAAGTCTGGGAAGGCCCAGGGCGAGTACGTCCTGGCCACCAGGTTTCTGCGCCATAGTATGCTTTATGGAGTACACAGGCTGATACAGCCCGCTGTAGTAAATCAGGTTTGACTCCTCGAACAGTATTCCCTAGAGAGCGAAGAGCGTTGGCCACAGTGAGGGCTTTAGATGCTGTTTCTCTAACGTGCCATTTGAACGTTAGCTTTTTGTCAAAGAGGATTCCTAGCCATCGTAGATATAGCCGTTTAGTGTTTTCTGATATTGTAATAGATCCAGCTTTCACTGAAGGTGTGTAGGTTGGGTCCTGGTCTGCTTTATGTCGGGAGAAGTGAAGAAGCTCATATTTATCTGGTGCAAATGTAATGCCCTCTGCAGCGCCCCAATTAAGAGCTTCTTGAAGTGAGTCTGATAAGGCTTCGCAATTAGTGGCAAGAGATGTTGAGATCGCCAGGTTGGCTGCGTCGTCCGCGTAACCAAATCTGTTCCTTGGGTTTCCTAGACGGAATAGAGGCGCTATGTAGAGCATGAAAAGAATGCCAGATACTGGGGATCCTTGTGGAAGACCGCAGGCAATGTCTGTTGAGGGGCCGATCTCTCCATCGAGTCGGATCTGAACTGATCTTCCAGTAGCGAAGGAGGCAATCCAGAGAGCGAGATTGGTAGGCCAGCCCTGCTCGCGTAATCTGCGGATCAGTCTGCCGGGAAGCACGGCATCAAAGGCGCCCTTGACATCTAGGGTAAGGAGTGAGGCAGTCATGCCTTGATTTAGTGCTTGTTCAACATCATGTGTTAGGCATGTAGTCAGGTCAGTTGCAGATCTTAGTGGGAGAGCCCCAAATTGTTGCCTTGCTAATACTTTATGGTGTATAGAGATCCATGCCATATTCCGTGCCACCAAGCGCTCCAGTCCTTTGCCAAGTACTGATAGGAGAGCGATTGGTCTGTATGATCTAGGTAAAGACCAATCAGTCTTTTTTGGTTTCTGGATGATTGCTAAGATTGCGTGTCGAAAGAATTTAGGATGATAACCAATCTTTAGGCACCTTTGATATAGCATTAGTACCTTATCTTTGATCAGAGGCCATGCTACTTTGAGTATGCAGGTTGGGATTTCATCTGCGCCAGGGGCTGTGTTTCCTGCCTGAAGTACTGACTCCTCCACTTGTAGCATCGATATATCTGGGAAGTAGAGACTAGTGGAAGGGACTGCTGGGGAGTTTAGAGGTATGTCTCCTGCCTCTGCCGAGCTCTGGAGAAGATTGCGGACTAGTACGTCTCGTTTCTCGTGTACAGTAACTGCTGGGAGGCTGTTGGGCCTTAGCGGATCTTTCAGTGGAGGGCTTCGGAAGATGCCTGTAGACTTATGCCATTTGCTCATGTCAAAAACATCCTTTACTTGTGATACCGTAGAGAGCTTATCACGCCAAAATTGTCGTTGAGACCGTCTAGTAGTCCGGCGGAAGTCTGTCTTTGAGCAGAGGCCTGAGCGGTAATTGTGTAAAGCTTTCTTGCAGTCTTCATTCCACCATGGTTGTCCTATGCCTTGTGTTAGGGTTCTCTTGGCAGAGCCTCTATATGCTCCTTGGATTGCAGATGTCAGTCTTTCGGCGAGAGCATCGAGGTCTTCTTCTGTCAGGGTTGAACTCTCGATACTAGCAAGGTTAGAGGCGAGGAGCGAGAGGAAGCAGGTGTGGTCTAGTATGTCAAATCTCAGTTTCTGAGTTGTTTCCTTGTATCTCTGATCCTATGGAACAGTGGTGACTAGTGGTTGATGATCTGAGGTTGCATCTAAGTGGCTCGCTATGCTAGTTTTAGCTCCCGCGAGTGCCAGAGGGCTTGAGGCAAAGCTGAGGTCTAACACGTTACCCCTTTCATGTGTGGGACAGTCTATGTCAGAGACGAGAACTAGGCCCTGGAGGTCCAGCCAGTTAATAAATGGCTCTGCGAAAGGTGTGGGGCTGCGATGTAGCGAGGGCTGCCATCTGTTGTGTAGCAGGTTGAGATCGCCTGCAAGTATTGTTGTTTGAGGGAGATACGCCTTTGGCAGGGTTGTGAGAGCTTTCGCGGCTTCACCTGCTCTGATGGAGCCTGCTGGGGCGTTATAGATGTTGACTATCAGAGCAGACTTTCCTGTGGGTGAGAAAATCTGAAGGAACAGGAGATCCGAGGCCTCTTTAGTGTCAGTTGTGAAGGGGCGCAGCTGGGAGGTCCGAATGCCTTTCTTCTTTCGAACATAGGTGAGGACTCGTGGTCGGCCACTTATCACCTAACTGTCAGTTGGGGAGAAGCATTCATATGATGGGTGTTTTTTAGTGATCTGTCGACTAAGATCTTTGAAAGTATATGGTTCTTGGATTAGGATAATATCAATATCGCTTGTGTATGCCAATGTGAGAGCTATTTCATGTGCATCTAACGCATGCCCTACATTTAACTGTAGGATTTTGAGAGGCGCCTTCTGAGTTGGATAGTGATAGATCATAGTTCCCGTTCAAGAAGAGAGGCGAACCGATTTTGTGATTGAGGTGTTGTAAAGCGGACTGCGCGAGCTGTAATTGGAGGATCTTCAGTTGGGGCGCGAGGTGGAGGGGTTACTGAACGGAAAGGAGAGATAATCTTGTGGGTTGAAGGCTGAGTTGGCATCTCATCTAATGCCATAGGTGTTTCTTGTGTGCCAATGGAAAGCTGAGAGCTACATCCTCCTTCAGTTCGAGCTTTTGCGAGGTTTATGGCGCAGGATTTGCGGATCTCTGCTTGTTGAGCTTTAGTATGTTTAGTGTTGCCTTTAGGGCGCAGGAGGCATTCTGGGAAATTAGCTGGATGTGGTCCATGGCAGTGTATGCATCTGGGAGGGCACTGATGAGGCTCCAGGGCTGTGCAGCGGTTGACATGGCCCTCTTCAGTATGCTCTAAGGAGCCGCAGAGCCGGCATCGAGAGGGGCGGGCACAGGATCGTGTATTATGCCATTTCCAGCATCGTGTGCATTGGATAGCTGTTGTTCTCTTAGAGAGGTGACGGGCATTGGTGATAGTGCCAAAAAGACGTAGTTGGATAGGCAGTGGTGTTTTCGTGCCTTCTGGGAAGTTGACAAACCAGCTTGTGGAAAGAGTATCAGGGTTGGCAGCGCTCGTAGTGGTCTCGCTAATAGATATAGGCTTGAGCCCTGTAGTTTCGCTAATTTCTAAGGATAGTAGTGTAGGATTGACAGGGATTAGAGAGTATCAACCATCCAAGATTTGGCCAATTTTCCTTGGTACATTGGTGACTCGGTACGAGACCCATCGGGAGCTGCGTTCTATCTGGCAGTTAACAAAGAATGCAGAGATAGTCTCTTTTTGGGCCTCAAGGGCTAGGAGGGCTTCTGGAGATGAGGGACATAGTGCAAAGCCAGTCTTTGTGGCTTGAACTTCTTTTAGTGCTGCACTGTTTGAGTTTAGTTGAGACCGTAGGCTAGAGTAGATGGCGTAGGCTTCCATTTTTCTGGCTGCATGGTCAGCTGGGAGGCGTACGAAGAGCCGGTTGTCAGGAAGGGGTTGTTTCACCAGAGGCATAGGCTTTTTAACATGGGCTTTGGAGTGAGTAGTGGGAGTTGGTTTGACTGGGGCATATTGGGTAATAGTTGCATAAGTCGACTATTCAAGACCTGAGGGGGGACGTGAGGGAGGGGGTGAAGGGGGTAAGGAATTTGGGGTGGGGGAAGGGGAAGGGGAAGGGGACAGGGCAGGTAGAATAGAGGTTGTCGAGATACCGCTGATATAGGCGTTGAAATGTTGTTGGGCTACTGCAGCGAGGTCATCGCTTAGAGCGGTGAGGGCTCTCAGTAGGTGAGGGGCAAGGCCGGTAGTTTGGCTGCGGTGTTTATCGAGGAATGCAGCTATAGGACTGAAGATCTTCTGTCCTTCAGAAGCTCTTGTCGTGGCTGCAGACGTGGATTCCAGTAGGGCTGTCTGTAGAGGGCCATCTGTACCAGGGCCTTTACGCGCCATGGTGTTGCCGGACGCGTCGAGACGCGTCGAAGGCTGCACTTCTGGTGGCTAGGTGGTAGAGAGGGATGAGGAGTTTGAGCCTCTGACTGCTTGATATAAATAATTGTAAGAAAGTCGCCTATCAACTCGAAATCGAAGCTTTTTTGAATGTGGACTGATGTGAATGGGATGATGTCACGTCTTGGGGAAGACGTGGTATTGGAATCTTTTGGTACTAGTCCGAACGGGGTTAGGCTCTGATAGGAGTTGTACAATTTGGGTGAGGAATAATTGACTCTGATTTGCACGTCTTCTAAAACATAGCTAACTACACATCTTGATCCTCTTTATATACACATCATAGTGGCAAAGTATCACGGATTTACGGGATAAATGACAATCCTGACTCCAAAATGTAGGCTTGAGTTTGGCTCTCATGTTCTCACGGATATGTCGTTATTCCGAGGAATCATGATTAGTAATGACATCCTGATTGGGATTAGCGTATCAAATATCCAACACGGGGGTTTTGGCACGTGACAATCTTGGCACGTTGGTATTTCAGGTTTGTATCGCGCTTTCCTCCTCCGAACACCTTTCCATCTTCCCGGTCACTGATACCTATTTGTAGCTGTGCCCTGAATCTTATGTCACTTCTCAAAGTTGGTCAGACCCTTCGAGGTATGCTGGGAAAATATGTCATCAGGAAACAGATTCAAGAGACGGTTTGGTTCGCAGAGTATGTCACCAAGACTTCTACCTAGTGCCCTGCTGATTTTCTTTTTTTGATAGGAATCAACGCAAGGAAACAGTTGTGGTCAAAGGAGTCCAAGGCCACCCCCGCGTCGAAAATGAGAGAGACCTTTTGCAACGATTCCAGCCTTCTATAACTCATTTAAGACCACTACTAGATGAGATTCAAGATCCTGCCGCGCCACCCATCATCGTGCTGAAACACCTTGATGATCACCTTCTAAATTCATCGATAAAGAAAATTCTGAACCAAAAGGAACTAAAGTTTGTTGCAAGGTATATACTAGAAGCATTGAGTGTGCTCCATAAAGAAGGATATGTGCACACGGGCAAGTTGTTTCAAATTCTTCTCCAACATTCTGCTAATGGGTTTCAACTTTAGATGTTAAGCTTGACAATATCTTCGTTAATTACCAGAATGGCGATAACAGGTTCTCCGAGGTCCAGCTCGGTGATCTTGGTGGCTGTTATTCCGTCGACAGCGAGTTCGCTAGGGGAGGTACACCTGTAGGGGCAGCTATGTGGTCGAGTCCCGAAGTAATCATGGAAACGCCGTGGAACACGGCAACGGATATTTGGTCTTTCGGAACGGTGGTGAGTCCGGGAAGCATTCAATTATGGAAGACGCCTAACACTTATTCTAGTTGATCAGCCTTATATATGGGGGTGACTTCAACCTGTTCCGACCCCGCACAGTTCCTTATGGCCATGAAGAATACAACCTAGAGGTTTTAAAGCAGCAGTTCCGCTATTTTGGCCCCTTTCCAGCAAAGTACGAAGAAATTGCGAGCCCGGAAACTGTCACGGCGATTTTATACCTGATGCATGAGATTCCTCAATCACAAACAACTCCCTTTTCCCAGACAACAGAGCGTGAAGTGTCTCTGAAAGACAAAGAATTCATTTCAAAGATAATGAAGCTGGATTGGAGGGATAGGCCGACAGCACAGGAACTTTTGAACGATAGATGGTTTCTAAACTGGTGAATCTTCATGTGAAGATTTGCCGTCGATCTAGGCCCCGTCGATCCTCTTTGCTAACTCAAAAGGACAGAAACGTCATTCAAGACTGCTATAATGGATCTTCTTACATATACATCTTTTTTTAACTACAACCAGACGAAAAATTTTGGTAATATCAGGATCGTAAGTATTCCACCAATAGGGCTTTGATGATAGACAGATGGAACGGCAGCGACAACCAATTAGAATTTGCGGACGGCAGAATATGCGCAGTATGTGTATTGGTCTTCAGATTGTGGTCAGCCTAGCTCAAGCGGCTGGTTGCCTGGAGAGGTGCACTTTGGGTTTCCGGTTTCTCACGAACCTGAGATTGGCGAAGAGGGAATTAAATATGATCGCTGGTTGGTGCATTCACTGGAAGAGATCCCCGAACCACAAGACGTCCAATAGCATCATTTTTGGGCAGCGCCTAGCGTCCTTCAAATCGATACATATCTCTTTTCTCAACGGCATAATTGCAGACATTAATAGCCCGAGACCTAATTAACATGACGTTCATAGAAAACACCATCAATTGCACTAGCTATTCAACGTAGACATCGGCATTGAGAGTGTTGATATGTTGGATGTTCTTGGTTACAAATATTAGAAGTACATAAATGTGGAGTCCATATTAGTCAGCTCTTAGTCAGCCATACCTACCGCCTTCCTAGTACGATACAAATGTGGAGTTGTTACTTGTAATTACAAGTTGCTAATCCTGTCTAATGGATGATGTTTATTACAATGTTTCCGAAGCTAGAACGCCGCGGGAATCTCGTCTATATTGGGTAAAGACTCCACGGATGTGTTGGATTAGCTAAGCTAATCCAGCCAATAAGAACGAGCCACACACGGATCCACTAAATAGGGGGTAAAAGATATCTTACTCCGTAGAGACAAGAAGAAGGACAACAAGAATCAAGGATTCCACGCTCTTTGCATACATAATTCGACAGGTTGAGATTTTCCACCGGAGTTTTGACTTGGAAAGTTCTCAAGTTTAGCTAGATCACGTAGTCTAGCTTACTGACGGCCCTCACCACGAGAAGGTGATTTTCTACGAGAGACGGAATAGGAACTACTTTTGAGGCCCATCTAGTGTATTGAGACTAGTGCATTATTCCGTATTGGGCTAGCGTAAAGTCGAGAACGCTGCGGGAATCCCATCCATATTAGGAATAGTAAGTAACAAGCAATGCGGGATGGTTGGCGCTAGGCTTGAGAACAGATCTCATGATTGTCGTTCGCGGGCTGAATTTCAACTCTCTCTCTCCTGAACCAACTTGTGTATAGGACAAACCAACTCAGTTTTCAGATGAAATCTCAAGTCGAACATCCTATTCAAACAAAACGACCGGTTCAACGTTCCAAAAATCCTCAAAGCGTTGTAACTGTCGAGCAGCTCACGGCGACCTATCTATGTGAAGGCGAACGTCTTCCCACCCCAGAAATCGCTGAGACTTTAGACGCCGTACTGTCATGGATTTGTTCTACAGAACCTTCTGATCAATTGTTAAATCGTATTTGCTGCTATGGGCTTACAATAATGAAAGGACCAAACCGTTCTATTAAAACTATTATCCCGCATCCTACCAGAAGATATCATCACGCCTTTCAAAACGGTAACAGGTGGGTTAATATCATTGACTGGATCTCGAAAGATCTGGAATGCAAACTCACTGGCATCATTGCGGTTCTTAGCAAGAGGAGACTGTAAGTATAGCCAGTATAAGACTAAGGCCTTCATCTCATCAACGTATAGCTGGGAACGAGCGAGGCAAGATACTTGGCAGGAAGCTCTTACCATGTTGTCGAAGAGAACAGATATGGTAGAGTGCGCAAGAAAAGCAACTCCTAGCGTCAACGATATTCTGCAAACTATCAGAAGTATGTCATTGTAGGAAAGGTCCGGTCAGCGCTAACTGCTTAAAGATACAATACCTTTTTGTCAGACTGTGGCAATATCGAATCCGAGTTACGCCTGGAATGTTCCCACGATTCAGGCATACTCCTCACCCACAACGAGGAATTACCATACAGAGTCAGCTACTTCTCAGTGGAAAGTCGCGTCTACGGCTGCAGCACACAATGTTCTAAATCAACCAGACGCAGATACCAGTCTTTTATTGGTACTTCTGTGTTTCTTAAATGATTCTATTCTTCCTTTGGATTTACTTTCGCGGGGAACGACACGTCGCAAACGCTGGAACGACAGTGGCGGTATTGAAGATGTGGATGTCCTTCATTTTGGTCTGTCATCTAAACTAGCTAGCATTTGTTCAACTCCTACGAGACTGGATGAAACTCTAGACAAACTCCAATCATTATTGGCCATTTCAAAGATTACTGACTACACCTTCGAGTTGGATAAGTCGCTTCCAGCCGCAGTCATTGGCCTGATTCCTAATGAGTTTCATCCATTTTGGAGGCTACAAGCATTGATAATTGCGTGTCGCTCGATTCCGTGGAAATATCTGGAGCATCCGTACTGTAACCTGCTTACCCTTACTCGTTAGCGTGAGAAACTGACTGTGCATAGTTCATCCAATATGGAGTTATTTCTCCCTCACATTCGACACACCCTGCAAGAGGGTCGGAAACATGATATTTTCAAGGATATGTCGCCAGAAATCAAAGCGGATATAATTCTCAGTATTATAGAAGCCTCCAGGTTCCCCGGAATGGAGTGGAAACAATTCGCAATCCGTCAATCGAAAGAAATCCTGAGCGACCTGCGAGACGTTAATGTCCAATCTTATGTCCGATCTTATATTGCGCAAAGAGAGTCTGTACTCCGTCGATTAACAGGCTCTACTGGTCAATCATTCCCACCCCCTAAGAGTAGTCAGTACGAGACTGCTCCAGGACTTTTTACGAGAAAATCACATTCCGGCTCTGGACATGGCGCCATTCAATGGGCATTGGATTGCATTCAGAGGGAGATGCTCGAAAAGGCAGCAGAAGTTTTGGCTAATTGGGAGCCGATTCATCCACCGTCATTAATGGAAACCGTTGTGCTCTTTCGGAAACACATCATAATGGGCAACATTGAACGGCATCGAGGCAACTTTAAGAAGTCATTGGAGCATCTCATGATATCTATGGAGATAGCCAATGGTTACACAAACATCGCCTTCCATGAAGATTCCAGCGATCTGGTCTGCAGTCTTGCGGACACATATCTTGAACTGGAAGACCCGGTCGCCGCCGAAAGTTGCCTTCGCGAAGAGATTGCGCAACAAAGCACAGGGTCTGCTACTCTACTGAAATTAGCCCTAGCGGAATCCCTCTTTGCGCAATACCGTCGGTCCGAGGCAGAAGGTATCTGTATTGAAATTGAACATCTCCCAAAGCTGTTGAAGATGGAGAAACTACGCTTATCCATTATTCTAGCAAAGCTGGCACATACCAGTGCTAAGTACGACGAAGCTTTGCGCCATTGGACTGATGCCATGACTGCTATCAGCCGGTATAACTTGGCTAACGGTCGTGCAACACGCATAATCCTCCTCTCCATGTATGATGTCTTACAGAAGGCAAGGGACTTGGATACTAAGATAAGGTCCGAAAGTCAACTGAAAACTCAAGAGCAATTGGAAGCCATGAAAACCCTTGCCGGACCGACCGGAGTCTTCTATTGGATCGGTGGTTTACGTCATTGGCTAGAATTCTTAGAATTTACTCTAGAAACTCAGATGGATACCCCAGGCCGCAAAGCGGTCAGCTTGCCCTTTTTGTATCAGGCAGGCTACCGATTAAGTCCAGCCGAACCAGATCTCTGCCCACTGTCTGAGTTCTGAGATAATTTGGAATCGATCAATGGGAATTGTTAAGTACACCACAGATTTTCACTAACCACACCACAATTGATTATGTGGTGCTAGTTTTTATGCAACTAATCTCACTACGACTGCGCGCTCCCCCGGTTGAATTGATAGTTTGGTCAATTTTTGTATGATTAAGATGTTTCAACTTGGCATGCAAAATTCTCAGTAGACACCCAGATACTTCGAATCCATGAGATTGGTATCGTCACAGTCACACAAGATCATGTAATATTCAATACGGTATCTTAAAGTCTCTACTAGTACTAAGAAAATAAGTGCAAGTTATTAGCTAGAAAATACAACACTATTAATGATCCCTACATAACTGAAATAAAAAACGTACTAACGAAATCACCATAGTATTAGTGCTCAGCCCGTTGACTTCCATTCGCTAGTGTTTTTAGTAGGAAAAGTTGGTAACCTACCTTTTTCTTGAAAATATTATGGTGCGCTAACAGGCACTATACTTTAGCGCGTGCCAGCACTTTTAACTCCAACCTCTGTAGGCTATATATTAGACAGATTCGAGGCGGACAAACTTACTATGGACTAAGACACCAATTAATTATCATGGTAATAACAATACTCACCGCTGCTAAGTTCTTGGATAAGTGACAGTAAAATCATTGGACGCCACGTCCTATGCAGGGTGGAATATAACGATTTTTGATCCCTATTATCTCAGACTAATACGAATATGGCTGAAATTCCCGCGCTGATTTATTACAATCTTCATGCTAACACCCCATGACTCGTATCGTATCCTCTGGTCGAGCTATACGCGGTTCTGCGAAATTCTGCCAAGGGTTAATTGGTAGAATCGTAATACTAGAATCTATTTCAAGTCTAGGGCGAGATCTGTTCTCAAGTCAAGCTCGGCGCCTCCCCCACCGCCTGGAGGGTGAGGGGAGGCCACGCAGCATAGCCACCAATTATCCCTATGAGTTAAATGGCGCAGATCACTTATTACTATTCCTAGTACAGACGAAATTCCCGCGGCTGTGTTATTTGTTATGAGGGATAGCTTTTAGCGTACATGTGTACGCCCTCTGCATCCGTATCCCCTAGCGAATATAGATACGTAGCATTATAGGGATCGAATCATATGTTCTTAGTAACGGATGTCGACCACTAATAAGAGTCAAGTGTGGGTTTTATGCTGCCTATCCCCTATTAAGCCTAGCTGTAATGTATAATAGCAATATAGAAGGGTGGAGTCAGACCAGAGCGTTTCGGATCGCTCATCCTAAGTCCGGGGTCGGTCCATGCCCTAAGTCCCACCTTGTTGTTCCTCGAGTAGATTATATTACAAGCAACAGTAGGAAACATTATATAAGTATTTGTGAAAGGTATTCATGGATCACCAGCGTGCGAAAATGAATGTTTCACGGATGTGCCTGCTCCATTTTAGAGCAGACTTTCTCTGCGAGGTTTCGTAGAGATTAGCTGTCTACCACCTCCAACTGCAGAGTTGATGCAGATGTTAGTAACGCTAGGATTCAAACACGCTTACCCAGTCAGCTCTCAAGGTGGTTAGATATGGCTTTTTAACTATATTGAGTTAGGAGCGCATGTCTACCCCGTAATTTGGTTTTATTTGTTCCGTTTTATCCATTCCGTTCCATTCCACACTGTCCAGCCCTCCATAAATTTAGGGCTGAGTCATCACATCTAGATAGAGCGCTTGGCCACAAAGTGGGTTATACCTGGAAAACACATCGCGAGCATGGTACGGAGTATTAAATTTGAACATCCAGAAGGACCAGAAGCCTTGATGTATATTTAGTTGAAAGAGATATAGGAAACGCAATCTTTGAATAATCCAGTCTTCAGCTTTCCTTATACAGATACTTCGCGCTATATAAATTACAGGAATATCATAATGAATAGATTTATTGGCACCTCCATCAGATCGGATCTCCTTCGTGTAAGTGATATACCGACAATAAGCGTTATTTCTAACTTGGGCGTCTAGTGAAACTTGCGAAAGGCCGATGGAATCTGACATATATTACAGCAGGGTGGTGAAAATCTTGCATTCTATTGTATATATCATTCAGGATAGAGAGATTATATATTAGCATGTTTTCAGACTAACAGAGGCCAAGAATTGAAAGTCTCAATGCTAGTCAATGTATACATGAAGTCTAAAGATATAAAGACTTAAGCAGGACAAATTGGGAATACCTTTGCAGAAAAGTGACATGGTGGGTGTGGTTGAAAATGCAGGTGCGCTGGAAATGATCGCATATAGTATTACCTGGTTCGTGGCGAAGAATTATCTTACCAATAATATATCTGTATCATATGTAGTGTTCGCCTTTTTTATGAGTGGCTTATGCACTCGGTTACAGTTAGTCCTTATAAGTATTTTGCTTTCAATCTATATTTGTATTGTTCATGATCTAGACCATTTTCGCAACGTCTACTTGTAGCGTTCTAACAAAACATTTCTCTCTGCTGAGGAGAATTCTTTCTGTAGAATTGATGTAAGCTATAAAAATATTCTAGGCCTTCTTTTCCCTGACTGTCAAACAGACATTTCTCGTTCATCTCCTAGATATCTACGAATTTCTCATCATACTGGCAACAAGCATGAGCCAGACCCTTGAAGTCAGTATCCCTACCCCAGTTGTAAGATGTCTCTCTAATCATAGCATAGATTATTAGAATTGTCTTTAGAAAGATTAACAATCCCAAACCGAAGGTCAACGCTGAACAGAGAGCAAATGATTATGTTGGCTTTCTGCAGGAAAATATTGAACTTCTAGAGAAGTCCTTGTGGGAGAAAGGCGTCAGATACTATGTCAACAGCTACGTACCACTAGGGTTAGGTTATGCCGACCTTGCTGTTGCTGCCTCAGGTTTGGAAGCCGTGAAAGCAGCATATGTGACCATGGATATGAAGGACGAATTCACTGAGCGGGATCCACTATCTCAGCTCTTGGGGGTTGGCAATGTTACTGTCGGTTTAACTACGGTCCGTATCACGAAGCATAGACGATAGTAAGGCGCGAACACGAAGCGGCCTAATGAGCCTGACAATATGAAGATATCTTGATTCCTAATATTGTGACTGATCCCCAAGAGTAATGGGGACGGGGGATAGCTAACTAGATATACGCGGCACGCATGTGCCGCGTCAGACTCAAGAAGTCATCATAACTACCAGTGTAATTATGGATTCTTCGCATGTGATCGTAACAATTCCATCGGCGTGGAAAAGCCCTCCCAGAAGTAGCTCGACCACATTGCTTAAATAAACACGGAAAGCCTGTGTGGCCATAAGCCCTGTGGGCTTCACGGTTGTGGCGTAACAGAATGCTATTGGTCTTAAATGTGTGCTTGGAACATTGAGGATGCCGGCATCGCAACAATATAGCCCTGTGGACTTCACGGCTGTGGCGTAATAGATTGGCCTTGGTCCGAAATGTGCGCTTGGAACATTTAGGATGCAGGCATCGCCACAAATTTAATGCTTATTGGTCTGGTGTACCAATCTTTCTCTGCCGCTTGGTTTGACGCAATCTCTTGTCGGCTTCCTGTGGCTCTGTGTTTTCCATATATACCGGATCAAGCGGACTTGCGACACGTCGTTCCTGCTCTCGATTGCGCGGTTCCAATTGGAATGCGGTGGCAGGCTCTAGTCTCGAAAATGCTCCTGTGCGTTGATCTGATAGTCCATATTGGCCATGGGTGATTTCGGGGAGGCCGAAAAACCAAAATCTTTGCCGGGTTCAGAATTTATGAAGATGTGGTTCCATTCTTCTGAAAACCTTCCGCTTAGATTGATAGCGTTCTGCAATAAGAACGACACTGCGGAATAATTTCCGGAGCTAGCAGCAGCATAAAGTGCAGTTTCACCGTACGCTCCTTGATAATATTTGAGGGGGCCGTGTAGAGGCAAAGCTTGGCAGGAATTGATGTTCGAGTAGATACCATTGATCATATCCTCTTCTGTCACCAGGGTATAGGCTTGCATGCTTCGTACATCAAGCGATAAATCAGATGATGAGGCGCTTGATATTGCCTGATCGCAATTGCCGTATACTGGCCATAAGTTCCCCTCAACATATTCCATTGTTTTCTCAGTAGGGTTCATTGAAGAGCAGGCAAAGACGTTGTTAAAGGCACTGTCTGAAAAATGCCTACCCTGAGAGTTGTGAGGATATTCTAGAACAGACAGGATATTAAAGTAACAAAACCAATAAAGGAATGGAATCTCTGCATATTATACTCCGGCAAGTATCTAGCCTAGATGCAGTTTCAACAATGTCCACCATGTAACATACGAGTTACCGCGCTAGTCATCTAATCGCCATGCATTATTCAGGGGAAACAACCAATAGATTTGCCAATCTGTCTAGAAGTGGCGTATCAGCAGCCTGTGGCACAGGTGTTACGGCAAGGCTGACCATATTTATGAAACATTGTGAAAATCTACGGCAAATAATAAACAGTTGGAGTAAGAAAATACGTATGTAAATGATAATGATCAACCACCAATAAGAGTCAAGTGTGAGTTTTATCTGCCTATTCCCTATCAAGCATAGCCATAATTGACAATACAAAAAGTGGAGTCAGACCAGAGCGTTTCATCCTAAGTCCAGCAGCACATGCCCCAAGTCCCACCTTGTTATAACGTTATTCCTCGCGTAGCTTATATTACAATGCAACAGTACAGAACATCACATGAGTATTGTGAAAGGCATTCATTGATCACCCGTGCGTGAAAATAAATTTTTCGGGTTAGGGTTAGGGTTATAGGCTTGATAGAATAGGCAACATAAGACCCACAACTTGACTCTATTGGTACTGCGAACATGAGTGGGACATGTGATTGTATGTACAATAGCTTAATAGGGTTCTCAGCAATCGCTATAGCCAACCACCAATAAGAGTCAAGTGTGGTTTTATTCTTTCTATTCCATATTAAGCCTAGCTGTAATATACGATTGACAAGTCTCTGTACGACAGCCGTAATACGAAATATGGGGTCGGACCGGAGCGCCCTATTCGGCGGCTGTCCTGCCCTAAGTCCCACCTTATTCCTCGCATAGATTATTACGATACAACAGTACGGAACATAACATGACTCATGAGTATTGTGAAAGGCATTCATCGGCCACCAGCGCGAAATGAATTCTTCACGAATGTGCCTACCCTATCCTGGAGCCGACTTTCTCTGCGAGTTCGCGGAGATTACTCTGCCGTCACCTCCAACTACAGAGTCTATGCAGACGCTAGTAATGCTGCGCTGAGAACATGCTTACGTAGCCAGCTATCAAGGGTGGCTGGATATAGCTTCTTGACTACATTGAGTTGGGAGCGCAAGTCTAGCTATTGGGGCGGTGGGTCGTTGAGGTTCCAGTATTCCACTTTACAAAGCACAAGAACAAGATCAATTCTACCATGATCTATCGACTCCAGTTAAACAGGGACAAAATGTGGTGATCCGACGATTGGAAAGGTTTGCCCTTACAAGCTAAAGGAAAGAACTTCATCCAGCGTCAAAGATCGACGGAGGCCAGCCATTAGTTGCAGACATAGAACCCCTCAACAATATGCAGGAATTACATGAATTGCTGCCTCTGTCCTAGACAGTAGAAATTTGGTATAAGACATGATCTAGCTTATGGCAGACCAAGATTCTTGATTGATGCTACCTTTGGCAGTAGTTTTATATTGCCATTAAAAGAGAGCTGAGGGAATAAAAGATCCTTTACACGTCCGTTGGCCCCTGCTATTTCCAACGGTGTGTATTGCACGGTAAGTTTGAACTGACCACTAAAATCAACTTATCAATACAGCCCCCATAACATGGTAGAGGAACTTACTGTTTCTCAATGGTCGTCTGGCATGGATAGGGGACTCGGAATCGTAGCGGTTCCAGACTTTGATCAGCCCAAAATTCGCCGAGATCTGGGATGGAAAGCGTCCAGTGTTTGAGATCCTAATTTGGCTCAGACCAGAACTATACCATGGGCCTTTGCACATACCGACTCAGCATTGGGAAATGTAGACGTAAAGTGTAAAATGATATGTCTTAATTCTCTGCAGTTTTCATCGCAATCGTGAAAACATTGTGAACAGTCGCAAGCCTCGAGTGTGAGAGCCATAGAAAAGAGAGAGAGATATCTGGCGCAAGCAAGGGAGATTGGATTGCTGTGAAGTGGGCTTTTATAGAGTAAAGATATCTGATTGGTAATGGCAGTTATTTGAGATTAAGAATAAAATCACAGTTTTCATGAGAGGCATTAGAAGAGATGAAAGATATAAGAGTGTCCCGTCTCTGGGCTCTGGACAGAGTCTAGGCCGGCGCTGCGTGGTCCAGGAATAAAAGGTACGGAGTAGTTATAGAGCTCCTATTCATATCCTAGCAAGCCCTCTCGACTGTTCGTACTGGGTCAAAGCAAGTATTCGGCCGATCGTAGCTCACGCACCCGAGTCACGTAATACAGCCGACGACCTATCCCTTTCATCTTATCCGCATCAGTGCTAGATTCCGGCATGGCCACCAATTATCCCTGATCAGCTACATGGCGTAGATGGCTTGATTACTATTCCTAATCCAGGTGAAATTCACGCGGCTGTTGGTATCTTTTTGCCTCAGCTGCCGAACGGGATAGCTTTTCCGTACACTAGCGCGCATGGGAATAACTACGCCCTAGTTCTTAGGATCAGTCACAATATTAGGAATTCAGCATTACTGGCTCAGTTAGCATGCTGGATTAGCTGTCCTCATTGGCAAGTTCATCAAACTTAAGGCAGCGGGGTCACAGACTAAAAAAAATACGGTCGAGATTCCCGCAGTGGTTGTAACAATTTCCTGACCCTGTCTAAGCCATGTCTAAGAGTATTCGCATCTTCAGGCGGGACATTACTTCACAAGCATCGAATGCTAATATGTCAAAGCCAAATTTCATCCTTCACCTGGATATGCACTAAGTCGAGCCCCTCTTTCCGAGCCCCTGTTTCCGTCTAAGAATCAGAATATTCACCGGAAGTATGGAAATGAGGCTAGGCAGGTCTACAACAGGTACACAGATGCTGAAAGAAGCGCAACAAGACTGAGAATTTTAATTTCATGACGATGTGTCTTTAAATGACTTATGGAAAGCGATTATCATACACATGAGGAAGGCAACTTGAAGCTGTTTAACAGAAAGTTTCGGAATGGGCTTAATCACAGAATTTTGTCCATGTTTGGCTTTCAAGAACAATGCCAATTATTATGCATACAGCTACCGGTAAAATGTCATGACTAGGATATGGTTCAACCGGGCCAACCGCTTAACCTTGTACTGAATCAAAAAGAAGTTATCCCCTTATCTCCATATTGGCCTAGCTATATCTGCTAAATATAATCCACTTCGGTGCTGAGCTTGCCTAGACTAGTATGCTGAGACCAAAGCTCACGGTAATAATTGTTGCCTTGTAGTAGTTCTTTATGAGTACCCTGTTGCACGAGGCGGCCATCACGTATGACAAGAATATGATTTGCGTTAACAACAATTGGTAGGCGATGTGTGATTATTATTATAGTTCGTCCTTGGAGGCGGATGCGAATGTTCTCTAGAATGTTGCTTTCTGTGGCAGGATCGATTGCACTGGTAGGCTCATCAAGGATGATTATTGGTGTATCTTTTAGTAGGGCCCGCGCAATTCCAATCTTCTGTATCTGGCCGCCGGATAGTTTAATCTCCTTTTTAATTATCTTGTCGTAACCCATTCGTAAGAATTGGTCATGAGCCTGAACTATCTTACAGACTTCATAGACTTCTGCATCAGATGCGGACGGCTTGGCGTATCGAATATTATACATAATTGTATTGGTAAAGATATCTTGTTGCTGAGGAGACACTACAATAGCGTCCCGAAGACTATTCTGGGTGATACCACGGATGTCCTGCTCATCAATTCTGATACACCCTGATGTTGGGTCATAGAACCGACAAAGTAGATTGGAAATTGTAGACTTTCCACCACCAGTCTCGCCGACGACTCCTATCACCTGACCAGGCAGGAAATCAAATGTGACATTTTTTAACGCGGGGTAGCGGTGATCATAACAAAATGAGACATTAATGAATTGTATTTTGCCACCTTTAATGCTCATAGGTTTCGCATCCGAATGTTCAGCCACTGTCGGCTGCCTCTGGATGAGTTCGAGGAAGCTTCTCGTGTCTGGCAACCTCGACTTGACAAAATCAAAACCACCGGCAATAGACAAAAGAAGTTGGATCAGTCGAGGCCACCAAGTCAGCAATATGACGAGGTTGCTAAGGGGTATCTTTTCATGAGTGATCTGATGTGATGCTAATGAGAGAGCACTAAGTAGGCCAATGTCGAGAATAAATGTTTGGAGAGCCTTTTCAACACACTACAACAGTCGCCGCGATTCTCCGTTTGAATGATCTTTTGAACCTCTCTTCCATACTGTTCTTTCTCATAACCGATGCGGCCGAAGGAAATAACAGTATACCAATTTGAAAATGACTCGAGTAGAAGACGGTGGCACTCTTCAACAGCCAAGCGGTAGTCTCTAATAATTTCTTTCTTCCGTGGCTCCATCGTCATATGCAGGAAAAAAAAGAATAGACATCAAAGATACTGTTATGAAACCCATTTTCAAGCCAAATTGATAGACGATTGCAAAAATTATCGTACAAAAGTCGATAATCGTGGGTACGGTTCTCAAAGTGATGTTTTCAATCATAGAGTGAAATTCGCCACTTTTATTTACCAGCAGAGATAGGCGATGAGGGGGGTTTTGGTCGTGAAAGTTGGCTGATTGATCCATCACACTGCTATGAGCCAGTGTTCTGATTGTCAAACGTAGCCAGTTCCTGACTGGCGCCGACATTACCTCATGGATTGAGTTAACTTCTCTGTGAAGGGATTGCAGAAGTATATGAAGATAGATATCTCTCCATGGAGGAGTAGCTTGCTGCGCGATCTTGTCGATCATTAGACTATGTTGCAACGGAACCAAAATATTCAGATATCGTTCAAAGAAAGTCCAAAAGAGCAGACACAGACAGCAGAGTTGTAATCGCTTATTCCTTGTGGGCAACGAAGAGGAAAGAATATACATTATGGTAGTACATTTTCCGAAAACGGCACTTTGAGACGTAGCCTGACGAAGATGCGCAGAGATCTTCTGATATAGCGGTGGATTGCAGAAGGTGGATAGAACTGCTAGACGGGTAATCGAGACAACGGCTGAAAGTGTGCAGTGTTTCCTACTATGTAGTCCTCTTAGATAGCAACCCAATAGATGAACCCCATAACCGACGGCATGATACGTACTAGGCGTGCCTCATCGCTTTAGACTAATCCGAGTCCAATTCTTCCGTAGATGAAGATTGAGTCGGTTGCTTGGCCGATAATACTCCAGACATCTTCGATACAGGAATCCCGGACAACGGCTGAGAGCCCTCACGAGTCCCTCATAAATCCCCAGGCACATACCAATTCCCGAGACATTTGCCTGCGCTGTGAAATGTGCATTACTTGGACTGAGTTTCCCCTTCATATTCCTTTCAAGTATATCCAGATGCTTGCCACCGGAATGCACAAGCTTAATCCCATGTATCGTTCCTTATCTTAAACTTAGAGTCAGAGACCTTACAATAAAGTGTAAAGATCGTAGCCTATCCTCGGCGTCCAGCTCTTGATAGATCGATGTTTGAGGTCATCAATTGCTCGACACTCGTAGTTGTAGAAACACTATTTTCTGATGCTAGGTAGACATCAACCAAAACACAGATATTGTCTTACTATCAAGTATTTCTTCCCCCCACATTCCTATGCCATACTCCACCATTCCGTGATGTTGGACCTTATCGTAGAAATTACTCAATTCGTCCCCCAATTCGCATAATGAGTCAGCACTCAATATTATAGGCGATACTTGTAGTGATTGCTAGGGGTGGTGACCACACGTCAATATTACCTCTGTTAATTCTTTTTGCCATGGTATAGTCTAAGCCAGCAGAAATTCATAACGGTGCACGGGTTATGATTATAATCCTTCGCAACAAGTAACCTAACAATCATCTCGCTCAACATCCATCGCATCAGCAGTGATATTACCTTGAGTCATAGACGCCTCATCTGCAATCACTTTCCAACTAGCTGGCAATGATGAGGTATCTTTCACATACTCCAACATAGCGAACTACATTCTTGTCAAATGATATTGATCAGATATAAAAGGTGGAATGGGGAACCTACGTAACGATCACTCTTTTTCATGGTTATAATCCACGGCGTATTATCGAATGTAAGGCCTTGGAGACGGAAATAGGTATTATCCGGAATTTTCTTGACTTCTCGCACAAAGCTGTCGAGATCACCTGTTGGGACGAGGTTGACGGCGGTGATAAAATTTGTAGGCGATAATTCATATTGATGCGCGGGTGAACCACGGCTCTGTACAAGTTAGTTGTCGCGAATAATGTTGGCGAAGGGGAGGCGTACTCTTGCGCTGACATAAATCTCACTACGAAGTTCCGAAATTTGTTGGCGAACAGCAAGATGTGGCTTTTGTAATACAGCTCCACAAAACACCACAGCTCGATCTGTCTCTATATCTTCCGTTGGAACAGTATGAACCTTGACATGCATTTCTCGCTTGTCCCGAACAATCACTGCATCAAGGACTTCATTGTCGTACATAATATCAAGATCTAAGACTCCTGTAATGAGTCTTTCGTTTAGAGTAAGAATAACATCCCCCACCCTTAAAGCATCGTCTTTATGCGCGAACAATAGAGGAGGCCTGCCCAAATTCCAAACTATGAGTAACTCTTGTCTAGAGGGGTTGGCTTTGGCGACTTCGTCAATCCGTTTATTTGACACACCCCTAGCCCGCGCGTCACTCATTTTAATGACGCAGCTCTCCATATTCAGAATACGGAGTGTAGGGATTACACCTTGTTGAATCTTGCTGATGACCGGGAGAAAAGACGGCGTCGCCAGACCGAAAGGATACTCGGAGTCGTCCGCCCCCAAAAAATTCAGCCAAAGGGCTTGTACAATACCGTCTTTTCCTAGCAAAACACCATTTGTGCATTCGTCGCTCAATTTCGTGTCCACCATGATGGCTTCAGTATTAATAGAACGGTAACGTGGAGCCGAAGCATCGACCGGAATAATGACTGTCGTAATCTGAGTTACGGTTGTCTTTGCAATGGCAATTCGCAATTCGCTATCGAATCCAACAAAGATGGTTTCTTGGCCTTGCTTTATGTTTTCTGTACTCAGCCGCGCACTTCGAACAGGTGCCAGGACGAGACTTGGATCGTATCGCAAAATAGCGTAGTTTTGCAGCGGATGCATAAAAACCACTTTCCCAGTGACGATAATCGATTCCGCGACTGTGATGTCGATATCACATAGATCGTGCGGAACAATAGCTCGGGATACAAATACAAGTCCCTTATCTGCATCGATCACCAACCCGCAACCGGTCGTCTTAGTTTTAGGAAACCCGTCCAACTTCAGAGGCATGGTACAAGACACATGGACGAAACTGCGCACAATCTCAGCGGGCGCGGTCTGGCCGTTCCCATCTAACTGGGTAAAGTTTGCTTTTTGAGGAGCTGGCAGTTCGGCAGGTATTGGATTGGCGATGACTGAAAAGTTCCATACACCGGTCTCATCGTCGCGAACAGCAAGAGACATCATTGGATGCCAGTGCCGGTCGAGATCGATGACTTTTGTCACTGTCATATGAAGATATCGGATATGCCGGCAGGAGATGACAATTTTTGATCGATCTGGGATTGTCTTCATTACTTGAATAAACTCTTGTAAATTCCGAGTTGGTTGTCTACCCACTGAATCAATAATCCAGCCTGATGGAGTATTATCATCGATCTTGAATGATCCTGCTGCCTCGCAGACATAGACACCGCGACATGCAATAGCATAAAGACGAGCTTGCTGATACGATAAATCATGAAATGTCGCTCCAGCAACACTGACAAATCGATCTGGCGTAATCGCATGCAAGTCTCCAACCGTACAATCTACTTCCAGATCCTCGCCACCACGCTGAATCAAAATTCGAATCGACTGACCAACATTCGAGTCTAGAATATCATCCAGTCGCACAAACTGAGTGAGTAACTCTCCGTTGACTTTCAGTAGAACATCCCCTTCTTGAAGTTTGCCGTCAGCAGGACCTTCCGGGAGGACGATTTTCGCCACCAACATCCCAGTCTCTTTAGGCGCTATTTTCCGGATGTACGCTTCGCAATCTGGGGTCAAACCGAGACGTCGACATTCGTCGAACGGTTTAATCATCCATTGTGTCTGGATAGTACCACGTGTAACAGGTTTGCCTTCTTGAATACACTGTAGCGCACGTAGTGGACGACTAAGCGGTAAAAAGAAATCCGTAGCCGCACCATCTACACGCGCACCTGCCTGTAGCGCAACGACATCGCCGAATACATTGACCACAGGACTACCAGAACTTCCACCACTGGCAGCAGCAGCAGCTTGGATGTAGTTTGTGTTGAAATCGTTGTATCCTGCACCATACTCCGGCGCGTTTCGATCTAGAAGACTAATGACGCCGGAAAGAATACTAAGTTTCTCTCCGGCATCATTACCAACCACTCTGATTTCAACGCCCACTTGTGCTCCGTCGGGATTCAATTTCAGCTTTGTGATACGCTTGTACTTGATCGCGTTTGGGTCGAATTTCAAAATACCAAAATCGTGCACGGGATCTCGGTAAACGGGACGAACATAGCACTGCATAGTTAGCTTACCATCTTTCACTTCAGAATTGGTGTAGGTACCTCTTCATGATTATCAAAAATACAATACCCCCAAAACGGCCCGGCACGAACGACATGCCTATTTGTAAGTATATAACCCCTTTTCGCATCGACCACAAACCCCGTAGCTTGACTACACGTGGAAGGATCTGTATCAAACGACCGCGTCTGACAAAAATGAATCGAAACCACACTCTTCGCCACTGATTCGATCGTCTTCCGCCAGTTAGTCAGCCATTTTTGCAGGTAGCGCGGCAATGGGTTCCTCTCCATTCTCGACGTCGGATATACAGTGCCGTTTGCGGTGTTTCGTCTACCGACGAGGACGCTGGATTCAGGTTTGATTTTTGTGCCTAGTTCCGCGTGCCTGAAAGGATTTTCTGTTTGAGTCCAGCGCAGGTAATGTCAGAAAGAGGTGGTGTGCGAGAAGAGGAAAATTGTGTCGGTGCTTGTATCTTTCAGGCAGTTGTGTTTGTCGCTAGTGGCCCTGTTGGCAGCTGGGCCTTACTTATCACTTAGTGTGGCCAAGTCACAGCCTCGTTTCTATATATATAAGCTAACCCTAAGCACAGGCGTATTTTCCTGCTGGGCCCCAGCCGCTGATCCTTGCAACTGGCGACTGCTTTGAGTGCTGTGGCCTTGCTGGCGAGTTCTACTCATACACAATCATTAATCCATTATCGAGCTCTATTCACACTCTTTAGAAAGCAATGTGCGAGAAGGTCTAGGAAGGAAACGGAATGAATTTTCGGTTGAGTTTCTATGCAAATGATGTTGATGATAGGCCCAAAAATGCGTTGGTACTATTAAAAGTTGTTGGAACCACCTAGACCAAAAAGCTGCGCGCATCCTAGATGATCTAGTATGGTAGTATGTAACGAGGATGAGATGGTGTGAGGTGAGATTCCCAAGAAAAGCCATGGATTGGCCACTCTAATCCACTTATTAGGGAGTGGCTCATCAGACAGCTCCGGTAGATTGCGCAGATAAGAGTGTCGAGAAATTGACTGGAATATTTTTGCATCAGATAATTCAAAAACAAAAGAAAGGAGAGAAAGAATGAACAGAATCAAACGATAGAATTTTGTGAATACCTAGAGCCACTGCCAGTTCGTCGACATAAGGTCGAAATCTCTCAATCGTTTCTGTCGTCGCTAATCCTAACGAATAGAAGGCTTCGTCAAACAACTTAGGAGCTCCTTCATAAACTCCTTGCGCAGAGTCTAGGGCTTCCACCATGATGAACGACCAAAAATGCCAGCTTTGATTCCAGATATATATGTTGTTGATGGCTCGTTTTCCACTTAAATATAATTTCACAATCAAGCTATGAAAATCCACCGTGGCTACTTCCAAGTCAATCCTTTCTCGGCCTTAACAGCCCTCTAGCCGACAGTAGTTGGGTGTGGCTGGCGTGGAGTTTTTTCTCTTTAGGGCTTTAATATCCACTTGGCTTTGATTCACTAGCTCTTCCAGTGCTAGCCATCTTTTTCCACTTCTTATACTAGGGTGTGGTGAAACTATATCAATCCGTGCGCCACCGCGGACAACCCCGTATCTTCCAACTGGCTCGGAATGGTCTCCACATCCCCCCGACTTATATTGTTCTACTGAAATATGATCAATACGAGATTGCACAATTTCGCAATCTATTCGAATACACAATTGAACCAGTTGATGAAGATAGAGCATTGGATTCTGTGGAATCAATGGAGCTGAGAATATTTTATCCATCATAATCCTATCTCCAAGACTTATCTAGAGCTTTTCACGTGACTACTGCGTAGTAGGTTATTGAAATATTTCTGGTAAGAATGCTGGATCAAACTAACTAGTAATTACGGAGTACTATGTAGTTTGAGGAGTATATTATAGTCTTATTAAATCCAAGTACTTACTAGCTAAATAGGGTTATAAGTAAGAAAATCTTTTTATAATGTAGACTCATACGCGTCACACTAGAAGACCAGCCGGGACGATATAAATAGTGCTAGATTTTGGACTTGTGCGTGTTTACCATGGTAGACATAGTAACATGTTAACTAGTTGGAAACGGAGGACGTAATTGATATACAAGTTGATTTCTTGCTATAGCGACTTGCATGAGCTTATGCTCACGTCTTTCCTGCTCGATATAGCTGACTTGTGGCGATGGAAAAAATGGCAGCAGAATGTATCAGTTGACCCGTTTTGATTTCAGGAAGATGAATGACCAGGAATTCCGGCAGCTACTACACGGGGATCTGTTGGAAAATGTCCGGGGAGGCTCGGAGGGAAGAATTAGATATGAGTCATAAGTTAGGGACGAAGGGAGATCCGCAATATCATAAATAGTTATCACTGCTGTTAGACCGTTTAACATGTAATTTGCCTTTAGGTGTCGCCGCAACGGGAAATCGTGCCTCGTCCGCCTCGCCATTTGCGGCGAAGCGCCCGGCGCGCGCTCGGACCCACTGCGCGACTATATAAAGCGCCGTCTCTTGCCATTTTAACGACACCACTTACCTACCCATCACAACCACTGTCGGAACACCCTCTCTTCCTAGCTCTTCCCTCTTCGCTGGTCGTTCGGTTCTTGACAACCTGGCTCGTCTGCTGCGAATTCCATCGTCTGTCTCCACGGACAGTTTTTCATTCTTTCCGTTTCACGGCACGATGTGATCGCGGTGTCCTTTCTGAACGTGATGTTTGCCCGTCGACTCCATGATCCAGAATGCTCGCTTGTCGGCATCATTATGGTACATTGGCGATTGGTGAGACTATCTCAATTCGGCGATTCCGGTCCAGATCGACATCGGCTTTAATGGGCATCATCACCGCTCGGTTCTCGTGGCCTTCCTAATTTGGCGTTATCGTCGCACCGGTCATTCTCTGGGTGTTATCCTATTTCGGTCATTTCTTGATCAGGCGATTCTCGGTTGGTCGTTTTCGCTGTATTTGGTGATCACTCCCAGACTCACGGACTCGCGGACTCACCAAAGGAGGCGTTGCTAACGTTCTCGTGCAGGTATCATCGACACGTCACAGTTTACGCAGCTGCAGCTGAGAACGCCTGCTCGACAGAGCCAGCGTTGTATCGCTGATGAGATATCAAGACGTGAATAGCAACACCTATAATCCATGTGACGAATGGTAACAGAGGAGCGAGCGCCTTGATGCACACGACTCTGCAAGAACCCCTCAGCTGAAAAACAGACATTGCATCTCCAGCACCTCCATTGGTGGTGTTTCGGAGGAAGGAGGGGATGATCTCTTTGCGACCATCCCGCCGTCTGAATAGAGCTTCGCCGTTGGCTCGCTGAAAGTGATGGGAGCGCTAGATTGAGTTTCATCTTGTGATGGTGATGCAGCCAGCGTCACATTGTGGTGGAGCGTGAGCCTATGAAATTGCGTGCTCGTGGATTGCATTGTCATGGCGAGCGTGCGTGGCTTTCAGCTGAAGGTCATGAGAGCCATTATTTCGAGACATCCGCCCAAGGCGCCAAAAAGTATTCATTCGTTTTGAACCCTGGAGGAGATGGGCTGATGTGTGGGCGGGTTCTCGTCTCGACGATTTGATTGGATTCGACGACTTCCTGGTCGTGTGTGATCCACGGACCGGAAAGTTTTTCTTGATTGCTGAGTGGCAGTGGCGCAATGAAGCAGCCGAACAAGGGACCGAGAGCGGAGAGAGTTGACGTGCTGAGAGAGCAAAGTCGCAAAAGTTGTACGGCTGATTGAGCGACGTCGTGGAGTACGGACGGTCCCTGAAAACAGACAGACTAGGATAGATTTACGACGTTATAAGAGCGAGCATTTCAACCGGTTGCATTGCTTATCAAGCCTTTACGAGATACACTCCTCTCTATTTGTGATCTCTTCTTGTACAATGAGTGCGTTTGTCTTCTACAATCCCAATGGGTCAGCGAATCGATATTCAAACAAGGAACGTTTTCGTCCGCGCCCCAATCCTCAAGCTCCTGTGCCTGTTAATCGAGATGTCGTTGGCGTTTCGGAACCTACGTCGGACAGCAGCTATAGTGTGAAGGACACTGCAAACAAAACAATTCAGACTCTGCCGCCGGAACCCGCATTCCAGCGAGAGACCAGTTCTTCTACTTCTGCGATGGGGGACGACTGTTTCGACGAATCTCAAATGAGTGACGGCGGCGATTCTCTTCACAGTCTCTTCTCCGATTTTACGGATGATCGGCTTGAGGATGCTGATCGCAATTCTGTCAACAGACTCCTCGCGCCACTCAAGTATCTGCCCAATGCCACCGTATCTCACGCTGCAACCCATCACGACGCAAACCCCGCGCCTAGCGAATTCGGTAGTTTCGGGCAACCTCAGCCAGTCGCTGGCAACGCTCTATTTGCCGTCGGCTGCATACAACATGGCAGCACTGATCACATTGATGCGCGACCGGCTTTTTCATCGACCTATATGCCGCCTATTTGCAACTTTACGGAAAGTCACTCTGCAACTTTTGCCGATCCCATTCACAATGATTTGGCTATGATGGATCCTGTCGACATCACGTACACTGAAGCCGGAACACAGACTGATCACCCGGCCATCACACTGAGTGACAGAGAAACGCAGACAGATCAATACGGCACGGAAGCAACAAGCAACAAGGAAGGAAGCCCATCTCCGGTCCTCGTCGAGACTTGTGAAACTCGAGACAATTCTTACGAGCAGCATGACGAACACGTAGGCAATCAGCGACGTGTCAATGCAACGGATTCGACCGAAACGAATCGCCAAAATATACCTGATCTGGTTCCGACCGTCAGCGCCAGCCCCCATTACCCTGTTACCCGTCCTGTTGTGGATGTAACCCACCACAATCATCCTCTACCAATACATGGCTTCTTCACCGTTCATGGAAACGCCGATCAACTAGCTTATACCTTGACCTTCTTTGAACAGAAGACTGAGTCTTTGTCGGAGTCTGCATATGGTCGAGCTTCATCACTGGCACGAAACGACGCAATTGAACGGTTGTCAGCTGTGCCCGATCTCACAGTTCATGGCAACGATGACGACAAAGACTTGCCCGTGTTTGATCCCTCTCTCAACACTGACGAGGGGAGCTGGTCACCATCGAGAAACGAAAGTGTCACACAGGACTGCTACGTGTCCAAGGGTCGGAAGGGTGACCCGTTCTCGTCGGAGGATGATGCGCTCCTAGTGCGGTTAAAAGGTAACAACCTGCCGTGGAAGATGATCGCTACATTCTTTCCTGGACGCTCAGAAGGATCCCTTCAGAATCGCTTCTGCACGAAATTGAAACGGAAGCTTTCAGAGAGCGGTCGCGATCAGAAGCGAGCACGGATGGCTGGTCTTCATCACCTAGATGAAGATGCTTCTCAGCAACTACAATGCGAGCTGGATTGGATTGCTGGAGACAGGACCAGTCGTAGGTAGTGCTTGATTGGCAAAACGACGACTGGTGCTGAGCACAGGGTCCGCCTGACTTTGCTAGCGGTGATATTGGTCTTGGTGGTATATAAACCCTCTCCCCCCCCTTCGACTGAAAGAATTTCTCTTTTCATCTCCCAATCTACTCTCTATCCACTCTCCCCATCACGTCAGCCTTTGCACTCGACCCTTCAGTGATATAATGGAGCCCCAACGTTGTCATCACACACGCTTCAGGGCAGTCGTAGATGATGATGCACAGCCATGTCGTGAGCACGCGCAGAGCGCAACGGACGTCATTGTCACTGAAGAGAATCATGATGATTGTCGTCAGTCAAATGATCGGTCGTTCGACGTGATAACCCAGGGTCAACATGCTCCAGGACCATATACCGGTCGCAAACGCACAAGGGATGTTCATAATCGTTCTTCTAAACGCGTAAGTCTTGGCTTGAAACATTGTTATGCTTTTCCACTAACTATTGAAAGCATGGCTCGGAGAGGTTCCGGGAAATGTGTCATTTATTCTCTAACACGATTGCGCGACTCAGAAAAGATTCACGTTCCTTGAAATCAGAGAATTGCAGGCTCCGACAACTTCTCGACAAGCAAAAGGCCCATAAGAGTTTGGAATGTCCAGTCTGCTGGGGGGAGAAGGAGAAATGGTTGTTATTCGTCCAGTGTGGGCACCTCATCTGTGATGATTGTGCCCGAGATCTTATGAAGCGAGAGATGCTCTTCAACAAGCCCTGCCCTTTGTGCCAGGCGCTCATAACTTCTCTTGCCGTGTGCTACCCGAATCTGAGATAGGTTGAATTCTTTTTTGTCATTATCTTGTTGCGGTATATATACCAAACTGTATCACCTTATTGTCCAACCTCTATTCCTTTTGAGTAAGACCACACAAGAGACGAACCTACATGACAGATCTATTCAGAGCCGGCTACCCTAGGATAGATATCTTTCTCCAAAAGCCACAGAACATGACAATCAGCTTTACGGGCCGTTCTTTCCAGCTCTCCTGGACTTTTCTATAGATTCCTTGGTATGGAGGCTCTCCGTCATACTCGTCTGGTTGAATGAGAAATGTGATTCTCGACTCATTGACATGTTCAACTCATCACTTGACGTATCACAAACCGTACTAAAGCTAGCATTGAGCGTAGACTGGACTACATTCGAAGTAGAGTGTTCGTTGGCCCGCCTGATTGCATCGTCCCGTTGCTCTTTCGCCCAATCTCGACCATTGCGGAACCAAGTCGCACCTTCACGGAAAGTGTCTACATTTCCAGTCATCCCCCAAGTGTTAATTTGTGTCATATGATACTCAGGTCGATCTGAATCGGTTGGCTTCGAAGGATGACTGGTGAACATTTTGAGCGTGCCACCATGATAGATGGATGTGATGGTGTAAGCATTATTGTCAAATTCAGGTTGTTCCTGTTCGTATGTTTGGAGTGTATGCATGGCTCGCGCACCAAGCGCACCATCGTAACTGGCTTGTCTTCCAGCAACTGACAACGAACCATCGGGTCCCTTTGCTGCTAGAAGAAAATTTGGTAGGATTGGAAGGTCATCCTGCGTTGATGGTTTGATTCGTCCACTAAGCTCAGAGCGAATGTCGCGTCTAAGTTGTTCGGGTCGTGCTCCGTAGTAGCGGTCAGGGTTCCCCGGTTTCAAAGTGCCATCGGTGAGAGAAACGAAGTTTCCAAATGCGACACCGCCGGAAACGCATCTAACGTCTCCATTATCACCCTCGACCATGGAGATCACAGACTCTGTGACTTGTTTCTCCTTGAAGGCATTAGCATCGGCCCGAACGAACTTTTCGTGCGCTTCTTCAGTGAAATTAGACGGCGAAAGAGACGCCCGAGGTCGCGCTAATCTCTCCTTGATATCCCCCCAATTATTGGGTTTCGGTGGTATCCGCCCATCCGGGTATTCGTAAGCGTGAGGGTAAATGCCGTGATCGATGAGGTGTTGCTGAAAATCGCGATCGTACGGTCCACTACTCCTAGTTGTTGTTGTTTTCGAGGGTCTAGTGCTCCGTGAAGCACTCCGCGACGTGCTCGAGGCCCGTGAAGTGCTTGAAGCTCGCGAATCACTTACGTGTTTTCGAATTCGATAACTCGATGTCCGAGAGCTCATACCGGGAAGTAAAGATTTGGTAGATTTTCGGTACTGAAAAACAGTTAGCTTCGCTCTAAGCAGTCTAATCAAAAACATACTCCACGTAGTCCCGACAGGTCAGGACCACCAAGTCTCGCGTATCGTTGGATCTTCCTGAGATGCTGTGGTGAACAGTAACGAAGGAAGGCATTAGCCGGTCGGCGAGCTAGTAAATCCTCTTCCTCGACAACAGTTCGCTGGTAATTCCTCCGGTCAAGTTCCCTTAATGCGTTGCGTGTCAGCCAAATCCTGGACAGATTGTCCCAGAATACGGACGGGGATTGAGAGCGGGCTGGAGGACTGAGTTTCTGTTTCTTCGCCGATTGCAGAGATGGTTCATCAAGGGAGTATGACTCCGAGTGTAAGCGTTTGCACGACTTTCCGTTGCTCTCTAGATGCATCGAGCTTTCATCTTGTGTAGCTAACGGAAGAGCCATCTTTCAGCAGACTGGGTATGAGCAGAATAAATTATAGTCCCTGTTCTATCCAGCGTTGCAAAAAGAAGACTTGGCGGCGGCAGATGAGTCATCACTGAAACACCTTATAACTAAGTTATTTGAGTCCTGACAGCCAATCATCAAACAGAGTACCAATGCCCATAATCCGTAGTCAAAAAGCTCTTATTGGATGGGACCGCTGCTCTTCTTTTCAGTGGTAGATGAGCTGAAATAATGTAAGTGCTCGCAGCCAATCACCATTTCAATCCTAGCGCTCAGCATCAAAAATAACCACTTCAAGCTCAAGAATGTTCCCAACACGCAACATGCCCCCACAAACGGTTGTCTCGAAGTTGCAGCTTCACCGGCTGTTCGTTGAATGAATCTGATATTGAGCGTTTCATGTTCAAGACATTAATCAGTGTGAGCATTCAGGAGCGATCTATTATTCAAACAGGTTATTGTTAAAGATGGTTGTACGAGATAGGAAACGGACTCGACCTTTGAGTGGTAGGCGATCGCCGAGGTTAGACAGTTTTAGCGCCTACCCAAAACTTTGTGGGCCTAAAATATCCAATTGCATTTCTTTCCATGTTGCTGCCTTAAGGTCCAGGCTTCAAAACCTGGCTTTGCGCATAACATGCTGAATTTGAGCTTTCAGTGTCTGCACCAATTTGAAACCTCCTTCGTTCCTTTTACACAATCTCTTTGATTTTGCCCACATTACCAAGATGCCCTATCTGCATCTTGTAATTTTAATGAACGAACCATCTTCCAGGAGACTGGGTACTGTGAGAAGAAGGATGGCTTGGCAGCGGCAGATGAGTTATCATTGAGACATCCTGACGTTAACTAACTACATAGTAACTATTGATTGCTAGCAGCCAATTATCAAGCAGATCACCGATCGTAGATGTGACTGTGGCCCCTCTTTTCAAGTCACTGTTGTCACAGCTCCAATCAGAATCGTTCAGAATTCACGTAACCTTAACCAGTGACTTCCAGCCTTCCGTAGCTCGAATCTGCGCATAGCATGTATCATGTTCATCACTGCAATAATTGTTACTCGCTGAGTATGGTTGGGAGGCAGCGATGAAATGGATGGCCTTCATAGGATGAGAGTTGATAGCTAGAATGTACTCTATGAATACCTCTGTGCTGTCACATCGATCCGAATTCATGACTGAAACGCACAGGCCTTACAAAGTTAGGAAAGAGAGTATTGTTTCTTCCATCGAGGTGATCTAACGAACGAATTAAAATTGTCCTTCCACGTCGGACATAGAGTACAACAAGTGTACAGCAGGCTGATATAAATTTTTGAATGCAACAGAAATTCAGTTGACACAAATGGAGACACGATGAATTCATGCATCTTGTATCAACAAGCCGTTTCCTTTTTCAAGTACCTGGATGACTTCCCAGTGATTTGACATCTTTGCACACTCCAGAGCTGTGCGACCATTTGCATCTCTGATATTCAGATCGGCTCCTTCGCTGATTAAATATCGAACTATATCCACTTTGCCAAGTTCAGCTGCTTTGTGCAGAGCCGTTCCAAGGCCCATAAAGTAATAAAGAGCCTGAGAAGGGTAATGCTCGTTGTACATAATTGCGTTGATATCTGCCCCATTTTCAATGAGAAGACTTAGTACTGCAAGATTATCTGAGTTCCGTTCAATTGCGTGATGGAGGAGTTGTCCTTTCTGAGTGTCTCCTCCACGTCTGAGCATGAGCTGTATGACTGATATATGCGCAGTTTCCACAGCTAGGGAAAGGGGGGTGAGATCAATGAAACATTGCCGATTGGGATCAGCTCCATGATCAAGAAGCCAACCTGCCATTTCCTCATCGGCATAACTGAAAAGATGTTATTATGGTGTTGACACAGCTAAGTTGGACAAATCTCACCCCAGTATGGGAGGCTTCAGCTCGCTAATGGGCTGATTGACATCCCATCCATTTTTAAGGAAAACCTCCAGGGCATCCTTCCTCTTGGCGCCAACAGCTTCCAATGCGTAGAGTGAATCCATGGGCAAGCCATGATCAAGTAGCTCTTTGATGAACTGCACGTCGGCTCGATTGATGGCTTCGATCATTATCGCATGAAAGTCACATATGTCAAAATCCTGCGAAGAAGGATCTTGTGAGTCCAGGATCGCTCGAAATTCCTGGATATCACCACTGACACAACAAGTACGCGATATTTCAAGCGTCGCCGGAGGTGTTCGAGTTGGAATTTGAGGGTACTCGCTCGGGTGAACTGGAGGGTAGTCTGGAGGAGGCAGGACATCCATGGCGGGTTGAATGGCGAAGCATCACATTTGTTTAGTAGGCCATAACGAAGCGTAAGTAGTAGCAGCAGGTGGGGAAGCAGAGGTATTTAGATTATTCACTTCACGTCATCTGAGACCTAACCAGCCGGTCAACCAATGAGGACTTGGCGGTGTGTTCGGTTATCTCGGGACTAGTCGTACACGAGTCAGAGTAAGCTGATTGGCTAATACGTGTTGTTGTGAAGTTTCATGATACGGGCTATGGAGCGGACCGTGTTGAGGCGACCCTGGCAAGCAATTATTTTTACCAGATCCTTACACCGCACGTTTTGTTGGCTAGAATGTGAGGCGCAGACTATGAGTGGCCTCCTTAGCCCACCAATTGAAGACACGCGTTTACATGCGTTCAAGGATGGGCGGCTAGCTAAGGAAAAGTTGTCGAAAACTAGAGGAAAGATGAAATTCATTTTTAGAGCCTTGCAGCGGTTTTGAGAAACTATAAGAAGTAGTACGAATTATTTCTTGATAGATAGAACGTTCCCATCCTTCCGTGCAAACACATACGCTGCTATTTCAAGATCTCCTATAATGTCCGGATCAGGTATTCTCGCTCAATGGCAAGCGCGTCATGCAGTTCTTGTGGTTCCAATGGGTGGCGTCCAGTTTCTCTCTTTCCAACAACAGCCGGCGATTGGCACCAGGGACCTTGGATCATGTTCTGTCGTGCTCATAGCATCCGCGCAAGGCGCTATTCTTGCTCACATTCCTCCACGACCCTTGCAACCATCACCGGACCCGTTTGCCGGTGATAACAACGCTCGTAATATGATGAATCAAGTGGCTACTCTCTATCAACAAAACAGGGGGTACTTTTCTTCCGCGGACTCGGTTGTTGTCTGCGCTTGGTACAACGGAGCAGTGGCGTTGCCCGAGCAGACAGAGATAATGTCCTCGTCTCTTCGACAATTGGGACTCAATCCGACCATCAGAACATATCATGTTCCTGGAAATAGAAATCTTCCCGGCCAGGGAACTGTGATTGCAATCAAGTCTGCCAACCAGCCGAGGCCTCAGATATACGTGGAGGATCGTCTAATCTGAGATACATTGATTGGCGAATGAGCCAGAGGCACATGATGGGCAATCCGAACCTGGGTCTATGATTCACTAGACTTTGAGTCAGCGCCATCGAATTGGATGCTAAATCACAGGGCATGCAGGCACGGTTTCAGCAATTAGGCACATGAAAATTGAGCGATTGTAGGTAGAACAGAAATCATACTGAGACGATGTCCGATACGATAATAAATTCCTCATTTGGCTCTCGTATCAAAATGGATAACCACCGTAATCCGAGGATAATCGTTGATAATATTTACTAAAGTAACCCACGGCAAAGAAGTTAGAGACAGATCCGGATAGCTTATTGCTTCGCGAAGACTGACATTGATCAGATGGCTTGTTCAAACATGGATTAGTTATGAATATATGCACAGTCAGGTTCTCAACGCTGATGGTAGGGTAAGGGAAGTTATGCTCCAGATATTTGGAATCGAATGACATGCAATGAATTCAACTGACGTGTTAGCATATTCTTGGTCGTGAGCCCTTTAGACCCCAGCCACGAAAGCAAAGAGCCTCCATGAGACAGACTTCATTTCATCAGGTAAAAAGGTTGGGCATCGAAACTTTTCATGTCACTTATTGATATAAAAATGATCGAGAATTACAAGCCATACAAGATAATCGTGATTTCAGAACAAAGATTACTGGGATACTCCATCAAAGTAACTGGTTATGTACTTATCATCCCGTCCGATTCATTGCACACCGTATACCTGTTTCCCCTGATGGTTTGGTAATCAACCGCATATCAATGCGTATGTACCTAGTAAAGCCGCAGGTGCTTTCCGTGAGACCCCTGGATCGTCATTGTCCAGAAATTATACTATTCATGACTCGTATTCGCTAGATTAGCTACGCATGTCGATCATGCCTCGATAATTGCCTATTGAATTCTCTTCTACTCAACTAATGCATCCCATTTTTTATCGCTTGGATGACGCACTGACCCGATGCAACTCAGCTGGCTGTATTCCCTGGAATTTCTTCCCGTACCTACATCTGGATCCATTTTAACCTTATATTTAGCCAGCCTAGCCCGGTCTTTTTGTTTCCTGTCCAGAGATTCAGATGCACACCAACTTTAGCAGTGAATCTTCTCTAACTTGTCAGTACGGTTATGCAAAGTTGCTACCAACGATGTCATCTGCTACACGCTCTCGGCAACCCCGCGCAGCACGTGCATGTGACCGTTGCCGCCAGGCACATATGAGGTGTTGTCAGAAAATACCTTGTCAGCGGTGCCAAAAGTTGAATGTGAGCTGTCATTATCAGCCAACTCAGTTAATCAAGCAAGCGGACAAAGCTACCTCCACACTCGAAGATTACCCTAGTTACGCGTCAACATATCAGACTTGGCCTCGTCCATGGGACCTTCCACTCTACGATCCTGCGATGGCGGAGTCCATGGGGGATTTGGCTCGTGCCCCCGCTTGTGAAACATCCTACCCAAAGCTTAGTTCTTGGTTGTCGGAAGAGCAGTGGCGATTTATCACGATGCCTGATCCACTCGATCCTGCGATACTGGAGACCATGAGGGAAACATTCACAAAGCTTAGTTCTTGGGAAGAGCAGTGGCGATTTATCATGATGCATGATCCAGTTGTCTTTAATTACGCGTCAACTTTGCCTCCATGGGGCTATCCACTCGACGATGCTTCGATCCCGGAGACTATGGGGGATTTGGCGCGAGCCACCACTTGTGAAACGAACGACTATGGAGTAACGAAAGATGAACGAGAGTTTTCCGCGCCCCAGAAATCACCGTTGGCCAATGTGGACTGTCACACCAAAGCACAGGAGGTCGCTGGAGATTTGGTGCCTAGCATCGCATCTCAATCAAAATTGCGGAATCAAAAGCAGGTCGTTGGGGCAATAGATTGGGAATATACCTATTCAGCGCCGCTTGAATTCGTTTATAGCGCCCCATTCTGGCTTCTTCTGGAACTTCCCGAATACTGGCCGGAAGGGTTGGATGACTGGACCAATATCTATGAGACACGCCTGGTGACGTTTCTTAGGGTACTTGAAGAGAGAGAGAAAGTGGCACTCGAACGTGGACTGTTGGCCGAGGAACAACGTCTCTCCACATATATGAGGGATAGCTGGGAAAGTGGAGATTTTTGGGTTAACTATGCAGCAAGGAAAAGTTGGGCTTTCGATATGATATACTGGGCGAAGATTGACAGAAGGTTCTTCGGTGATGGGTATCTCGATGATCGTCTCCAAGTACTAACTTCGGAAGAGAGGCAAGAGATAGACAACCTTGTGGGAAGAAAGATGAAGGAAAAAGAGGAGCGCAAGCTAACAGACTGGACGTCTTGAATCACATCTCGACTGCGAACCACGGTCCATTCAAATGCCGAGATGCAGCCATCATCGACAATGATGCACCGAGAGTCTTTTGAAAGACTACTCTGGGTCTGCATAAACAACCCTGCTATTTACTAGAACCTTCAAGATTCGACGCATGAAGTATGGAATATCATATATAATTAGATTGGATTGGAGGTTACATCATTGATTTTGAAAGGACAGATCACAGTCACAAAGAGAGTTGATCGTGCAAAGGCCGTGAGCTAGAGTTTGTATCAGGACGCAGCATAGCTGCACCTACGAAATGTCTCTCAAGGCAGCAGCGTACAGACTTTTTGCTCTAATTGTGTCACATGCAATTCATAGAAAGTAAATACAGAGCACAAGTAGTTTCTGAGGCTTATCACTCAATCGTGAAACGGAGAACTCATACTCAGTGTTGGAGCTCGGTTACGCTAGGATGGATACGGAATATAGGCAAATAATAAGAACTTAGAGTTGAGAATTTCTATGTATTGATGCACCCTCTCTAATACAAAACTTGTCAGGAATGTTGACCTCTTTTATATGTGAGGTCCTGTACAAACTAGATCATGAGATGACATCCAGTCGAACCTTCTAGATATAGCCATATAGAGCTGATTGGATGTCTATATCTCGTCAGTATGTGAACCTAGTTCTCGAAATTTCTTCATGTTAGTAGTATGATGGATTCCCAATTAGGGATAGCGTATTGCGTTCCAACACTCAGTGGTAGTCACGTGCGGGGCTCAACTCATGAGTTATGCGAGTCCCTTTTCTGCAGTTACCATCTTGAGCCTAGCCTAACCCGCTATATGTTTTTTACGCTTTTGATGCCCAAGCGGGTAACACGTTACCAGCGTGATACCCCACCAACCCCTCATCGCAAATCTATTTTGACGGACAGGAGTCCGAGAGATTTCATTTTTAGGAATTGCCTTGGTTAGTATTTCACTTACCTATTTGAACTGCTTTGTATGTACATCCCTCAAACAGGCAAAGAATGTGTCCCACTAATTTTCAGAACATTAGAAGGTCTAGGTCGGCAGCGCAGCGCTATCCATCCTTCTACAATGTCCGTCGTTGATGTCGTATCGCCGAGAGTCATAGAACAAGGTCAAAAAGCGTGGAGCACAGTCAAGGAACAATGTGAAAAAATCAACAAGCCTGCTACTGGTCAGTCTATTGGCCACTGCACTCCTACACACGATTGCAAATTGGCCATGGATTATGCGATTGAGGATGCTGCTATGGTAAATAACCCCTGTTTCTTTGTTTGGAAGATTCAGTTCTAACACTGAAACAGAACGATACCGTAGCAAAAAGCACTCAGAGATTACTGGCGCTATTGATATACTTTCCCAAAGGAGCGGTCATCGGTGATAGTCCTACATTGGTGATACCTATACACATTGAAGGGACCGCAAAGATTGGTCAGATCAATATTGATACGAATCACTATTACGAAGTAAGAAGCAGAACCATACTGGAAGTTCCGGAGGAATCTAAGGTCTCTGCGATTGTCCTGTCGTGGTGACGTCAGAGTTTTAGCACCATCCATGTATCATAGTAATAAACACTCCAGTGAAGTACAGATCATTCCCATATTATATCAATCTTAATTCAGAAAACTATGTCTAGTGTTAAACAACTAAAGTACAGTGAGATCCTTCTGATGGACTGTTTCTGTTGCCGGAGTGAACTGGGTCTCCAAGAGTAAGATTTGTGTTGCTGTATTGAGACAGGCCCTCAAGTGTATACGGTACCCCATAATCCTCAAGAGTGAGATTTGTGTTGCTGTATTGAGACAGGCCCTCAAGTGTATACGGTACCCCATAATCCTCAAGAGTAAGATTTGTGTTGCTGTATTGAGACAGGCCTTCAGGTGTATACGGTACCCCATAATCCTCAAGAGTGAGATTTGTGTTGCTGTACCCGAATGGCCCCACCGGAATATTGTAAGCCAAGCCAGGTTGAGCTGTGTTATTAGTAGAGGGAAAGCTTCCAGCATGGAGGTCACTCTGAGGCACTACATGAATAATCGCATCACCTGTAGCACTGGGGTTCTGCTCGAGGTGCGGATACCGTTCCCCCAGTGCGCTGGCTTCAGTCCTGTGGAGGTGTTGAGTAGAAGAAAATAATGTCGCATTGGGAATCTGTCCTCCCATGTATACATCGGAGATTGGTGGAGACGAGACGCTATTGAGTGGTAATGGAAGGGTTCGTTGTCTGAAGGATATATTTAACTGATGTGGACGAATAGAAGGACGTGGAATTGCCTGTTCAGGCAAGATTGAGTCATAGGAGCCCATGAGCGTCATGCCCTCTGCAGTAGATCGTGGATGGTGGTGGACTTGGCGATTTGTAACTGCTATATTGCCATCCGCCCCGACATTTTCAGGTTGAGTTCCTGCTGCTCCATAACTCCTATTCAGACTTCCCGTGCTTTCTACAATCCGAGATGCAGTACATCCCGAATTAGCAGTATTAACATCCGCCACAATTTCTATTCCTTCGCGTACATCGTTCACACCGACAGACCATTCACCATTGTTGATCGGTACGTTATCGGCTGCAGAATCGCGCGAAATTTGACTGAGAATTTGAGCAGCGTGAAAATCAAAATTGGCGCCGGAAATGCTGATGTCCGGTGAGTCGTACGACATACTAGTATCACTAGGGCTGGTTCCCAAGTCTCCACTATTAGATGGTGTTTCTTCTTCAGCCGACAATGCATCGCCCGCCCGTTGACTTGGGCTTCGGTCAAGTGACCCGCGCTCATTGGGAACAAGGCTCGGAGCATCTTGGTAGTATTGCGAAGCGGAACTAGTAGGTTGAGCAGGGGAGAGCCGGGGCTCGTCCCTAAAACATCTGCTGTTTCGTTTCCGCTTTTTACATGAATGCCTATCTGTTGAAGTGTAGAAAATGGTGTTTAGCTCGGGTGTATTGTATAGAGGGTTATAATATCTTACCTCCGTCATCGAGGAACGGGAAATCATCAATCAACCCGCCCAAATATTGTACTATCTTCTCAGCGGCTGCATCGGCAGTAACAATATCCTGCTCATTTTCAGCGACATTTTCGGAAGCAGCCTCCTTGATACCTCTATCGACCAACAATCGTATACAGGCGTCAGTCACGGCTCCCTTTTTTGGAAGAAATTGCTCCCAACTGTCTAAATTAGTCACTGTAAGTATCCGTTATGGAAAGATAACTCACATTGTATCACCAGGCTCTTCAGGCAAAGCACAAATACCACCATACCCTATCTTTGGCGCTAGGGTCTTGTACCTCTTTCCCCTCTGAAGCCAAGACGGTAGATATTTGCGTATTTCAACTTCATTCTGGATGGTGAGACTCGATTGAGAGATAACTGTAACAATATCATCGCGCGTCTGAGCATGTGAGTTCGCCCGATCAAATTTATGAATCAAGTCGGACAGTGGAATCAAAGAGAGTCGCCAGCGAACTGTATTAATCTTTCGATCTTTCTCGAGGTCATACAAAGCGTCAAGGTAGTCTGCAATCGATATCCTTTCAGGATTTGTTCCAGTCCGTCTCAAAGCCTGTCGTGGGTCTTTGTGACAAGCGAAGAGGAATTGTCGAATAACTGGCTGGAGCTTAGGCTCCGAAGCCGCCCATATGCTGTTGAAAGCGCGGTGCTCCGTGATCTCTGGGCCACCGTAGTCCTGACGTTGTCGCTCTCTCTTGAGCTTAATAAGTTGCCTTAGAGAAGGTGGAATGTCTTGAGACAGCCTGGCAAGTGTTTGTCGAAACTAGGAGAATTAATCTTGGAACTTTATCAATACTGCGTACTCACAATTTTATCTTCCAGAAGAATTCCACTTATTTGTTCATTGTCATTCACAGATTGGCAAGCTGTGATTACTCGCTCCGCAATCTGTTTGCTAGGCTCTGCACCCATTGTAGCTTGGATCAAGTGGTTGCGAACAAGAGAATGCGAACACGTTCAAAAATCGAGTATTGTCTTGCTACGCTAACCTGAAATTGATTATTTCTTTAACATGTTAAAGAAATAATCAATTTCAGGTTAGCGTAGCGCTGATTGTTGGCACGCATGCATAGACTAGCGTCAAATACCGGGACATCGACTGTCCATTGGCCCTGAGCTGGGTCATATGTCGCAGATTAACGCCACATGCTCTCACCAAACCTCAAATGTGCCATCGCCTACAACCACAGTTTGATACAGAGGTTCTAGATCCATCTATTCTGGATCTCGTCTGGCAGTTACTAGACTTGGTAGTGGTAATAATGAGAACAATATATTAAGAAGATGCCAGCCTTGTCCCAGGATCTCACCGCAACATGGCACGGACAAGTCAAGCTATCTGACCGGTTGAGAAAGAACACTACAATTGACATGGTGCTTGACTTTTCAGCTTGTGTCCCCTGGAAAATTCGACGTGACAAGGCTCCCCAGGAGGCAAGCTTCACAGACTTCCTAATCCATGCTTACCTGCAGAGAAAGCTAATGCGTTGCCTGCGCCCAGGTCACGATTCCCAATGGCATGACTACCTTCGGTGACGCGGGTCCTACTCAAGCAATGTCAGGTAGTTCACCTCAAGAGCCATCGGAAGTACAGATTCACCCTAACTTATCGAGACCGACTCCCACGTATTCTGTATCTTCCAGGAAGCCGGTAAGTTTCGCGGCTTTCACCAACTTTCGCGCTTTTGCTAATACCTGTATAGATGCACATTCAGACGTCCCAAGACCCTGGAGCGATTGATGTCAGGGGTCTAACTCAGGAAATGCCAGCCGCTTCAAATTCAGTTAAATCATCAAAAATACCACCAATGCAGGGTTTCTCCATGCTGAGGCCGATGACTCCCAGAAAACCTCGAGAGTCCGAGTTCGCCCTAGAGAAATATGTTGATTCACGAAAAGCCAAACTATCGTGGAACGACCTGATAGAGTCTGACCACAGTTTTTTCTTTTTTTGATTGCCCATTGGTCCATGTTACCCTGTCCTTCATTTATTTGTTTTGCTCTTATTGTGTATGTATCTATCAAAACAAGTGCGTATATAAAGACTCAAGGTGTACGTCTATCATTGCCATTCAACACGCTGTCTAGCATGTCATCCCAACAGATGGACTTCCCATCTACAAGTCAGGATTTTTCAAATTGTCAACGAGATAATTACACACAATCATGTTCGCCTAAGAAAGAAGAGACTCGAAAATCGCCCCCAAAAAGAAGGCCAGCTTCAAAAGAAGAAAGGAGGGTTTGTCTGCCAACCCCTTCCCTTCCCCCGACCCTCAGAATGTAATGGAAAAAACAGGAAAAGGCCCGTCTCGACCAACAATTATTCCGGGCTCGACGAAAAGAATTCATAGAAAGCCTCCAGTCGCAGGTCGAAGTTCTTGAATCATCCCTTCTACAATCCAGGAGTCACGTTAATGCCCTCCACATGAAGTTGCTACAGAAGCAAGCAGAGGTGGATTATTGGCGGAATCTTGCGCTATCCGCGACACCCGACGGCCGCGTATGCAACTGACTGGGAGAAGATGACAGCATCAAAATGTTTTGGTTAAGGTGGCGATTTTACATGAGCAGTTTACGTTATCACTTATCTCTTTCCTTAGCGCCAATGCTCTATTGAAGTGTACAAGACTGATTGCAATCTGGTGGATACATTGGAAATTTGTCTAGATGACGCTTGCTTTTTCTGGGTGTGGTACGCAAGTACATACCAACATGAATGTGATGTATGATAGTCCGCTGGTATACGAGTGTTTTCTTATGATATGATCACCTTCTGCACAACAAACAGTTCGCGATCGAACAACATACATCCAACATCTTGAGTCAGATATCAAACACCTTGAGTCACGTATCAAACACCTTAAGGCAATCTACGAGAATCTTCAAGCATCCCATCTACAATCCACGCATCAAATCCATGCGCTCTATATACAGTTGCTAGAGACGGAGGAGGAGTCGGATTATTGGCAATGTCTTGCGCAGTCACTCATGATGAGTGCAATGCCGACCGTGATCTCGCGTATTTGAGTAGAAAACAATCTAGACACTGGACGGAAACGGATGTACCACTGAATAGTTGCAAAAAAATAGGAAGCTTGGAGGTTCATGTATGCTGGGAGTCCTAGCACAACTATCTAATAGTGTTCATATCAATCAGTGTAGGGACGATGCTTAAACCTCGTCTCATAGATATAAATACAATCATCTTTCCCAGATATCTTGAACTTCAACAAGAAGTTATTGGCAAGTCTATCTGAGCAGCAAGGCCTTCATCATGCTTAGATGCGCACACAGAGAGCTCCACAAGCCTTATGTAAGATCGTCTCCATGATTATTGATCAATTCTAATTTCTACTAGATCTTTAGACTCCCTGCCTTGAGCCATGGATCATCCATCGATGAATCTAGTCTCAGGGCGCTTGAGATGAGCCTCGATAAAATCAAGTCCAAAGCAATTCCATTAGAATGGGGCTTATTTCTCGCATATCCTCAAACAGGAGATGAACTACGGAAGATTCAACAACATTGCAACGCAAAGCTACTCGGCGACTTTCCTTTTTCTGACTACGTTGAAGACGAATATCAGTGGCAGGCCTCATTGTGTCGTTCATTGGAAGCATATCGTATCGTAACACTGGAAAAGAATGGCTCGACTGGATAGAGCTTACGTTGAAGGAAGCCAAAAGCTTTGAGCTTCAAGCAGCCCACAAAATGGCCGATGTTTCTCCTCAGCATTTTGCAGCCACAAAATTTCGAGGCCTTAAGCCTCTCTGGGTCGTGTGGGGGAAAAAGACGGAAGAGGGGACGCAAGAGGAGACGGAAGAGGAGACGGCAAAGGAAACAAAAGAACTCAATAGCTTCCTGGAGGACCATGGAATCTCCGTCGCCGATGCTCCTCATATACTGCCCTTGAGGTATGGTCTATTCGAGGTTTGGTTCGAGGAGAATCGAAGAGCCGAGCTTCAAAAGCTTTTCTCAGAGACCTATACCGATTTCGACGAAAACAGCCCTTTGGTGCGGTTTCAAGGGTACTGTGAATCTTTGCGCATAGTGCTCGACGCATACAAAAAGCAATCTAATTTCTGGGGAGGACTGGATGTAATCCTGAAGCGCCGTATGGATGAATTGGGGGCTCTTGCTTCACGAGCAAAGATATGACCAAAGATCTGATGCAGCACTCTCTATTTTGGTCCATTGAGTACTTCTGAGCTGGGGAAAGCTCGTTACAATTGCTAAATGTTAGTCTAGGGTATACGACTGACGTCTCGCATTAGGAAAGACTATTCGGAAAGCTTAATGGTAGTTGACAGCAGCTGTGTTCCACTATGTCCGTACATGATAGTCTATTGCAATCGCTTACCCTGTGATACGCCACTTCTAGACAGATTGGCAAATCCATTGGTTGTTTCCCCTGAAGAATGCATGGCGATTAGATGACTAGTGCGATAACGCATCGAGGCTAGATATACTTGCCGGAGTATAATATGTAGAGATTTCATTCCTTTGTTGGTTTTGTTACTTTAATATCCTGTCTGTTCTAGAAAATCCTCACAACTCCCAGAGTAGGCATTTTTCAGACAGTGCCTTCAACAACGTCTTTGTCTGTTTGCTCCTCAATGAAACCTACTGCGAAAACAATGGAATATGTTGAGAGGAACTTAAGGTCAGTATACGACAATTGCAATCAGAAAAACATAGGATTTTCTCGTGGAATACCTTGTGACGGATGTCCAAGATTGAGCCCAGTCAACCTTCAGGCAATATCAAGCGCCTCAACACCACCTGATGGCTATTCATCATCTGATTTACCGCTTGATATACGAAGCATGCAAGCCTTTACCCTGGTGACAGAAGACGCTGTCAATCTAAGCGGAAAGTTTTCAGAAGAAGAATGGAACCACATCTTCATAAATTCTGAACCCGGCAATGATTTTGGTTTTTCAGCCTCCCTGAAATCACCCATGGCCAATATGGACTATCAGATCAACGCACAGGAGGCTTTTCGAGATATAGAAAACACGGAGCCACAGGAAGCCGACGAGAGCTTGCGTCAAACCAAGCAGCAGAGGAAGATTGATACACCGGACCAATACGCATCAAATTTGTGGCGATGCCAGCATCCTAAATGTTCCAAGCGCGGATTTCGGACCAAGGCCAATCTATTACGCCACAGCCGTGAAGTCCACAGGGCTATATCAGATTTGTTGCGATGCCGGCATCCTCAATGTTCCAAGCACAGGTTTAAGGCAAATTACACTCTGTTACGCCACAACCGTGAAGTCCACAAGGCTTATGGCCACACAGGCTTCCTGTGTTTATTTGAGCAATGTGATCGAGCTACTTCTGGGAGGGCTTTTCCACGCCGATGGAATTGCTACGATCACATGCGAAAAATCCATCATTACACTGGTAGTTATGATGACTTCTTGAAATCGCAAGGTAGGTAATCTCAGTTCATCAGCCTTGATATTTGACTCTACTGATATTGATTTTCCTAAGGAATGATCTAACTCGACATTGGACTAATGCTAGACTCCTTTCTGTCGTTCCCTATAATATTTTTGCTGAATTGATCTCTTCGTCTCGGTAGGAAAATGTTGCATAATTTCTTTCCATGACATTTTTTGCTCTTCTTTTAGCCTTCTCAAGATCTCTTTGTTGTATGTGGAGAGTCGTGGCAAAGAGTGAAAACTATAATGACAATCATCCCCTCTTTTCTGACACTGAGCACACGGTCGTTGTCTTGAGCATTTGTTGTTGCCTCTTTGAATGCATTGATCGCATATAGTTTTTAATACTCGTGAGATGGTACATTGCCGCCCTAGCTGTTGGCAGCGAAGACATCCATCTTCCGCAGCCCTACAGCGGATCTTTTCTTCCCAACAATGAGTGCAGGCTTCCTCCTTTGGCCGGATGGCAAATTCGACGCTGTATAATAGATATTAGTGCTTATACCTGACTTAGAGAGCGGTCAAGCTACCTCGTTGTATCGCCTGATTTCATCTCCTTGACCTCTTCTTCCTCTTCCTTTTTCGAATATTTGCGTACGTTCGGCAGCATCGTTTGTCTTGTGTGTGGTTGCATCGTGCTTTCCAAATTGCCCTCCATCGATGACGGACTCAGGTAAAGTCTTCAGACTGTTACGCTTCCAAGCTGAACATATTAGCAGAGGACGGATGTCACTCTTATAGACCTAATCTTACCGGTTAGCTCCTGGATGACAGGATAATTCAAGGTCACAGCCAACTGCGGTTAGTCGAATACCGTACATACATCATTGACGGCAATACTAGTTTTATCCTGCTAATCAAAATGTTAAAACAGGCACATCGAGGCTGGATTGCATATTGCTGGTGACCCTTGCAAAACAAATCAACACTAGTTATTATTTAGAGGAATCCGTGGACGCTATGGTAGGGTTCCATCGTCGCAAGTTGCATGTAGATGGAGTCAGTGGGCCAAATCATGTCGACATTCACGAACATACAGTGCCTGTGCCATTCTTTAGTTTACAAAACCCATCACATGGGTGAGGATCACCATTAATCTATGCATCTGTCCTCAGGGGTTGATTCTGCTAGTTCGGTTTACGTTTATTAATTGTGTTCTCAGTATACATAGTAAACATGCAACTCTTCTTAGTCTAGAATAGTCCTGAATCAGAGGCCCGAGAGCCACTGCCCTAGTCTAAGATAGCAGGTGCACATGAACTGAGACATAGCTATCTTCAAGATTACCCCTGAACCATTGAATCTGTACACGTTGACTATAAAGTATACAGCCTACTTTCTCTCCTCGCTGCAAGTTGACACGAGAAGTTATACCATTAACGAAGCTACAAGATGGACGCCGGAGGAATTCCGAATTCTGCACCTTGTATAGAATGCTTCTTAAGAGCTACAACAGTAAGTTTTGACATATCCTAGACTTACCTTCGTACATTGACCATATAAAGTGCATGAGGGCTGTTGATAGCATTCCAAGGTGCCTGCAATGTCGAGCTCGAAACACACTTTGTCAGCCCGTGACGAATCCACATGATATCTTATTTTATTTCCAAACCGAATGTTCAGGACGAAATGACGCAATCCGCATGTATAACATAATCGCCCATGCCGCACTTCTCGAGTCACGAGTCTCAACATATTTTTCTCTGCTGGCAGAAAGAATAGACAATATGTGGAAGCAGATTGAAATACTACACCGTAAGATGGAGGAGGCACAGAGATTGCGTGACGAACTTGATCAATTACAATTACGAGTCAGTGAACTTGAGCAGGTAAATGCATCGGAAATAACAAAAGCGTTCTAAGACTGTTGGTTCAATGTGTGTATATATACTCTTGACTGATCTCGCTAGAGATTGGATGTTGCCACAATGCAATAGGAAACTCAACATTCATCGTGTCATTCTCCATTTTCAGACCCGGCATCTCCACGCCCTTCCTACCATCCAGCACAAGCTGAGGGAAAATGCCATTCGTAGTAGCAATGCAAAGAAGAGTGGCTGCCTTTTTGAATGGCACAGCGAATCTCTTTTCCCACATAATTGATGCAGCTTTATTCTACTGTAGAAATGTAAATTCAGTTCTATAAGCTGTTAGAAATAAACCAGATATGTAATTTTCGAAGAAGGATCATACTCTGCCGGACTTTGAGTTGATAGCCTGGATCTATCGTCTTTTCTGTCTCTCCTTCTCTCTCCTTCGCCTCCGATCTTTAAGGTTCTTTTTTTTGTAGTGATTCCGTTGTGAATGGCGTTTGTATTGTATTGATCCTATTTTCACTCGAGTCTGTTCGAGCACTACTACAATGAGCGCAAAGGGTATCCAGAATAATGTTAGGAAAGCAGCATGAATTGCGGCAAAGAGGAGAATGAAGCGAAAGATCTTTACAAATCTGCGCTTCATGAGAAGGGAGTCGTGTTAAGATTTAGGAGTCTTTCTTTGCAGGAAATGTTTCTTGTTTCTTGTCTGTGCTGTCTACAACCGAAGGCCTCCCTTTATAGCCAAAATCCGCAACGACATGCACTATTACCATCCTAGCCTTCTTCAACGTGAGACAGACCTAGTGTGGCACCATGCTTTTTAAAATGACACTGACTAGTTTTATTTCAGTCAACAAAGCTCGGTCATCCTCGAGCAAGTGGGTATCTTACTAGCTGATACAGGGTCTGTGACGCAGCATACTGGGCCACCAGACTGTCAAAGTAAGCCTTGCAAGATGACTCGGTCCTCTGCTAGTCTAGGAAGCTGCACGCGGACAGATCAGAATTGTCCTAGTTCTTGTGTAGGTGACCTCCTTGTCCGCCTCCCGCTGGTGGAGATATTTAAAGAGAACTGCCTACCTTCTCTTACTTATTTTCCATCCAACCACTTTGCTTCACCCTCGCTACCCATAAATATCGAATCTCTACCTATACATTTCCAAATAGACATCATTCCACTCAAGCTTGCACAATGTCAACAGTAGTCACTAAGCAGCTGTTGAAACCTAAGTTGGACCGTCGCCAGTACCGGGTGCTTCGTTTGCGAAACGGCTTGGAGGTGTTACTTGTTTATGACCTGAACGCAACCCAGGCCAGCGCTTCGCTAAATGTCGGGGTAGGAAGACTCGATGATGACAAGGACGTACTGGGGATGGCGCATCTTACACAGGTAAGCAGAATGCTCCTTTGGAGAAAGGACGTGCGCTTATAAAAGAAACTTAGCATATGTTAGTTCTCGAGTCCGAAGAAGTGAGTCGTATCTTTTATAGCTAGCCAACTGAAGTGGTCATGCTAATCTTTTCTGTTACATTCCTTCAGAAGAACGGGTTTAAAACATATGTCGCTGCCCACTCAGGCCGCTCAAATAGTTTCACCTCAGCAACCGAGACCACTTTTCACTTCCAAGTCGCTGCCACTGCGTCTGGTAACAGCGCGCCGTTGCCTCAGGGGTCTCCGTTATACGGCGCTTTGTGCCGGTTCGTAAAGACCTTTACTGCGCCCTTATTTCTGGAGTCTACACTAGACGCAGCGGTGAAAGCAATTGATTTACAATACAAGACGAATTTCCGGGAAGACGCGCACAGAAGACTGCAACTGCAAAAGTCGCTCTCAAACCCTGACCATCCATATTGCCGTTTCTCGTTAGGGAATTTGGAGACATTGCGCGACAATCCGCAGGCATGTAGTATCGATGTGCAAGGCAAGGTAATGGAGTTTTATAAATCACATTATTCTGCCAATCGCATGAAACTCGTTGTTCTGGGACCCAATTCATTGAATCAGCTTGAGGAATGGGTTATTGATTTATTTTCAAGGATCCAGAACAAGAATGTGGTGCAAAAACGATGGGATAGCGTACCACTCTTTTCAGAGGATCAGCTTGGCATGCAGGTGTTTGTCGAATCCGTCAAGGCAAATTACTTGCTATACATACATTTTCCATTCTTGGACGAGGAGGACCTTTACGAGACTCTCCCTAGCCGATATATCAGCCACTTAATCAGCAATAAAGGTTCTGGTAGTATCTTATCCTGGCTAACCGCAAAAGGCTGGGCGACTGACCTCTCGGCTTACCCGAAACATGTGTGTCCCGGATCTGCCTACTATCAGATTTCTGTAACACTTACGGAGAGCGGCTGTGCGTCCTATAAAGAAATCATCAAAGTGATTTTTCAGTATATCGGTATTATCAAAGAGAGACCACCCCAAGAGTGGGTTTTTAACGAAGTCAAGAACCTCACCCAGAACAGGTTCCAATTCGGGCCAGAAGAACATCCTGCCAAATTCACGAACCGCCTCAGCAGTGTAATGCAGACCCCCATACCGCGAGGGTCGCTTCTAAGTCACTTCGTGCCAATAAAGTTTGATGCTGCTTTGATTACTCGAGCGCTGACCTATCTCCATTGTGATAAGTTCAGACTCATGCTTTTCTCGCGTCCATTCGCCGGCGACTATGACTCAGAAGAGAAGTGGTATCAAACAAAGTACAAGGTGGAGGAGATCCGTCAAGATTTTCGGTAAGAGCTCGCACATGCCTTGTCACGGCCTGGGAGAATCCAGGGCTTGCACATGCCACACAAGAATAAATTCATCCCGCATCAACTGTCAATTAAGAATGAAGAAGTTGAAATGTCATCTGGTGTGCTACGCCTCATTCGCGATGACGATGATGCCCGCGTTTGGTATAAGAACATTCAACGGTTCCCTTGCGCTTCTGTGCGAATTATGTTGAGGACCCCGATGGGATGGCCTACTCTTGCGCAAAAGGTCAAAGCAAGGCTCTACAGTGCTCTAGTAGAGGATACTTTGCGTGAGAATCTATGGAATGCTCAAATCGCTGGGCTGACTGCCAGCATTTCTGTTGGCAGTCTTGGGTTGGAGTTATCCTTATGGGGATACACCGAGAAAATGCATGTACTTCTTGAGGAGATAGTCTCCATGATGCGGAAACTGGTTATTGTTCCGGAGCGCTTCGTGATACTTAAGGAGTGTTTAACGCAAACCTACCGAGATTCAGATTACCAACTTCCTTTAGCTCAAGCAACCGACATGATGCGCTGTTTATGCGAGGAAAAAGAATGGATGAATGACGAATATGCAGCTGAGCTAGAACATATCGAAGCACACGACATTATGGCATTTTTTCCACAGCTATTCAAGGACAACCATATTGAGGTTTTAGCTCTTGGGGATCTGACCAAAGAAGAAGCGTCCGCAATGACAAATATTATCACGAGTAGTTTGCATAGCCGCTCTTTACCAGTGTTCCAATGGGGTGTCCGAAGGGCCATTATGCTTCCGCCAGGCAGTAACTACATATATGAGCGCCGGTTGACGGACCTATCACAAGTGAACAGTTGCATTGCATACTATCTATATATTGGCGACATGGTTGACGATATGTCACGGGCTAATCTTCTTCTTTTGATGGAGATTTTTCAACAGCCGGCTTTAGCTCAGCTCTGTTCTAAGGAAAAGCTTGCATATGCTATCGAAAGTAGAGCGCATTGCTCTGCCACGACCATAGGGTACCTATTCGTTATTCAGAGTGAACACTTAGCATCCTATCTAGAAGCTCGAATTGACTCCTTCTTGGACTCATTTACGAAGACACTGGTGGATATGTCTGAAGAGGAGTTTGAATCTCAGAAAGAAAGAATCGTCAGCAAGCTGGAGAAAAAACCTGGAAATCTAGGTGATGAGACAGCGCGCCTTTGGGATCACATCAAATCCGAAGGATTCGGACTCTGGAATGAAACCGCCGCTGGTATTATAAGGGATCTGTCCAAGCAGGACTTCATTGACTTCTACTCTGAATACATTGACCCTATGTCCGAGACACGTGCGAAACTATCAATTCATCTAAACGCGCGCTCTGCTGGTACGGATAAGATGCCTGTAGCTAAAGCTGAGGGCACAGACGCGCCACACATCCTGCCAACAGGAAGTAATAGCACGGGGACTATCAATAAAAAGAACCCAATCCACATTTCCGACGTGCACCGTTTCAAGGCCGGGATGCCGTTGGGGCCTGGGCCCATAGACCGTTGTTAACCAGTAAGACCCTCAGCGTGGTTGGAACATACGAGCGGATCCATGCCGGTATAACCAGGTGATCGTATCGATCCGGCTCGCTTCTCGAAATCAGCGGGAGTCATGCGGGAGGGTACAGGAAAGTAGGATTTCTAAGAGAGTTAGTAATGTTGGTTTCAGTGCAATGTGACGCATGACCTACAAAATGTTTTGTCAATGGCGACCAAAAGCCGAATTCGTCAGACTGGAATGTAAAAACATGGCCGTTCTCTTTTAGTCTGATACCCACAAAAATATCGGCGTGGCATATGGTACTATATATGTAAGCCTTGCGCATCAAACTGATTCTCCGTTCGTTTCGCTGTCGAACATGTCGTTTTCTCATCCTCTGCTCTTTTGTGATTTTGCGAGTCATTTTAACTGGCTGGATTGTGCTACACGAGAGCAGAATATAGTAGTGGGTATAGCTTCCATAGATAAAGGTGGAAGATCTAACAGTCAAAAGTTGAAATTTCGTTCCTAGATCCTGTTTTGGTTTGCAGTATTGCACCGGGCCAATATCAACTTCTGGCGGAGCCAAATTAGGACGGAAGTAATTCGAGTTGATTGGCTGATCCCAGAGTCATCTCTCCCATATGCATTACCGAGAACAAATTTCTATAGAGTTGTAATTCAGTTGTGTCTTTTATCATAAGACCTATGTGAGAAAGATTATGTATGATTCCATACTCATAGACGGAACCATTCAGGACATTGAAATAGAGTGCGGCTCCGAGTGCCAAGCTAGATTTCGCTTTAACCTAATTGTTTTTAGTTAGCGCGATCTTGTGTACTGGCCAATGGCATGAAAGATCCAAGGAAAACTAATGAACAATTAATGGAAGATCTCACATCGAAGACGAAAAAAATGGCATTATTTGCTATCTAAGCTATCTAAGCTATTTAAAGGAGAGAAGAAAGAAAAGCAAAGAAATAGAAACAGGCCTGCCTAGTTTCAGTGATTACCGAGTACAGCTACATCTAGAGCTCCGAAACGAATATGAATAATATGAATATGAATTAAATGAATATGAATATGACCCGTATTCATATTCACTAAATTCATGAATATATGAATATTCATGAATATCCACAAAAGATGAGGGAGGCAGCTGAATCTTGAACTCGCTCCTAAGATCAATTTTGAATAGTTACTTACAGAAAAACTATATACAAACAGCAAGCTTACTAAAATTCGATGAAAACCCCGTTTCCTAAATCCTAAACATTTTTATGCCGAGTCCCGGCGTTCTTTACCATATTGTCCCTTAAGGAACATCAGCCATCTAAACGTCTCAGAATTCAAGCAGTGTCTCCGAATACCCAGAACATCTCGTGCGTTACTAAACAATCTCTCAACGCCTACTTCAGCAGACGGAATAGGAAGATAGTCTTGTACAGCTTTCGACATTAGGGGGTAGTTAAAGGCATTTGCTTTCCACCATTTCAATATCCAGTCAGGATCCCCATCTTCTATCATACCATGAGACCACATCTCGGGGCTTGAATCTAGGTACCGATCAATGTCTGATATTATGTCTGCAGATTGCAGAGGCTGGATTTTTTTGAGCTTTTTCCATAATGTCCCTGGCATACCTGGTGGACGCTCTGCGCTAGAGGAAGAGGTAGGGCTTGCAGGATATTGTTTCTTAAGATATTCACGTATATCAGAAACAATCACATCTGCATCAGACTTGCTCATTTGAGCTCGGATGAAGGAGGTCTTAACCCGTGGATCAAGAATGGCAGCCACGTAATAGATAATATTGGAATCCATCTTCTTGGTGAATTTATCCATTTTCCGGATTCCTCCTTCAACAGCATTTTGAACCTCCTTAGTAATCTCTTGAAAGTCGCCTTCGTTATTTTTGATATCGTCAAGAATATCATCAAGACTCCAGTATATTGGAAGGCTTTCAGTGATGCTTGGGCAATGTTTCGAGACAAGAGTTGGTATGGTCCCAGAATGGCTTCAGGACCTTCTGAATTTGTCTTAGTGTTGACCAGTCACTATCTGTTGGTTGCATTTCTCGAATGTCTGGATGTTCACGAATAAATTGAGTGACTTCTTTTCGAAGTCGAAGAGCTTCAGAGACCATATTGTATGTTGAATTCCAGCGAGTGTCGATATCATAATTGATTTGCTTGCAGGGAGAGATATCCTTCCATGCCTGCCTTCGCTGGGGGCTGTTACTAATCCATAAGGCCAAAAGACGGATCTTAACAATAGCACCTTTCGTTGAAATCAGTGTTTCAGGTGAATGATCCTTCTGTGATGGCATCTCATCAAGTATAACATGTGCATCACGGACTGTACCGGTCTTTAAGGATACCAGAATATCCTTACAGATAAGATTCAGTATATGTGCAAGACATCCAATGAAGCTATTTCGACCCCGGAACCGCATAAGTGGTTTCATGCGGAATGGACTATCTTCCTCGTCAAAATCTTTTAACAGGTCTGCATGAAGATAATCGCAGAGTGTTAGGTTGTTTCCGGCATTATCTCCGGTGATTGTTAGAAGCTTATGTTCGATTTGAAACGCTTCAAGTACACTTTTGACAATTGTAGACAGATTTTCGCCAGAGTGCAATCCATCAATCTCTTTAAACTCAAGAAGATCTTCTCGAAGCTTAAACTCTGGAGTGAGCCAATGGCCGACAACAGCAAGAAATGATATCTGGTTATCTGACGTCCAGATGTCAAGTGAAAGTGAAATCGATCGGCAGGTATCAGCTAAGTCCTGCTTTAACCGGTTCCTCCAACTCGAATATTCACTCTGAACTCGATTTCGAAGAGTATCTGCAGTTTTGATAGGACAGTTGGCATTTAGACTCTTAAGGAGTTCTTTCCATGTAGGATGTTCAACAACTGTAAAAGGCTGCTGTGTTTCAATCACCCAGCGAAGAAGAGCCTGCATGGGATCAAGTCCAGACTTAGCTGGTTCTATGAACATATCAAGAGGCCCAGCTGGAGGTGTAATTGTGTTCTGTTTAATATGGTGTTCTTTGTAAAGGTGTGTAGCTAAATTGGTCGTAGCACCCTGTCGAGTAGAGTCCTTTGATGACCAATTGCATCGCTTACACAAAAGAAGTCTATCATTTCTGTGACGGCCTCCTTTAGGACACCATGTAGTCTCAAGGCCTATAGCATCAAAATAGTCGGCAGTCCAGCTAGTACGTGATCTCTTTCTTTTTTTCGTTGGAGTCTCGTCGAACTCACTCTCTTGGTCCAATTGAGAAGAATTGTCTGAATTCTGTTGAGGAGACTTCAATCCTTGTGAAGCTGATTTAGATGGTACCAAACTCAGTTCGTCGGAAGATATGTTTTGGTGAGGTGCAGGCACAGGCTCATTAGATAGAGTAGACATATCAGAAGGTAGAGATTCAGGGGAGGAAGAGTCAAGAGTATCTGCTTCATCGCGCCATGGAAAAGCGTCAGAAACTATGCCATTATTCAAGGCATTATAATCGCGACGAGGTCTCTTTCGAGTTATTCGAGGAGATGAATCATGAGAAAAAGCCATGAGAAGAGGGTATAAACAAAGCTCTGTAATAAATAAGGAACAAGAAGGAATATCAAGTGAAATACTCGGAGACAGATATTTGGAAAAGAGAATTAGGAATCTGGAAGAGCCTAATTCCCCCAATTTATATACTAAACAATATTTAGCTTTGTCCGTCACGTAGCTACTTAGTCTAATCCATTCCTAGCTATGATGTAAACAAAAAAGGTAAACATTATGTTAAAGTTGAATACATGAAATGTAATAGTGCTAGTCATACGTGTTATACGTGACAAATGGGTGGAGGAATCATTCTAGAGAATTTCAAGTAGACTTGCCGCTTGCAAAGTAAGAAAGCGTTTCCTAGAATGCTCTATCTAAACTACATGATTATATAGGCCATGCACTGAATTAATGATTGAACTTGAGAACTTCATATATATATCTTCTCCTTGAGCCAAGATTCTCGTTATTTTAAGAAAAGGACCTCATACTACTAGTACTATATCCATACTTAAGAGTGATTAGTACCCTTATGGCTAATATAAGATAAACTGAAGAAGCTCGCATCAAATTTGCTGATTCTGTGGCGGTTAATATGTATCTATGTAGGGCACGGCTGTTTGCCGGCGCGGAAAAATAGTCCACCCGGAAATATTCATGAATATGAATATGAATATGAATATGGTCAATAATCATATTCATTTATTCATTTCGGAGCTCTACTGGTCACAAGGTGCAAAGGTGACGCAAATCAAGATCGATCATAGTGTGGAACGATGAAACTGGAGAAAGAAAAGAGAGCAATGAAAGGAAAATTGTGCTATTTAAGTCTACAAAGAAGGTCGAATATGGATTGAGAAGCCAAAGCTGGACCCTAGTCATTGTTGTTAGTCCAAGTCTAGCGCCTCGAACGACGTGGTAAAAGCGGCGAGTATGAACGTCCAAGTTGGGTAAAGTGATTCATGGCTAAGCGGTGCCGTCGCTACGCGAACAGGGGTCCCGGAGCGACCATTTTTGGTGGTTCCGACACCTAAAGGTCCATTCTACTTGTAATTATATTTGACTTTCTGATCTTGACTATATAGTATTGGGAAGAACCGTAATACTTAGAAAGTCTATCAATATCCTCAAAATCGAAGAATAATAGTCTACAATTCCTCTTTTTAGAAGCCCGACAAGCTAACCGAATCTATATACCGAGAAGCTTGCTCATACGTTAGCTAGCAACAGGTCCGAAGATGCATTCTGAGATAATTGATGGTGTTGAGGAGCCATGTATCTTGCTAGTAATTACTATGTAGACGGTAAAAATACTTGAAGCATATTGATTGATTGATTGATTGATTGATTGATTCATACACGCATCTAAGCCTAGTGGCCGGCGGCGCCTTCTAATTGGGCAGCGGGCGTACTACCGTATAAAAGCATAAATCAACGTCAACGTGCCAAGACGCTTCCGGCTTGACGCTGACTTAGTCAACTCCACGCGAAAGTCTCGACACGTATCCGTATCCAGATCCGAAGACCACCAACAACAGATAACGAGCGAACAGAACGCCGAACCAACAAAGGAAATGTGTATATATACAAAATGAGTGAAGGATCTCGGTGCGGGGTGACGTGATATTTATGTTTTGGTGCCCGGTTCTATTTCCAAACGTGTCAAGTGGCTGATCCGTCCAAGCCGAATCAACATGGTTACTCTTCATCAGGGTAGTGTCGCACTCACTGTGAGCGCGTGGTTGTTAAGGGGGTTACGTGATGGAACTGCGTCAATAGACCAGTCCGCATCATAAATTCAATACTCTGCCGAACCCACTGAGGTTCGCTAAGGAGCTTCCGATAATCTGTTTCGCGTGCTTCTTTCCAGAGAGTCTCCATACGCAGGTTTATATGGGTAGGACACCGTATGAGGACGTGGGCCGTATCCTGATCCCCAAGGCCACATTCGCATTGAGGTGAGTCTTCAATCCGTACACTCGCTAGGAAGCTGCGTAGCGCTGATTTACCTGTTTGTAGTTGGATTAACACTGAACTCCAAGCCCGTCGTAATCCCTCGTGCAGCTGCAACACCATCTTCGTTGGTGCTTTGATTATCCGATAGAGATGCCGTCCATGGTTGGCATGCTCCCACTGTTCCTTCCACCTCTTTGCAAAGCCTGCATGTAGCCTCTGGCGACACACTGCCATAAGGATAGTTGACTGATTTGGAATATACGACATTCGTGCGGCGTGTGGTGTAGTCTGATTGGGTGCGCTGATCCTGGCTATGCGGGCGTTCTCCTGTGTACGCCGTGTCGCCTCGACTGCAGCCAACTTTGCCAGCTGGTCTGCTTTCTCGTTGCCTGGGACCCCTTCGTGGCCTGGCACCCACTGTAGTCGTACACGCCATCGAGATCGGTTGTCGCGTAGGAGGCCCAGGTGTCGTACGATCCGTCGAAGGATATACTGCCCAGAGGACCGCCCTGGCTGGCACGTGGCGCGTATTGCGGCTTGATTATCTGTGTAGATTGTGGCTTCGTGTGGGTTGTCGTCGCATGGCTGGCTTCGGAGTAGGATTTCCAATGCCGCGTCGATTCCCTCCAGTTCCCCTGCATAAACAGTATGTGTGTCAGATGAGCCTACTGGCTTATAAGCCTGTCCTATTGATAAGTAGACCGCTGCCCCAATCCCATTGTCAAAGCCGCTCCCATCGGTAAAGAACTGTATTGTTGTATCTGTTCCTAAGATTGCTTCAATAGCCTTGATAGCCTCCTCACGGGTATTGTCAATCCTTGCTTCTAGTGGCTCCCACCATGGTGGCACTACAAAGGGGTAGATTGTCTCGATGCGTTGGCTAGTATCACTCCCCAGTTTGCGGTCGATGGCTGTTTCCAATCGATGAAGTGGCGACGTGTATGGGTCGTTACAGTGGGCTTGGCCACGTATTTGGTAAAGCGTAGATCGAAGTGGTGAGGTCATGATCCGCAGGCAGGCCTCCTCAGCCAGCTTTGCGAGCGTGAGCTCTGCAGGTGGTACATGGAGACAGACCTCTAGGGCCTGTCGTGACGTACGTTTGAACGCGCCGGATATCTGGTGAAGAGCCTGATCCTGGATCGATCGGATGGCTTGCTCTGCAGCTCGCTGCGCACCGGTGAACCCTCTTCCACCTCGTATATACCACGTGGAGCACGCGTACATGATCTGTGGTTGGAGGACAGCCGTGTATATCTTCCTTAGATGAACCAGGGGCGTTCCCCATGTCGATCCTGCGATTGAGCTTAATCCCGCCACCAGTTTTGCAGCCTTCTTTCTCATCTCCTGTACGTGCACTTCCCCAGTGAGGTGGGTATCCAGATAAACTCCTAGATATTTGATTGAGTCCGTAGGCTTAATTTCTACTCCCTTGATTATGAGAGGTACATCCAGCCTACCACTCGGCTTAGGCACCATTTGGTGCTTCCGCCAAAAGTGGGTAAGTTGATATTTGGCAGGCGCAAATTTAGAGGCATGTGTCCTCTCCCAGCGCTCTGCAACCTGGTGTACTTTGGTGAGTGTGTGGCAGTTGGCTGCGGCGGAGGTCCCATATGTCATGATGAAGATGTCGTCAATATATCCAAGTACAATCACGTCCGGGCACTCGGCGAGTATCTGCTCAATAAGATCTGCATTAAAGAATAGGAATAGGATTGGTGACAATGGGGAGCCCTGCGGAATGCCTGTATTGACTAGAAATTCCCCCATATTGCCCTCTAGGAGTGTGATTGACGTGCGGCGATTGCTTAGAAAGCTCTCAATCCAGCCAATCAGGTCATCTGGCACCTGGCGCTTTCGTAGGTCGTGTATCAGCCTTATATGATTGACGTTGTCAAAAGCCCCTGCCGCGTCAAGTGCAAGCCCTGAGGCTACTCGTGAGCCCTCTCTCCACGCACTATGGGTCTCTTCTAGTAAGAGATGGATTGCTAGTTCGCATGAGCGGCCGCGACGTCCTCCAATATGTTGCTTTGGTAAAAGATTATATTGCTCCACTAGATAGCTGAGACGTCTG